GGGTGATAAGACGTTGGAAAGCTGTATTGGGCGTGGTTTGCACACCTTCCGAAGCTATGGGCACGCGCATATGTTCAGCTACAGAGATGGCACGCAGGAATCGTGGAGCTATTGGACGTTGTAACCAATTGCTTTTGTTCCCCCCTTTTTTTTTTCTTTTTATTCTGCGTCTGGCCGATGACGCTGTTCACATTTGGCTGCAAATCTAGCTATTCGCCACAGTTTATTTTCATTTCCTTTTGCTTTCTTATCCTTCCCTTGAAGGTAATGTCAATTACACAAGCTTAGACAGTTTCACGACCCGCATAAAATATTGTCTAACAATATCACTGAGCGGGCATCGATATCGCAATACGTATATTGATTTTTTCTGCACGCCTATAATCCAGACAATTCTTTCCTTGTGAGAACACAAGATAAACAGATGATGATAATGATGCCGCACGCCGAGTCCCGCGTACAAGCACTCCAGTGCTTACGCGAGTCATTCTACCGCTTGGTTTATAAAAAGTACTAAAAAACAGGTACGTTCAATGTTTAAACAGTGCGGCGTTTTTTTGTTCTTTTGTTTGCCTTTGGCCTGCCTAGTATGGCTGCATTTGGTCCACGCTGTAGATAGGAAATTTAGCCAGTTTAGTACGTCTGCTAACCTGGGGCCTTTAAGGTACATCACGCAATAGTGTTACACGACCGCACACCGATACGATGGTCATTCAGATCGAAACGAGCAGGGATTGAACGCATGATCCGTGGGGGTGCGAGCTTTTGCTCCACGTGCTTCGAGCTACGGTACTTTACCATACTCGGTCACCGATGACAAGCCACGGCGCGATCAAATCAGCCAAGTTGCTCACGGGCGAAAGGAGCACGTACCAATCATATTCACATTTCGAACGGCAGGTGGCAAAATCAAGTTAGAACCATTGCCTCCTATATACTGACAAAGCTTGGCAGATCGCCACGAGAAGCGGCCGCCGAAACGGAAACAGTGGAGCGGAAATAACGGATGAAAGAAGAGCCACGTGACTGGCGCCCCGCTGCGGCGAGACGCCGAAACATACTTCTCCCGAGCAAACAAGTGTGTTTCGAATCCTCGCCGCTGCAAAAGCGGTGCGCCGACATCCAGGGTCCCCGGGAAATCCCTCTTTGATGCTCTGTGCTACCAGATCCTCGCGCTCCAAATCTGCGACCGGGCACTCTATGGCTCCTTCATTAAACTGCCAGGATTTGTGAGTATAAAGGAGGCTATGTTAGAATCTACTAGAAGCAGTTTTACGTGGTAATCAACGCAAGCATTGGGTGAAGTAACACATCACCTATGAGTAACAGCGTTGACGACGATGCAAAATTAATTGAGCGAAAAGTGAACGAACAGCCTACGTGCCACAGCGACGTGTACATTTATTTTCTGTTCTTTCGTTAGTGCATACTTTCGTTCAGCCGGAATATAACTGCCTGCATCTCAATCCGGCCTGTATTTTTTTAAGAATCTGCGAGCTGGCATCGCACCCTCGACGTCCTCACACGTAACGGCATTACACACGACGGCACTACGGAATAAGTTAGCCGGGATTCACGGTCGAAAGCGACAAGCGTCCGCTGCGACGCCGGAATGATAAGGAGACCAAAGCCGGACAAGGATAAGGAGAGTCTCTTGCGTGAACGAGCCTCGAATGCATTATCACCGCCATTTTTTTTAGTTCGCACTACGCAAGTACAGGAGATGGTCGCAAAGACAAGCCGTGGTCATTTCCCATTCCTTCCTTTACCCTTCGTTGCCTGTGTAGAGCATCTTTGATGTTGGTTGTGAAGTAATCTCCCAAGTAATCTCCCAAAGCTTTCATGCGATCGGATGTATACGTTCCCTATAAAATACTCCTCTCTTTTTTTTTCCCTCCTTCCACATTCTTTTATCTTTCTCTCGTTGTATCGCACTCCTTGCCAAAAAAGAAATGTGTTGAAAACATTTTCTGCGGCGAAGGGCACTGCGAAAGTGTCGCACCTCGTGAACGTTCAAACTAGGACACGATCAATTAGTGGGTTTTAAAATAACGTACGGGACCAAACGCAAGCGCTTTGCATGCACAAGAACATACCGTGCTCGTCACTGCGTATGCACCACACGACACCGCATCTACGCGTCTTAAGTACGTACATGATTAGTATGCGTTTTTCTTAAAGTACAGCGCAAGTGCGTGTAGCCCGCTTCGGTGTCGCTCTCGTTGCTCTGCAGTCGTGGTCTGCGCGCGTTCACTTACCGTTTGCGTTTTTATACGTATACTAAAAGACTTCTCGCGACATCCACCGCGATGTTCCGCAAGATCTTTGCGTTGTGTCGTGCGAGGGTATCGACGCTAAGCTAAAACTCACTAATATACACGTGTGGGACAAAAAGATGGGTATCCATAGCGCCGGTTGGGGTTGTTACTTGCAACTCCAAAAGAGGCGACGCCCCCAAGTGGAAAAAGCGTAAATGAGACAAGTGGTGACCTATCGATTACGCGTATGAGTGTGCCACGACATCTGGTGTGACCTGGCGGCAGGAATAAGAAACAGAAAAGGGGATCAAATGCACGTGGCTTAAGTGACGAATCCATGATCTCGAGAGCACTGTGTAGCCATACAAAAGACGCAGGAGCGGACGCGTGGCGTAAAAGAGTGCTGATTAGACTAGGGTGAAGATTTGCGATGAAGTGTATTTGTTCAACGTATTTGAACAAAAAAAAAAAAAAAAACTTAAACTAGCTCACGAACAATTCTTGTTATTTCTAGTTTTCTGTTTTTGCTGACTTCTAAATTTCTGAATGGCCAATTTCGCGCAAGAATTAGGATCATTTCACCCTTCTATTTTGAGAAGTAACTGTTCAAGTAAAGCTTTACAGTTTTAGTGCTGCCCTCTTTCGGCGACATGCGACAACTATAAGGTCATAATATGTTACGTCATTTCCAGACCTTGCTACTGCTATTAAACAAAAATACGAAAAACGTAGAAGCCGTCAAGTGGAATCTGAGATCGTCTATCTGTCGTGGTAACTGAATCCACGGGCTGTAAGCATCCTAGAAAATTCGAAATAACACTCATGGGCTGCCGATTTCCCTAATAAAAATATAATCAAAGATTGCTACAAGCCCCTTTTTCCGCGCCTTGGAGCACATACCAGGGGGCGCCGACGGAGGGCGTTTTCAAACAATAATTGCTGCATTAGGTATCCTTCACCCAATGATTTGACGTTTCTGTCAAAATAGAATGCGCAACGTGCCTAAGAGAGCAGTTATACTGAAAATTGGAATCTCCATGAAATTAACTATTTTCATTAGGCAAATTTTATGGGTGTACATAAAAAACATGTTTCTACAAAAATCCCTTTAGGATTATTATTCTGCTGATAAATAATTCAAAACGTACTGTACTCAACATACTAAAACATTTCGTGTGGGATGACCAAACATCACAATAAAATCATATATTGCATAAATTTCTATGACTTGGAATGTTAATTACAGGTGTTTTAAAGGCATATGAACTGAGTATAAAATATTTTGAGGCATTTGGATAACGACTATTTGTACCACTTCAATCCACGAAATTCCAATCAAGAAGACTCACCAGCATTTGCTTTTAATTTACTAATTATGATCACTCTGAGTAGGTTTTTGCTTACATTTCATTTTTACGTTACCATTCTAAGTATTTGGCGTTTTATAATACCATTTTTTTTTTTCGGAGCCTTGACTTGTACATTCTCTTCTACAATAGCACATGGCAAAAACTTCTCATGACCTTGTCCCCAACGCAAATAATTTGCATATACGTATTATATAATTTTATATATACTTGTTTTCTATTATATGTAGCGTGTAGAAAGCATGCAATGTCATATTTTATTTAAATTGCCGGTAAACAAATTCGGGATAGGCTGCTCAGTCACAAGTCAAAATTGAAAGGGCTCTGTTTTAATCTTTTTTTTAAACAGAGTCAATATTTTTTTTTTAATTAAGAAAACCAGAACTTTTGTAGGTATTTATAATAGTGGAACCTGACCTTCCGGATTTCTGCTTCTCTGCAGCTCTGTGTGATCTCGATTAGTGCTTTCTTTGTAATTGCGTAATGCCTCGGAAACATGCCAAGTAGGACAAACGCATTCGCTCTCTTCGTTGGCCTTTAAAACCTCAACACAAAAAAAAAAAATATAAAACTGTGGAGCTGTAATTGATGATTTGATAATAGCAAGGTTAAAATCATGATAAAAAAAATCGGAATCCAGAAATTAAATGTCTGGCAGTGGTTTATTTCTCCAAAGCACACTACAATTATACAAAGTTGGCCAAGGGCGAATGCTACAGCCCCCGTGAGCCAATCAGAGGGAACAAGCGGGATACGTGAGGCGTGCACACCATTGGCACAATAGTTGCAACGCATACACATTGGCACAATGCCATGTGCATCGTTTCGACGTTGACTGGTTCATAGGGGTCGTAGCATTCGCGATTTGCCACGTTATGCTGACACAGAAAAGTTCGTAGTTAGGTATCCAAGGTTATGCATTTGGTCTAGTACCGCTTTCACAGCGGTCGCACTGGCTAATTGTGTGCACTTCGAGCGAGTACACCTCAGCTCCCCCATGTGTCCCTTCAAATGCCTCGGTGGTACACGCGGGACGTTAGTGCCACTTTGTTGGCGTTTTCCCCGTTCATGAGTTACTACGTCTACCTTCAACCAGCTCGCCTGCAGTCTCGCTTTAGGTGAAGTGAGTTCGTCGACCCCAATTGAAGCTTAGTGTGTTCTTCATTCAGCAAGAGACACCAAAAGATGCCGTCTGGCACCACGCGCACTAAGGACAAAGTGCACGCGCTTCAAGTGATACTAAATTAGCCAGCCTGACAGGAATATAAGACACGCTCTCTTACTTCACTTCTTGCTCGCTACTTGTGTCACCTATTGGGCCATATGCTGACAGCCGCTGTAACCGCGTTCCAGGAGCACGGTGTCCCTGCCGGCGATGGCGCTGGTGCTGCTGATGCAAGTGATGACGGTCCAGTGGGCGGACACCATCCTGCTGACCGACCTGGAACTTCTCAGGCAGGCCGTGCTCGAAGCGCAGACCGTCCTCAACTACAGGCTCAGCCACGCGCCACTCTACGGTGAGCAGTCCCCAGATCCCGAAGAAGAACCTCTTACGGTGATACCCGTTATTGGCGAGGTTATCGCAGCGGATACAGGAGTGTGTTTGTGTCTCGATCGTGGACCACTAAATTCAGTGGGGAATCAAGGTGTCGAGTGACGTCATAACACGTGATGTCACAACTTCCCCTCTAAATTTAGCGGGAAAACGTGTTCAATCAATTTAGACTGAATTTAGTGTGACTTGACGTCACGCTGTCACAGAACCACGTCTTGTAACGTCAAAATGTGACTTGCAGTCATGGTATCATGTGACGTCCCAGTGCCATATGATGTCATGGTGTCATGTGACACCATGAGGGAGCTCACGTGACAGTGACACACCAAACCCGACCGCTTAATCAAGTGCACTTAAGTCCACCAAATATAAATATAGCAGTGTAACTGCGTGCAGCAGAGTGTGTCAGATGTGACGTCGTGCTACTCAAAGGTGTAAAATCTGCGTTATAAGAATTTTTTTTTCCCATAGGAAAGCGGCGGCTATTAAAAAGATACGCCCGTTTTCAGTGTAAACAGCATAACAGTTCGTATATCATAAATAAAGTAACAACGTTGCGATTTCGACACAAAGCAGAAGAGGTCGTTCGCCGCCACTGCCGTGCGTGTACAGCGGGTGTGCAGCATGCAGTGGTGGCGATGAACGGCCCTCTTTCATTGGCGCGCCTAGCGGCAAAACGCTGCACTTGCGACGACGGAGGCGGCTCATTGTAGTACAACTCTTTTGCCAGGCACTGAAAGTATGTAGGAGGCGCTGCCTGGCAGGAGGAGGACGGCAAGCCGACTCTTTTGGGATGCTTAACCTCCAGCATGCAATCGTTGTCTTTCGCCGTGCATTGGTAGTGCTTTGCACATTCGAGGATCACGAGACGCCCAAGCGTTATTAGGGAGTTTTAGAATAGGCAGCGCCTACGCTTTGGGTAACCCAATCATCGGAATTAAAAACAGCGCGGAAAGACGAGGACCCAATCAGCTTGGGACATCGCACTGCGAGTGTGCAGAGCTTTTATCGAGAGTTTTAGAAACTGTCTATTGAAGGCAGGAATCTTGCGGTGGGAACAGGAAAACCTATAAGGACCTCCCCGAAGTCTTCATTCCGTCAATCACTGAAAACTACGGAAGGCCATTAGCGAGCGGAGAGTTAGAAAAGTGGACACCATTTGACCTCTTGACATATCCTAATTTTCCGAGAGAGGTCAACACTATTCCCTTCAAATCCGAACAAACTAGGAAGACAAATGTGTACAAATTATGCGTCTGGACTCTAGTGTGTTCCTTAATTCCGTTGTTCGTTTCAAGGCTGTGCTTGGAAACATCCGATCCCAACTTAAGAAGTCACATTTCATAAATTGGACAAGACACGACTCTTTCCTCAAGCGATAAGTTTATGTCCTGCCCCAGTGATTTTTTTTTTTTTTTTATTTGGATGGTAGGTGCTCAGAACATAAAAAAGCGTTCACTAATAATCATTTTAAAGCTGCGGAGACGGGCTATTTTACGCTCTTGTGTGATCTTGGGAACTAGCGAAAAAATTGATAAAGCTCTCACGGTGGCTCCACGGCTGATGCAGGTGCAAACAGAGTTTGATGATCAGCACATACAGACGCGTGGCACCGGTCAATGACGCGAGCTTGAAATTCCGAACACCGTCTGGCAGTGTCCATTTCGCGGCCTTCACCCCCAATGTTGATGCTCTATCACTGCTCCAGGACCCGTAAAGCGCCTGTGCAGGTAATCGTTTTAGCGTCCCCCTTGAAACAAGATGCCGACGGAAAGCTTCTGTTTTCAATTATACAAACTTCGTGAGCTGCAATGAACCCTTCATGGCTGTTTGATCAATCGATGTTGCTAAAGGAACGGTCACAATCATTAGTTTCACTGCACTGTCTTTTTCTCTTCAACCCTCTCTCTTTCTACGAGTGCGAAGCGACCCGCTAAGGTTTTTCGCTACCCAACTTCATAATTCTGTCACGTATAGTTTAGCCTTATCTGTTCTGGAGTTTCATTTTTACATAGAAAAGCGTCATCATTCAAGATTGATGTCCAGTTTTGTAATTATCTGCAAACAGAATCGGGAGAAGGTTTGAAGACGCTCCCGGAGGTATAATCTTCTATACAACCTAAACCCCATTCCGAGAACGCAAAACCTGCCTATGAATGCATTATTGGAAACCAACTATTACGAAAACTCTGTGCACGACCGACGCCTAGAAAAATATCAGGCTTCAGTGCTGGTCAATATGAAGTCAAGGAACAGGCAGAAGGCGGACCGGGGCTGGATGAGTCCAACAGCGTGACGCCACTGCCACCATCCAATTGTAATTCTACGTTTTATTTACACCGTTGTCTCCATAACATTCAACACTGCGATTTCTGGCTATCAGCAGCCTGATACTGAAAAATATCTGGTGTTTCTCTTTTTTAAGAAAAAAGGAACGTGTCTTTCGGCCTGCGTAAATGAACCATGCATCGCACGAAGCCGGAGCTCCGGCAGAATGTGACACTAACGGTTGGGATATGACGCAAAAGTTTGAGAACATCTTATCACGTTCATATACCTTTCACCGATATTTAACTTTCATATACCTTTCACCGATATTTAACTTTCATATACCTTTCACCGATAAAACTATATTTTCTGACTCCCCGGCCTTTGCCCTTTCTGGTATGCTATTTAGTATCGTGAAATTCATAATAGTTATTGCGAAATCAGCAAATGAAAATGATGCAAAAAGCAACATTCAAATATACCCGCCCTTCTCAGTGCCGTGACGTCAGTGGAAGGCAGGCTTGTCAGTCGGGCGACCAGTCTAAAAAATAGAATACGCCAATCATTTGTTCCGTGCTGGAGCGCGGGGACTGGAGCGAGCTTCCAAAGCATTCATTTGACACCATGAAACTGCTTCGAATCAGTTGGGAACAAATTCTACAGTCCAAAGAGTGAACCCCTGCACTTCCACTGACGTCCCTTTTTCGTTGTTGCCAGTAGAGACTTCCGTTTGAAAAACACGATGAGGACCAAAGTTGTAAATTCAATACTTCGTGAAACAAAAAAATTATTTTGACCTAATATTTAGGATAATATTTTGGCAATGTTGTTTGGCGAGTTTAGCAAAATTTCAAGCAAATCGGGGACCATGAAGAAATCGGCGGAGTACCCCCACGCGATCGAGCCCCTGTGTTTGGAAGCCTGAACAACTTAGTTGATGAGGCAGAGGTAGCCATACGTATCGTCACTCGAATTATACGTTACTGGAATAGCGGATTTCTATTCAATAAGGGTAATAAAAAGGTTCCATTATAACCGTAGTGGATTGCTTTAAATGACAAAGGTAGTTTATTTCTTGAGTGCTGAAAAACTCTTTTTTCCCTCCGTCTTGCAGACGGCTCGGCCAACGGAGCCCCTTCGACCTGTCCGGGGTCGTCTCTGAGGCACCAAGCCAGCCGTGCTTCGACCATCAAGTCCCGACGCATGGCTCAGGCAGCCAAACTCTTTGAAGAGACAACCAAGGCCCTGGTGACGAGGTGACCCTTACTAGACGCTTCTCTCTCTCAGCTAAAGCTGATGGAATAATCTAAAGCTGGAGGATCAAGATTGGATCATGGGCATAACATCGGGTGTCTTTGTTGGGACTGTCTCAGATGGAGGATCGGTTGCTTTCCTTGCTGCCGCGTTTTCAGGTTCGTTCATCACCCTGGCAAAAACAAGCATCAGTCTGCTGGACGCCACATTAATATGCTCTGTTCAGCCCTAAACTGAAAGTGCGTTGCAAGTTGCGTGCTCGTTGTAGTCATGCGTCCATCCTTCGCAACGTCATCCCGCATTCGCCCATACAGACTCGCAGAAAGCAGAGTCAGGTGATGAAAGGGAAGCCATTGATTGGTCCAAGCTCCCACCACGCTATCAGCTTAGCGGTATGTGTTGTACAGGTACCGTCGGTTTGCAAACTCCCATAGACAGAAAATTGAGTCACCCCTCCCCTTGGTGTTGGTCCCCAGTTGACTCAAACAGTTAAAACGAACTTCATGGTTGGATAGTCTTGGAAGGTCCTCCCCCTCTCCCACAGACGCACACATACGCATCACAGGCCTATATGCCCAATGAAGTTTACCCCAATAAAATGTTCAGTTCTACTAGTTGGTTCATGACTGGATAAAAGCGCCGAAGGACAGAGACAAAGTGAAAGAGGTAACGACAACGCGGAGCGTATTTGCAACTGAAAGTTTAGTAGAAGCACAGTGATTTAACTACTTTAATAAAACCACGTCACTTTCAGCCACCCCACTCTCTCTCCCTATCTCTATTTCTAAAAATAACATTCGCTTATCTAACAATGCCACAGACGGCTCACTGATACACTTTTCGGCGCCCCCATGTTTTGATGACGAACGCTTCGTGAATTTCCCTAGTTACTTTACCCCAATGTTCACACATTCCCCATTGTTTTCAAAATCTGGGGAGGTTACTCACCAACACACATGAGCTGCTTATGAGTACTAAAGCAAGAGGAAGATACTTAGCGGAAATATTACACCGTAGAATGTAACTACTCGACCGCGACAACTATCATAAAATGATCGGCTGGTATCACCGGACATACACGGCTACCGTCGTAAAATGAGGATTCATTCTGCATTGAATTTAACATCGAAAGCAGCATTAAAGTGCATGTTTGGATACCCAAAAGTTCAGTAAACACCAGTAGACGCCAGCTCACTTGCGCCGTTGCGTAAGTTCGGTATATACCAACTTACTTGCACCCTTGCGTTCCACCCGAATACCTTTCATCATCCAAAGCGGCTTACATACCAAAATAAACGAAAATAAAAACAACATACACAAAAGAACAAGTTCGGTAGTTTTAACGCTGCACAAACCAGAGTCAAGAACAATCATAACGCGACCATAACTATGCCTCCAAAAAATTTGTCTTTTTTTAAGTATCACCCTTAGAAAAAAAAAATCTTTCACTTCCTCATGCTTTTTATGGTTGTGCGAAAAGTACAGGAAACTACCTCGACGCAGATTATTTCAAAAGATTAATACGCGTTGGCAGTTTGAGATTAACAATCTTGTAAAATACATCGCGCGATGCTTTCATTTCCTCGTTGCCTACCGCTCAAACCAGGATTCACGTCACGATCCTATAAACAGACGACAGGAGTAAATTGCGACCCTTGTTAACTCCGCAGTAATTCACTCTCGATAACGGGGACGAGGTAGCGTAACCCAATAATCGATTAAACGAGCATCTTCTCCGACTATTCCGGGAACACCACGATAATCACGAGCCGCCGCGGTTGCGCAGTAACTAGGAAGTATATCCCACCGGCGCTGATTGTACCGTCGGGCAAACCGAGTAATTACACTCTCACGACACAAAAAATAACCTTCAGGAGCCCGCGTGTGTCAACCCGTCGAAGCTGTACGATTCCCGCGTCTAACGTCAGCTAGAAGCAACGGGAAGGGAAGATTTATATCCTTTTGTCTGTACGCGACGATCCAATGCATACACAAGCGGGAGGAGGACACGACAGTTAGTGTTCTCTAGTCGTCATTTTTCTTCCCTCGATTGTCACGTCTTCACCATGTTACGCAAGTAAAGATAAAAAAGAAAAGAGAAGCTCGAGGAATTTGAGTTTTCTCAATGGAGGCGCCGCCTTGCGTAAGCGCGTCCCCTATCATCATGTCGGCTCCGTGACTCTCCGCAGTGGCGAAAGCGCGCGCCCGTATACTTCAGACACGATGATGACAGGCAATATCCGTAATCTGAGAGGGCCTAATTTTTAGGGTGGATCAATTTTTAAACGGGAGAAAGAGTCAGAAAGTCCGGCGGCTTACGGGCTTGCTCAAGATCCGCTTGAGGCTTAGCATACGAACAAACGTTTTTTTTTTCGAGTTCGAAGACATGCCACGGCAAGAGAACTTGCGTCGAAGTATCTCGTTCAGCAGACACAGGATCCGGTACTGCTCGCGTAACACTGTTGATTCTTCGCCTGACTATTGGGGTAACAGGCTATAATCAATCTAGGCTGTCAAAAAGCAGACGTGTTGCAGAAACCGTAGGCGTATATGAAGACTCCAAAACAGGAGACGCAATAGAATGAAAATCGCCGCACCGAATAAATGCCTGTTTACTAGAACCCCACTCAATCGCCTACACGCAGACGTTCGCCACAAGCACGTGCTTATGGCGAACGTCTGCGCGTAGTCTGATTATAGACTATAACGTCTGTTAGGTTAAGAAAAGCAGGACAAGCATTTCCCACAAAGCTTGCATCTTGCCGTGATTGGTTGTTTCCTCCACTCCAGGCGTTCGCTCCGCTAAAATGGAAAGAGGGGAGGGTTTCGATGGAGGTGCTTGTTCAGCCATTCTTAACATACAACAGATTATAAGGCAGGTACAATGAAATACAATGATGTTTGCGTTACCAGGCAGACAATCGGCAGACGACCGCGTAGGGAAGCGGAAAGTCCGCCAGTGTAAGGTTTGCACAAACTTTAATCTATCCACAATGGAAACGGAAGGGGAAATCCAGAGTCAGTTTCGCACATTGTCGCAGTCTGCTACTTTGTGTTGGGGGGGTGGGCGAGGAATCGAAAGAAAAGGGAAATAAAGATCGACGTCAGGCGACGTATCTATAAGTTCAAACCGCGAGCATAAATAAGCAGATAGCTGAAAATAAGACTATGTGATCAGACTATCTGGTTTACGACTGCAGATTTAGCGCGCGTTGAAATCACCTACTCCTCTAAAAACATTTAGGGACATCTCCTCAATGAAACGTATATTGTGAAAACACCGCATGGTCTCAATATCCCTCCCTAACGAGCATTATTTTTGCCACGGGGAAAAAAAGGTTTAACTATAGACGCTTTACGCACGCGCAAGATTACAGCCGCCATTGGTGACCTTCTCTTGTCTTGAGAGATACCGAGCCACTGAAAAGGTCGTTGACGAGCTTCCACAAAGGCCAACGCTGGGGAGATGGACTCAGTACAATCTAAAATGGTAATAGCCTGGCCTGTTATGGTAATAAGGAAGTGAAATAAATGTAATAAGAGGAAACAAAAACTGAAGGTCGGTTATGGCGGCGCCCATGCACTGCTGCTGCAGTGCATGGGCGCCGCCATGTTGACGTTGACGTAACCGAGTTAAAGCAAAATAAAGTCGATTTATTTGCCGATTGGAAGGCGCTAGGATTCAAGGGGCTCATGCCAATAGTTCCACTTTTCTCTTCGCTGTATCTGTTTGTTACTGTAGTTATGCAGAAACAATTTACTTTTTTGTCGCCCAACCATGGCTACCGCATAACTCGAAAGCGGTCTATACTCCTTTCCACGTGAAAATGACAGTTGACACGTACATCGCAGCACTAAATCAACAACAAAAACGGCGATGATGCAGTGCCGACTTGACCGTATAACTTAGCACTGATGCAGCACTGTATCGCCACTGTTTCCCCGCTACATGTATCAGTGACGTAACTTGAAGTCAGCGCTATTTCCAGCGCTGAGGAAGCGCTGTGGGAGCCAATGCTATGCGGAGCGCAACTTCGTCTGCTTCTTGCACAGGTGTTGCGATAATGTCAGAATGCCAAGCTCTCATTAATGCGAATGTATTAACTGTCCCATGGAGCGCAGCCGGCGGCGTCTGTAACCGCGGAAAACGGCACTTAAATTGGCTGCGACGCGTCATATCAGATGCTTTGTCACGGTAGCCGGCGCGGCGGCGCCTCGGAAATAAAACACAATGAAAAGCACAGTAATGCAGATGCCTCGTCGCGGAAGCCATCGTGAAGCCGGCAAGTTTCGCCGCGCATGCGCAGTGATGTCATCGCCGCAGCGCCGTGTACGATAGGAACACGTGGCGCGCTCCTGGTAGGAATGCGCTGCGCGTAGGAATGCTTTTGCATTCCTACACGTAAGTAGTTTAAAATGTCTCTGCCGAATTTTTTTCGCTAAACTATTGCGGTCAGTGCAGCTGAGTTCTTCGGCCAGAGGGACATACTATAGGAAGTTAATCGTCACGATAAGTCGAACAATCTACTAGAATTTGTTAATTAACTTTTTAATTAGTGATACTACATACATATATGGTTCAAATTAGGAACATCTCGAGCGTAATCGAAAACCACTAAATCAGTCATTTTTAGAAAGACTTCAAGCTCGTGGGAAGCGCACCTGGTCGTGCGCTTAAATTATCACTCGCCCAACAGGCGCAAGGCTGGCGGTGAAAAAACACGCATTTTAAGAGAGAATAACGGCGCGGGCGCTTCATCGCACCGGTAGCCTTGTTCCTGCTGCACGAGGGGTAACTTTAGCGCTCTACCGCGTTCTCCACGTGCTCCAAGTTCTTTTTTTTTTTTTTTTTTTTTTAATGATTGATTTAGTAGTGGTTTTCGGTCACGCTCAGCACGTTTCTTATTTAAACCATACGTTTGTTTTCTCCAATGAAAAAGTTAATTAACATAGTTTAGTTTGATTAGCCGACTAATCGCGAAAATTAGCCCCCCATATTACGTTCCCTTGGCCGTATAACTCACCCGGCGCAAACCGCATAAGTGACGCTTTCGCGGATTTTCTAAAACAAATTTGTAAAGCCTAACGAAAACACCCCGTACATTGCGGTAAAACAAAGTTTCGAAGAGCCTGTCTGCTAACGCCACGGCGTCTCTTGAGTTTGACGGTGCACGCGTAGCCAAAGCCCGCCGGAAGCCAACGAGCGGGTCTGGAGGCCGGGCGTTCGAAAGAAACGCCCTGCCGTTCTGACCTTTGTCGCTGACTAGGCGGGCAGCAACTGAAAGAGAGGAGGAGACGAGAGGAAACGTAAAAACACCGAGCGCTGGTTGGAACGATCAGTGGGTAGACCTAAAGCTAGCTGTCTCTGTTTCCGCTGCCATAACCTCCTATATCCTGACAAAGCCTGGCAGATCGCCACGAGAAACGGCCGCCGAAATGGAAAAGGTGGAGCGGAAGACAACGGAGAAGAGGAGAGCCACGTGACTGGCGCCCCGCTGCGGCGAGACGCCGAAACACACTTCTCCCGAACGAACAAGTGTGTTTCGGGTCCTCGCCGCTGCAAAAGCTGTGCAAAGGTGCCGATGTGGGTTAGTTGGTTCATACTGACGAAAAGGCAAACAGCGCACAGTAAACGGGTGCGAACCTATCTTCAGTAAGACTGGTATCATTGGCAAGGGGAGGGACAGAGTGAATAGAGAAATTTTAGAGGCGCATGCAATTATCAAAGCAGGCGCGAACTGCGTAAGCCAAACGTCACTGGGCCTGAGTAGCAAAGAGATTGTTTTTTTTTTTTTTTGACACGTGGTGAAAGTATCATGTCACATGGGCGGAGTTGCTGTTTTCTTTGTTTTTGTTTTCATGTGATTAAATTTCAGTTGAGAGTCAGCGCTTGTCCTGTTTACACTTCCTTTCGTCCCCGATTACTGTGCGCTGTTTGCCTTTTCGTCAAAAGCTGTGCGCTGACATCCAGATTCCCCGAGAAATGGCCCTTTGACGCTCGGTGCTACCTGATCCTCGCGCTCCAAATCTGCGACCGCAAGCACTCTATGGCTCCGTCGTCGAACTGACAGGCTTTGTGAGTATAGAGGAGGTTATGGCTCGGCGTTCTGACGTCCACGCTCGCGCTCTTTTCTCCTCCCCTCCCTCAATGTCTGTCCTCGTAGTTCACCGTATTAGAACAGCGCACAAGCAGAGAGGAAGAGAAGAGGACACGAGGGACAGAGCGCCGACTCCCAACCGATGTATTGCGAAAGAAGTTCATACGTGTCTATGAATATATTGAAAGAAGTTTTAGGCAAATCGGTGACAAGGAAAATTTGGCCGGAGTCCCCCTTTAATTCGCAGTCCCTCTGCTCGCACATCATAAAAAAAGACACTGTGTTCGCTCCATATATGATGACACAACAGTGTGTGAGCATGTTCGGAGTGTGTTTGGTTTGTGCATGTGTATGCTAAGAACTTGTTTGCAGGCGGTTTTTGTTTCTGCTAATGTGACAAGATCAGGAAGAAACGCCTGTTAGTCAGTGTCTGGAGACTGTCTTTTGAAGGATGTATTAGCGGCGCGAACACGTCTTTAGGGGAGTGCATATTTTTCGAGTGCGTACAGCCTCGAGACGCGTTGTCAACCCTGCCGTTCTTTGACCGACGTATCTCCTTTCCCACGTAGGCTCCCGGGCGGCCTGGAAGCGGCGCAGTCCCTGCAGTCCCTGGCCGACCAAGATCTGTCTTTGGAACAGGCGAGCCAGGAATGCAACCTGGACTCACGAATCGTGCCCTGCGACCCGGACTCGGCCTTCCGACGCTCCGAGGGTTCCTGCAACAACCTGGCCAATCCGCGCTGGGGCATGGCCGGCAGCTGCATGTCCAGACTTCTGGAGCCTGCCTACCAAGACGGTGAGCGAAGATAGAAATCCTGAATTCTGTAACGTAATATGTGAAAAGAAACTGACAGAGCAGTGACGTCATCAGCGTCGTGTGACCAAGTTACGATGACGTCATTGCCGTCATGTGACAACTTCCCGTGACGCTGATGACTCCTGGAGGTCCAGCAGCTCCTACCTAACAGGACGGCGAGGAAGAGATTTTGAAGCCATTTCTTTTTAACGTGTCGAATATATAAGAAACCGACGGAAAAAGAGACATTAAAATTACGTCATCAGCGTCGAGTAACGTGTTCTCGCGTCGCTGAAAGCTCCCGGAGGTTCCTGGAGCCTGCCTACGAAGACGGCAGGGGAAGGTATGGAGTCGCCCTCTTCAATAAAACAGATAATAGTAATAATAATAGTTTATTTACCATATACATGTATGTATGGCGGGAGCTGGGGAAAAAAGCTTGCAAGGAGCTTGAGTGGTCCCCAGCCCCTCGCAGGACCACAGCGGTGTCAAAAATTATACAAAGCAAAGATTAAGCAAAGCAAAGAAAGGAAGAGAGAAACAGAAAAGCGACATCAAAGTGACGTCATCTGAGCGTCACGTAGTCACTCGACATTAAGGAGTTTTCGTAGATCCTTTCCGCTGTCCCGCAACGTTCCCCGCAACCCGCTACGAGGTCCGTGACTCTGCAGACAAGACTAGCGCCGCGCATGAGTAGTGGAGTCTTCGTTCCGGAGAGCGTAACGGAGGTGGGAAAATGCTCTACGAAAACTCCCTTTTGCCATGGTGGCTACGTTACCACCGTCCCATAAGTTTAGTGGACGGTGGTCACGCCGGACCGCTCAATTCAGCTGATTTGATTTACTAGGTACATCTATAACTTTGGTGGCCAATGCAACAGTGTCAGCTTAAACGATCATATGACCATAGCGAGAACCACTGGCGTTCTCGTCGGACGTCACGGTTTGAGTCTCGGTACATAAACGACACTGAAACCTTTCCACCCAGAAACGCGTTCTATGTGTGCATATTTCGTCGGGTATGACTAAAGTACTGCCACAAATATTTTATTCGAATCTGTGAAAATCAAAGTAGATGCTGGCCACGGGCCTAAGTTGAGCTAGTTGGGTCTTTCTTACGATGGGCCAGCTAAGCAAAGATACCACGCAGAAAAAACACTATACACACTGCTGGATCATTAACTGTTTAATGCTCCTCTTTTTATTTTTCTCTTTGCAAGTGATCGATAATTTCTTTTTCTTTTTATCGTGTAATTCATAATTTTTTTTTATTATTTTTCTTTAGGTCGTTTTTTGATTTTTGCTTTTCCGGTTCTTAGGCGGTTGCGCATTCTTTTTTAGGGGTAAGGCTGGCGCATTCTTTATTTTATCCTTGCCCGGACACCGTGGCTCCCCACAGGAACACTTCCTCCTTGTGGTAGAGTGCAACTGAAGAAGCACTAACACAGTTCTTCCCGTTGTCCTTGATGGCTAGGGCCTCTAGCAATTCACGCGCGAGTCGGTTTCTGTTTTTTCCAACAATGCCAAATTCGTGTAGTTTTGCTTCACATTCGCATGTACGGCAGTGAGCTACTAAGTGTCCTGCTGCTGTTAAGGCTCGTAAAGATGCGGCATGCTCTCTTGTTCTATAGTTTATACAGCGTCCCTTTTGGCCTATATAGCATCTCCCACATGTCATGGGAATCTTATAGATGACCTCTCTTTGACATTGGGCATACTTGGTCTCGTGTGCCACGCCACGTTGTTTTGCGTGCGTGCGTGCGTGCGTGCGTGCGTGCGTGCGTGCGTGCGTGCGTGCGTGCGTGCGTGCGTGCGTGCGTGCGTGCGTGCGTGCGTGCGTGCGTGCGTGCGTGTGTATGTGTGTGTGTGTGTGTGTGTGTGTGTGTGTGTGTGTGTGTGTGTGTGTGTGTGTGTGTGTGTGTGTGTGTGTGTGTGTGTGTGTGTGTGTGTGTGTGTGTGTGTGTGTTGCCTTGTTGATTTTCCCACACATGGAAGAAGCCTTGTTCGGCGCGGGACACACGACGTGTACCCCTTGCCGGCTTGCTATCTTCTTTAGCTTGTGGGTGCCCTGCAAGTGTATTCTTAGCATGGAAATACCTCCTGACAACAAAAGTCAAGGCAACCCCCAGAAGGCCACCGCTTCAGGTCATCGGGGAAGTCAACCTTTCAACACAAGCCAGAAAGGTACTCGAGCAAGGTCCGAAATTTGCAAGTCCTGTGCAAACCAAGTTGAGAGAAGTTTTGACATACAAATGTCTAGTCTACTTGAAGCTGGCTATCCGAACACGCTTCTGACATCAGTATGCGAAAAGATCTGCAAGTATTTGAAGCGCGGTCCGGCAAACGTACAACAAACAAAAAAGAAACCTGGAAGCCCCACAGTGGTGGTACCATATCTTCATGGCATTACCCACAAGCTAAAGAAGATAGCAAGCCGGCAAAGTGTACACGCCGTGTGTTCCGCGCCGAACAAGCTTCTTCCATGTGTCCCCTTTGTTTTCTATATTTCTATTGCTTGTACCCTCTGTCTCTGTCCCCTTTGTTTTCTATATTTCTATTGCTTGCTCCTAGCCACTTCTCGTAACGCACTCTCGTAACGGAAAGCGTCACACCAGTGCTGCGTCACCGTTCGGATGAAGGCCGCGTCCTCAATAAGTGAACAAGAGCCTCAGCTGAACGCTGATGCACTCTTCGCCTCCAATTTGTACCCCGCGCGCTCCTCGGCTGGGTGACGTAGAAAAGGAAGCAGCAAAACTCGAACGCATGCTTAAATATCCGTTACTTTTTCGTGGCGAAGGCTTTTGGTGCCTGGAACGAACCACACAAGGAAACAAGGGCCACAGAAACTCTCGTTTCTTTCCTAACAAAGACAGACTCGAATTTCCGCTTGTAGATTTTGAAACCTCGTTGTTCGTGAACAGTGTCATGTTTGCAGCGTTCGAATGTTGTCACCCTTACGCCTTTTACTTGTTAAGCTTTAATCCAACCCGCTTTTTTTGTCGGACGCAGGCATCAGCAGCCCCCGAGTGTCCCGCAGCGGCAAAGAACTGCCCAATGCCCGTCTGGTGTCGTCCACGGTGCATCCGGACCGCACGGTGCCCAGCCCCAGGTTCTCGCACATGCTCATGCAGTTCGGACAGTTCATGGACCATGACGTGGCCCTGGCTCCCCTCGAGGCCCATCCCGGAGAGATCAGGAACCTCGGAAGTGAGTGCAGTTCTTAAATAAACCATTGACCTTCGGCATCCTTGGATATGTTCATGTTTCGAATGTAATTTCTAAATGCATCATGGAGCCCCTTTTTATCGAACTTGGTTATGACGTGTGAACAGTACACCTTTGACACCTTTACATCCATAAGGGCGCCTTAAGTGTCTATAAGCTGCACCGTAAAGGCCCGTTCACACTCTTGCGACCGAGTAAAGGCACGTCCACACTCTTGCAACCGAGTACGACCGAGAGAGACCAGACCGGTTTTTAAGCCTCTTGCGACCTCTTAGGACCAGCTCCGCTGCACCGCATCTGGTCCTAAGAAGTCGCAAGAGGCTTAAAAACCTGTCTGGTCTCTCCCGGTCGTACTCGGTCGCAAGAGTGTGAACGGCGCTTAAGACCGAGAGAGACCAGACCGATTTTTAAGCCTCTTGCGATCTCTTAGGACCAGCTCCGCTGCAGCGCATCCGATCCTAAGAAGTCGCAAAAGGCTTAAAAACCGGTCTGGTCTCTCTCGGTCTTACTCGGTCGCAAGAGTGTGGACGGCACTTTACACCATATAAAAGGGCATTTTTTTGCGCTTTAACTGTCTTACAAAGCCTTCGGTACTCTTGGATATGTTTGCGTGTCAAGTATTTCTTCTAAATGAATCAGGGAAACCCATCAAATTTATTCCAATTTTTTTTTACAATATATTGTAGACTGTTGATGCCTTTCCACATATAAGGACATTTTAGGTCCGTTACACCCCACAAAAAGTCCATTTTGCACGCGGAAACTATCTTCCAAAGCCTTCGGCATCCTTGGATATGTCTGTGTCTCACGTTTGCTTTCTGAATTCATCATGGAAACCCTCAATATCGGATTTGTCCCAGATGTTTCGCGTGATGCACGTTAGAAACCCCAGGCTAGAGGTTGTTTTGCACTGGCTAAATTTCTTATCTACAGCTGGGAGACTCGTCGCCCGTTGAGGCTACCAAGTTCTAGGCTGGATAAACATACACAGAACCCAATTTTTTTCCAGATGTTTCCACATTGCACTCTTATCATGTTCATTACCAACACGGAGTTTTAAGTGGCTATAACTTACGCCGTTACACCCTACGAAAGCAGAGTTTTTATGCGCATATATCGTGTGAAACGGAATTCCTATGATAAAAACATCAGTACAGAAAATTATTATTTGACGCAATCGCTAAAGCAACGTCCAAAAGCGGTCCTATGTGGGTATTTCACAAATTCTTGCGCTTTAGCCAGCATTATAAGAACCACTCTCAGTACCCAAGCGCCCCCCCCCCCCCCCCTCCCTCCTCGTGCATACTTAAATATTTTAAGAGCAGTTTCTATTGCGGAAACACGTCATTTCGGAAATTAGAGGATCGAAAGGACGTCTTAAATTTTTAAATATTGTTGTCTTTAAAGGTGTGAGTTAGTTTACTGTCACATTGTAGCATGGGCCATAACCCCAGAGACGTTAATGTGCATCGGGTGGTATCGCATAGAATGCACGCCGGTATGTATTTTAATTTTTCAAGTTTGCACAGGAGAACACGAACTAAAGTGATGACAAAATATGTCATGTGATCTTCCGCTTCACGCGCTTTCTCACTTTGTTAGCAAACACGGTCGCCAATTTGTTGAGTTCCTTGCATATTTGTGCCTGCATTTCTGTGTAGGTGAAACGCCCTGCCGCATAGTTCGTATCGCCCTTGCCGTGGTCACATCCTCAATATTATTCTGGTTTATAACTAACCTATATATATATATATATATATATATATATAGGCATACGGAATGCTGCATAGGCATACTCCGAAAAAAAATTTTATACGTGAAAACGTTTGATTTTCAGTAAATATAGTATGCAACTACAAATGCACTATTCTACTGGCGATTTCTGCACTATCGACACCACTCTTTTTCTGATCAGATGTGCGCAAAGAAAATTATCTCCCAGGTTCCTCGCAGCCCTTTCGTAGTCCTTGCACGACAGTAGCGAGCAGATGGTCAAGTAGAAAAATTAGTTAAGAAGCGAACGCCTAGTACGTTAGTCACTACTTTATTCCCTTTCACTATTGACGGCTTGTTTGTACGCCCGCAGACCCCAACAACCCAATCGACTGCTGCACGCCCGAACGGTGGGTGCTGCCGGAGTGCTACTCCATTGCGGTGCCCGAGGGGGATGAGTTCTTCGCGGCTCTGGGACAAACCTGTCTCAACATGCCACGATCGGCACCCTGCTCCTGCAAGTTGGGTGAGTAAATTCAGATCGTCGATGATGACACCTAAGACAGCGTCGTTTTCTATCTAAACGGACAAAGAATAACCACACCCTACAGAAAGGTAGCAATTTCGGATGAGTCCCTTATGCATTCGACATAGTTACCCAACTGAAGGAGTTTCACTGCGTCCTTACAATGCAGTATTAATGATTCGTATTATTGTCGTCCGTGCATTTAAGGTAGCGGATCCACTTGGCTGGAAATTAATTAAACTCGCTAATCGTCTTTGCGTGATCGCCTGTCACTGACAAGGCCAAGATTGTGACATGTGGCAATCAACGATGTTCTGTACGCCGCCACGGGCGCAAATTTACTTCTTGATTGGGGGAGGAGGACGAGGATCTTTGACGGGCTCTTTCGTACGTTTTATTTTTTTCCACGGTTAAATTTCTTTTCAGGGTGGGGTTTGTCACGCGGTTCTGAAGCGTTCGACATGATAAAAAAGCATCGATTTAGGGGTTGTCAGTGGCCCTTTAACTATAGCGCCTTTATTAAACTCCAGTCCAATGTCCCGTATGTGCACACTGATGAACGACTGAAGCCCGTGACGCTTGTCTGTGTCGCGCGCTGCAGGCTACCGGGAGCAACAGGACGCTCTGACCTCGTACCTGGACCTGTCCCAGGTCTACGGCAGCAGTACCGAGGACACCCTAAGGCTCAGACTCGGCCAGGGAGGTGAGACTGCCTCAGGGCCACAACCGCCGACCCGCGTTCGCTCAACACTCTGTAAAAACGTTCCCACACGCTTTCGTGAGAAGAAGCACATACCGAATGCTTCAGCGAAGACTTCCCAAATGTTCTACCAGTGCGAAGAAGCAAGTCGTCTGCTTCTTGCGCAGATGTTGTGGTGACATCGGTACGACGCCGAGCTCTGATTGGCTCTGATTGAAGGATAGTGGGTAGACCTCAAAGCAAGCTGCCTTCAGATGTACCCACTATTCTTCATTCAGGACCAATCAGAGCTGGAAGTTCTGACGTCACCCCTGCAGAAGAAGCAGACGAACTCGCGCTCCGCATAAGGAGGCCGAGGAAAATATATTCTTCCGGAAACTAGCCTAAAAGAAATCAGGAATGGCAAAAAAAGACTAATGCGCAAAATAATTAACTATACTTCGTTTTTGTTTCACTCCAGACGCAGCCGACGCTATGAGCTAATGGGACCAATCAAGGAGCGTCAAAAGCGCAAGTCACTGGGCCTTTTCAGTTTATGATTGGCTTAGCGATGATACAGCACGTGCTATTACACCGTGAAGGTGCGCTTTTGAGACTGTCTGATTAGTCCCATCAGCTTATAGCGTCGGCTGCGTCTGGACTTGAGGCGAAGCGAAGTATAACTAACCTTTACTTAGTAGCTCTTTGACCAGTGAATACAAAAATATGACTTCAATTAGTATACTTTGCTGAGCGTCATCGAAAACCCCCAAAATCAGAGAATTTTAAGAAGGCTTGTAGCACGCGTCAAGCTTGGGGGTGTGCTAAAGTTTCCACTCTCGCAACAGAAACAAAGCTGGCGACTTGAAAACGGAATAATAAGAATACTAGTCTTGTGCGAATAGTGGATTTTGAGTTCGAAGCAAATTCGAAGCGAATAGTGGTTTGGGCCGAATATTTTCGATTCGAATATCTAATAGTTTTTCCACGCCTTTAACTACCACTAAGGTAGCAATTTGGGACAGTTAATTGGTTCATGATCACCTAAAAAGCGCCAAAAAATACAAGGACGAGGAAGTAGAAAGAGCACTCTTGTCTGTCTACTTCCTTGTCCTTGTGTTTTTTGTTTTTTTTTTGCGCTTTTTTTAGGTACTTTCACTACCATTGCAGAATGCTTAGACGGAAACCCAGCTAAACCTGTGAAGGTTGGTCACCTTGTTCATTTATAAGCTAAGTTGAATCTATCCATATTTATGAACTGTGAACTTAGAAAATCTAGTGTCTTGGAATGGCAAGTAAGTGACGGATTTGACATAACATGAATTTTATAAAGATGGCCAACTATTCCCAATTGATTGAATTTACAAATCTTGCTCTATAAAATATTCTTTCTTTAATCTCGAGCTAAAAAAAACGAATGAATCGCGCGTGATGAACGCAGGTTGTACGGGCATCTCTGCCTAGCATGGAGTGCTCTTGTATCACAGTAATTTTGAAACTTTTACTACACTGTAGATATACAAATTCACAAAGTTTCCATTTATTTTCAAATAAAGTCGGCACGGGTGCACCATCCCGTTTTGAATGCATGCTTTTCTTTTAGGCACGCAATTACGATATTCATACTTTTTCGAGTGTTTACCGCGGCGGGTTACCCCGTTGAGTGCGCTTCTTACCGAGCACCGATGTAATGCAGAGAAGCAACACCCGCGGAGCTCGCTTCCGCGGTATTGCTTCTCCGCAGCGCACCGTTGCTTGGTAAGAAGCGCACTCAACGGGGCTAACCTGCCGCAATCAACACTGAGAAACGCGAATAGTGCAGTTCTTCTCAAAGCGAATATCGAATAGTGTATTATTCGGAACTAATATTCGAAGTTTCGAATATTCGTACAACCCTAAAGAATACCATCTGTTGTTTTATGTTTGTTTGTGTGTGTGTGTGTGTGTGTGTGTGTGTGTGTGTGTGTGTGTGTGTGTGTGTGTGTGTGTGTGTGTGTGTGTGTGTGTGTGTGTGTGTGTGTGTGTTTGCGTGTGTGTGTTTTCGCATTGCCAGTTTTGTGCCTGCTGCACGAGTGGAAACTTAGGGCACCGCCATGCTTCACGCGTGCTCTGGAGGCGGGACAAATGGAGATCCTCCATCCTGCCGTTCTCTCCTCGATGATAAGGGCAGGGGGAGGTTTCAGCCGGCACAGCGGAAGGCATAAGCGGGTGCTGGAGGACAGGCGTTCGAAATACACGCCCTGCACGCTGTTTTCATGCACTCTTTTACTACAGACCTTTGCATCGCGTATCACACGAGCAAAAAACGCTGAGTCACTGAGCTGTGGACGCATGCGCAGTGTTCAATATACCGTACAGCGGAGCAACAGCGCATGCTCAGAAGACGTTCCACAGCCCAGCAGACAAAGATGGCAGAGCGCAAAGGCGATTTTTGCAAAGGTCTATAGTGTAGCATTTTTGTTTTGTTATTTTTTGTAAGCATGAAATGCTTTTTAACGCTACTCCCTAACCCCAAAATTTTGCCCGTCCGTCCGGTCATCTGCCGCTAAGTTTAGCGGGGAAAGTGGCGTCACGTGACCTATACACCTTGGGGAAATGGACGCCACGTAACCCATACGTCAACTCAGTTTCCCCGCTAATTTCGCGGGAAAATTCGCGTCTCGGGTCCAAAACATCACTTCAGTTTCCCCGCTACAGTTAGCGGAAAATCGGCGTCACGTGACCTATACAGAAATTCAGTTACCCCCTGAATTTAGCGGAAACATTCACGTCTCGTGACCCAGACACTAGTCCAGTTTCCCCGCTAAATTTAGCGGGAAGAAGAAGGTTAGCGTGACGGACCAATTCGCTCACATTTTCCCTATAATGTATTTCATGCATTACAAAACTTTAAAGGTAAAAATCGCTGCCATTTGTTTTCTGCACAGTTTAACGCGAGACACTGTCTAATACAAGAACTGTGCTTGGGCCTCGAAGAGGCCAAGCCCAGTTCTAGGGTCTTGAAAAACTCAGGTCACATACCCTACTGTGCTCAGCCTTCTCGCTTTACGTTCGTATCGGCTAACGCCGCGATATTATTAGGGAGTTTTCGTAGATGGCTTCCGTCGTTCCGCAACGCTCTCCACAACCCGCTACGATGCCAAAAAAGCCTGAGCGTCTCTTTTCCCGCACAACATTCGGAGAGCCAATCATTGCAACTTTGAGGCAGCTCATCGAACGCCGATACCGAAACATATGTTTAGGCCAAAAACGCAAACAAAAAACGCCAAAAAGCGTGACGTTTTGCATTGCTTAATGTCTCAACTCAGGCTGCGTTTTTGGTCTAAACATATGTTTCAGCATCGTCATTCGCTGAGCTGCCTTCATAAGTTGCGGCGATTGGCTCTCCGAGTGTTGTGCAGGAAAGTAGACACGCGGGTCTTTTTTTAGTGTGTATCGGCGCGCAGGCGCAGTAGAGGCTTCTTCGTTACGGAGGGCTTAGCGGAGGGGGAATTACGGTCTACGAAAACTCTCTAATTCTTGGAAGTGATAATTAGATGTTCGGGACTTGCCACGCCCCGAGTTTCTTAAACTGTCAACGACTGTACACGGAATTCAAGAACTAACGGTTTTAAGGCATTTTAGATTGCCCCCGAAAATCGGCTTCTCAAAGTATCGCGCTGCGATCCACTAAAGGTGCAACTGAGTGTTCAAAGTTTACAGTAAAACAGTAACAAACAAATCAAGAAATGAGTTTGCATCGTTCAAAATTAGAAAAAATAAAAACAAAAAGAAACCTGCTTTGGGCAATCTAGGACGCCACTTCGCAGACGATAAACACTCAGTGAAAAGTTCTGCCGACAGATTGCGTATGCAGGCAATCCCGCAAAAGAACCCGAATCGGCCGGCTCTCCTCGAAGCGGCGTAAAAATAATTGCGTTGTGTGTATGTATACCCAGCCTGGGGTTGGTCTGCCTCAACGGAAGTCTTATCTCCCAGCTGTAGATGAGCAATTTAGCCAGTGCAGCACAACCGCTAGCCCGGGGTCTTTAACGTGCACCACGCAGTAGTGATACATGACCGCACGACGGTACGATCCTCGGTGGCCGAGTGGGCTGGCCTGGCGCACACCAGCTCTGCGCACGTGGAGCGAAAGCTCGCACTGCAAAACCGAGTAATCCTGTGTTCAATCCCCACCCCTGCCCGATTCAGTGGAGCGAAAGCTCGCACTGCAGAACCGAGTAATCCTGGGTTTAATCCCCACCCCTGCCCGCACACTATAAAAAGGGGTGTCATACTGTACACCCATAGGGGGTGTAAGGCTTGTCACATATACTACACCCTTTGGGGGAATAGATATACACCCTAAATGTTGGAGTATGTGTACACCCGTTGGTGTGGTGCACATGTACACCTTTTTCTACAGAAATCTCACTCAAAGGAAACACAGGTGGACCCCATTCCATGGTGTACGGCTGCACCTCTTTCTACACCCAATGAAATGAAAGGGAACACAGATGCACCCTATTCGAAGGTGTACCATTGCCCGGTTCATAAACCCGCATCACCCAAAGGGAACACAGATGCACCCTATTCGAAGGTGTACCATTGCCCGGTTCATAAACCCGCATCACCCAAAGGGAACACAGATGCACCCCGCTCCAATTGTGTACCATTACTCCTCTTTCTACACCTACTGCTCTCAAAGGGAACACAGGAGCACCCCGTTCAATAGTGTACCGTTACACCTCTTTCTACACCCACTGAATTAAAAGAGAACACATATGCGCCCGATTCAAAGGTGCATGGCCACACCACTTTATGCACCCACCTTCATAACTAACTTCATAAACCTATTTCAGACATCAAGGAAACCCTTAAAAAATGTACGCGCCCCGGTGATGGCAAAAAAGTAGGTAAACGGACAAACGGGATTGTTTTCAAATCTGATAGAAGTTTATTAGACAGCCTATTCCGTAAGCAAGTACAAACTTGCAAACAATCCGTGATATGTGAAGAGGTGTTACACAAATGAGAACATTACTAAGCAAACAAGAACCGGGGGTCAGTTTAGGTAGTGTCTATCCTCCCAGCAGCCGGCAGAATTATTTCCACGAAATTCCACTGGCAGTCGCCATTCATTCATCGAACGACGTTTCATCGACAGCTCAGATTAGCTTTCCTATATTAGCTTCTTTTTCCTTTTTTTTTTTTTTTTTCTTTTCTTGTAATGAGTTGCCCCGGAATGTATCCGCGAAGTGACGTGTACGGGTGGGACAAATGGGTTAACATCTTTGTAATGAGCCGCCGCAGACTGTCGCCACAACGCGGCGTGAACGGGTGGGCTAGGTCGGTGAGACGCACCTCTGATACGCACGCGACAAAATGCAGCGTGCATCTCGCGTAACGAGTAACGATGAAACGTTAGTGTCGATGAAACGTGTCTACAACACGGGTATCAACGAAAACGCGATTTTATCTAAATCGGGCAGGGGTGGGGATTGAACCCAGGATTACTCGGTTCTGCAGTGCGAGCTTTCGCTCCACGTGTTCGGAGCTGGTGTGCGCCAGCCCACTCGGCCACCGATCCCATCTGTCGCCAGCATTTCTCAATGCGCATGCATTGTCTGCAAAGTGGCGGACTAGATTACCCAGAACAGGTTTCTGCTGTTGTGGTTGTTGTTGTTTTTCTTTTGAACGAGTTAAGTTAATTCCGTGATCTTTGTCACTAAACTTTCGCCACCTGCTTGCCCCTCGGTAGTAAATTGTAGCACGATACGTTGAGAAGCCGATTTTTGCGGGCTGCTTAAAGTGGCTTAAAAGCGTCAGTTTACATGTTGTAGTTATTCGCTTTATTTCGTGACCTGTCGACTTTACGTCCGCGCGCTTCGTTGGCAGGTCTTCTGCGCACCCAGACGCTGGACGGGGAGGAGTTGCTGCCGCGCAGTTTCTACCCAGACTCGGATCGATGTAGCAACCTGGAGAAAGGAGAAGTGTGCTTCCGAGCCGGTAGGTGGCTCTCCTTAAGAAGGTTCCATAAAGTCGAAATTATGCGCTCATGTGGTTTCTGACCTACAGATCTTAAGGGTACCTGTGCTTCAAAAGTTTTATTTAAAATAGCACAAATTATTAGCACGTGCAATTTGCTTCCCTCTAAAGAACACAATTGGAGATTTATATTCCTTTCCTCTTCTGCGCCAAAACCTGGTCTCTTTTTTGCCGCAGGATTTGGGAAGACTAAAGCGTTTGAACGGCTTTCGGTGGATTTGCTTTGATCACGAAATTGAGGAAAATGTACTCTGGGCTAGTGACATGCCTTAAAAGCGATTGTAACTATTTTGAGTAAGTCATGCGCTGCCGAGATCGCAGCAGCACCGCAGCTGAAGCTTGTGCTATGAGCACCCAGTCCATGTATACTCGATTTGGGGACGGGGCCCCAGCATACTGCACGAATGGCCCATGACGCCCACCCTTTCTGTGACATAATCTATTTGATAAAGTAAGCTCACTACTTAAGGCTACGACCGTGATGGCTGCATTCATTCATCCATCTACGGGCCGCCATGTCTTTCTAGTTTGCCTGACTGGCTCACCTGCCCTTGGGGCCAACCGAAACAGTCATAAGAGGATTCCGTGGTATTACGCCGGTGTTACTATAATATACTATACTGTTGACATTGGAAGGCACAGCAGGCACTAACCAGGAAGGGAAGTACGTGGACGTCAGTACATTGCTTACGCATAAACAATGCCGATTATACATGATTTAATCAGCAAGGTTGTACAAACAACCAGGGTCAAACTTAAATTGACCTTCTTGAGAAAAAGGCGTCTAACAAGGCATATCGATATTTCATAAGGTGTTATTAGATTGCAATTGCACGGTGGTGTTGAATTGCTTTCACTACAGCAGGTTTTGAAAATCATGCTCAAACAATCGAGCACAATTGCGGATGCCCTGCCCACAAGAGTACTTGCACAAACGACCAGCATATTCTAGAAAAAGAAGAATCATCTGATAAGTGAATAAGAGTGAACCATGGCTGCGATAGGTTCTGTGGTCCTCGGGTGACCCCACTGCTCGACCTGTCCTCGCAGGAGACGAGCGCGTCAACGAGCACCCAGCCTTGGCGTGCCTCCACACGGTGTGGTTGCGTCAGCACAACAAGGTTGCCAGAGAACTGGCGCGACTCAACAGTCTGTGGGACGACGAAAGGCTGTTCCAGGAAACCAGGTGGGTACTTCGATGGACAGCCGAGTACATATACAAGTTGAAAAGAGGTGTTGGAACTTTGAAGTACGTGGACACCCCTTGGCGTCCATTCTCATACGCATGCACAAAAAAGTTTTTTTTTTTTTTTTTTTGAATACCAATAATAAACAATCTGAGTTAATGTCCGATTGTGATTACCCCAGACAGTACTAACCAAGTTGTGAACCCTTCAGACGGTTCTTTCTTTCCCCAAATCAAGGTATCAAGGCAGTAAAGGGCAAAATAAAAGTAGGAAAAAAAACAGACGCCCGTGAGGTCTTTGTTTCTCGTAGTCCTGAGCTCCACTGTGGCGTCACACCATCTCTCCCAAATTTCCCAGATAATCAGCAAAATGTTTGGCTTAACTTTTGCTGGTTTGAGCTAGTTGTCGTCTGCTGTATATATATATATATATATATATATATATATATATATATATATATATATATATATATATATATATATATATATATATATATATATATAAAGTGGTGAAGGTTTACAAATGCTTCCGTTGATACAAGACAAAAGTAAGGTGACAGAGTGAACCAGAGTGAACATTGCTAATGAGGAGAACCCATAAAAAGTGGCGGACATCATTTGCGGAGGAAAAAAAAAAAGAAAGTTGGAACTGTGTTTAATCTACCTCTACGACCCTTTAGCTATAGTCCCTTTTACCTTACAAGAGACCGAAGCAGACGCTAGAAACCATCCGAGCCAATTCAGTGCTGTGGACGTATCACGTCACTATACATTCCCCAAGCATTACTGCGCCCTTCCCAAAGGTTACGTGAAACTCCCAAGGCATCGGATTGGCTCCGACGGCTCGTAGCGTCCGCTATACGATTCACCATAGACGACACCGAGTAAGTATACCCCGAGGAAAGTGCTAAGATCTTGTTCGCCTGCCCAGACGCATCGTGGGCGCCCAGTGGCAGCACATCGCGTACAGCGAGTGGATGCTCGTTGTGCTGGGACCCGACGCGATGGCCCGGTACCAGCTCACGCCCACGGGCAGAAGCCGCTACTCGCCCACCGTCGACGGCAGCCTCCTCAACGAGTTCGCCTCGGCGGCCTTCCGGCTCGGGCACACGCTCATCGACGGGGTCTTCAACAGGTAAACACCATGGAAACCGAAAGCCCCAAGAAGACGACGACACGGGAAGAAGACAACACAACGTGGATTGTGGGGTCTTCCTCGCGTGTCCTTGTCTCCTTTGTGCTTTCTTTTTCTCTATAAATGCGCCAATTACTAGTCCATTTGTTTGAAGTAAGCGGGATTTCTCTTAAAATGCGGTCAGAAGGAGGTGAAACGCATGCACGAACTTAATTAGCGTATCCCTGAATTAGGGGACAGTAAGACGCACACAAAAAGGCAATAATATCCGCGATGTCACGCTTTGGATGCTGCTTGGTTGGCGCCCGTCGGCTGACGCCCTTAACTGCCTTCACTAAAGAAATGCTTGACCTCTATTTCTAGAACGCTAGCTTGACTGGAGGCTTCCAATATTCCAAATATCCACAAACTCTTACGCTTCTTGCTCTCTTGTCAAAGACGCGTCCGAGTATTCGTTTATTTTTTTCTCGTTTGTTCCAAAATTTATCCGAAAAAGAGGCCCATCACCTCTTTCTGGAAAAAAAAAACACATTAACTCAGTTATCCGGGTGTACTTCGTTGGAGTACACCGCGTAGTCAAACGGAGTAGCTATCCCTCATAGTTTATAGTAAACCCTCGAACCTTAGCACGATTGGCGACCGTTCCGAAATACGCTTATTTATGCCTGTCTACAACGCAAGAGAGCAGCAAACATGATTGTTATTCATCCTTGCCTGACTCGTCTCTCCCCACTCGCACCCCGCGCAGAGTAACCGAGCACGGAGAGGCGAGCCCGTACGAGCTGCAGGACTTCTACTTTTTCCCATTCTACCTGTACCACGGAGACATGGACAACGTGGTGCGAGGGCTGCTGCGCCAGTCCAGCCAGGACTACGACAGGTCAGGCAGTGGCACAAAGAGCGAAGAGACGACGGGTACCATTGTCAGAAATGGATGACTTTTAACGTAGCCAAATTTTATTCTCAAGAGCCTTCGCCATATGTCACAGTGGAACAAGGAGTTTGCATGGCAAAGAAAAAATTGCTTCGACACATCTTCAATAATATCCAAATCTGGTTCACCAGATCAATACCCGTGCTTGCCTCCAGTATATGACGCAGAAAATCCAGCCTTAAGCTCTTGTTCTCTAACAGGTATTTACCCGATTTAGTTTGACGAGATAAATCGATTGGTGCTTAAATTTTCAAAATTGGTTCATAAAAATCGAAGTTTTGAGCATATGAGGGGCCCATGAAAGACCCAGAACTACTCCACCGTGGACTGGGATGCACACAGTGATGCGCATATGCCACGATACCTCTACTTCTGCTGGCAGACGATGACACAGCACTTCCACTTTCCATTTTCGTCACATCGGCTTCATAAATCCCCATGCCGTGGCCTAAGATGTTTTCACGTAAAAATGAGTAGCATTTGAAGAACAAAAGTATGCATGTGCTGCAGGTTCTTCTTACATAAATAACACTGACACTCGCATTTTTACAAACTACCTACTACTTCTACTTCCATTCCTGTGTCTCTATTGATAAACAAACAAGTACAAGTTCAAATATTACGTTTTGCTTACAAATTTCCGAGAAAAAGAGGTAAGATAATTAAAGTGCTACAAATGGTAGAGGAGTTCTACAAGAGAAGCTCAATTCCCAATTTCCTTAAGAAGAAGGTTCCACTAATCGTGTTTTAGGAGAGTAAAAAATGAAACACGTTAGTTCTACTTTGTAATGGTTGGATCATTTTGGAATTACTACTTCATAATGCACGAGTTAATCGAGGCTTCTAATGACGAGAATATAAACGTTCAATGGTTCATAGCACAAATGAAAATGTAGGTACTTTAGGATTTCCACACCGATCGGAAAGAAGTGCAAGGCCGAGTTGTTTTAACATAGCGCTAAAAGAGTCCCACTTCATATTCGCATACTTTACTACCGGTAGTATGCCTGTTCTTATGAACAGCCAGATAAAATGTAGGGAAATCGCACAACTAAAATTCCGTTTCCTAGAGTGTACGTTTTACAAACAGCAAATTTCCAACTTGCTTTTTCTATTTTAGTTTTTTTTTTAATATTACGCCTGGGTATTTCTAAGTCCTCTTTAATATAATACCTATTTACCACTTATACATCAAGCAACATATTTTCTTATTTGTAAACCGTAGTACTATTTATTTTGGGGTATTAATTATCACTCCTCGCTATCGGCGCCACGACTCAATGTTTTTAATCCACCTTTCTCGGTTTTCTAGGTTGTCTTGATCCCCTACGTTTTGACATCTATGCATAGACAATATATTCGTCTGCAAATAACTGAACTCTTTGCTCTGTCTGTTTTTAATATTGGATCTCATTGACGAGATCAACGCCATGTTTCGGCTAACAATGAATTTTTCAGCAGTGGGAACAACATTATACTTTTAGCTCATGTTTTTCACGTCGCGCCGAGGTGTTAGCGCCGGCTGTGAAATGAAGGAAATGCAGTCTCCTCGCCGCGCACAGGCCCATGAGCATGCCCAGTGACCATAACTCCTTTGAGAAAACTCACATATGTTAGTAAACGTTGAGTTAATTTGTCATCGTCTCCAAGGCGCTTTTGGGTGCCGCCATCTTGCTGATGGTCTGTGCTGATCGATTGTCTGTTAGTCAAGCTTTGCTAAAGCATGCTCTTAATTGCCAGACTCATGCCCCAAAGCGTTTCTCTCCCACGGTGGGAAGAGTAGCATTTGAAGCGTGGCTGTTGGTAGCAAAACGGAACGGTGCCGGCAATGGAGGATCTTTATATAGACTTTCTGACGTCAGAGCTGCTGACCTTAGAGTTGAACCTTGAGGTCTACACTTACAGCACGCCTGTGCAAGCTCGGGACGTCCGGGAGTCTATAGACTCCCGGACGTTTCAACAAAACACGAAACTGGTAGAAGCCGATAGGAAGCAACGAAAAAGTCTCCTGGGCGCCTCCGAGTGGCGGCCGACGTTTCGCTAAGAACCTTAGCGAAACCTCGGACGCTGCTATGAGGTATGAGGCCCCCAGGAGGTTCCTTTCCCGTTTCTGGAGGTCTAGCGCGAACTTGACCTCGAGCCCCTGCACGCATCCACGCAGCTTCGTGACCATCGGCGTGTCCCAGCACCTGTACCGGCTCCGCAACGAGTCCTACGGCCTGGACTTGATCGCCCTGAACCTGCAGCGCGGGCGCGAGCACGGGCTCAGGCCCTACATCGACTACCTGACCTACTGCACGGGCCACGTGGTCAACAGCTTCGACGACCTGCTGCGTTACATCCCGGCCAAGGTCGTCAACCAGTACATCAGTCTCTACGAGTGAGTGCTCAAAGCGATTATAGACCCTTTTCAAAAGTATGCGCCACCAAGTAGTTGCTGCGCCAATTATCCAAATCGGCCATTGTTTGGGCGCGCAATCAGCGCATCACGAAGGTTGCGCCAGCGTTCGGCGTGAATTCGGATCCAATCGCATACATCGTGCCCAAGAAATGGTGACACCAATGTTGCTTGGTGACTGCTCCTTCTTGGCAGGGTACATGGAGGGGACAATGAAACTTTTAATATCTTTGACTAAAATGTTCACAGAAGATAATTTCCATGTTCATAACATTGTATAGGACAGGCGTTCAATATAGCTCCACGAGCAGAGTGGTGCAATATGATAGCAAAGAAAATTGAGAAGGTTTAAGAGCCCTTCCTCACATTTTGAAGTTATCATTTCATTCATTTTCCAGGGAATGATGTCTGGAGATCATCTTCGATATTTGAAGCTTGGGAGCCGCGTATTTGCAAAGAACAGAAAAATCTGGATTTAGCCCTTCGCGAGGGTCAGGAACCTATAGATAGCAAAATGGTGCACTATCTAAGTTACTGGTTGTTTGGAGGACTTCAAACAGGAAGTGTCGTTTAACCCTCTCCTTGCCTTTCATTGATAGGTATACGCGCGCGTGCCAACCCTGTATCTCTTTCACCACGTGCCATATGCGTGCTTTCTTTGTGTGCAGACGACGCGTCACGTTTCAGTTTGTTTTTAAATGCGATACCACCCCCTGCCAGGAATCGGGAAGTGGGGCCAGAAATTGGGTGTCTGGGATGGCTGGCGTTCCCATGACTTGGGGAAGGGAAGTTCGGTGCCATGCATATGCTTTATGGGTCGACTAAATTTCCGGGCGAGAGGGGTGAAAGACTTATGCCTCAGAAGCTTCCCCGCAGTGGCGTCGGAATACAAAAAATTGCCCCCCCCCCCCCCCTCCCCAAGAACTTTCCTCATACGTTTTAGGCATTGCTTCATGTAAACAGTTGAAGAAAGTCAACAACCCTTGGACAAAGGCTCAAATTTCAGTTCAAGCTAACCTCTGCCTAAGCAAACGACCAATTTATCTTCCTTCGCATGTGCTAAAGATAACTTCACACTGCTTGCAGAGATGTGACGGACATTGACCTCTTCACTGGCGGTGTGTCGGAGACCAGTGTCCCGGGAGGTCTGGTGGGTCCGACCTTTGCCTGCATCCTCGGCGAGACCTTCAACAAGCTCAAGTTCGGAGACAGATTCTACTACGAGCACGAGGGACAGGCAGGCTCCTTCGCTCCCGGTAAGAGCACAGCTCTGCTCCCACGACGTATTTGTTGAGCGATCTCGAGCAGGGATGTCGAACCGTCAGATGGCTCAGCCACTGCTTGTGTCGTTTTCTTCTCAGATTAATTCATTGTCATCTTGCTACTCCATGTTAAATGCCTGGTGCCTCGGTGGCTGCAACTCAAAGTGCTTGTTGACTCCTGCATGGTATACAGTACACATCCTGCAAACTATATTTAGTTTACTAGGGTGCCCTCATCTGTGCGCTGCTTAGGGTAGTAAGATGATTCCATGTTGAGTAAGTGAGAAAACATTTATTAACCCTTCAGTTGAAAAAAAAATCCGTCACCATGCTTTTTTTTTTTTTTTTTTCTGGTGTGCGTGAAAGGGGGTCTTCCCGCACAACCTGTTAAGCTAAGACTGCAGGCAAAGCTACAAGCGCGAGCTAGCCCGCGCTTTTGGCTTTGAGAAGTGCCTTTCTATACATCGCAAGCATGACGTGAGATGTTCACTAAGGCAAATTAAACATCTACGCAATATAGCGCGAGCGCTCGTTCTACGGAAGGACGTTTCAAAGCCTCTGCCTCGTGCTCTCTCGCTTGATCGGCATATTACTGTGCTATGACGGCTTTTTTTTTTTTTTTTTTTTTCCCCGTGAGCGCGTGTTGTCGGCATCAGGTACTATTTGGTACTACAAAGAATGGCATCACCCTAAACTAGAGTGCTTCAATGTCATTCTCTTTTGCCGACAGCACGCACTCACGGAAAAAGTACAGCGAAATAGCCGGAAACAAAATGCCACCGTAGCCCATGCAGTATTATGTCAGGGGTCAAAAATATTTTTATTGCCGACCAGAACATAGTCAACATGGCTGCTCGCCAAACCGCCAAAAACTATCCAGCAGCGGCATCTAGCAACGGCAATGCCCTTTGTCTTGCCTTGGCACCCAATGTTGCCAGCCGCAACAAAGTTTCGGAAAACTTTAACGGACACAACACACAGTCGGTGCCAAGAGCTCGTGCCGGGAGATGAGCTTTCACGCAATCTAGAACAAAACAAAAAGTTTTCGGAACGAAATGGTCAGATGTTCAAGCAAAGCGCACATGAAGGCACTCTACCCTACACTAGACCCTAAACAGCACGACATCTGCTATTTAGGCTGCCGATCGAGGATTGCCAGGCCAGGTAGCCTAAATTAAATCATTTGTCGACACATTCTTTCTCAGATCTTTGTACTAACTTGCAAGGGCATTCACTCGTGTCACAACGTGCATTGTTTTATTTGAAGTTTCATCGAGGGTCTGAATCAGTTCTGAGTGTGCGTGGACTTTGTGAATGTGCAGAGCAACTGCAGCAGATCCGCAAGACCAGCCTGTCCCAGATCCTGTGCGATAACAGCTACTCCCTCCGGACGATTCAGCTCAACGCAATGCTCGGACCCAACCCCGTCGAGTAAGATCTAGTAGCATTAGTATTCCATTTCCGTCGGCACCGAGTGTATAATGCGCTACTCATAATAACTGTGTGTGTTTAGACAGCCGGAAGTTAGTAAGCCTGAATGGGGCGTTTGGTGTCTCAGCTGTAGATGATAAATTCTGCCAGTGCAGTGCCACTCCTATCCTGGGGACTTTAACGTGCATCATGCAGTAGTGATACACGACCCCACGCCGGCACAATGCTCAGCGTGACTGAAACGGGCAGAGGTGGGGCCCGTTTCCAGAACCTAGGATCCCCGAGTTCTGGAGAGCGAGCTTTCGCTTCACGCGCTCCGGGCTGCTGTGCGTAAACACTTGCTACTCACGGTTAAAACTTTAGATAACCACAAAAACATTCATGCTGTAGACTGGCAAACATGCGAGGTGGCGACTTCATTCCCTAAATGTCGTCGTCAATTTCTTTTATTTTTTTCTCCATCTGGTGAGTTATAAATTTATTGAGGAAATGCTACTTCGTACGTAAAATGTTTCCAATGGCAAAGTCAGCTGACAATGGGATGTTATTTAAGTTGTCTGTACTGCAATATGGATACGCCCATATCAATGTAGGCCTAATTAAACAGCGTACGAGACGCGGCCGGCCTCGGAATTTTACATACCGTATGTCGTCTGATATTTCTAAATGTTTTGAAGCTCGGGGTACGTACACGAATCTGTCCGTTAATGCCCAAGATGAAGCACTAGCGCGAGTGCTTATTTTTCGCGAGGTCATGCTATTTGCGCTTCTCAGAAATAAGTTTCTTTATTAAATGTACCCATGTGCATTTCCCTTTCATTTCCGCTGAAGCCAGTGCGTGCTCGGTTGCGCCGTCAAAGCGAACTCTCCGCACGTTCGCAATGCTCAGCTCCCCTCTCTGAAGGGAGCTCCAGCGGTCTTTTGGTGCTATTCAGACTAAACCCATCTTCGGCATGCCCTTCTAAAGCCAAAATAGTTATTAAAAAAGCGGCAAACAAAGGTTCTGCCAAAACCAATATTCAAAATTTTCCTGCGCTCTCTGGTGGGGTGACACCACGCGTTGTGCACCTTGCGAGTTGGGTATTGGTTGAGCAGACAGTCTGAAAACACTGTATTTTTAGGGTTTTAGTTGTTTTTTTCTTTATGTTTCTTTCCTTTTTACTTTTTTTTTCTTTTTTTTTTTTGCTGGCGTGAGCTTTTTCGGCCCGCATAAATTGGTTAAATTGAGAAAATTAAACTCGGTTTTTTGGTCGGCATAAATAAACTATGCAAGGCAGAAGCTGGAACTCCGCGAGTGATTCTAACGGTACGTGATAATAAAATGTGAAAGATTAAGCACGTGACGTTACCTAAATCAACAAATAGCAAAAAAAAAAAAAAAGTTATTTAGAAGTTGATATTTACCTAAGCTTAATATTTATCAAAGCGAAATTTGGGATTGTGGGTGCCCGTAGCATTTCTTTCAGTGTAAAACCCTTGTCAATTAAGAAGAGGAAATCGTTTTCTTGCTTACAAGCTTATTAGCGAAATATATGGTACACGAGTTCAATCAGTGAGCACGAGTCTCAGCCAACCGCCGAGACTTGTGCTCTGTTGACACAGAAAATAGACCGCAACGGCCTTGTAATGTACAAGGTGTTGCGCCGATTGCATTGATGCTTAAAATAATGCTAATTTTCCTACATTCATCTGCTTAGTCCTGCCAGCAGACTTTATAAGACGCAATTGCTCACGGATACCCTGTTCCCTTTCCAGCAACCCGGAGGTGGAGTGCGAGAGTTTACCCCGGCCGGACCTATCCTTCTGGCAGTACCCGTGAACCCCTGCAGCGAGGCAGAGGGGACTGCGGAAGCCTAGTCAAACTCAAGCCCTACCTCTTTCGGGATGCAAACTTTTCCATCGCGTCGCACAGAAGGCTCCGCCTATTTTGCGGCCAGGGCTTCCGGTTATCGATATTTGTCCATTCCCGATATTGGAAGCGTAAATCGCTAATTTCTTCCATACAGAGCGGGCTGAGTAGGTAGTATTTATAGGCAACCGAACTAATTAAGTTCGGGTAGTGCTTAAAAAAATGTAGAAAAGAAAGTCTGAAAAAACTGCTGCATCTGTGCGACGCAAAAGTTCTATGACAACCTTTGTGACAACTTAAAACTACGAGAATTGGGTTTTGTCCACGTCTATTTATTGAAGTTGAATCGCCAAAATTACGTTCAGTGGTTGTTGGTCGGTGTTTTTCCGTGCATAGCGAAACCGGAAGTCCTGAATGTCAGCCATTTTCAACCTTCAGTAGTTCAAAGCCCTGTTGTTGTTATTTTTTTTTTCGGCATTCTTCCGTGTAAATTAAGTTGTCGCATTGGCTGGCAAAGTACAGGCAGTATTCACCGACTGCCCCATTGAGTCCGTCGCTCCTCAGCACATTCTTATATTGGCTGCCAAAACAAATTTCTGATTTTTGCCTAATGCTGTTCAAAAGTAATTCATGATGCACATAAAAGAATGCATGAATTTCATGGTGCATTTCTACATCCAATACAAAACATGCATTAGGTTTCCTCTCTGTGCGTCAACAATTGCTTATGCAGTGGCCATGTCCAATTCATAACCTCATGCAAACTTGGCAAACTTTGCAAAGACGAGACAAAAAAATAATTCTGCTTCTTTTCTTCGATTTATACAGTAACAAAGAAGTGTCTAGACCAGTAGCAAAGCCCCATTTGCAACAATATGCTTCTGTAAAGTGCATATTGTTTAAATCTAATTTCATGTAAAATGATATTAGATAAAATAATATGTAAAATCTTCCTCTAAAAGCAAGATTTTACATATTATTTGTACATAAAAACGAACTTTATGCTGTGAAGTGCCGCCACCCAAAGTTGAAGGGCATGTGGAATCTCACTGCGAGCAAGTGCTCCGCAGCAACGGGCGCAGCTGGTGAATGCTGCCTATACTCTTGCACATCGAAAGCAAGTAGCAGAAATTACCTCTAAAAAAAAGCATGTCAGGACTCCAAGAGTCTGACTCTCAGGACCATTCAGACACTTTCAATGCCTTTTTATGTCTTGTCTGTTTATTCCCAACTTCTAGAAAAACCCGTTTGTCTGCCCTTTCTTGGTTTATGTACATGCGTTCAGTGCTGAACTCTCAGGAATAAGGAGGGTGTGTCGTCTTTTCCGCTGTCTTCATGGTCGTTGTAGCTCCATGGCCTTCTGTAGGAGCTCCTTCATCACCGGATAGACGGGAGCAAACTCCTTGCCCTGCCGCTGGTGTACCATTTGCACGTAGGACTCCATTGCACCCCTGCACACCAGTGGCACCCAGATCAGTGACTCCAGGGGGAGTGAACGGTGTGCACTATAGTCTGTTGTAGGCTAAGAACAGCGGGACAAACTCTTCCCAGAAAGCCCTCTGCTCTATCTACTTTAGCAGAGCAAACATTGGAGAGGAAGAAACTCCCAGTCATGGCTAGCAGAGAGGGGCTTGTCCTGCTATTCTAAACCTGCAACAGACTACAGGTGCTTCACCGGGTCTTTGAACAGGCTGTAAATAAGTGAAGTGCTAAAAGCATTGCAATGTGATTCATTACACAGGCACAGTTTGGTGGCATGTTTATTTGATCTTGGAATTGAAGAATAAACTTGCTGCAGTAAGAAACGAGGAATAAAATTAATTCGTGAGTATCTGGGCACAGGTAGCAAACTGGATAGATCTTGCTCCTCTTTAGGGCCCAAAGGGAATGCCAGCTTGTTTATGTATCTTTGTTTTCTTTCGACCATGCTGGACAGCTACATCACTCCTTCGAAGCACACCCTCAAAAGTGAAGCACGCTTTGTCCCTGCTGTTTGTTTTTTGCCTGATGATTCACAAAGACCATTAAAATGGGTTCCTTTCGAAATTGGCTACCACACTCTCTTACCAAGCCCATACAATTGACCTGGGACATGTGGACACATCACCATTTGTCAAAAAAGTGTGTATTGCATCTTTAAATTTTTCTCAAATTAACTGGCCAATCGTGCTAGGCCACCTCACAGTGTAGATGGCCAATGGGTTACTGGTGTATGGGCAACCTGGCCCCTTCGATGCTTGTGCACCCTGAAGTTTAGCCTTTGTAATCTGCACCACCTAACTGTCTTGCACTGAAACAGAGTAGTACGTCGAAAAACCAATCTCTGTGGTCTATCTAAGGATCCCCCCCCCCCCCCCCCCCTCCTCAGTGACACTTCATGAAAAGAGCCCGACACCGTGGATGTCTCAAGAAAGGAATTCTAGAGCTCACCGAATGAGGACGAGGCGCTCTTTCTCCGAAGGGTGCTCGTCCAACCACTTGGAGTAGCGGCTGCGCGACCATGAGGCTGCCTGGAAGAACCGTCCCAGTGAATAGAAGTCGTGACTATCTATGGTTCAAGAAATAATAAAAAGCTCCAACAAAAGAACGCTGTCGTTGGTCTCCATGGTAGGTAGCACCAACAGCCCTTCCCGCCCGATTCTGGGCAAAGACTATGGTCCCTGAAAGGACAAGAATGGCGGGGCGTCTCTTTACGATGTCCGGCTGCAGGCGTGCAATCATTGCCTTTGGTCATAGTTGGGTTGCGCTTGTACATTTGGGGCTTACGGTTGAAGGCAGGAACCTCACGCTAGAGGCAGGATAACTAGAATATCGCCCCGCAAATTCTTGTCCTGTCAGCCATGTTTGTCAGTAGACCGATAAGGAATGAAATTTAAATCCTGCCTGCCATCCTGCCAAGGGCGACTCACTTTACTGGCCAGATAACGCGAGTCATATCGGGTGAACGAAGCATACCTGGACTGCAGAGCTTCGCTCTAGCCCTGGACGTTGATGGTCTGAGGTGGCACCATCAAGCTGCCAGGGCTTGACCCTCTTGAGTATTAATCAAACAGCCCCCCGAAGGTTACCTTGGCTCGCACAGCGGTTTTCGCGACGTTTGGAAGAGCATGTCGTCCTCATCCCATAACCAACCTCACTAGACGTGGCACCGCAGGCCTCCATAATTTGGGCTGTTGCCTTTCTGTGGTGCCGTGGCTCTCCCGAGTCATTAAAGATTGTTATTATTATTATTATTTAAGAGGCTTTGTCATAGAGCTTTTCTCTAGTTTGCCTCTACTTTCTACAGTTTTCTTTGAGATACTTACCGTATTTACTCGCAGAATGAACACACTTTTTTTCCCTAAAAATCGATGCAAAGTTGGGGGGGGGGGGGGGTCATTACGCAAAGTAAAATTTTTGCGTCCGTATTTACTCGCATAATGAACGCATAATGAACGGACCTTTTATCCTGAAAAATCGAAGTAACTTCTTATATCTTTCCGCGCGGCGCCCGACCCCGTAACCAAACTAAGCTGTGCAAAAAAAACAAAAAACCTCTTTGTTTCCTTTTTCTTTTAATTCCTTGGGTGTTTTTTTTTTTTTTTTGCCTTTAGCAAGTTGTTTTGTTTGCTCAGGCGAGGACTCTCCGCTTATCTTTCTCATCTTCTTGCGCGCGGCGCGCGACGCACGACCCTCCCCTCCTCCCTCCCTCCCCTCCCCTCCCCTCCCCTCCCCCCCCCCCCCCTGTAACCAAACTGCGCTGTGCAAAAAAAAAAAAGAAAAAAAATTTCGGAATTAAAAACAGCGCGGAAAGACGAGGACCAGACAAAGAAGTGACACGGACGTAGCGCTGTAAACAATTAAAAGGGCCTATTGTACTAGAAATGAACGATGCTAAAGTTGAGGCTTGGGCGAGTTGGTACATACTTCGGAATTAAAAACAGCGCGGAAAGAGGAGGATACAGACAAAGAAGTGTCACTTCTTTGTCTGTATCCTCCTCTTTCCGCGCTGTTTAACAAAAACAAAAAGGAGCTTTCTTTTTTTTTTTTTTTTTTTGCACCGCGCAGTTTTGTTACGGGGGTCGCCGCCGGGCGTAAGGAGGTGAGAAAATGGAGCGGAGAAGCCCTCTAAGCAAACGAAACAGCTTGCAAAAAACGGCAAAAAGAAAAAAAAGACAAAAAAAAACAACAGCTCACGGAACTGAGAAAAAAACAAAAGAAAAAGAGGAGCTTTTTTTTTTCTAAAGTTGAGGATTGGGCGAGTTGGTACATACTTCGGAATTAAAAACAGCGCGGAAAGAGGAGCATACAGACTTTCCGCGCTGTTTTTAATTCCGAAGTATGTACCAACTCGCCCAATCCTCTACTTTAAAAAAAAAAAAAAAAAAAAAAAAAGCTCCTCTTTTTCTTTTGTTTTTTTTTCTCAGTTCCGTGAACTTTTTTTTTTTTCTTTTTTTGCCGTTTTTTGCAAGCTGTTTTGTTTGCTTAGAGGGCTTCTCCGCTCTATTTTCTTACCTCCTTACGCCCGGCGGCGACCCCCGTAACAAAACTGCGCGGTGCAAAAAAAAAAAAAAAAAAAAAAAAGCTCCTTTTTGTTTTTGTTTTTTCTTAGTTCCGTGTTTCTTTTCTTTTTTTATTCTTTTTGCAGCCTTTTGCAAGCTGTTTCGTTCGCTTAGAGCGCTTCTCCGCTTCTCTTCCTTACCTCCTTACGCGCGACGGCGCTGTGCTAAAAAACAAAAGCTCCTCTCCATGTTTTTTTTTCTTGCTTCCGTTGGTTGGATCTTTGCGAATCTTTTTAACGCCTTCCCATGCATTCGCGACCTCGCTGCACCAGGATAAAAAAGTGCGTTCATTTGGTTCATTTCGCGCGCGTGGGGGGAGGGCAAGGAGGTTAGAAGTACTAGGAGGGGGCACGTTGCAATATTGGTGAAGCCTAGTCATAAAAAGTTTAAACGATTTTGAGCCCAGCGTGACCGCAGATCTGTCTGGCGATTGGTGCGCGTGACATGTCACGTGCGAGATGGATGGTTGATTGTAGGAGGATTCCTTGCAGGCTTGCGCGCGCTCCGTCCGGTAGGTTTCATCAGATCGAAGGCTAGGCGAAGGCTAACTACGGTCACGTGATGTGGTGAGAGTAAGGATAAAAATGAGAAAGGGGCGAGGCGTCAAGGGAGCATGGCTTGCGGAGGCTACGCGGCTGACGTCATGCCCTCTCCTACCCTTCTATTCTCCATGGGGGAGGGGGTCAAAATTTTGACGTCCGAGTTGGGGGTGCGTTTATTACGCGAGTGAAAAAAAAAGTCGAAATTTTGAGAGCCGACTTGGGGGGTGCGTTTATTACGCGAGTGCGTTCATTGTGCGAGTAAATACTGTAAGTGGAAAAACTAACTACAGTGTAAAGAGGAAAACAAAAACCTTTCCTGGGCCTTGACTTTTCAGTTCTCAGTCAATCAATCTATAGGTCAGACAAACAATCATATTAATCACAATGCTAATGAATGAATCCCCATTTGTGAAGTACCTATACTTATGTTCGCCCCAAGAACTGCAATAGAAAAAGTTCAATGCCTCGCAGAATAGTAGTAATTTCCCGGTTTATGTGATGAATTAAGATTAGTTGTATGGCAAGTGCATTTAAGATTAGCTATTAGCTGTTTTATCTATGCACAAAACTTGCTCCTTTCCTTGGATAACATGGAGTACGGACATTGGTAGAACATATCTGTTAATTCCCTAACACGAAAACATATGTAGAGAGCAAACTTCCATATACAGTAGGCTCACAATAAATCAAACTCGGATATTTCATACTTCTTGCTAATTCAAACAAATTTCTAATTTTTGCTTGCCCCACTATGTTTTTAATGTACTTAAAGCCGCCTAATTCGAACGGCGTTTTTGAGTAATTCATTCTGCAAAACAGTCCATGATAGACAACACTTCGAGGGATGAAAACTTATCGCATGCATTTGACAAATGTTTCATGTGCAGCACACTTACTTATGATTAGTAGGCTTGCATATCCGCTGTGTATGTGTTGCCATCCATACAACTAACCATAATTTTATCTTGCATCATATTTTAATGAATTTCTGATAATTCAAACAAAAATTTGTAGTTTCCTGGGGTGTAAAATAATGAGTAGAGTAGAGGGAGCACACAGCGTCCATCCTGTATGCTCCTTCTACTGTTGTCCCGTCCTTTTGCGCTGTTTTTAATAATGTCATATAATGAGAGTCTATTGTATAGTTAATGTAGGACATTTCTTGGGATTCTGAGCACTTGCAACTGTTCAGTGTCCTACAGCAGGGTGCATTTTGGGGGATTGCATGTTGTCCCTCCCTTGGTGTTCCCACGGCTGTAGACAAAAAATGGTTGATTCACCACGGATCCTCTGAGAAGGAGGTGCAGCTTATATGCAAGCAAATGTGACAGGCAACGCCAATCGTTGCACAAGAGGCAAGCGATTGCTAAAGGTTTGTGTGTGCACCAAAGAAACCAGAAAGTGCATGACATCTATCATAATCATATTTACAAATGCTCTCAAAGACTTGAGAAAGACAATAGTAACACCAACACTACAACCACCTTAATGAAAAGAAATAATAGGCATGTTCAATCTACCTACATCTCCTGTACCAGCCACATATGGTGCACAAAGCCATATTCAATTTATGAGTGCAGCCTACCTCAAAGCACACTGGAACTACACTGCCCTGCACTTTCCTGCACTGCACTACACCTCTCTGCACCGGTGCACATTAGTGCAGGTAAACTGAATGAGTTCAATATTAATTTGTATTTGGTGTGACCAATCTTAACAGTATACTTAGTGAATTTTTGAACAACCCACAATGGGCATGCCCACGAAAACTTCCTCAGAAATGGGCTTCCAACACACTTCACCGACTCTGTACAGTTTGTGGCCAAATTCCTTAACCTGAGGTACTTTTTGGCCAAATACCCCGACAATCCCTCGGGTCCTCCAGCATCACTAAGATTCCCCAAGTTTCCCCCGATGGCACACTTCAATTTACGCAAGATACATGTACCATTATAATTAGGACATGTACAGCATGGTTTCCCAAGCTGGGTTTCTAGAAAAACCCCGGGTTCCCCAGGATACCCTCATGAGTTTCTCGAGCGTCTAAATTTCTCTAATTGTCCCTCCCCGTGTAAGCACTTCTTCCAGTTTCAGCACTATCCGAGCAAATTTGAGGCATCCATTGGTGTGTAGGTATGTGCAAAACGCTGCCTAGTGTATGCATCCTTGCCAAGATTGGAAGGGCTTTCTCAAGGGCAAGGCATTTGAGCACCACTGATGTAAAGGAATCATCTAACCCTGACCTCGACTCACCATGCACAAATGCTAGTCCTATATGATAGGCTGCTGATGCGACAAACGCGCCATTTCAATTTTTAGAGTTTGTCCCGAGGTTTCACACTTTTATGCGGCGTCACTTCTCTTGAAACAAACATCTCCATCTAATGATGAATTACAGAATTGTTAATGTGCACCTCACCTCGTAAGGTGAGCGCAGCTCTGGTGGCGCCCTGGCGAAGAGGAAGTGAAGCAGCAGAGAGTACGGCACCGTCTCCCCCACCACGGGCGACTGTGCCATGTGCTGGGGACTCTGGAACAGCAGGGGACGAAGGGCACGCAGAGCCTGTGCCAAACAAAGGAGTTCACTTAAGGCACTGAAAACATTTGAAGCAGTCTTCACCTCCAAAGTCCTATAATGCGTGGAATACAGCATTTAGAGAATGATCGTTTAAGTTCGTTTAGAAGACAGTCCTTCCCGGGAGAGGATCCAAACTCTTTGTTTGTCGATTTCCCCGATGAATTCATAACGGGGAAAGTGAATCGGCGTGCGAGTCACATCATGTCAAGTAACGCAACATTAATTTTCCATCTAAATTTAGAGGGGGAATGCACAGTTGGGCGGGGATGGACGGATAGATGGATGGATGGACGGACCAGTTTCTGGCATTGGGGGGTTCCGTTGAAAATCATTCCACTCTTTAAATATTCCCTGGGAGCACTCATACTCTGTGCACGTCCACAATGTTAGATCATCCCAAAGACATTTGCAAAAACCGTGTGAGCTGCTGGGTCATCACGGCCATTAAACAAAATGTTTACTTCAAACTAAGTGCACACGCAAATGATCAAATAAGAATCAAATATGAATAATGCACAAAACTGATTACAAATATCAAACCAAATATTGAATATGCACATAGAGCGCACCTATCTCCCTGAATATCTCTGTACCCTCTCGACACAACTTGGGTAGTGATTATTTGTTGTTTGTCCAAACAGTCCTTGTTTTATAAAATAATTAGACTGCAGACAGAGATTTGCAAAATGCTGAATAGGAAATTTTCTAATGAAATATAATTACCATAATGAAAGTATTCCATTTGTTCTTCTTTTGCTTTAATTTGGTATGTTTCCCGGTAGTATGCTGAAAATAATTCCAAGGGAAGCTCCAAACCCGTACGGCGGGAGAAACAGAACCATAAGATGTGAACTTTGTCCCATGTATTTTTTAGCACTGTTTGTTTTTAGAAAGATGCCCTTTGTTGTTTTTCTTAGATTATCGTCTTGTGTGTGAAACACCAATGTCACCAGATGTGCAAACTTGGCACTGTTTCGCCTTATCATGACGCTGAACATCCTGCTTGCCGAATTATGCATAGATTTTGGGATTTAAACTTGGTTTACGGACAGCACAAGCCATAAACAGCACCACAAAAAAAAAAAAAAGGAAATTTTTTTTTAAGAAAAAGAAAAAACTTTTTTACAAACACTATTTTGCATGACACTACAAAATCGTTACACTAAGATCTTCGAGTTTTCACCATTCAGATAAAAATTGATATCTTCTGTGGTAGAGTCAGATATACCTGGTTAATATTTATGAAGATGCCAGTCATAATAACGCTTTCTCTCTGGCGATATATAACGAGAATATCTTGCAACAATTAGGCGAAGGATACCACGTTCCACATACATTTGACTATAACCCTTTCGCTTTCTTTTGTGCATCACTCATTGCTATGTAATCTACGTGGCAGAAGCTCAGCAGGCAAAATGAACCCAGATAGACGCCAATCTTACCTCGGTGAAATAAACACGGACCTATATAACGACAAATGCTGTCGAAAATAATGCTGAAACAAACTCAAGTGAGCCAAATTTCACAGAGTGGACGAAATTATTCTCGCAAATTGCTTCGCTTCTTTCAAGAGTACCAAAACTCAGTGTTGGGTGTAGTACATATAAAAAGTACTTGAAGTAAAGTAGAAAGTAAATGAAAGGTGATGTACTCAGTAAAGTAATAAGTACACCAGGTCCAATGTACTTGAAGTAAAGTACTATAAATAGAATGAACTTTAAAACTAAAGTACAAGTACATTTTAACACAATCGTTCATTATGCCCTTTTATTCCCATACACAGTGAATTTTTAACTGGTATGCATTGCCCCAGGATTAATCGGGGTGCATCACTTATTTTCCGAAATGACGCCGAATATTAGATAAAGTTAAGTGGTCACAGAGTAAGTTATTTTCAGAAATGGCGCAAAATTCAGAAATCCAACTTCTGAATTTGGCATCGCTTGTACTGGCTTGTTGCACCCAAGGGGGTTAAACAATCTAGGAGAGAGCACGACGTCAGCCCTGTAGCTTCCGCAAGCAATCCTCTAGGAGAGGAGTGTCTCCCCTTTCCGAAAAAACGATGAGTGTGCGGGCAAGCTGGTGATGATTGATATTCATAATTTAACACCTGAGACTGTGGTGCGGAAAAATTAAGAAATTTCCAAGTCGAAGGAAAAGACAATAGAAAATGACATCTCAAAAGATTGAGACGTTCTCCTCCATTGTCTTTTCTTCGACTTGAGAGTTTCTTAATTTTTTTTGCACCACAGTCTCGGGTGTTTTACGACTAATTGTCCCCTGCTTGCGCTGACCGAGTGAGAAGTGGCGAAAGTTTGCAAAGCTACGGGAAAGCCACCCCCAGAACAAACGGAGCGATGCATCGTCTGCTCGCGTTTCTGGTGAGAGTAGAATATCCCTCCCAGTGTTTCTTCAGAGTTGACAAAGCATCATTTTGTGATACAAATTTAACAATATCATAGTAGGGAAATGTACTTTGAATTCGAGAGTTGTACTTTTCTCGGAAAGTACCGGAAAAACATTCTTCAAAGGCCGGCGACCAGACTCAAATTTCTGCAAGGCAGAATATCCTCCTCACCATGGGGGAGGAGGAAACAAACAACAGTGGACAGGGTAGAAGGGGGAGAGGAGGAAACGAGGAAAAAGTTGAAAGTGTGAACTGGTCGTCGGTCTCTAACTAAAGTACAAGTACATGCTCAAAAAACGTACTTCAAGTAAAGTACAAGTTTTCTAAACCTAGTACTTGAAGGAGTACCTTAAAGGGCCCCTGCAAGGACTTTATTACTGGTTTTTAGTTTGCACCGAACCTGAGCATACTGAACGTAGTAACTTAGTGAAACTTTTCTCTTCTCGAAATTCATTTTATTTTTGAAGGTTATAGGCAAATTAAAATTACAAAAACAAGCAAAAAATAACCTCCCTCATGACGTCCTTGGTTGCTTGAGTGATTGTGAACTAAAAGAGGGGTAGTGAGCTCATCGAGCACTCACGGCTGCCGCATTCAGTGTCGACGGCCACTAAAGCATGTTTTGGATAGGCTGTATACAGCAAACAGCGAGAGTGGCTCTCAATGCATTTGCTGCGCAAATGCAATGAGAGCCACACTAATTCCGCATGACACTTCATTGGCCACAAACGACAGCAAACACGGGGTAAAGATCAGTTCAGAATGGGAGCCACTTCGCGCTGCCATACCGCGAAATGGCTAAACCGCAAGACAAAGCTTGTCGCCGAAGGCCTTGGGAACGCTCGGAGCCGGTAAGATCCTCCTGTCCATGCAACCACAGCGCCGCCGCGTACATCCGGGACCTTTTTGTGTCGGAACCTGATCCCACTACTCCTTTGTAGTCTGTGCCGTTTCTTCCACCACTTGGTGGCGGGTATGTCGACGGGTCACTTGTTTTCATACTTTATAAACTGCATTCGTTTCTTTTCTGTTCTAAAATACAGAACAAAAACTTTTATAAATAATTTAAACGGTTCGCGCCACTTATATTTTGTATTTAGACTAAAAAGAAGCTTTTAGCGGCTCTGACCAGTATTTTTCACAGCTTTTGGCGACCAGTGGAAGTGGTGAGCCATCCCTACATGTAGAACCTCTCTACAGACATACGATGATGCACACCTATAGTACCTGACCGAATGAGAACGACCGGGCACGTCTTTCGAACGCCCACCCTCCAGAATGTGCCTTTTGCCTTCCACAGTGCTTTGGCTGTGCGTGCGCACCCGGGAGCACAAGACGTCAAGTGTGTGTTTGCGGGTTTCATGGTGCAACAGCAACGAAGGCCATACTGCGCCAGACTAAACTAACCGATGAAGCTCCAACAGTTACGTCCTTATAAAATGGCAATCTCGAAAATAGCTAGGACTAGATCTGATGCGTAGGGCTAGTACTAGTAGTGACAAATGCGAAAACTTGATCAAGAGGGGTGAGAGGGTGCTTTCCCAGCAAGACAGCGGGATGAAATCAAACACGGTACTTAAAAAACTCTTAAAAATTAGCACGTCGTTCAGTGTCAAAACCTGGGCAGAGCCACCAAATCTGGATGATAGTAAGATGGCCTCCACAGTGTTCACAAATGGGTGGATCCTCCCCACAAAAGAGATATCTGCGTGTAAGGAAAGAGCGACCGATTCGAAGCTGGCACAATACTACAACTTTGTGCAAGCGGTTTTTAAGTGAGGAGCTGTCCCAGGACCCAAGGACTGGCTTGGTTACATGGAGCTTGTTATTACACTCCATGGCCCACTCTGACTGCTCTAAACAAAAAAGTGACGACTTAATTAACTGCTCAATATCCTGATAGGGTAAGCTAGTTAGGTATTGAGAGCAGTTACCTGAGGATGCAGCAAGCTTGTGACTCCTCACTACCCTTTAATTCCACATGACTTGGAACCCAGCAGAATTTTATACTGTGACCCTTATGTAAAGCTCCAATAAGTTCACTTGGCACTTGTTCTAAGCTGCGCATTTTAGTGCATGTAATCTGGCTTGGTTGTCTGCCAGCCCCGCAACGCAAGCAATGTGCTTGCCACTGGCGCAATTCGATCGCGGGCAGCCAGGCTTCAATCGCTATATCAAGTGTCCCGCCATGGGAGTTCAATACAAAAAGACAACGCTCCTGTAGCATTGTATTTTTGTACATGTGATTTTCAAGGGGATGTTTGGACTGTTTGATATAAACAATATTTAGAAATACCCGAGTGTGATATAACCGAGCTTACCTAACTGTACAACCAACCACAAGGATCACGACGTCGAACAACATGACATGTCGGCTTATGTAAGCCTCGTTTGTTGCCGCGTCGGGACCACTGTGGATGCATTAGCGGTACGGGATGCCAAACACGCCGGTCGAAGTCGCGTTCCAGGCGTTGAAGTTCTACCAAAGCTACGAGTGGGTCCCCTGACGTACCTTGTAAGGACGTCCCAGCTCAGCCAGGGGCTGCCCCAGGGGAGCCAGGGCCATCTCGATCTGGGCAAAGTCGGCAGCCAGCCGCATCTTGCCGCCGTCTCCGAGCGGGCGCACCAGGCTGGCGTGCCGCGCCAGCAGCTCCAGGGCTCGGGACGCCAGGCCTCGAATCCTACGCAGACGGGCACCGGGCGTCACCCTCCACGATCGGCAAATGCAGCTTGGCATATTCCTTTACCATTTGTTTATTCAAAAACATCCTTGGACACCTCCTGACGGCTGCTGAAGGATACTATGTACCGTGCAATCCACTTATTACAATAATGAGAAAACCTCAAAATGTAATCGTTATAACCAATTACCGTTGTATCTAAACTAGAAACCGATCAATTCTATTCTAGAAACTCTAGAAACTTTCAAAATAAGCTTTGTATTTTATTTAGAAGCTTCATTTCTCTCTAAGAAAGCCAAAATCCAAAACTGATCACTCAAGATAGACACCTCGAGTCACCATCTTGAGCAATAAGTTGCTTAGTGCTTACCATTCTTAGTGTTCTAGACAGACAAAGAAGGATGCAGACGAACAGAGGCAGCCTACCCTTGTGTGACCGTCTCGCTCGGAGGCCAAGCGGCGAAGTAGTCGGTCTGGCAGTGCGCCACAAACTGCTGCAACTCCCGCATGTACAGGGAGCAGGGGGCATCCGGAACAGCAGTCCGATCCGACGCAGGCCTTCACAAAACAAGAAAAAAAAGGCCACTGTTTTATGCCACATACTGCATGTACAAAACCGGCAAAAAATACAAAAAGTTATGAGCGCTCGTCTTGTCACATTCCCATTCTTCCCTCCATTCAGAGATGTTTACCGGCATGCATCCTGCCTTGATGAAATTTGGGGAGCTGAATTTAACTTTCTGGTTCAAAGTTCTCCTTACACCTTTTGCTACGCTGAAGCAAACTTCTGCTTCAGTGTAGGAACACGGAAGATGCAAGGACCTTGCGATGCTTCGAAAGTCCTAATAAACTTGACTGTCAATACTGCCAATTGCATTGCAGCTTACCTAATACTGTTGAGACCGGTTTTAACAAAGTCAAGGGGAATCGGAAATCACTTCGCTATATTCGCTATTTCGTTATAACCAACTTTGTTTATAACGAAGTGCAAAAGGGAATAGAAAATCATGATCGCTTCGGTGTAGCTGCTATTTCGTTATAACCGACTTCGTTATAACCGGTCTCAACAGTAGGCATAGGTAAGCCATGCCCTGTGCATTGTAAAGAACTCACACATCCATCCCTCTTCCTAGTACATGAAGTACGGTTAAAAACAATATTTGTAAGCATGTGAACTCTTTTATGGGAGTTTTACACATAGGGGTTCCTCAATTATCTTTAAACTTTGGCTAGGAGTTTCCCTTAGAGATCCTTAGGTGGGAATCTTTAGAGGAAACCTTTGGAAATTCCCTCAAAGGATTTGAAAACCCTCTGCTGGAGTGTACTTGAAGTGTAGAAGAAATTAACCCGTCAATCAGCATGGTCCCAAAAGATCAGGCTCGTTGTGGTGTGTTATGTTGTATTACACACGTTTCAGCACGTTTGACGTGCCCCCTTTTCTTTCAATCGCTCCTCCTCCGCCTACCCTTTCCCTCTCTGATAACATGCTATAAGGTATGCATGCCTGTCCAGCCGCGCCCTCTTCCCGCTCACTTTGTCATGGAATAAAGTCATTCCACCTCGCCACTCGCCGAGCTGCTCTCGTCAATCCTTTTTGTCCACACGCACAAACACTACATGGTGCTTTTGCAAAATCTGGCTAACTTCCCTTAAGTGGCCTCGTTTGACCGTTCTGCAAGGGGAAACTCAGCCAGCACATGACACTCAGTAGTGATTACAGTAATGCAAGCGAGACAAATCGAAACTGGCAGACCTTAAAATTGAATTCACGATATTTGAGCCTGCTGCACAATCTATGGCCCCACATAGCACTAAAACCCTCTCATATTATTGAGCGAGTGGAATAATAAAAAAAACGAGCAGTCCTGCGTTAATGCACAGTAGTCGGAGCAATATCTGCGACATGTCACGGCGAAGTTGGGTGGCATCAGTGCTGCCTTCATGCCCCATTGGGTCTTGACGGCAAAGTCTCAATTGGCTTTGTTCTCACGAGCATGCAGCTCACTGTTCTACCTGCGACGACCGGCGAGACGTGTCAGCATCGCCGCCAGTGCGTCTTTCAACATCTTGTAACAAGTGCAATGCAAGCACGCGGCAAAGCCAGGACGCACGCGTCTGCCGTTTTGCGCCTTACTCGGCGCGCTTTCCACTCGGGGCGGCTCAAGGATCCACTAATGACTGCGTAATGCACGGGCCCGTCTTCTACATGGTGTCGGATCGACGGACACGGCCAATCCCTTTTAATCAGGCGACAGCTCCTGCCACCCACTTGAAGTTTTAGAGCGATTGCTTTAAGGCCCATTCACACACTTGCGACTCCTTAGAACTGAACGCCTTAAAACCTCTTCAAATCTCTTACGACGACTAACATGCTGGCACCATCTACACGGTTACCCTGGAACTGCATTTCACTAGACCGAGGGTACAGTGGCTTAAAGGGGGTAGTGTGGTTCTTGCGTAGCCTCCACCATGCATCGGGAACGGCCGCTCCTTGGAAGACGGTGTAGGTGGCGCTTCGATCCGTAGCTCCGTTGGGTGCCTCAATCGGCCGGCAGATAGAGGCACCCTAACACGCTTCATAACTAATATAAATACCTCAAAAACAATTATTTGTTTCCAGTGAACTTCCAACGACATAATTTGTGTTTGAAGGTGAATAAAAAATGTGAAACTAGCAGACGACAGTGTAGTCGACCGCTGCGAATCGGCCGGAGCTGGCTGGAGCCAAGCTGACCAAGCGGCCAAGCCGGAGCCATAGCCGCAACGACGGCGATGCAAGCGCCAGCGCCACCCGCGGCCGTCTTCCAACGCTGTGCCGTTTCTCCGATTTCGTTCGTTACACTACCCCCTTTAAACCACTGTACCGAGGGTTTGGCAGTATTCGCAAGGTCAAATGTATATACTAGTTATGCGAAATGTTCGTTCATAACATTGACAAAAGTTTTTCAGGGCAAAAAAAAAGAACGATGCCCAAAAGAAGTTGAGAATATACGGCACCACCCAGCGTTCCACTGCTGCCCGATAGATGGTGCCAGTGTGTCCTCTCGTCGTAAGAGATTTTAAAGGGGATTGTCCGGTCAAATTTTGTATTCGAGAAAACAATTGAATATCATTGTTATTGCCTCGAGACACATCGTACGTGCAATATCTGAATTTTATGTGCCCCTCTGAGTGAGTAATTGAATTTATACTGCTCCAATCGCATTCTAGCGTAAACGCTGCTTTCGTTGGCAACATTGAAGCTCTGACGTCACAAAACACAAAGCGAGCATTCCCGTCTCGTCGTTTGCCTGCGAGTGAACGCCTCAGCGTGCTTCGTTTTTGTTGTTGCGCTCGACTTGTTTCGTGGTTGGGTGAGATTTTTGTTGCGGGGTTGGATGCCAAAACCACCGGGCAGCACATGTGAGCCAAGACATGACGGTCCACTCTTTTCCACGAGACGTGCTGTGACGAGCAAAATGGATCGTCGCCGTGCGTAGGGACTGGGTTCCCGTCAAGATTGAGATCCCGCTTATGCAGCAATCATTTCACAGAAGAGAGCTACGAGCTGAGCTCTAAGCGGATCGAAGGCTCGCAAGCTGAGGTGTGATGCTGTGCTGACGATATTAAACTACGTCCACCCATTCCTCGCCCAAATCGGATCAGTCAGTTTAGGTCTGTTCGATTTGCCTGAACTGACTGAACTAGTTCAGCAGTGCAGGAACTGGTGCATTCGATTCAACCGGCAGTTGCACGACCGCTGCACTGGCGCGTTCGATTCATCCCAGTTCTGAACGAGTTCAGACCCAGTTCCTCAAAATCTTGCACCGGCTCCACTGTTCAGCGTCTGTGCAGAAGCAGACGACAAGAGTAGTTGGCGATAGCAGACGACACTCCTCGTCCGTCTCTGCTCGCGGTGCCATTTTTCGCAGCTCTTGCTCAAATGTCTGCAATGTTTAACAATAACGCCGATACGGAGGTTGCATTTCCTCTCATTTATGATAATAACGTACCCGCGATGGACGCGGAATTAAGATCATAACCGAATGTAGGAATTTGCTTGATTACGATTTTCTAAAAGAGGTTAGGCTCCATGTGGTGAGTGTTGAAATATTGGCTCACGTAAATATTTTCTTTTTGATGCTATGTGGGGATCCACAGTGTTGATATTCTTACTTACAGACATGAGAAAGGTATTGCCCTCTTGATAGTCCCTGCCTTCAGTTGCTCTTGGATGCATACTGACGACTCCGATACATTGAAGAGGTCTGGGATTTAGTGCGTTGGCACTCGCATGTCCCCGTAGCTGAGCATAATACTGCATGCTTTGTCCGCTGGTATCTGTGGACGCCCACTAACGGGCCTGGGAAAAACGCCAAGAATCGTCATTTTTGCCGATTCTCGCTTCAACTTGACGGCAAAGTTATGGTCGATAACTGTCCTGGCCAAGACACTATCGTCAGGCCTTCATCTTCAAGGTGACCGGTATACCGACCGCGCGCTGCCGCCAGTGACTCCCTACGCAAAATCATCCTGCTGCCGCGAACCTATCGTCGAAATGCAAAGATTCTTTTTGAGGGGCATTTCCCACTACCTTCTTGACTTGTAACCGACTATAGTTCAGCCTGGCCGAATCGAACAGACCTTGATTATGCAGCGAAACCGAAACCAACAGCCAGGCCAGGGGTGGCCAGGCTGACCCAGCCTAAGAGCCGCAAACGAAACCTCGAGACTTCTAAGAGCCACGGGGGGGGGGGGGGGGGGGGGGGGCAAATTAAAATTTTGTTTAGAGTCTGACTGTACGTATGAGTGCACAAGGCTGTACAAATGTATGTGTGGAGCTACAAGTCTGCCAAACCGCGAGCCGTACTTTATTCTGCCTGAAATCCCTTCTTTTTTTCCTGGGGAAACGCGGAAAGGGGCGGGGGGGTCCCCTTACGAGGGATCCGCGAGCTGCACTTGGACCAGCAAAGAGCCGCATGCGGCGAGCCGCGGTTTGGCCACCCTTGAGCTAGGCCATCTCGACATGATACCAGAAGTTGTATTTAGCACGCGTGCAGTCCGATATCTGTTTGACCCGCGTGTGAAAATGGAGCGTGACTACGATTCACCAAGCTTGCCCAAGTCAAGTGACGACATGCATTTGAGCGGTTCGCCGTTTGCCTTCGACCCGCGGACATCGCCTCTGAGCGAATGACTCGCAGCCTCATCACCGATCCAGTGGATCCACCGAAATGTGTTCCCAGCTGCCGCTTCGTGTACCTAGGTGCCGCTTCAGAGGCGAAATTTGCATCCTTTGCTTTGCAAGCGCCCCTAGTTCGATTGGCGTCCGTCGCAGTTGTGTCTGCGCGAAACGGCATATGTTTGCTCAAAGCTTATGGCTGTCTGCGAGTAATATCCTGCTAAAAGGCATGACTTTTTTTGCACGTGCTTGGGAACTGCATTAAAATAACCGTATTTCATTAGAGTACTGCATAGGAGACTATATAATTCGAAACAAAATACAAGACGTCCGTCGACCAACGCTTGTTATCCCGACCATCCGACAAACCTTTGCGTTTGTGCAAAGGTTTGTGCAATAATAAAGCAAGTGTTTCTCAAAGCGTGCTGTGCAAGAGAAGTTCTTTCCTTGCAGAATATGCATAGGGTACAGACTATGCAATGGGTAAAGCCTAAGGAAAATTAGAGTAAAAACGCAGGCGAGCTGGTGCACATCCATAATAACCTGAGACGGTGTTGTCCCTGTCCTTCTGCTCCTGGTCTCAAAGTTTCTCATTATGGACTAAGGAAAAACCTCCTTTTTAAGTCGTCATTTACTTTTATGAGTTATACACAGGGTGCAGACTTTAGCCAGAAAAATATGGTAAACCAAAATGTAAACTTCTACCAGTTTCCTGCCCCAAAAGCTCTAAAGAGAAACAAGCAAACCACTCACGTGGAAAAGTCCTCTTCATGCATGGTGAGGATGATTGCCTCCACGGACTGAGCAACCGCAGACAGCAGAGGCTGCACAGTGCCTTGAATCACCGTCTCTACCGTCTGCGAAACAGGGTGTGGGCGACATTCCAGCGCTTGCTCACGAAGGAACGGTTCTTCGATGTATGAGAATCACTTGGAAACAGGTAAGGAGACTTTCAATATTCAGCTAAAAGATTCCTTGTTCTAGAAAAAGTTTGACCCCGGCAGCTTTTAGAGCTGCTCATCAGCACTTCAGAAACAAAATTTAAGAGAAACACCTTTAATGAAATGATCTATCAGTTCCAGACAATTCAGACAGAGAAGCACTCATTCACAATGGTACACAAAAAATTGCAAACTACTGTGTTCCAAAGAGTGTTGAAGCAAGCTTCAAAACACCGATTTTGGCTAAAATGCCTCCGCATTGACGGAATGTCTAGGGGCATGCGAATAACAAAATTTTCTAATAGAAATCGAACACGAATAATGCAAAAATATGATTTCGAATACCAAGATAAATATTAAATATGTACATAATAAAAAAAAAAAAAAAAACTTTTTAGACAGAACATTAGGTGCAGCTCCAATACCTTTCAAGCTAATATTGTATGGTAGCCCAGAGTGGGATAGCCTTAATGAATTGCATAACAACCCAAAATTAGTCCAAATACAAATGTGACAAGTGCAGTTTGGAAAAGAAATGGCTTTTAAATGTCAGTGAGAAAATTACTATTATAATTATAAATTAATTTTGAAATAAGCTTGCAAAAACAGGAACACTACTAGTACTAGGCACATTTTATTCGGCTCTTCTCCAGAAAGTACCTTGACAAATGAAAGCCAATAAATTTAAAAAAAAGTTAAATGCACATTTTCTCACAGCCACATTTTCTTTTTGTATTTAGAAGAATAGATATGTCATCGAAGAATACACAGAACCAAAAGAAAGCTTTGAGCATTTGATTAAAAAAAAAAAAAACACAAAATGTCCTTGACTGGTCAAGCACATGGGCTGTGGTTACAGAATAAGGTTGTCATTGAATGCATTGTTTACCTTTTCTTTTGCAGTTTTTTGTTTGCCCTCTATGTCTTTGCTGTATTTTGTTTCTGCTATATTCTGTTGCTTGTTTGAAGTTTTTGCATAGATGAAAAGGGAGATGCTTCTTTTTCATGCTTCCTAAAGTTTTTCTTTTCTGTCTGCTTCGTTTCTTGTGCCCACTCGATGCAGAGATGCGCAAAAGCCTAGGTGTGGGCGAGGTGACCACGAGCTGCGGCACGTTGTGCTTTTTTCGTCCCAGGCGCCTAGGGGCTTGTATGGGGAGTATAGTTGGTGGATTTTTCACATGACATTGCCGGAGAAGTGATGATGGCATATTAAGCACCTTTTTTGGACAATTTTTTCGCTCTTATAATACACCCTGTGTACCATAAGACTGAATATTTGCAAGTGCCAAATAGAAAATTCTAGACTCAAATAAGAATCAAATATTAACTCCTATTCCAACTTTCCAATATTCGCAAACCCGTAAAACTGACACACGACAAAACGTCAACTATGGCACCACATTTCTCAGTGCCGTTTTCTCACATATTCTCCCGCTTAATCTTTTCCTCCCTCCTTAAAACTGTACCTTCAGAGAACCTCGCACAATGGACACTGCTTCCGCCGACTGCACGGCATCACCATTCAGGAACTGCAAAAAGCACAAAAAACAGACCCATCCGCTAAGTTTAAATCAAGCCTTTTCTACAGTAGGAAGATGTCTCATTATCAGCCTTGCCAAGTTCACAGGAGGCTTGGAAGCTGTTCATAACAAGCACATACCTAGACGTAAGAGCTGTATGCAACGTTGTGCAACGAAGCTGCAAAAGGTTCCATACGGCTTTATACATCGTAACAGCTAAGGCAGCGGTCATGTTTTGGCTACGGTTCAATGCTAAAAATAATTGTAGAAAGCTTGAAGAGAAGCTCGTAAGCTTCGCCGCAATGAGAAAGCTGCTCGGACACCTTCACCCGAGCCCCATTAACAAATGGTTCTCGACAAACTCTTGCTGCGACGGCCGCACTGAAGTCGATAACGTGGGGCGTGGGGGGGAAGGAGTGCACCACGGCGGACGCCAAGAGACGTCCCAGCCAATTCGGTGCTACAAAAGTATAGTGCAAGTACGGTGTGTGCCCCATGTGTAGCTGCACCCCTCCCTTAGGTCACCTGACACTTGCAGCACGTGATTGGCTTCGGCGGCTTGTGGCATCCTCTATGGTACGTCGTGCGGCGAAACGCACCATAAAGGGCAGCTCGCAAAACGATTAGCGTTCCCTGCTGCACAATCACCCCCGCAAAAAAAACACCCCGAGCGAAGTGAACGGGACTCACAGCACTCAGCTCTCCCTGAAAGCGATGCAGGAGGTGCAGAAGAGCCGCGTTGCACTGTTGTTCGGCCGTGGCCGGACCGATCACCTGCAGCGCTTCAGCGCCGTCCACGGCAGTCAGTTGCTCGCATCTGGCGGCCAGCTGGTGCACCGCCTGGGCCACGTTCTTGGCCACCGTCCGACACAGACGCGCATCCACCGCAGCCACGCGCAGTTCGCTGTGCGGCAGGGGGCGGTTGTTCATTTATTTGTCAACGCGGGGCTAGGGTTATGTAATGCAGAGTGTACTGCAGAAGTGCAACGCAAAATCAAATTGCAGAAATTTAATACAAAATTGTTAAGCAGTAAATTTAATGGACTTACATTTCATTTAATTTATTTCTCCTTAAGGGCTCGATGGGGCTTTACATAAGGGCGGATGTGAGCGAACATAATACAATAATTTGAAACACAAGAAAACAAAGTAAAACAAAAGTAGAAACAATAGTAATAACAAGTGCATACAGTGACAATCTGGTAAGACAGTGGTGGTTAGCAGGGGTGCAAGGTGACTGACTGGCAGAAGATGGATGGGTCTGAAATAAGTACTATTTCCTCGAGGAGGAAATTCCAGATGGTTATAGCTTCTGGGAAAATTGAGGTGTTGAAGGCTAGTGTTTTGCCCACTATACGTTTGATGCAGGGACTGTGATTGAGGCAAGATGATATCCTATCTGGAAGTAAAAGAAGGGCGTCATCTGGAATTGTGTTTTTGCGGCAAAATTTACGTATGAGACACATTCAAGAACTTAGTCTGCGGTCAGACAATAATGAAAGTTCTAGGGGTTGTTTAAGTTGTGTTACACTGACATCATAGGAATATGTTGATGTAAAAAAATCGAGCTGAACGGTTTTGGATTGCTTCAAGGGTAGGATTGTGAAGGATGCCGGATGGACAATGCATATTCTAGTTTTGGACGGGCAAATGTTATGTCGGCCAGTTTTCTCAGGCAAAAGGGTGCTGTTTTCAGATAATGTTTTAAGTACCCGAGGGTGCCTGATGCTTCAGCTGTAACTATGTCGATATGCCGTATCCATGACAGCGAGGGAACCAAATGAACACCGAGGTACTTATATAATGGTGCAGTGCCGATTATAACGCCGCTTAGAGAGTATAAATCAATAATAGTAGATTTTCTCCGTGTAAATGATATAAGTTTGCTTTCCTTGTGGTTAAGAGGCATAAGCCATTTATCGCACAAAGCGCCAATTCGTGTTAGGTAATTTTGTAGAGTAAGGTGATCGGAGATATTTGAGACCGGATGGTAAATGACGCAGTCGTCGGCGAACAGTCTCATTTTTTAATTGATGCCATGCGGAAGGTTCTTTATGTATATAAGAAACAAAAATGGGGAAAGTCCTGCACCCTGGGGAACACCTGAAGACACGTTTGCAAGAAGTGATTTATGATTCTTAGCTATTGTGAACTGTGTTCGGGAAGTGAGAAAATCATGAATCCAGGAGAGGATGGCTGTGTCCAGGCCAACCACCGAAAGCTTAGACAGAAGACAATTCAGCAAGTTGGGTTTCACAAGAAATATTTACAGAAAGCCATGTTGGGGAAGGTAAAAAAAAATTAAACCTTTACAATTCCCTGTAATTCTGAATTAGAGTGCAACTCTTGAGGAGGAGGATACGGAAAATAGTGTATCCTCCTCCTCCTCCTCCTCCTCCTCCTCCTCCTCCTCCTCCTCCTCCTCCTCACTCGTGACACTCGTAATGTCACACGTGACATCACGTGGGACGTCATTATGGGAACCATCCCATAATGCCACGCGCTGTTACGCCAATGGCGACGGCGTCGCCGCTCAAGTCGGAAACGTGCCTAAGAGCTGCACTCCAAAAAAAGAACTGCATTAAGGTGACTGATTATGCTGGAGCTGAGTATATGTTCCAAAAGTGATGGTGGAATGATGGAATGCTAGTTAAAGAAATTGGACGTTAATTAGATGTGAGTGATTGGCTCCAGCAAAACTTAACGGAGAAATTGAATTGGTGTTATTATATACACTGGTTCATGTTTTCCAACTAAATATGGTGAGAAGAGCGCAAATCTGCCAAATTCGGAAGAATTTCGCGTGGCCCCGAGCTCAAAAATGCTCACAAACAATTGGCATAGCTCAAGATATGCTGCACATTCCCAACTTCATCCAGAAGATAAGTTTAAACATTAACTAACACCTCGAAGGTCCTAGCAAATGGCATTAATCAAGTGGTGAGCTCTTAACAATTTTAATGGGTGAACATTGACATAATAACACATACTACACTCAAAAACAAGAAAACAAATGCCGAAAAAAAATAAGAACAATATTATTAAAAAAGAGCACTTTATCAATTCAATAATACTACTAGTGTATGTACGGGCCCTCAAGGTTATATAAATGATGGAGAGATGTGATCCCAACCTGGCAATAGCCCTGAGGATTCCGTCTAGGTCCTCATGAGATGGACTTTCCCTCGTGCTCCCTGACAGGGCCACATTCACTGCGTCCAGCAGACGGGACAGGGACCGTGTCAGGTATGCATTCTCCAGCGGCGATAGCGTCCCGCACAGAGCTTCTTCTGGCCTGGGAAAAGAAAGTCACTAGCTCAAGCAAGACGCCCCAACCGCACAGCGCAATCTCTTTCGGCGACTCAGCAAAATTTTCCTCTTTGAACAGCTTATACAGCTTTCCGGCAGTTATCACTCGGGCGAAAACTATTAGGTTACTGGGCAGTGGAAACATGTGCAGCATTTGATGCTTCACAAAATAGAGCTGCTGCACATGCTCAGAATGCATTCCGCAGTCGGCTGGTGAAAATGACAGCGTGCACAAGGTGATCATATGCCAAAACGCTGTATAAACAACCCCATGTTTGCCCACACCGGGTGAGGGCACCGCATGTACACGGAAACCGGATTCGTGCGATGTAAAACGTCTGCACATGCACCATGATGACACTGCACATGCATCACGATGGTAACAGCGTCACCGCAGCGGCGCGACGTCCAAGCCGCACATTGGTCAGACTCTATAGCAACGGTCTATGAAAAGGCCCAGTCAGCAAAAACGAAAAGACAAGCTTAACAACACTGAAAACCAAACTGATGTTTTCTGAACTTCCACTTGTGAAAGTTCCACTTAAAAAGATTCTAGCGCAGTGACATCTATAAATTCCCCAACTTCTTAGGTTCTTTTCCCGAACTTGGAATAACAAGATGTCCATAATTGTCACTATTATGATGACAATTGCGTACAACTGCAAAATCTAAAAGAACAAAAAGGTTCCTATTTAGACCCTTCATTGGCACTTTTAGTAAAGAGTTTCCACTAATTTATGGGTTTACGAGCACACCAAATAACTTGGACGACCCGAACAGATGTTTAAAAGAGCTGTGCAACGAATTTAACTTTGAAAGAATTGGCATCTTCTGCTTTTGATATTGTTCACCTTGTCATAAATGACAAAAAACACACCCCCTTTCATCGAAATGTTGCGATTCCGCCGCGTAATAGCGAGGCAAAACTTAGAATATTCTCCGACCTGCAGCCGCAAGCGGCGGCCATGAGAAACACGCGGTGTGACGTCGATGGGGAATCTTGTAGAAAGATTGCAAGTTGTGCGAATATCTGCTCGATAAAAGGTAACTTTTCTATAAATCTTGTCGTTCCAACATATATATAGTAAATGCATCAAAAACCTGGTATCATCAACAAAACTTTTATTATACGGAGTTTTAGTGGCGCCATCTATCCTAGGTCCACAAAACCGTCCGCTCTCTCTGCTACCGCGAACAGCTGCCAGAAGTCGGAGGGGGAGGGGGACAGGGTCGGACGGGTATGGCTGGACCCGGATGAGACTTTCCTCCTTTCACCATATTGTTTGCGCGGCGCCCGCCAGCATGTGGTCATGCGGTCGCGAGCGGATGAGTTCTCGCTGCTCACTGATGGCTCTAAAGAGAGAACTTTTCCGGAACCCCGTGCCTACCCCCTCAACGTCACTGCGCACGTGACCCGGAAGACGACGTACGAGTTGAGAGGCGGCAAAAACCTGGATCTTTTTCATTTTTTTAAATAAAAACTAAAGTATCCAGGCAAAATCTGTTCTGTAGTTCACTTCAGAAGTGTCGGGCATCAACTTCCACAATAATTTAAGCGAAGCCCTGAAATTGTTGCACAGCTCCTTTAAAAGAAAGCATGAAGTAATGTTTATTCCTAAGTTTCCCCGATCGTTGCATCATCTGACCCAAGCAACACAACAAACTGACTTTTCCGACAGAATTCCGCAAGTTTCGGGCTTTTCCCTCTAAGCAAATGGCCTGTTGCGAGTCCATCTCTCGCCTGGTACAAACAGAAATTTCCCCGACGCTACAAGGTGATTCATATATAGGCTGTGCAGATCTGCTACTCCCCTCATTTGCTCCAGCCTAAACTGAGATGCACGAGTACTGGAGAACACAACGGTAACGCCGCAAGGTTCTGACCTGACAAGAGGATTGAACCACGGGGTGTGCTTCGTCCGGCTCGTTTGCCACACAGCTCGGTGTTCACCCGACATGAGGATGACATTCCTTGCATTGTGCGTTCTCAAACCAAGTTCCTAAGAACACGAGAATCCACCAGAGTACCCTCGCGGGTTTTCCGAACATGTAAATTTCCTCTACCGTCCCTACCCCCCAGTGATCCATCTTTCCAGTTTAATTTAAATTGTGTACCGGCACGCCTGAAGCTATCATTGATGCCTACATGTTTACAAAGTATGCAGTATCATGTGCCGCGTTTACACATCAATGCCGACACCGAAACTGGTTCCTCGGTTGCCATACGAGGCAGATTTACACCGTCTACCTCGAGCGCGTTCGGGGCACAACTCGACACAAGTCCCAGCAGAATCTTGCGTCGAAAAGTAATTTACGTTTGCTGTCGCCACGACCGAAGTGAACTGTCGAGGCACGATCGTTCAATCTCTCGTCCGACAAGAAATGCCGGCCGCCCGCTCACCGAAACTCTTCCTGCTGCCCAAAGAAACGTCCACGAGGCTCGTCAGCCGCGTCTAGAGAAGGTGGGGTGCTGCCTTCCAGCTGTTCCAGGCGCCGCCACAAGTCGTTAAACAGGCTCAGGAGCTTGGGGTACTCCCCTTCAAAGGCCTGGCGCAGGAAGGTCGACTCTGCACGAAAAGACCACGGTTTCAACGGTTTGCGCCTAATGTTGTTGCAGCCAGGTGGGAGGTGGCGCAAACGCCGACTTCTAACCGAATGCAAGGTGTCACTTTTGAAAGATTCTGGAGCTTAGGCAAGCCATCAATGTCGAGCGCAAGGAGGAATGATTTTGCTGTGGATGCAGTCGTGGACGTACTGGAGAAGAGTGGGAAAATGTGGCCAGGTGGCACGGGACTTAAGAAATGACAGCTGCTTAAGAGAGCAAGCTTAACAGTGCAGAAAAATTACAGCAAGTGCTTCGCATGGAGAACTGAACCTTTTATAGGGGGTGTTGCCTTGGGATTACTGATGCCTGGTCCAAACCTAATATGAAGTGTCCAGAGTCTTTGTTCTCGTCACTGCGATCCTGAATATCAAAGTATTGCAAATACCATAGTTACTTGCATAATGAGCATATTTGCATAACGAACACCACCCCCCCCCCCCCCAAAGGGCACTAATATTTGGACTTTTTTATCCCTCGCGTAATGAACGCACCTTTAATTTTTGGTTCCGCGAGTCTCAAATTGCATCCAACTTAGCTAGCTAACAAGCCCACCAAGCCAATTTTCTTTTGCAGCCAAGTGGTCAGGCCAAGCCAAGCCAAGCCACGCCGCTCTCGTAATGGCTGCATGTGTGTCGTTGCGGAAATGATCAATTGTGAAACTGAGCGGCGCGCACACTCGACAAAGCTTGGGTCGAGGAATTGCCCAGCCCCGGACATTCTTCGCCTATCGGATGCATTGATGTCAACAAACACTCCGTCGTCTGTGGTTCGTTTTTGGACAGTGAAAATGTGAAAGTCATTAGGCCTAAGAATGGCCGCGTTACTCTACGTGCTGAGTCAGCTTCGTAGGGCGCTTTTCCTTCGGCAAAAGGCACGCCAAAAGCGCCCCAAGATTTGCAATGTATAAACCATAGTTATTGTGGCGCGCCCCCAACCAGCCGTGGGTGCGCCTCTATCACTGGAAACGTGCCACAGTACCTTGTCGTGTTATATTGGCACCTGATATAACATTTGCACGAAGGGTGTAAATGCAAAAATTCTACCCTACGTAATGAATGCACCCCCCCCCCCCCCCCCTCCCCGATATGTCAATTTTTCGGGAAAAAAAGTGTGTTCATTATGCGAGTAAATACGGTAAACCTGGAATAACAAAAATCTTAGTTCCAAGCAATTTTTATTTTTTTTTGTTTTTACCTGGAAACACGGAACTTTGTATTCATTGACTATGAACCCAGCGATCGCACACTACACACGTCGTCATTAATTCATCTGCAGTTTCTCCGACCCGCGTTCGAATCGCATTCACAGGGCTGCAGTGTATTTGTGAGGCTTACCGGCGGCCGCTCTCGCCAGCTCGTCGGAGAGGGTCTGAGCAACAGAGAGCCAGAAGGAGTGGAGGATGTCGCCGTGGCCGCTCTGGAAAGCACCCGAGAGAAGGACCATTTGAGCACATATGATTCAGTAGGCGATTCATTTCTTATCTGTCTAAAAAAATAAAATTATTCCATCCAAAATATTTGACCCTACCTCTAAGCTCGAGTAAGAGCACGGGCAAACTGCTGACGATACCTGCTTGAAACAAACTCAGCGATAAACACGTGAAGCAGCTGTGATTGATAACTCCAACTTTTTCATGCCGAGCTTACTGTAAAATTTTGGAAGATGCCCCACCCTCGAAAGGTAACCACCCACCTTTTGGGCTAGACCGCTATTTCCTTTTAAGCACCAAAAGATAGCCCACTCCTAGTAATCACAGTGTTTTGATCAATGATGTCCTCGGCGTAAATCCGCCTAGTTGGCTATGGCGGATAGCGTATTTACTCCCATAATGAATGCATCCCTTACAACGGGCATCAATATTTTGACTTTTTTCTTTTTCTAATGTAATGAACGCACTTTTAATTTCCGGCTCTGCGAGTCTTGAAGCCAATTTTCTTTTGCCACCAAGCGGCTAGGCCAAGTCAAGCCAAGCTAAGCCGCTCCCATAATGGCTGCCATTGCGTGGTTGCGGAAGCGATCAACCGTGAAACCAAGCGGCGCGTACGCCTAGCGAAGCTGAAGTCGAGGAATTGCCCAGCCCCGGATGTGCTTGGTCCATCGGATGCATTGGTGTCAACAAACACGCTGTCGTCTGTGATCCACTTTCGGACAGTGAATGGTCACGTTGCCCTTCGTGCTGAGTGAGCTTCGTAGGGCGCTTTTTCTTCGGCAAAAGGCACACCAAAAGCACCCTAAAAAAGGTTTGCAATTTATACAGCATGGTTACTGTGGCATATCCACGACCAGCCGTGGGTGCACCTCCGTCATTGGAGACATGCCACAGTACCCTGCCATGTCATATTGGCACCTAAAATGACATTCGCAGAAAGTCTGTAAATGCAAAAATTTTACCCCGCATAATGAAACAAATATGTGCAAATATGTGTAAATTTTTCGGAAAAAAAGAAACTACTCATTATGCAAGTAAATATGGTATACAGTCATGTCTCGTTAATATGGACCTTGTTAATATGAACACCCCCCTACATGAACACCATTTTCGGGGATAAACTGGGAAAATACATGCATTTTTGTCTCCTCATTATGGACAACTCACCTTATGGACGATATTTCGGTGGAATGGAGGTGTATGTATTACCGAGACATCACTGCATAAGCGAACAGTGCTGACTGGGAAGTATCTTCGCTTCATTGCCCCTCGCCACAATAACAAGTTTGGCAGGGACATATGATCTAAAAATAGCATATTTTTCCAACCTTTCTTGATTGCACATTGAAAGTTAGCCCACTTCTTATTTTCACCCAATTTTCTTTCAATTTTAGGTAGGGTATCTCTGGAATATTACAGTATACAAGTGCTTAGGCTCACAAATAAAACAACCAATTGCCACCCTTCTCTAGGGGCATTAATGGAATGTTTAAATGCTTAGTGCCGTTGGTGCCTTCAAAGGTCAACTCTACTTAATTGTGCAATATATATCAGCAACACATATTCCTTGATTGCCCTGCAATTTGTTGAGCAAAAAGGTGCCATTTCTTAAGGAGTTGTGCTTCAGAGATGCTAGAAACCAAAACCAAGTGTTGCGATCAACATATGCTCAAATTATTACATTACGCATAACCAATGCACCATTCCACTGAACCACTGATTCGGCAGGCTTGGTGTTGCTCAAGAGGATGCGATTCTCTTTCAAACCTGTAGACACTAGTTTTAATGCGTTTAATCTCACAACTTTACTCCAAGGGTACGCCTGGTAAGAGGTTGCGTGACAGAGTGTTCCTTCATAGGCCGAGATTTTTTCCTAGGCATTCCTCGTTCCCACAGACATATGTCTACTTCGCGAAGTGCACTAAAAAGTAAAGGTGTGTGAATATCACTTTGAATTGAACAGCACAGTGTCATTCCCATCAACACTGAAAGAGAAGTCAGTACATTGAGGCCATCCCTTGAACTGCAAAGGTTCAGAATGATACAATGCCATTTGATTCGAGCTACTATTCGCACACCCTATTAAGAGAGATTTGTAGCTTCGACTGTGACACAAGCAGTGCTTAAGACAGAGTGACCTAAGGTAGCCGTGTCACCTTGCTCAACTCCTGCAGAAAGCTGCTGTGGGTCACCGGATCCTTCTTCTTTGCCAGCACCTGCTCAAGCTGCTGGATCTGGGGTGGGTCGAAAAGAAGGGACATGAATAAACAATAGTAATTATAAATTTATAAAAACAATATAACTATTTTTTTTTGTTCCCCACATTGACTGCATCGGGTTTTTTAGTGCTGCACATCGCATACAGAGAAGTGGCAGATAGCTCAAACGAGCTGTCTGCCATTTTATACTATTAACACATAAGGACACATTTGCTTCATCTAATCATTCAGAACCGAACCAGCATTTTGTGCGACTTCAATATCCCGACCCCGCCCACTCGCAAAATCTTCAGAATAATAATTCTGTAAACAAAGACATACAATACGGGAAGGATAGGCACAGGGACAGACACAACAACACATCTTTCATGTGTCATTGCATTTCTTTCAGTAACAATAATTCTACCGACGTGCTCACCTTTAAAGCTCAGCAACGTATGCTTTGCCACCTTTTTTGTACAGGCAATCGACTGGCTGAATGATCGCAACATGGCTCACCTGTCCGCAGGCTTGGCACACGTGGTCCACGAGGCGGTCCATGTTGGTCCACAGGGCAGCCCGGAACGCAGCGCTGCTCCCAGTCACCGGCATGGATGACCTCCCTGGCACTGGGTGCAAGGTTGCAGAGAGTCGCAGTTACAGCCACCCATATTCAAAGTGCTGCCACAACCAGGCCTGTAGCACCTATTTGGTTGCGGGAAACCTGGTTGCGGCAGAACTGGGCGCGAGAAACCTGGTTGCGGCAGACCAGGTTGTGGCAAACCTAGTTGCTGCAAACCTGGTTGCGGCAGGCCTGGTTATGGCAAACTTGGTTGCAGAAAACCTGGTTGCAACAAACCTGGTTGTCGGAAACCTAATTGTGGTAACCCTGGTTGGGACAACCCTAGTTGCAGCAATTAGGGTTGTGAAAATTTTTCAAAAGCAGTTTTCACAGTTTCGAATATGTGCAAATGTTATTTTCAAAATTGCCAGTCTGTAGGAGCCAGATTAGTGCATACCAGTAACAATTCTAATGTGTTACAATGGTAGATTTGGAACCAGAACAAAAAAAGTGGAAGAGCATTGTGGGGAAAAATATGAAACATCTAAGCCAAAAAGATAACCGCCTGATAAACTTTGATTAAGGGGAAACACTGCTTCTTGAGCTTTTTTTTTTTATTTATGATCCAATCCTTCATCAGTCAAAAAACTCGCAAATTAGTGTTTTGATTGGCTGATTAGAATTTGCTCCGTGCTTACACTTCAAAATGTGACAACACTGGTACATTTTGCAAGACAAAAGAGTTTTCTCCTCTCCCCGACTATCAGGGAAGCAAAAGAAGAGACTGAAAGAGGAGCAAGTGACACTGCACATGCTCCGCTCAGCTAGGAATGGAAAAAGTGTTCGAACAAACAGGGACGAGAGTGCAACAGGATGTGTGAGGGAGAGCCAGCAATGACGAAGGGCACAGAATGCCTACCAGTTCTTGAATACCAAAACCCTGAAACTATTATCAGTAGTCATTTATTAGTGTTTCAGGAAGCTCAACTGCAGCCACTCAACAAAACAAAATCTCGCAATAAAAGATGGTTTTGTGATCCACCATAGTTCAAAAGCATGGAGTTCATAGCACAAGATCAAATAGGTGTTAGGATTCTGAATTCATCAACATCATGCTATGTCCATCTTTACAGTGCAGTCCACTTGTAACGATATTATTAAATGCGGAAAATCCGATCGTTATTACCGATTATCGTTGTATCCGGACTGACCCTGAAAACTGCCCAAAATAGTTCCCCCAAGCAAAAGGTTACTCATCGGTGTTCACTGAATCACACCATAGAAGAAGCGAAACAATATAACAAAGTTTTATTGTAGGGTCATCAGCAAGCACGCAATGAAATGGTGTCAAACACGCTAAAAAAAATCCAAGACCTCCGCTCGCTTGCACGGCAGCTGGAGCTTGACTATCGCGGTGTGCATTGCGTCCAGTTGCTGCGCGTACGCCGACGGTAATCCCTTGGAGTTGACGAAATCGATCAGTGACTGGATTGAGAGCAAGGCACCTTGGGTGGACATTGGAGGCAAACCACTGTCATTGTCACCGCCGTTGTCACTATCGTCGTCGTCGTCGTCGTTGCTCAGACTAGCTCCCCGTCGAGACAACAGTTCTTCGACGATCGCTTCTTTGCTCGTCTCGTCACAGGAAGCAGCATCACTGTCAGCATTCAAATACTCCGATAACATAGCTCCGCCTGTGTTTTCTTCTGATGCTGCGATGTGCTCCCACAATGCGGTCACGTCAGATGGTTCCATCTCTTTCACCAGAGCGTCACTTTCGTTTTCACTGTTTACATCGTCCAGCGAAGCGGGGAAGGGGAGGGCGAGGAGGGGTTACGGGTATGATGATGACGATAGCGACGAGGTTTTAAGGCCGCGCGCGGCGCCTACTCACGGAGTATTCGGTCGGGGCCCATCGGCGATGATCGCGTCCGCCGATCTCGGTCGTTTCTTAGCGAAATTTCACAATTTTTATCTCATTTTCTGTTGAATTTATGTAGTAAACACATTCTACGCGATCATTTATTGATCATTATATCCGATATGCCGGGAAAAATGCATCGCTATATATGGTTTATTTTTACATAGAACCAATGTAAAAATTTATGCTTCTATAAAATTGATCGTTATAACCGATATATCGTTATAAGTGGTATCGTTATGAGTGGACTGTACTGTATTTGCCCATCTCCTTCCTTAGATTGCAGTGACTGGACCTTCACAAGCTCTACGAAAAAACAAACAAAAGGGCTTCCTTCGCCAAGGGGCTGCAGTTGATTTTGCCAAGGCAGCGAACCTCGTGCAAATTTCTACGGATGGAGCAAAAGAACCTCTCAAACGAGTCGTTCCTTGGCTGCCCTGAAACACAGGAAGAGCAAGGCTTCTCAAACTTCTTGATCTTGAGGGACGCCCGTCTCTTGAGTGATGGGTAAAGAACGCCTCCCGGTTTCGGCATTAAAGCAGTAAAGGAGTGCAGAAGCCTACAAACCTTGTAAACAATACCACACATCTCCAAAGTCCTACAATGCATGGATTGATCAACCATTCACATTTGCTTAGCAGACAATAAATGTCACGTGACATTATCATCTAAAGTTGCAGCGTCACGTGATCTAATGTCACGAGGCACGGTGTCGCGTGACCTGTCACAAGCACAGCGACACGATACCCAACATCACACTAGAACACCGATACTTGAAACCCAACAACAACCAAGCCAGTTGAGCTGAGGTGTCCCACCATGCAGTAGGCACAGACAGACAAACACATTTTTGGGAGTAGGGGGTTCTTTTGAAGTGTACCATGTTTAAAAAGCGTGCTTCCTTAGTGCATATGCTACCTCTGGCCCCCAGGGCAGCGTTGGCCGTGGAGGAGGCCTGTTGGTCGAGGCTGTTTATGCTGAGGCTGCAGCGCACCGACTCCCTCAGCCTTTCGGCGGTGGCCCGCACCAGCTGCACCACGCGCAGCTGCAGCAGCTGCAGGTGGAAGAGCACCTGCAGGGCCACGCCCACCTGGCTCTTGTTCTGCAGGGGAAGGAGAGGACAAATATAGGATCTCATATTAAGCACCCAGTCACCAAGTGAAACACAGGGCATGGCAAGCAGCAATCATTTTATTGCCCCCCTATTGCAGCATTAGCTGATAAGAATGCTGAAGAACAAATCATGAAGCATAAAGATGACGGGCCACCCCGCGTGCTTCTTAACTGTCAATGACTATAGCAGGAAAACTTCAGTTGAAACAAATTCCAGATGTAGAACAGGACTGCAAAAAACAAACGTAGCACATGTCTAGTAATAAACACCACTATGATCTTAACATTTCCATGTGGGATGACTACCCGTACCGCGGTTCGCGAGACCATCCCGCATCGAGGGCTCATATCCCACGTCCCGCAAAAAATGCCAAAATCTTCAAAATGTTCCGTATTTACGCTATCGTAAAATTCACTACGCAACACATGGCATTGTCGAGCAACGAGGCACGGGGAAATGCGGAGGTCGCTGATAATCATGTGAATCGCAGTGGCACGCCATTTTCTATCCAAGCATGGCGGGAGACGACCATCGTTCTTACGGAAGTATTGACGCACATGTGCCGCTGCATGTGCGTCAATACTTCGTGGCAAAATACTGCAAAAAAATTGCTCGCCATAAGTTAAAAAAAAAAATTTATTGTCATTATTTTCAAATTCAACTGTGTCAATGATAAAGGGTTACTGTGGAGAGATTTTTCTAGTGAAGACGCCCACACAAAGCAAAAAACCTGCAACTCACGACGGTCGAAAAAAACAAACAGAAGGTTCTATATTTGTGTAAGAACATGCTGATAAAATTAAGCATCGACAGGAAACAATAAGCTGAAAGAGATTTAGCGTTTCTTTTTTCCTCTTGATGTATCGAGTCCTGTGCAGACACTTTTTATGTTTTCAACCCAGACGCATTTATTATTTGACATTAAAACTTAAAAAATATATCACTGGGAGTGAAAATTATTTGAGCTTAATTGAGGCAATCCAATTTGCAGGTGTATAACGTGTTTTCAGACGGCACAGGATATTAAAAGTGCTAGCAGAGCCACATTTCGTGTTGTGCGTGTTGGTAAATTTTCTTTAATATTGTAAGACCCTGAATTTTCAAGGCCTTGATTTTTCGCGAATTGGGCAGAGGGGTTACACTCTAAGCTCGTTACAGCAGATTTGGTTACAGTGGACATTTGGATATAGTATACCGATTTGTAAAGTTTGGTTGGTTTTTCTCTACACGCCATTGACTCCACTTCATATCTGCATACAACGTACTCCTCTTACAACAGACCGAAATCTTAGTCAAAATCAAGGTCTGTTATAACGAGCTTAGACTGTATTATCGCGCTCCCTAAAGTTCATCCTCCACTCCCTCCCTCCCTCCCTCCCTCCCTCCCTCCCTCCCTCCCTCCCTCCCTCCCTCCCTCCCCCCTCCCCCCTCCCCTCCCCTCCCCTACCCCCCCCCCCCCTTCCCCCCCCATGGTCAGTGTGTAGAGCTGAGGAGGTTCCAACATACGGCTGAGCAAATTACGTATTAACAATATCGTCTGTTGCGCGGCTTGTGTTTGTTGAATCAGGAGTTTGTTATGGGGTAGGGAACATGCAGTAAAATGAACACTTCAAAACATACACGTGTTAAAGTGGACATTTTTGCCTGTCACAATAAATGAGTTTTCCTACAAATTGGAGATCCGGACGTGATGTCTGTCACCGTCCAAATCGTTAGTCGTTCTGCTGCCCGTGTCCCAAGCCAGCAGCTCTCATGATGGCGGCGCACAACCAATGCACCATCTAATTCAGTTATCATCTTCGCCGCTACAGAAATATTGATGGACCAATTCCCCTAAGCTTTGTTAGCATGCATGGAGCTGTCACTGACTCCAGTGGTGTGTCTTCAAGTTGTGATAAGCTTGTGATGCAGGTACAAACACACAAAAATATTTAGTTGTGCAAAGACATAAATGCTGTGACGGTATTCAGCATGGTACCTTTAGCAATCCATGCATCAACGGGAGCTTGGTTTCGAGCTCGAGTGCAATCCGACGCTGTGCACTCAAAGCAATGGCTAAAATATAACAACCACCAATGATGTTTACTATAAGGTTACCAACTCTTCAATGAAGGAAGTTGAGACGGGGTGGGGGGGGGGGGGGGGGGGGGGGGGGTGCAGTACGAGGGAAAAGTGGGGAGATACAAAGGGGTTTATACAAATGATGATGATGATAACAGTCACCAGGCGCGATTTCCGGCTTGCCATTGCTTTTGCATGCTAAAGTGGCTAAAACCTTGCAGCCAACGCTAGTCACCACAGCACTGTTTGTGCAATTCATGTGAACTCCGTGTTTCGCAGCGTGGCGCGCATTGTTGGCCGTACGTTGGATCACATACACCTTTCCAAAAAACGCTCCTAAGCCGCCGCCATGTCGCTGATGCTGATGCGGCTGGTGCGACCCTCGCGCCCTCTATCGGCTAGAAATTTTCTGCCACTCTCTTGGACTGTGAAAACCTGCTCAGCGCGGTTCTCTACCTACGTTTTTTGCGGTTTTGCATTCAATGTTTTCTCGCCCCTCCTGAAAGTTTCCACTTAATTTTTGTTATGCATGCTGCGTACCCTTTTTGTGTTATCTTCCACGGTGAGAAATAAGGCTGGTAAGTGCCTGTCATTCCAGCTTTTCTCCTCGACATTCACGGGAAACGAAGGAGGTGAAGGATGTCGAACGACCCTCGACGTGATTTTGCAAACATTGTTTTCCCCCTCCCAGAGATAATCCGCGTAGAATCCTCAGTCATCTCCAAAAACAGTTGTCCGGGTTGGGGTGAGAACCGGGTCAGTCGCGTTTATTTCTTTGCCTTGGTGCTGTTGTGAAAAAAATGAAGCTCTCCCCAAAACGTGCCCCAAAACGAAGTCATCTTGGATTATGTCCGATTGTCAAGATGTGACTGTCGTCGACTCTGACTATGTTATTTGAGATCTTTCTCAAATGAATTTGTTTCAGATAACCCTGCATCGTGTGGTACATACAATATATTGTTGGAATGTTAACACTTTCTAAATTGTATGTCCGAGTCCTGTCCATCGGCAAACACGTTATTTGTGAGCTTGAAAAGTGCATGCCTTTTGGCTCTCTTTTGTTGCGATTTATTTTTGACAGCTAAGCGCTTTGTCATTTCACATGCGGCGAATTGCGCGGTGCCGTCAAAACTTATCATAAGAAAAGAAACACAAATAACTAGAACTATACATTCCAGTCGCGCGTACCCAATAAAAAGTTTAGTTTTTTTTTTGCTTTTTTGTTTTTGCAAATGTGGCACAATGCTTTCTCAATGTCCTCAGGGAAAATACATGTACCATGAAACACGAAATACAGCGGAAAAAGACGAGAATTTAGCCGCAAACGCGTTTGAAACTGCGCCTATTGAAATCACAGTCCACTCGGTTAGGGTTAGGAGGGACGCCGGTGAGAGTCTAGCCTCAAACTCAGTGACTGGGCTCGAAAACGGTTTGTTGCCTCTCGGGTCAAGTGTTTTTTGGAAAGGTGTATAGATTTCTAGCTCGACCCTCTGGACCAAATCCGAAACATAGACCTGTCCCGACAGGGACGATGAGGGACTCGGGATGCTTTATGAAAAGTTGGGACAGTCCCGCAAAATCCGGGATGGTTGGTAACCCTAGTTTAATAGGATTCTGAAAAAAATCTATCGAAGTACCGATAAGACTAAAAACAGTGACACAATAAAAAGGATTTCCTTTCTTAGAATTTCTAAATTGCCTACAGTAAAATGGCTTCACTGCAGGCACACTGAACCATATATACAAGTAACATTGATGGATTTCGGTATTGACTTCCAACATGATCCAGTGCAAGCGATGTATTTATTTTCATCCAGTTTGTTGTGTTGAATTGGTGAAAATATGGTGCATAAGAGGCAAGATGCAGCGGCTCGGATTCACCTTCGCTTAGACGCTCAAGCATTTTTATTAAAAGTAAGCATTACCACTACACCTGGCACATGTAGATTTATAGTACAGCATCTGCCACATCAAGCTGTGTGACACAAGGAGCAGAATAAATGTAACCATAAAATAATCAACCAAAGTCTCGACACCAATCCAACATTTTCAGAAATCCCGGTTTGAGTGTTTTTTGTTTTTTTTATACAAAAATAAGTGGACGTGGCAAGCAGCGAAGCTTCCGAAACATTGCATATATGCCCATCGTAGCTCGTCTTTCACCGCCAAGTTTATATAAAACCCTCTTCCAACCCCTTCCTAATAAGGCCCTTTGTTTCCTCAAATTTCTATCAAGAAATCCTCGAACCAAGCCTCCGGCGGGGGGCACCGATTCTTCCAAAAGAGGTGGACCTTTTCCTGCCAATGCACCAAACTAACAATCAGCACACGCTTGTCGACATTTTCTCCAAACACAAAGCAGCAGACACCAGATGCGTATAACGATACCACATATGACAATGTGCTGCTTATAACGACCAGTTTCTAGAGTTTCTAGACTAGAAACTCTTAGTTTCCAGTCCATATACAACAATAATCAGTTATAACAATTAAATTTTCGGCTTTTTTCATTATCGTTATAAGTGGATTGCGCTGTAGTACCACCTAAAAGACAAGGACCGCACACGACTCCATCTAAAGCTCGCTGAAGCTCGACGGGGGCCGCTGCGAGGCAGCAGACGCGTCCGTCTTGGTGTCGTCGCCTGCTAGCGTCGCTGCTTTAGTAATACAATGCGAAACGCACCGGCGGCGCTGCAGATGCATGCCGGGCAGTGCTGCCCGGATCCACCAGTGATGGAGTTTGGGAAGGAAATGCATGCTTGGTCTCCCCGGTAGTACTGGGGACCCTCACCTGAGCCTCGGTGCCCTTCTCGAGCATCTTCTCCGCCTGCCTCTCGAGCGACTGCCTCGCCTCGGCAATGAAGGCCAGCTCCTCCTGCACCACGTCCACTCCGCTCAGGTCAACTCCTTCCAGGAGCTGGTCTGCACACCACCGAGAAGAGGAATGCACTTTATCATTAAATTAAGCACATGCCGAATCGAGCGAACCTAGAGATAAGAAGCCTGAAAGGTTGAGTGTAGATGAGGCTCCTTATCCTTCAGTCTCAAGGACAGACTCCATACGCTGACTCGACGCTTCAATGTCACGTTAAAACAATGATGCTGCTGCGTGGCCAAATGCTTCATCTTTCGCAAATCTGCTTTTTGAGCATGCGCAGTCCTCACATCTGGTGTGGGCATTGCTTGCTTGTAAACAATGTGTTGCCTATTTTGTAAACAAAGCGTAGCTCCCTTTCTGTAAAAAATACGGCCAAGAGACTTGCCAGGGTCAACGGCGGGCGGCGACGCAGACGACCAAATTGAGAGGCAGGGAGTGCTTGGCGCTTGTATTGATAGATGGCACTACCCTCCTTATTGAGACGGCTCGCAACCACCGTGGTTTATTAAAATGAACATAATCTTTGAATGCGAAAGCATTAACTGTCCCATAGAGCGAGCCGACATCATCAGTCTGAAGCGCGAAAACGGACCCTAGTTTCCCTGATCCCAAAGGTCCCATTGGCTGGCGCGCGGCAACAAGGCTCCCATTCGCCGCTGCGTGCATCAGTTTCAACGACCGCCGCCAGATGGCGCTGTATGTCCAAGCCGCCAGCTCGCCGATAAAACTAACCGCTGCAACCCCATGCCACTATGGGCCCCACGCCGGTTAAAACGGACACGCTGGCGTGCGCTCGCAGGCTTCTGCTCGTCTCCCCGCCGACCGACGTGCCGGCGCCTCCATCATCCACATCGTCGGCGGTGCTTCTGTTCGTCTCGCCACCGACAAATATGGCGCCGCCTCTAGCATCCACATTGTCAAACATTCATGCTTTCGCATTCACAACTCATAAGGAGTGCTCAGGTGTTTTCTGACTTTTTTGTAATGTACCTTTAGTTAAAAAATAAATGGAAATAATAAAAGCAAAACTCAAAGTAAAAAAAAAAATGTCTGCATAACGACGGCGTTTTTGCTGCTAACGGATTTTGTGTGCCTGTCGTCTGCTTTCTTTCGCTGGTCAGCTGCACCTTCCAATGCTGCTCCCGACGCCATCTATCAATATGCGTGCCAAATGCCCGCCGCTACACAACTTAGTCGTCTGTGTTGCCGCCCACTGTTAACCCTGCCAAGTTTCTTGGCCCTAATTTTTACAGAAAGAGAGCTATGCTTTGTAATTTTACAAAGAAAAAAATGACCTGTGAAATACATCTTTGAAGAAAAGTTCAGACTGCTACGTGCAAGCATTGATTTTTACGGTCAATTTTTGATTGAGCCTGGTGACTTGGGACACCCTATATTACAAAAGTGAAATCAAGTTTTGGAGAAATGTTGGTGCAAATTCATAATATTTTAGTAAAATGTAGCAGGATGTAGCAGGGTAAGCACTTAGGTGCAGTTTGGCACAAATTGTGCAGCAATCACATCACTGCAGGTGTTTGAAAAAATTTCAAACTTTACTTAAACCTTTGTCTATTAGTATATACACCAACTCATGTTTACAAACAAACCAGAGCGCTCCTAGCGGACGCCACTGGCGCCGCGCATGCGTGATGGAGTGTAGGCAAGCAGCTCGCCGTCGCCCATAAACAAATGATTGAAATGCGATGTTGTCAACGTCGCTGTGAGTTCCACTGCCCTTTTTCGCAATCGAATTGTTGATTCTACATCTTCATGGCAATGTCTGACTATTTGAGCGGCCTCAGTGAAATTACCGAGGCTCGTTACACAGCAAAACTTCACGTGAATAATTAAACATGCAGCGAGTCATTCCGCATGGACGTCGCAGAATGTACACTAAAGCCTAATTCACATGATGAGAATTCGTTCGCAATATCCGGTCGCGACGTCGCTTGGGCTGCGAAAGCATGAACCTTAGCTGAGATGGTCAACGTTGATACTTAAAATCGCAAGCAGAATAGGACTGAGTGAATTAGGCATAACAAGTTAATGATGGCCACAGGTAACAATGATCAACATCTCCTTCTATCTACTGTTTACATCGAACCTTCTTACCAACCTTCAAACTTAAGTCTTTTGAGGCATGCACTTACTTCTTATCGCAAGTACTGGGCCAATATTTGGTCTACAGGCCAGTGTCGTCTAAAAGAGCAGACGACAAGCAGAAACGTTTGAAAGAGCCGACGACAGTTCAAACGATCAGGCGGTCGTTTGAACTTGAAGACGCACTGAACGTAGTCCGCAGGTGGTCCGTACAACTTGACAGTTTTCCGGCGTTCATGTTGGAACAAAGCAAATAAATCCGATGACTACAAGCATCTATGAATTTAACCCAAAGTGCTTCCCGCCCAAGCAATCGTGGTCCAACGGCGTCTGGTTTTCCCTTTTCACGGCACATATCCACGTTCTCGGACGAACCAAGTACATGACAACTGACCTTCAAACCTTTCTCGACTCTTTTGGTACAGCCCCAGTTGCGGCGTTTTGGTGAGAAGGCAGGTTTTTGTCAGGTTCCTTTCAAAACAATGCAGGAATACACGTCTCACATGGGGACTTCCGCCCACAGCCCCAGACCGGAATGCGCCCGACACGCCACCACCGCGCCGTGACGTAACAGAGATGAGTTCGTGTATATCCAAAAATTAAAAACAATTTAGATTAAAAAAAATCTAAAACTGTCAAAGTTTTTAGATACACATTGGTTTTGTTTGCTTGATAGCCTGACCGATCAAGACCTGCTTATGAGCATACATGCGAGTTCAATTCAATGTGCTACCCTTGAATAAGGTAGCACAAAAGTTGCAGCTTATGTTGGAGGTCTCATTTTTAACAAAGATGTAAGAATCACTTTACATAGTGTCTAGTTTGCCAGACCTTATTTGCAAAGAATCTAAATGGCGCCGCAGTTATCAAATGCAGGGTAGACACCTCACTATTTTTCATTCCGCACAGCAAGCAATGTAACTCTTTACAGGGTGCTTTGAAGTGAAATCTGGGCATAAAAAGAAAAAAATTAACATATTATAATAAGGCCAATGAACTGAGTGTAATGAAAATTTTCACAAAGGTGTCTTTACGTCGGGCATTTATTGTACACAAATTTTATTAGTGTAGGTTTTAGGAAAAAGAAAACATTTAATCCTAAAATATCTTGTTTTTTTCCATGCACAGGAAGGAAAACGATAAAAACAGTCTGATTAAAGCTGCTACTTACAGATCATACCATAAGGTACACATATGATACAGGATGGCACAACATAAGGCAAAAACGTGAAAACTAGTTTGAGATGAACACCCACAAGCAGATGCAAGTGTGTGTGGTACGATATGTGAATAACACCCAGAAACACCCTAGCTGTAGACTAATTGTAAGGATTGTTGCACAGAGCAGCCTCGTGTGTTCACTTGTGCAACACATCATCCTTACAAAGCATCCCAGGCGAAAATCAGTCCACTTCCAGCTGGATTATGAAACTACAAATGGGGCGGTCCAGCTGGACCGCCTCATTTCTAGTTCCATAATCCAGCTGGAAGTGGACTGATTTTCTTCTGGGATATGCATCACCCATCACCAGACCCCGACCTGCTTCGTTGAGGCTCTGGGCAGCCTTGGTGATCTCCTTGGCACCCCCCTGCATCTGGGTCTGCAGGCGCTTCACCAGCTGGAAGAGGCGCCCAATGCGCCGGATCATGTCGCATGTGTGCTGCAGCCTGGCAAGCATGGCCGTCTGGTTCCAGGTCTTGTTGTACGGCTCCACCACCTTGCTCTGCAACCTGCATGCCATCGCCACGGCGCATCGAGGCCATTGTATCGCTCGTGAACACATCAACAATACATAGTGAATGTATGAATGAATGGATTCCCACATTATCTCTGCTTCTGTTTCTTGTATCATTTATGTCTCCAGTTTCATAAGACTTACTCGAAAGTCTCATAAAGCTGGCTGGCAAACACAGGAGACCTTTCCATTATCAATGGGAAGCTATGAGAGGAGTGAAAAGGAGTTAAAACTGTATATAACAGGCATAATGAATAAATTGTTCAATAAAAAAATGACCACATCTCCACGTGGTGAATGATGTTGATTGGGACGAAGCTCTGATGGTGCTTGTCTGCGTAGACGCTGAGCCGCAGCATGCAGAGCCTTTCGTTCGTTTTCATCCATGTCAGAAAGAGAATGTGTGGTATGGAACGTACGTGGTTATATACACATTTGAGCATTTGACCACAGCGCCCTCTCGTTGCATTAAGCCAATGCACGCAAAGTTTAACGCGATTATATACGCATTTGACCGCAGCGCCCTCTCCTGTATAGACGTTGAGCGGCTACATGCAACGTTTCATCCATGACATCCCCTGCTCTTGAGTTACTACCACATCTCAGAGCCCCGTACTTGGCCCGCAGTCGTGGCCGAGTGGTTAAGGCGATGAACTAGAAATCTATTTGGGTCTCCCCGCACAGATTTGAATCCTGTCGACTGCGCTTTTTATTTATTTTTTTTTTTTTTTCTACACGAGCACGTGAGCACGTGCTCATGAGCTCGATCACGAGCAGGAGCACCAGCAAGATCTATGTGAGCACGGACGCCGGACGTGGACAAGGCCAGACCCTAAGGAGCTTTGCCCCTAAAAGTAATCTCGAGGAATGCTAATCTGCCATATTGATGACCTGCCCTGTGACTGTGGCTTCTTGTTTGTTGATGATGTGAAAAAAGGCTGAACGAAACTTGCGAGCTCGCTGTCAGCACACTCTCAAACGCCACTGAAACGCGAGTTTCCACGCCGAACCCGAAAAATTAACTCACCGTTCAGACGTCTGCTGCAAGTTCTGTATGGACACAAACATGGTTTGAAGCGCGCTTTCCAATGTCTCGATGCCGGTAGCCTGTGCCAGCAGGTCTTCATAGTGGGCGGACACCTGGACATGGGCACATCATCCACAAACCACATCACAAACACTATCAAACTGATAACGCGGCGTAAAAATAACGGGCGCAAGGAAAAGTTTAAAAACAACTGCCTTCGGATCGTAGCGCACCTGAGTATGGAGTTCCTTGTCCAAGAGCGAGATTCCGGTGGCAAGTTTGCCCAAATGCTGAGCGATCGAGAGGTCTTGAATCGCGCTGCAGGCAACGGCCTTCGCGTCGAACTCATCCGACAAGAACTGTTTGAACACACCTGTTGAAAGTGAAAAAAATATGACAGGTTTCAGGACGCACGACGGACTTACGAGGAAAGTCCTTACCATCGTCCCGAAACTGGTCCAGCACCCCTGACGTGTCGTCCGCCATGTTTGTTTATGTTCCAGGAGTGATCGACCGATCAGTAGTTGACAGCGCGACAGCGCTCGAGCACGTGTGCGTGTGCCCCGTGTGCCGTTCCGTTCCTCCGTGTGCGGCACAGAGATGTTTTTAAACGGCGTGGGCTCTTTAAACTGAATTTTTATACTCCTGCAATGAAGAGTGACAGCCATAGAAAGCCTTTGGATCTGTTGGAAAGCGGCGACCTCATCAAAATATGTGCTCCGATGGTGCGGTATTCCAAGTGAGTTGCTCTGGTGCTCTGGCTACGGCGCGGTTTGATGATCCGCGTCCGTAACGGGTCGTTACCTCGTTACTTTTCCGGCATCATTTTAGGCAGGCTTTTCGGATGTTGGTCAGGAGGTACTCCGTCGACGTTGCCTACACACCGATGATTATATCGGATTCGTTTGTGAAGTCTCGGAAGGCAAGGGATGCCGAATTCACCACCGGACCAGGTAAGTGGGTGGAAGCATATGATCTTGATTCGTGCTGAAGATCATGTTTTTCTTGCCCTCACAAGGTGATCGTCCATTGATTGTCCAATTCGCTGCAAACAACGCGACCGACCTGGCTAACGCATCTGAGCTAGTTTACCCGTAAGTGAGAAACAGATGAGAGATATAGCACCTCAGTTCATCTTTAAAGTGAACAAATTGTTCCCAGGTACGCTGATGGTGTGGATCTCAACTGTGGCTGCCCACAAAGGTATAGAACATCTTTCACGCCTTTCTTTTACAAACATGTTTGGTGGGCACCGCCTATGTAAAGCTCCCCCGTCATCATGCATGTCTTCATCAATTGTCCGTAACCGCTAGTCTATATATGTAAGCTGGACACTAGCTGTTTTTCTCCAAGATGGGCCATGGCAGAAGGTTACGGCGCGCACCTGCTGAGTGACCCAGAGCTGGTTCGAGACATGGTGCATCAAACACGGAACCGGCTGAGTGATCCTGGCTTCACGGTGTCCGTCAAGATAAGGATTTGTGAAGATATGAGGTAATTGTATGCGATAAACACGCCAGACAAAGCGTGATACACATTCTTCATGCGTTGTACATACATGTTGAGAACACTACAAGCAGTGCTTCATCCCAGATTTCTTGTCTGCAACATATTTGTTTCATATCACAAGAGAGAAAGATGAATTACATACTTGCTATAGCATATATGCAGAGGGGGGAAGGGCCATAATCTAGAGCAGTGGTTCTCAAATGGGGGTCCGCGAAGCCCTCACTCATCAAGAAAGCCTGGCAATAAAGGTTGTATTGTTTCTGATCGAGGAGAATTTTTTAAGTTTTCGGGCGCGTATCTTGTGTAGGATGTCAACAATAGAAGTCTACTTCACACCAGCCATTAGTTATACCCATTTATTAAATCATTATTATATTTAACGTTTACCTTTCCCCTCTCTTCACCACAAACGGGGTCCTCCATCATTTCCGCCGAACCACAAGGGGTCCGCGAAACATCGATGGTTGAGAACCACTGATCTAGAGTTAGCCCATTGTCACTGTCTTGCATCATATGGAACACACACTTTGAACTTTCACAGATATCCCCAACCATTATTGAATTGGAAAATAGTCCCTTTTATTCCTTATGTTGCCGAGCCAAAAACTCCTTGGAAGCAGTTAGGTCCCGATATGCTTTGCCACTTTTAGAAAGAAACACTTTTAATATAGAAATAGTAGGGAAAAAAGCTTGGGGCTTTACTGCACATTAAGCATCCCAACCCGATCTTTGTGATTGTGCCACAGGAAGACTGTTGACATGTGCCAGAAGCTGGAGGCTGCCAGAGTTTCATTTGTGACTGTCCACGGTCGCACCAAAGACCAGCGCAGCGAGCCGGTCAACCTGGAAGCCATCAAAAACGTCAAGGACGCCTTGCGGATACCAGTGGTTGCCAACGGAGACGTGACCAGCTTACGGGAGGCCGACAGGGTGTACCGCGCCACCGGAACCAATGGTAACGATGGGAAGGCTTCTAAAACAAACCGTAATTCAGTTGTTTGAAAAATTTAACGTGATTTGTGCTTTGCCTTACGGGAACTTTTAGCAACATTCACTGGAAATACGTCATTGTCGAATGAGTTCAAGGCAATTCATTCAAAGTCACTGTTGGACCAGCTGCATTATCTCAACGGCGAAAGATTGGAGTGCAGAACACCAACGGGAAGTTGTAGTAAAAAAAGGTGTAGAATCTAAGTTACCGGTATAAATGTGTCATTAGATATTTATTAGTTTATTGGCATATGGAGGTTCTGCATCAGAATTTAAAAATGTGACTTCTGTACCTCAGAATAAGAAAAAAAGAAGAGTAGAAAGGGATACTCTTGGGTCCAGATCCAAAAATTGACACCAGACAATAGCCTCGGGGCCACAGGTGCCGTAGAATTAGTATGGCGACTGGCGTGTGTAGCGTCCTATTCTGCCCATGCATCTAGGGTGGTCCCAAAATGGCTACAAATGATGTCGCAAAAGCCGTAGTGTAATGACATTGGAATGGATGCGACTCTGTTGAGCGGAGATGGAATGGGACATTAAGCATCTCTCGGTCTGCTCACAGAACACAAATTTCAGAACCGGCATTTTACTCGTCTCCATCGACTGCAGGTGTGATGGCAGCGCGGGGGCTTTTGGAGAACCCAGCCATGTTCCAGGGAACCGAGCACACACCAGCAAGGTGCGTGAGGGACTGGCTTCGGCTGAGCACCCAGCTGGGCTGCCCCCTGGCTCAGTTCCACCACCACCTCATGTTCATGTTGGAACATGTGCTGCCACGAAGCGAGAAGAGGGTTTTCAACGCCCTCACCAGCTCTTCGGCAGTTGTAGACTACCTCCGGGACTCTTACGGACTTTGGGACGTTTCTTCGACTGCTCACGACACGCAGGCTGCAACAGCCGCTTGCAGCTGAGGAAAAAGTCGCCCGTGACGAAGCAAGACTTCAGTTGGAAGTGTTGACAATGAGCAAGTGGTGCATGCAAGAGACAGAAACAGCAGAAGTGGCGAGGGTGCAAGAAGACCGTCCTATTCATTTGTGTTATCATCTGTGCTACTTTCACTTCTTATGCATAGAAAATCTCCAGCAGTCACAAAGTATAGTGTAGTTTACAAAAAGCCTGTGCCTCAGAATTCCCCACTGTCGAAACAGCACTTCAGGGGCTGAAATACTGGACAAGCAGCATTTATTACTTTACGAGGCATTTCATTTGAGGTTGAAAAAGCAATGAATGTAGTTCACCTTGTAGCTACATTCTATGTTAAGATGTCATTAGTGACCAAGCATGCTTCAAGTTGATAGCATGAGGAAGTGGAGTTTGCAGCTTTGACTAAAAATCAAATCACCGCAGAGGAAAGCTTTGACTGTGACAGACGGACTACAACAGTGATGGGTGCGATGGACGCTTATGACATTGGAGACACTTGTGATGTGGATGGAAACTTTTTTTTATTGACACTTTTCCAATTGGGTGACAGTAATGATGACCTTGTGCATGATGAAGTGGAGGCCTAGTTTGTGCCTCGAACCGGAGGGGACACGAGGATGACACCATCTCCCCGAACAAAGAGCATCGGGATGGACCTCTTGGTACTCTGCACACACAAACCAAGTAAAGCAATCACCATACAGCAGCTGTGTTTTTACACATTTTTGTTTGGGGCAACACTGCCAACTTTGCCCACTGCTGTGGCAGGAATGGCGCAGTAAAACAGAGCTATGCAGAACTCCTTCGAGCAGAACTCCCACCCGTTCCACTTACAAGTAAACCTTTCTGGCGAAGTTCCACTTATCTCGAAGTTAAAGGCCATCGCATAGCCTTGACTTCCTGTAAGAAAGACAATCCACCTCTTCTCCTCTTATGCTGCAAGTGGGGCCGTGTAGAAACAGACAGGGAGTGAAGAGCCTTCTATATTTTTATTGATTTTCTCACTAAATTTAGCAGGGAAACTGACTTGGTACAAAGGTCATGTGACATCAATTTTTCCACTAAATTTAGCAGGGAAACTGAATTGGTCCAGGTGTCGTGTTGTCAAATCACACAACATAATTTTTTTGCCACTAAATTTAACGGGGAAACTGAACTGGTGTTTAGGTCGCATTATGTCAATTTCCCCACAAATGTTTGACATAAAATGCTTGGACGGACGAATGGACAAAATTTAGCGATTGGGGGGTTTCATTTAAGTGTGTTTCATGCTTTAAAAGTGGAGAGGATATAGGAAAGGAGGAGGCAGACAAGAGTGGAAAGCATGTAGTGCATGTTGGCCCTTAAAGTTCTAGGCAGGGTGCTCAGTCGAGCATAGGTCAGAATTTTCTTGTAAAAGCTATGCATCGCACAGAAGGTTGGTAACTGTGGAACACCAAATTTTACTGCTCTTATTAGTGTCCCATAGGAACACATTCTGCCACATTCGAGTAACTTGAAGATGGCCAATCTGTGCTAAAGAAAACATTAAACGAACACTGGCAATAGTGTGTGTTACGTATCCAACTGTCACCATTACTGTTCCAGAACCAAAATGACATCTGGTCTCAGGTACTGTATTCACATTTTTCCAGCGACGTGGTCGCCACCTAGTGAACTGGGAGTGAACCACTACAAGGGGCTTGTTGCTGGTACTTTCACAACAAACACGTCAGTTACTTTTATACTGCCGAACAGACATTGTGGCCCGGAAGGATAAAATGCACGGCACAAGAGAGCTATTCCGTGACTGACTGTTCGAAGAACTGCATCACCGGGGACGTGCTCTCGTACGATAATGGTGTGATCTGCTGGGAATCCGACAACCAACTTTACCTCCGACCAATCTTTTTTTCTACATGCAAGGTACGCCCAGAATCACGTATGGAACCGCGCTCGAAATACTGCTTACCTTATAGACTTCCTCGTACGTCTCTTCATCAATCTCAACGCTAGTCACGGTTTCCTCAACGTCCCCCAAGATCATGTTGAGATGTTGGTCGTACGCCTGTGAAAACATGCCTGTTATACCAAGCGTGGCTAGAGGCCTTTCTAAGTTCACAAGATAAAGATTAATTAAACCCCTCACGTGCAACCTTCCTCGAAGTTCGCGCTCGTTGCGCATTTTCACGTAGATCTTCTCGTCCAAACTCAGCCTGACCAGGTCGAGCGGCTCCTCCACAGCCGTCGTCGGTGCCTGAAACGCGGAACAGTTTCGATTATTTCCGTGTTTGCGTCTGCCTCCTGAAATCATTATCAAGTAAACCCCATCACAGTGGTTTGAATGAACCAATATACTCAGTAATTTGCAAATAAAACGAGAAACTAACTTGTTCGCCGTCATCCGCCATGGTTACTCGAGTTGAAGCTCGCCCCACACAACACAACCGGAAGTAAGCGCCCGGAAAAAGCTTTCGCGAGTAGCCGCGCCAGGTCCGATTGACGCGCTCGCGCAAAGCCAAGCGGAGAAATGCGGCAACAAACTCTAAAAGAATACGCCAGAAACGCTTCAGAACAATCGCCGCTTCTTCCTGGTCTATGGTCGCGGTTTTGCGGCCTCATCTTGTGCCTCTCGGCGTCGTGACTGGCGTTCTCTGGACCGATGTTGACGTGGATTCGTCCCCGACTCCGCGTCGCTTTGTAGACCATCGACAGCGACCGTGAGTAGGACCATTCAGCGCTCTCGGCACGCTTGTGTCGCGCGTCCCCGCGGTTCAAGAACGCGTCAGCCACTCGAGAGCGAGCGATCCCGCTGTCGTCCTATCAACTTTGTCCAATGGGGCGGTCAGTGCTCCTGTGATTGGCCTGCCAGCGCTAAGAAACTTTCCAGTCATGTTTTGCGTGGACTCTTGGCCCACCGCCGCGAATTTGAACTGGAGCTCGATTAATCGCCGGGGACCCGAGTTCGAGCACTATCCGAGCCGGAGTTTTGTCGGCCTCTGTAGCGTTCCCCCACTTAGGCCTAGGATTTTGGCGAGTCCGGCTGTCATGGATGGAACGTGTGTGTCCTCATGGGACGTGGCGTTTCGGTACTGCATTTTGGTCCATTTTCGCACGAATAAACGATGAACAAAGTGTGAGGCGTCTGCGGTATCGACTTATATATGTATATTTTTTTTAATGTGTCCAGGAAGGAGCAAAGATGTCCGATTCCCAGGCGTACACGAACGCGTTGGGGGCCCCAGAGGCCCATTCGGCGCTGGAATTTTTCTGGCCCCGAATCATGGAAGAAACGAGGAATTTAGGAATGGTACCTATCCTTCTACTTCCCCACTGTCAAAATATTTTTCATGGAAACTTGGTGCGTAGAAATTCCATTGCGTGCGCTTTTTCAGAACGAGTTCAAGAACCAAGAGCTGCCCTTGGCTCGCATAAAAAAGATCATGAAACTCGACGAAGACGTGAAGGTATGTAATTCGATGTAGAGCAGGACAACCCCTCCCACAAGGCTGTTCTGCTTGCCATGATTTGCTGGTTTCCTCCCTTCCAGCATTTGCTCTGCTAAAGGGGAAAGGGCGGAGGGCTTAATGGGAGATAGGAGCTTGCCCTGCTTTTGTTAAACTGCAACCCACTATTCGCGACTCCAGGGAACTATAGGGGGCGCGCTGGTCAGGCGAAATGGCAGACAAAAGGAGGCTGTTTTCGTCGTTCAGCACGCGAACCACCATAAATTTCTTGCACTGCAGCATGAAATCGGTGTCACATGTGAAAGCAAAGCAGTGGCGGATCCAAGGGGGGGGGGGGGGGGGGGGGGGGGGGGCGGGCGACGGGAGCGGTCGCCCCACCCTTAACGAGGCACTTAAAATGAAGGAACTCGACAGGCAAGTATTCCCGAGCCTGTGCGGGAGGCTTCGGAAGGAAGAAGTATGGACTTGGAGAAGGCTCCAGGCGGGCACTCTTGTGACCCCCACCAAGTTGCACCAGTGGTACCCCGACCGGTACACTACGGGAGCCTGCCCCTTCTGTGGTGACCCCTGGGAGGCCGCGTGCATCACATTACTTGGAAATGTAAAAAGATCGCTGGACTGGCTCTACTGGTGGAGCCGTCTACTCAAGAGTGGGAAGCGGGGCTGCAGAGTGAAGTCATCGATGTGCAAAAGCTGCTGGTGACCTGCATGCTGCGTGCCCAAGCCGCAATTGGAGCCCTGGAATGAGGGCATACACCCACTCTCTATCTCTTTAAACTCCCCCTTCCCTTCCTAATCTTTCCTGTTATGTCCAGTAAAGTTTTCAACAACACCAACCCCCCCCCCTCCCCCCTTCTCGGAGGGCAATTAGACATGGGTGGTCCTCCCTTGCACAAGAAAGAATAGGAGAATAGTATCCTTAAAAATTCCCCCCCCCACCCCCCCACCCCTCAAAAACGGAGTTCTGGATCTGCCCCCGAAGCAAGGCGATCTTTCGGCGGTAGAAACCTCCTTCTAGCCAGTGTGTAGGAATGAAATGCTGGAAGCATAAAAGTAGTTACTGGAAACAGTGTTTGTTTCTATGCTGCCTACAAGAACCAAGCAGCAATAGCAGACGACAGTCGAAATGACCTCTCTTGAGCTTCTCGGCATTGCCGCTGTGCGGCGTTGATTTCGCTTGAGTCGCCAGTATGGGTTTTGCTCACAGTTCTCACTGACTGTTGCCATTGGTATATGATTCCAGATGATAAGTGCAGAGGCACCAGTACTTTTCGCAAGGGCTGCTGAGATCTTCATCACCGAGCTCTCCCTTCGGGCCTGGGTCCATACGGAGGACAATAAGAGGCGTACTTTGCAGGTGACCGAATTTTTTCTCAAGAGGATTGTGTACACACCTTATTTGTTCTCGGGTAGGGCACCTCCATGTGTGTTTTGCTTAGGGTGGGGACATCAAACTATTTTCATTAAATGCTCCTGTTTCATCTTTTTTCTCTCTCTTTTTTTTTTTTTTTTTTTTTTTTTGCTTTGGAGTGCATGAAAGAGTGTTTCTTGGTACAAGCTTTTGGCATTGACTGTGCTCTGGTTAACATTTGCCTTCCGGCTATTTCTTTGCAAACACGTGCCATTTCATCATCATCATTTATTAAACCTTGAAAGGCCCTGACAGGCATTACGCAAGGTAGGGGTACAGGCTGGAGAACAGTGCTATATAAAGCCAGAAACAAAAATAAACACTCAGACCTTTAAAAAAAAAAAACATAATTAAACAAAAAACTAACACAAATAAAACATTTCTACAAACACAAATCGAATTTGCTATTAGTGCAACTACAAATGGGTGGTTAGTTAAATGTGAATGTTTTCACATTTAAGTGTGAAGTGAAAGGACCTATTTGGGTCACGAAACTGTTGGGCAGTGAAGTGAAAGTTTGACTGTCTTTACAGACATTATCAATGCGAGGACATATGCGAGTGGGTGGGAATAACAATAATGGCATCAGGTGCTACAAATAATGGGATCACTTTAATCGGAAGATCATTAGGGCACCCCAATCTCACCCCTCCTACATCTGGTGACGTTTAACAAGGATATCGCCAGGATGATCTTTGGGGGATCAGGCAAGGAGACTAAAAAACCTCACCCCCAACCTTCTCCCCAGTCAATTTTCCTTTGGTCAAACCTTGTCGGTGTTGCCCCAATACCAAATCCACCGGAAGACAGAGTTAAAACTTTTGGCCAAAGCCAAGCAAGAGGGACCCCCATTTTCTTCTGTCCCGCCTGTCCCCAGCTACGCTATTTAAATTTAGATCATTTCCTCCAATCTTTTAACGATGGAAGTGTAAATATGCAGACGAGCTGATGAATTAACTCCGTAATGAAAAACCCGAGACTGGGGAAAGATCATTAGGGCACCCCAACCTCACCCCTCTTACATCTCGTGACATTTAATGACGATATTGCCAGGTTGATCTTTGGGGGTCAGGCAACAAGACTAGAAAACATTACCCCCCACCTTCTCCCCAGCCAATTTTCCTTTGATCAAACCTTGTCGGTGTTACCCCAACACCGAATCCACCGGAAGACAGAGTTGAGACTTTGGGCCAAAGCCACACAAGAGGGAGTCCCAATTTTCTTCTGCCCCACCTTTCCCCAGCTGTGCTAGTTAGTTTTAGATAATTTCCACCAATTTTCTAACGATGAAAGGGCAAATATGCAGGCGAGCTGATGAATTTTTCCATAATGAAAAACTTGAGACTGGGCAAACATAACAGACAAGGCAGGTTTTCCATTATGGAATCTTCTAACCTCCTTTTTGTGACTACAGTCCTTTTCTTCTCTATTATTCCATCCTTGCCACCAAAACCTGGCTCCCCCGCCAAATCCATTACTCCTTCAGTGCAAAGCCCCGTGCATGTGCACTTCAAGACCAAATGTTCCAGCAACTCACTCTCACTATGGCATACGACACATAATTTCCCAAAGCGAAATTATGGTCAAACATAATTTCACTTTATTAATATTGAATGTATAATAGCTGAGGCCTTGCTCCAGCTATTATACATTCCGAATCGTTACGGTAGACTGAATCCGAATCGTTACAGTAGACTCGTGAAAATTTTCAGAACTTTTGATTATTCCCTTAGATTGCATGCTGCTTGATTTGATCTCCTTGTCAAACACTGACTACTCTGAGGTCGTGCAATATTTCTCATGTTCGTGGTCAGGTGGGTTAGGTAGCTGTGCAATGCTGCGCCGCAGTCAAGTGAGAACTGCGGAGTAGGCATCGCGATTTTTGAATCTTGCTTTGCCACAGTGCAGCCACGTGCGAAGGGGAAAGCACTCCTCCAGAGCGAGGCAGTGCACAGACAAACATCAAATATGTTTTTTAAAAAAACTTGTTAATTGCTTATTTAACAACTCTACCTTCCAGTAAAAAATTCTAAATGAAACTTGCTAGTATGTGTAATAGACTGCAATATTATGATTTCTTTTTTTTTCTTTTCTTTTTTTTTAATTCGAGATTTAGCAAGGATTTTTCTGTATCGTGGAAAGATTTTTGTACACTTCTCTATATACTTAATTTTTTTTTATGTGAACTTGCTAGTTTAGTTGTTACCTTTGCATAGGTTCCATTTGTGTGATGGCACGGTGAGCAAAGTAAATTAAAACTCTATTAGCTGTAGGAGTGGATAGGATCTGGGGAAGAACCTTAAAGGGACACTGGCAAGGTATTTATGCTCTTCAAGGCTTTTGTTTGTACACGACATATGAAAGCCCAACTACCCAGAACATGCTTGGCTCTGGCGTTTTTTGTGCGACATTCCAATATTTCACCTGCCTCGCACAACCGGAAAAAAAGAATATGTGGCTGGGTGTAGCCACGTGACCTCCAACATCGCTCTCCTCCCCAGTCCAGTTTCGGTTTCAAATGGTTTCGTTTTTTTACTTTATAAAAATGATACACAGTGGCAAAATATTGATTGGGCAATCATCTGACACCATATTAAATTGCCTTGCAAAAAATAAAAAAAAAATATAATAAAAAAATGGGGTGTGTTGGTGTCCATTTAATGAATGCAACTGGATTGTTTTTAAGGCTTATTTATCATTCACTTGCCGATTCTTTGTTATCCTGAAGTCCTGCATATAAATTTTCATTCATCTAATGAAATGACAAAAGCTTTCTCTAGCTGAATTTTTAATGGCAGTTTTATTACCATCTTTAGGACTTCAATGAAACACAAACATGGGGGCTCAATCTTATCAATGAAATAGGAGCACGGGTGCTCAATATTATTGTTTTAAAATAGTTTCTGTGGAATATACCATTTGGTTTACCTTTGGCCTGGTACTTCTACCAGGAGCAGGTAGTTCTGTGTTTGAGGGAATCAAACCTGCCATGCAATAGAGGCTAGCAAAAAGTTGTACAGAATTGGGAAGGCAAAATAGACTGTTTCTTTTATGGACAGGCCAACACACGAATTTGACGTATAACATTTGGAGCTGTAGGAATGAAAATGAAGGGTGAACTTGTATACTCCAAAAGTTTCTTTAGCTGCTTAAATATGGACTTGTAGCAGCTCCCGCTCCAAGGTGACTTGGGCCAATCACATCACTGAACTCAACGGGCATGCCGGGCTTATGCCATTGCAAACATATGTCCTACGTACGTGTCTTATCTGTGCCATCGGTGTTTTGCGAGACCTTCGGAAGCCACCTGGACATTTTCACGTCTCGAAGGCACCGCCCGAAGTCTCGCAGTTGCAGCCGCTTTCTGTGGAACGTTGGTGGTCCTAGGCTGGAAGGTGCTAATGGGGTGCCCGATTTCTTTTCCAGAGGAATGATATCGCCATGGCCATAACAAAGTACGATCAGTTTGACTTCCTCATCGACATTGTCCCGAGAGATGAGCTCAAGCCAGCAGCCAAGCGCACCGACGACACTGTCCGTACCACGGTCATGCCACCTGACCAGGTTTGTGCTCATTCTTTTTTCTGTTTTTTTCCTCTCTAGGCACATTAGCAGGTGCATCGTGTCTCAGAAACTTGGGGCAGTTGGCCTTGCATAGCCTCGGGAATAAACGGTGCTTCGCTGTAGAGCCGTGGAGTTGGGTTGTATGAATTCCAGTGTCATTTCTCGTTGTCCTAATCTTTTCCTCTCCTTGCAACTATAAAGCTGCGCTCACTGCTGCATTTGCACAATGATTGCGCATGCTGTTGCTTTCAAGATCCAGTTCGATTTCATGCACCTTCCATGGAGAAAAGTGGCGAGTCCGCCTTTCATTCGCGACTCAACCGCTAGTCTTTGGTTTTCTCTTAGACAGTAGTTTCGGGAGCGAAAGGCCAGCAGGCTGCCATGTCTAACTAGAAGTAAGGTGACTTGGTGTTCTTTTTTGTGCCAGTGGCACACACTTGCGAGGAAAATACAAAGAAATAACAGTAAACAAAATGGCGCCATGCCATATGTAATAGCGCATGCTAGCCCGACTGCATTATTTGTTGCGGAAAATGCACAGGTGGGGCCGCAGTCTGAGGTAGAGTTGGGAACCGGTCCGAGCCAGTTTACACCTGGTGGAACCGGTAACCGAACCAATATTTCAAATGCATAAGTGAACCGGTAATGAACCAGAACAAAATAAAAGCTACTCTATCCGAACAGAACGAGAATAATAACCGGTTTGACACCCTGCCCTAAGTAGAAGGTTCCGACAGAAGCCATATTTTTTCAGAAAGCTTCCCTCGGATGAATCGTGTAGGGCTGGATCATACTGATTCTAGCCTTTGTAATGAGAGGTAGCTTGCACGACCCAGCCGCCGATTTTGAAAACGTCTTTACTTTCTGTCTAAGTGGACCTCAAGCTGCTAATGCCACTTTGATTTGCTGTGGCTTTGCAGGTGCAGTACTACTTCCAGCTTGCCCAGCAACATCGGGAAGCTCTTCAGCAGCAACAACAGCCCACGACACTGACCGCAGCTCAGGCACAGCAGCCACAGGTATGCTGTGTTCTCTAGAATTCCCTCGACATTCTAACATTAACGGGAAAAATGCCCTGCTAAATTTAGAGGAAAAAATTCCCCGCTAAATTTAGCGGGAAGAATTCCTTCCTCTCCATACCTTCCCCTCCTCCTCAAGAGTTGTGCTTTAATTCGGTGTTACAGGGGATTGTAAACGTCTTTCATTTTTTTTTGTTGTTGTTTCTGCACGTTTGAAGCATCTATTTTTTTAACCTTTCTTGCCAAATAGAAACAACTCGGAAAGGATAACGATACTTCATGGAGCGATACACTTTATTTAGCCTGCATGAAGGAATCTGATGGCTCTTGCCAAGGCTTCCAATCACACAGTCGGGCCATAAAACGTCACCACTGTGCCACCAGCCGCGCTTTTTGAATACACCGGGGTGCCGCCGGGCATTGTGGTGTTTTTGCCTGATCGAACTAAATAATGATGCACTAATATTTAGTGGCTACTACTTGTTCCCTGAGTAGGTTGACCCACTAATGAGGTAATAACATAAAAAAACTTTCAGCCTTTCCACTCTGGTGAAGAAGGAAGAGCAGCAGAGCTGTACTATGTGCCGCCATCTATGAGCGACAACGGCAACCAGGCAACTGGCATGCAGGTTGTCTAGTTGCTGCCGTCTCTCATAGATGGCGTTGGCTGTCCAGAGGGTTGTGTCGAGATTTCTTTGTCTACTGACATGAAACTGGGGAAACTAGCCCTTAACAGCTCCGCTGTAAAAAGTGCAAGAGCTTAAATATTGCCTCTTTGAAGTAAAAAAAGAGTTTCAAGTTGTTGAATTTTATTTTCTCCAGTTGGGTCTACACTTAGTGAGGTATTTCACTTGAAACTCGAGCGAAAGAGAAATAAATACAAAATATGGACGCCTTGTCTTTTTTATTTGAGTCTCGGGTCTTATCTGGATGTCTGATTTTACCTAAGCTTTTGGTGCTGCATTGCCGTGTTCCACTGGCACTCATCGGCCTAGCATTTCAAATACTTAGGAAATAAACTAGCCTTTGCTATTGATGGATCTCTGTATGGTTCAATGCCTTGGTCTTCCAGCAAATCCAGATTGTGCAAACCACCGGAGCCAACCCACAGACCCTGACCGTACAGAACGTGCAGAATGCGGCACAGGCTTTCTCAATGCCCTCCGTCCTGCAAGTGCAGCAGGTCAGTTGCCCCTGTTTCTTGTGAAACTGCTAACTGCTTTCTGGCGGGGGTTTGCTATCTGCCATGCTCTAACATTTGGAGCAGTCGGCACTATACATCTGCAAACATGCAATTACATTCTTGCGTACAAAACATATTGCGGAGTACAAACAGGTCGGACAGTCCAGCTCAATCACGAATTCTGGGTGGAGGCAGGAAGTTGGCACAGACATAAGATCAGCTAAGGAGACAGGGTAGGCCAAAGTAAAATAAATATATTCATTTTTATTTTTTGTGTGCCCGATGCACGGCTGCTTCCATGGAAACTCGTATTTGTTCCATCGCAGAATTGCGCAGTATCAAAAGGTCCTCTAAACTTGAATTCAAATTCTGGTCAACCCTCTAAAGTTCAATGGACCATCATCTTCGCTATTGTTTGTTTTAGATCTTCCTCTCTTGGCAAGTTTTGATGGGGACCTTTTTTAGAATGCGCTAGGTTGCCACTTGACAGAAACCAGAGACGAAAGGGTTGTTTTGGCTCGATGTGCTGAGCTTGCTTCCTCTAGAACAGGAAAGGAGGGGACTGGAAAGCATAAAAGAAACAGAGTGGATTGCAATGGAGGGATTGTGCCTACAGTTGGAGTACTAGGCCAAGCATTATACCTTCCAAGATCTCTAACCAGTGCCTGCTTCTAATAGTCTGAGAAAACACTGTAGTTTGGCAGTTTTGGCAGACTAGTGCCGAAGAAGCCACCCTCGCCACTCATACGTGTTCCCCGCTCACTCGCCGCTTTTGCGCTTGCTCGTGCTGTGTCCTGGTGTGTGGTGTTTGTGTTTGTGTGCTGTTCCCTCCCCACTGCCCTGGCTGCCCTGAAGCTCTTAGTGTCTCTGAAAACAGTGTGGTTCAACTTGGCTGAACCAGGTGGGAGCAGCCAGTGCTGAGCAACAGCAACAGAATGCCCAGCAACAGCAGATTCAGCTGCAGGTGAGGGCATGCCACTGCTGGTGTTGCAGCTTGCTCCCCACTCCACGCAACCCCAGCCCCTATCCTTCGTTCATATTCAGCATGGCCACTGCTTTCACCAAAACCCTTTGTTGGGTCGCTCGAGAGCTACGCTTGCAGCTACAACACCTTCCTTCCCTGCTCAACTGTCGTTTGTTTGCTGTGCTACACGAGCCTATGGTGCACCGTATCGCAACGGGCGCTTACCAAAACGCAACTTTGCATCCGAGACCCAAGGTTGGATGGTCTGCGACACTGCCGTCTCGCTCCATGGCGCACTATTTTAAAAAGCCATTTTTGATCATATAAAAGTTTCCGAAGAACAGGTGCAGCTGGCAACATTGATCCTCGCAACAGCGTGGCCTCTGTGGCTGCACAGCTTATCTCCGAGACTCTGTTTGCACCAGCATGCAAAAGGAGAGTTGCACGTCTTGATTGTGCCCAGCCTCGGTCTCCGAGCAACCGTTTTCTCGAAAGTGACCTTCCAAATGCTAAAACAACCCGCAGGGGGGCTGTGCAAGACTTGTTCCTTGTCCCTTTGCTGATCGAACACAACTCATGTGACACAACACGAAAAGAGGACACGACCCGTGTCCTGCACTGGCCGCCAATGGGCGACTTAGAAGACACTGCGGTACTGTCATCTGGGAGGTGCTGATACACGTGTGTTTGTGCACTCGATGCAAGCTTGTGCGGAAAACGAAATGATAAAGACAAAGCATGTGCTTCGGAGAAAATGGAGAATCGCGAAATAGCGAGGTCGTGCAACCGCAACTGCACGACCATGTTCCCTCTGTTGTGGGACAAAGTGCACGCCAAGTTCGTCTTGTGTGCGAGGCGACGCGCAATACATTTTTGTGTTGCCACCACCCTTGCCACAATAGTGCAAGGAAGAGACTGATTTCTGTAAAAGTCAAACGTTTTAGTTTAGAAACATTTTTTAAAACCTGCTGTTACTGTGTACTGCCGTGATATCCCGATCAATAGCCCAGCTAAAATCGAAAGCAAATCAGGTGAAAAGAAGAAGTAAACTAACTTTTAGTGTACGATAAAAACTTTTTTTTTTTTTTAAATGCCAGTTTTGTGATTGCAGGGAAGGGCGATAGACCAAAGACGACTGTCCTTTCCAGTAAGCAATGTTCTGTTATCTCCCGCCATGGACAAGGCCATGCAATTACTAGAAGTGGCCTATCTATCAGCGTTTTATGAAAAATAGAAAATTGTGCCAAAAATAGTGGTGGGTTATCTTCCAGGGATGGGGCATCTGCTGTCAGGGTTGCGTAGGGTTGTGCGAATATTCAAATTTTTCAATAGTAGTTTCGAATAATGCGCTATTCAATATTCTTATTTTTCGAAGTGTTCATTGTGGCAGGTTAGTCCTGTTAGGAGCACGTGTGCCCTGTGGAAGAACAACACCTGCGGAGCTAGCTTTTGCGGGTGTTGCTTCTCTGCAGTGCACTGGTGCTCGGCAAGAAGCGCACTCCACGGGGCTAAAACGCCACAATCAACACTTCAAAAAGTACAATATTGCAGCCGCATGCTTAGGAGGAAAGCATACTTTCAAAGCAGGATTGTGCACCTTCGTGCCTGGTGTATTTGAAAAGAAGGGGGTACTTTGGGAATGTTGATATCTATATTGCAGTAAATTCAAAAAGTACAATATTGCGGCCACATGCTTAGGAGGAAAGCATACTTTCAAAGCAGGATTGCGTGCCTGGTGTATTTGAAAAGAAGCGGGTACTTTTGTTGATATCTACATTGCAGTAATATTTTCAAAATTAAACTGGTTATTAGTATATGTTAAGCATAGGTGCCCTGACGACCTGTGTCAATCGTTCGTGACTGAAGAAAGGTATTTGCTTATAGATAGTATATTTACAAATCCCCTGAATTAGGCATAGCCAGGCATCTCGCTACGTTTAATTTTATGGCAGAAGCCTCGTTTACTTGCCATCCTAATGCAGGCATAGTGCTTTCTAAGGCCCCAGTAAGTAAATATAGTTGGATTAAAATTAACGTAAAAATAGACGAGTGGGAAGCTTGGGAACAATCTTCACATAAGCATGGAGCTGTAGTGAAAGGCTTAGAGAAGCTATTCGATGTTCAATTTGCAGATATCCGGCCAAAACCACTATTTCCTTTGAATTCGCTGCAAACTCAGTATCCACTATTTCCGCATGCCTATGGTGTACCTTAAAGGGGCACTGAAACCCTAAAGGTTTTTTTTTTTTTTTTTTTATGTCTAAAACAATGTATGTTGTAGTCTTAAACACAAAAAATATGGCATCGCAAAAGAAAAATTTCTTACCCGCGCGCACCTTTTTATTTTTGGCGTTTTCCTCCCCCGCTCCTCACCTCCTCGCTTCTTTTGATTGGCGACGTCAAAAATCATGAAATTTAGAAGCTTTGTAGGCGACATTTCTATAAAAATTTAATAACAGCAATCATAATACATGTTTTTAACGCAATTGCAAATGCACAACGGCCCATGCTCAACGCATGTAGCAGAGGGTGATCGGTGAGTCGGGGAATCGGACGAAGTGACCTTTTATAGGTGCCCGGCGACCTCTCAGATTTCGAAAAGGAAGTCGTCAGACGGTCAAAACAACTGGGTTTGGTGTCTGTGTATCGTAGTTTCGGTTGTGACACTGCCGGGCATAGTTATCTGCTCGAAGCGATGGGCAGCACGGCACTCACGCAGGAAACCGGTTTCCCACTACAGTAGTTCCTGCGGCGCCGGCGCCCTTCTCTCCTCGCTTGGGTCGCGGAGACACGTTTCGGAGCGGAGGCGCGAAAGAAACTCGACTCTCAGGAGCCCCTTAAAATTTGACGTCACTCCACTGGCGCGGATCGCGCAATAACTTCAAATTTGGCATCTGGAAATTGTTTTTTTACTTCACAAATACTGCCTTCCTAAGTTTAGAATTTTTAGGGTAATGTCGAGGCATCGTTTTCATTTGTTTCAAACAATAAAAAAAAATGTTCTTTTTTTGAAACAGTCTTGTTGGGACACGCATGTAAAAATATAAATTTTAGTAAAAAAAAAATTTTTTACAGCAATATTGACAGCGTGAGATTTATTTTAAATTCTGCGCGCAAAGTCCATGACGTCACACATACACTCGTTCCGCCTTAATGAAATCGTCATACACTCTTTCCATCTCAATGCGATGGCCCAGCCGATCCACCTCTTCATGCGCCAGAAATGCCAAGAGAGGAAACAAGTGGAAAGGAGGTAACTTTCGACTAACTCGCATCTCGCGACGTCAATATTGCACTAAATATTATTTTTTTTGCATGAAGTTTATTTTGTGACACGTGTGTCCCAATTAGACTAATTAAAAAGCTTTTTTTTTTTTTAGTGGCCCTTTTAAGGGGAAATTCAATGGTGTTTGTACTTTCGGTAAATGCCACTTAAAATTATTCCTTGACATTCGTGATCTATCAAACACATGTTTCGTTTCTTTCTACACATGTTGGCAGTTGCGGGAAAATGAGAGAAAAACGAGCAGCATTCACCCCCTCAACCCGCACTCAAAACAAGTAGCCACGTGATTTGGAGTCAATTATGTGCCGCCAATGTTTATGACAGCCACGCGCTGGGGTTTGCAAAGCACGAGCCACTGCCCGAATGAACGTCGAGGCACTGACTACACAAAATAGATTTTATCATCACCGCGGGGATCACAAAGCCTGATAACGAAATCCCGAAGATAGCAATGTTGACGACGCCAACGGTGGGATCCTCGCAACTTCGTTGTCAAATTTCGCAAAGGAGAGACAGAAAGCGTCCTCTTTTATCCGCGAAATTGCGCGGCAACAAAGAAGCTTCTTGGTCGGCGGCATCGTGCGCGAGTAGACATGGGTCCTGCTATACTCTGTTTCACCTTATGATGTACCGCAAGAAAGGCTACAAGCGCGAGTTCCTTGCTCTAGGGCACATCTCGGCGGCACAAGTTCTCGTGCGTTAACAGCAGCTCTCAACGCTATGAGCTCGTGCTTCTAGCCTTCTCTGCGGTACAACATAAGGTGAAACGGGGCATAGTGCCTGTTAGCTTGTATAAAGTTAGAAGCATTCCCAGTGATTCCAAAGCATGGTTCCCTTTCGGCACTCGCGTCCGACTATAGAAGCGTGTTTTGTAGTCGCTTCTAACTCAAAACGAGTCTTGCGACTTTTTCTAAAAAAACAAGTTCCCTTTAAGTTCCGTCCAGGCGATAAAAATGTTTTTAAAAATGTTTGTAAAAGCATTTTTGAGGGGACTTTAATCCTGAAACATGCTTCTATTTTGGGTACATGGTGACGAAAAAAACAGTGCAAAAGTCTAGGACAGAAGAGGAACATACACAACAGGACTGGTGCTGGCCTTGTGTATGTTGTACATCACCATGAACAATTTTTAGGGGGCTTCTCAAGATGGAGGCATGTTTCAAAATCTTTTCAAATCAAACTGTGTTCTGCAACACAAATGTTGTGCTAAAAATTTGTTTTTTGTATGCGAAAGTTTATTTTGTGTTGTATGTGCCTTACGCATGCACTTCAATTTTTTTTTCTTTTAAATTTTTATAGATGCTTTTTACCATTCTTTAGACAGCTTAAGGGTACAGATGTGCTAAAAGGCAGCTCCACTAAATTTTTTAAGTGTTGGAGTTTCAGCATTATTAGTGCTGCAACTTCGCTTAATTATGGGATGCAACTATTTTTTTTTTTTTCTCGCTCTACAAAATGTATTTTTCCAGGACGAAAGATATCTCCTAATGGGCACTGAAAATAAAGAAATTATTCCTTCGGGACAACATTATTCACCGCAGTGGACATCAAGTGGAGACTGTAAAGTACCAATTAGCAGAATAATTACCTGAAGCTCACTAATTAACTTTAAAAAATAAGTTTTTTAGTTGGCATCTTTTAATTCGAGACGTGTTGCTCGCCATCAAAATATGTCATAGCAGGCATTAGAATTTAGACAAGTAAATTCTGCTCCGCGCTACTCTTCGACAAATTAAAGTTGCGAGCAGAAACTGGACGCGAAAGAAAATAACAGAAGTCCCCCCCCCGAAGTGACATCACCTTCCACAGCAGATGCAGGAAGCGAGTCACCACGAGCCACGGAAGTAGGGATAAGAGGAGGCGACACACTGGCTCGAGCCAGCCATACGAGAAAATCACGAGCAAAGCTGGAAGTAGAGGTCACTGTCGGCGAGAATGCCCCCAAGGATTCCCAAGTCCATCCAATAGCAGCTTTTGGTTTTGGTCATCACTGGGAGCGTGACCCCCCCAAACAGGAAGTCTCCCACGGCTTCGCCCCTGGTGGCATCGTTCCACCTCCAGAAGCTTCCCACCTCCGCGAGCTTATAAGGGTCACGTCGCGGTAGAACTCGATGTCTGGTGAAAGAGTGTCGGGAATACCGCTTTTTGAATATGTTGACCGCCACTTCACCAACTTACCTTCCAGCTTTCACAATGAGCGTTGCTTCCTCGTTTATGTCGAGTCGAGCGGACGAACCTGTTTTTCCGGCCCCTACGGATGAATCGGAGGCGTTTCATGTATTTATGGGACTTGGTAATAGCAGAAGTCAGGACATTGATGACATGCAAATAAAGCCCGTTAAATTTGTGACTGTTACAATTGCCCCAGTGTTGCTGTACATATTTAACTTGGCCTTATCAACTGGCACGTTCCCAAATACCATGAAATTCGCAAAAATTTTCGTTTTGCATAAAGGAGGTGATAAAAATGTTGTTACGAATTATAGACCAATATCTGTACTACCCATATTTTCTAAAGGGCTATAAAAAATAATTTTGTGTCGTTGAGACAACTTTTTTCATTAAGCATTCAGTGTTAACTGACTTTCAGTTTGGTTTCCGCAAGGGAAATACCACAGGCAAAGGCTACATTGTCAAGTGACGTCACAGTTTGCCCACTAAATTTAGTGAGAAAGTATAAAGGAGAACCGCTTTCTGCAATGTCACGCAACACCATAATTCCTGCTAAATTTAGCGGACTGCACCGTACACTGTACGCACACCGAACCACAGCAAAACCTCGCATACAACAACTGCCACAGTAAAAAGTTTTCATTTTCTCTTTAACCCTTTGACCATCGACTTTTTTTTTTCCAGAAGATGTTTTTCAGTGGTGCGGTTCTGTTCGAAAGGAACAGTACAAAGAAAGGGTGAACACGCAGATTTTTTTTTTATTGTCTAGCGGGAGCACGTACAGTGCTTGCAAACTGTTTAGGTTTAGAAGCGTCCGATGAAGAAAGTATTAAAGGCGAAAAATCACCTTTCTTTCATTCAATTTTATTTTGGCGTATCCGCTTCTGCGACATTTCAGCGGCTTCAAATTTCTAACCGGAGGTACTTAACAAAACTTCTCCATCGCACGATTCACTCTTATCCTCGGAATTTAAGGGGAGACATAGGTTTTTAGAGCCGAAAAATCCCTAAAAAACTTGTTTGGAAATTGGTGATATTGAAATCTACAGCTATATCTTTTTTTTTTTTTTTTTGAAGATTAATATTGGAGCTATAATATCACTTTATAATATCGTACCTGCCAACTCTTCCGAATTTTTCGTAAAATGTATGAATTGGGACTAAATTTACGATTTTTCAAATCTTGCTTCAAATCTTACAAAAAAAAATTTTTTGTAATTTTTTTTTTTGTAAATCTGTTGTTGGCGGTATCTTGCACCGCCACAAGAGGGTGATTGGTACCGTCCACGGCAGCGTCAGTGTTTTTACTATCAGTCTATCGGTGGCCACGGATCAAAAACCAATCCAAAGCTCAAAGCCTTTGTTCGCGTGTTCGGTGGCGCACGTTGGTTCGACGTGTTTAGACGTTGTTGGGCCTCGTTGTTTCGGCCAGTTTCGAGGCAAGAAGTATGGCGTCTGTGTTTGTTGCACATGTAACCATAGCATTCCCCTGGTCGCGGTGGCTTCGCGCAGCAATGGCGAACTGCAAACCTCAAAAGAGGTACTTTCGGGTGTTCCTGGAGTCCTACACGTCGGATTCCCGTGCTTGGTGCCGACCAAAAAAGGAGAGAAGTTTGGATTCTGTAGCACGTGCACGTGTGATGTAATGCCCGTGTCCCACTAGAGTGACAGACAGAAACAAGAGACAGCGACAAGCCTCAAACCCATGCAGCATGCTTGCGATGGTACCTTTGGCAGGCGTTTAGTCGTTTGGTGCTCGTGAAGTAAGCATGCGCGATTGCAAGCCTGCCAAAGATACCCTCGCGTGCATGATGCTCGTGTTTGAGCATAGCCTTCTTTAATCTACAAAGCCTCTCAAATCGCGAAAGACTGTGGTTGAGGCTTGTCGCTGTCGTTTGTTTCTGTCTCTTGCTGTAGTGGGACACGGGCATAAGCTTTTCGCAAGGTGGCCAGGCACTGCACATCGCTTCGCATAACCCCCACCCCCCGTGGTCACGGAACTTTTATGAATTTGAAAGTCCACAGGTTGGCAGGTATGTAATATCTATTTGGGCTGAAATTGCACTGAAGCTGATGGTAAAACAACACTTTCTCAAAACACAAATTTTGGACTGCTTACAAATTTTCCGGAGGGCTGTCTCAGCATATAGGGCAGACAAATAACTTTTTTTAGTGGCGTTAGAAGCAGATTTTTCAAAATAGCTGTAGGAAAATTTTAACTGAGCTATTGTTTTATTGCTTGGTAGCCACACATTGAGCACGGAACTTCAATGTGCTGTGAAGTCACTGATAATGGTTAAACCTAAAAAGTGGTTCCAACATTGCATTCTTCATAATTCCTAGTATCCTCCCATATGTTAAAAACATTATTTTTTTAAAATGGGTTATCACTATTGTTTCTGGAAACAGTCTGGTTAATTAGTATAATTATCCTGAGAACTAACCTACTAATTAAAGAAACTACACATATCTGAAACCAGCACAAAAGTCTGAACAAGCCTGTGCTGTTTCGTTGGGCTCGTCCAGAAAATAAGGAAGAAAGCTCCGAGACTAGTGCTCCCACCCTTAATCCGAAAAGCGTCGGAGGTTTGAATCTAAAGAGCCAGTGCTCCCGTCGGCACTGCCGCCGGAGCAGCCGGTGTGCCAAGCGAGCGTCACGTGCGCGAAGCGTCTAATTTTAAAACCACAACTAGCCCAGCAATGCGAAAACAGTGTGCGAATATGACGTCGATAGCTCGCCAAAAATGCAACAAATGACAACACCCGCCGCGGCGTGCGCAGTCTCTCGTTTGGGTGAGCAATTCCAAACGTGTCGTCGCTGCCATATGGCTGCGACTGTTGAAGGGTTAACAGGTTTCCAGATCATCGGGGGAGTCTAGTTTCTCATCTCGGGGCGTCTGTTCTGCCGGCAGGTGCAGGCCCAGCCCCAGGTGGTGCAGCTGCAGCAGCCGGTGCAGCAGCAGGTGGCGCAACAGGGGGGCATCCAGATCGTCCAGCAGATCATCAACAGCAATGGAGAGATACAGCAGATCCCCGTAAGTGGCAACGCGGCAAACCGGCCGCCCGATTTTCGTCGCGGGTATGCTAAAACCACCGGTACGGTGCTCGGGGCACATCTCCGGTTGGTGCATTTACCAGGTACTCAAAATTCGGACCCTCGAGTGAGTGACACCCTATGGCGTCTCTCGTCTGGAGAGCTTGATGGATGGACGTGGGTTTGGAGAAGCCACAGGGAAGTACAAGGTTGTCGAATGCGTCTAGTCTTTCGTAAAACATTGGAGACTCGTCGAAAGGATGAACGACTGAAGACGCCATCTATGCTGGAGATTTATGGGTCGTCATATTTTGGATTATTCGAAGCACCACGCGATTGGTGCTAACCTGCTTCCAAGAGACCATGAAGGCAATTTGGAAGTTTTTGACGATCGAAATGGGCGTCGGGCACACCTTGGACACTGTTGACCAAGCTCTATCCCAAACATTTGAGTGCTGCGCCAACCAATTATATGGGTGTAGTAATAATTGCGCTGGGAATGCTGCCCGTGCACTTTGTGAAGTCGAAGCACGACAACAGGCTCCTCGTCGGGCGATTGGTTCAAACGAACGACGCGCTCATGGCGTTCCAGCGACATCGATGAGTCGGGTGAAGAGTTAGGAGACTTGCTTGCTCTTATGCGGTGACGCGGCGGCCAAGGTGCCGGCGGCAAGTCTGGGGCATTCTCGTAAATCACCAATCCAGAGTCATGCGACCTGAGAAGCATCTCCCGTTCCGTCGACTTGAGGTCGCTGAACAGGAGCACGAACTCGTCTGCGATTGCAGCGTTGTCGTCCATTTTTCTAGTTCACAGACCCTTGTGCACTATAGCCAACTGCGCCAAGCGTCCACTAAATCCCACCAAAAACCAACAGTGGTCCTCGACGTCATGTCCGAATCTTTGTTTCGGTGTAGTAAATTTATTTGCAGGCACAAAAATAAAAGTTGCAGAGCTAAAAAAAATGTAGTGGCATGCTGGGATGTCAGTGCGTCCAAAAGCACCTTTTGAAATTTTTAAAATTGCCTTCGTGGTCCGTCTAAAAAAATTGTAGAGCCCATCTACTTCACGTGGAGATGGAGGACCAGCGAAGCTGTTTTCTTTACAACAAATTTACAAGGTCTCTGATTTACACATGATAGCAATGAAGACACAAACACAACTTTGTTGTTTAATTGTCTTTATTTAATTCTTAGTGACTAAAGTGATCATTGCCTTATGGTCACTGTGGTAAACCACCACTGGTTGTATTTTGACTTTAAATATGTTCTTGCTAAACATGTTGTCAATACACATTCTGTTGTTGGTCGTTGGTATATGTGTACGTCTCAGCATCGCGTGAGCGAAAGAAGGTTAGATCAGTGCATTCTGCCCTCAGCCTCCTCACAGCGCACTCTTAGCTGAGATAAGTCGGCGACTGTGGATGATAACAAAGGATCAGGACCTCACTCCATAATAATGGCAAGGAAGGCTGACTCACGCGGGTTGCCCCCTCTTTTTATTTATACTTGCCACGACCTATCGAAACGAAGGAGCGCCATTTAAACGGAGTTGTTTTTTTGTTAACATCTATGGACACATTTTTTTCCGTATCCTAGCACATACCGTAAAATACCGGGCAAGTGCCCACTCACAATTTAGAGATGATAGCGAAAAAAGGGGGGATGGGCACTTGTCCGGTCATCAATTTTACATATAAATGTACTGTGCATATTTTTTCATATCTTACAAGTTTGGATATGGGTGCTTAATGTGGAATGGGCTGATGCGCGGTGTTTTACGGTAACAGCTTCGGTGTAAAATGCTATCTAAATTTTTCAAATTTTTTTTTTTTAGCTTTTGGTTACTTTTATATGGATCAGCACCACTTGTGGTAACACATCTTACTAGGGTAGAAACTACCGAAGTTTCTGTGCTACTAAATAATTTATCTAAGGACCGGGATAGTTCTCTGTTTGTGTTCTTTCTATTTCTTCCCTGGTGGTTTTAGTATCCTTGCAACAAACATACTAACCAGCTAGCATAATAGAACCGGAGAGAGAAAAACAAAAAGGATGTACACAACACCGTCTCAGATGCAGCCAAATGTTTTCTTTGCACGAGCCTCCCTATTATAGCCGACGACCCTCCCCCTTGTCGCTGCAAAAGGCTCGTGGTCAGTAGCTGTCTTATCTGTTCCCAGAATGGAAAACAAACCCAACCCTCCGCACCCACTTCCAACCTACAAGGTTACACTCTTCAAAAAAAGACCGGACAAGTTCTCAAACTACACAAGGACGAATTCTGGGAAACCAAACATGGAAGGAAAATACCCACATCGTCCACTTTTAACCCACAGGTCAACCTCTCCAACAGAAATGCTAATTCTAAAACTATAAAAAAAAAAAAAAAAAAAAAACTGTAGGTGCAAAAAGGTTAGCACTTGTTTGTCCAACACCATGGAGGAAACACAACACACAAAGAGAGGAAAGAAAGAAGACAGAAAAGTTGGTTGCCTACCATTTTTCTAATGCCATTTCTCGCAATTGGAAGGGCTTGGCGGCAAGATATGGCATCTGAGTAGTTTTCAGAACTAAATTTAGACTCAGCCTTCTGGCACCTTGGGAGCGAATGAGGAGTGTGGGAAGAAGTGCAGGGATCTGGCCGTGAATTGCAAAAGGGTGTCGTTTATGATATTCCCTTGGCTTGCGGTTTTTCGTACATTGGCCATACTGCCCATTGAATCTACGAGAGAATATTAGGACACAAAAGGTGGCCAACTTAGAAATAGTGAAATATCTGGAATGCTACAATGGGTTTCCCAAGTTAACCTCAACAGTGATTGTTAGCTGAGTTGAACCCATTCAAATGTGTGGTTAAGGAAACAATTAAAATCGCAACCGCAGGAGGTTGTTTGAGTGTTTCCTCTCTGTTGTTGGACAAACAAGTGCAAACTTTTTGTAACTAAGTTGTTTTTGTTTTGTTTTACAATTGTTATTTTTGTTGAAGAGGTTGACCTGTAGGATAAAAATGGACGATGTGGGTTTTTTCACTTTTGTTTGGTTTCCCAGAATTCCTCCTTGTGTAGATTGAGAACTTGTCCTGTCTTTTGTTAGAAAGTGTGACCTTGTTGGGTGGAAGTGGGTGCAGAGGGAGGGGTATCGGTGGCCGTGTGGGCTAGCGCACGCCAGCTCGGAGCACGTGAAGCGAAAGCTCGCGCTGCAGAACCCGGGGATCCTGGGTTCAATACCCACCCCTGCCTGTTTCGATCTGGATGAGCATCGTACAGGCGTGCAGTCGCGTATCACTACTGCATGATCGTTAAATACCCCAGGCTAGCGTACTGCACTGGCTAAATTTCTCATCTACAGCTGGGAGACAAGTCGCCCGTTGAGGCAGAGTAAGATCTAGACTCTATAAACGTGCACACACCCCAATTATTCTTTTTGGGTGCAGAAAGTTGGGTTTGTTCTCCCTTCAGGGAACAGATAAGACAGCAAGTGACCATGTGTCTTTCACGGTGACTGGGCGTCGTCGGCTATATAGGGAAGCTGATGTGAATAAATGTTTTAGCTGTGACTGAAACGATGTTGCATACATCCTTTGTTTCCTTGCAGTCCCTGTGATTCCCTTATGAACTGGTTGCATCTTGTTTTTCGGGGTCTTCCTGTTGGCAGAGTAGGGTGCTTCCTTCGGTGTCTTTCTGGTCTCTCTTCCCGTTAATCTTATTGTCTCATTTTACGAGCGGTGGCGCTTTATTAGAACATTAGGTACGCAAGCTACTCTGAAAGTGCCAGCTAGCTTGTAGAATTTGCTCGCACGATGCCTGTGGTCCTCTTGTAAATCCCTTTGGGAGCCGTCGAGTTCTTTCCTAATCTTTATTATTATTTTGTTACATGGCCTCAATCTTTCAAAGCCCTTCCTTTCTATGAGCTTACAAATGCTAAGCGCGAGCTTTACCGCCTTGTTCTTTGATTCACTAACTTCATTATTCCGTCGCAACTACATTGCGTGGGGTGGGCAGGACACCCTAGGACCGATCTTTCATGATACCTTACAAAAGAACACACTGGCAGAATGACGCCATCCATGAAGGGACCCTGGAGCAGCATTTCACTAGAGCACAGGTATTGCGGTATATTTGCAAGACCAAGATATATCACCTATAAGAAATGGTCATTTATAACATTGTTAAATGTTTTTCGAGCCAAAAAAAAAAAAAGAATGACACCCGTAAAAAAAAATGAGACGTTTACAGCTACTTGTCATGCTGAATTAGAGTACAGCTCTTGAGGAGGGTATGCTCCTCTTCCTGTCCTGCTCCCCCTTCCATTCAGCGGGAAATTTCCGCTAAATTTACCAGAAAAAATATCCTCCTTCTCCTTCTTCTCCCACGAGACGTCACTTGTGATCCTCATAACATCACTCTTGACCCTCGTGATGTCACGTGTGACGTCATTAGGAAAGCAGTCATATAATGCAATGCACGGTTACGTTGACAGTGACGTTGCTCAAGCCGGAAACGGGCGCCTAAGAGCTACACTCTAAAATAAGGAATGTACGGAAACTCAGCATCCCATGGCTACCTAATAGGTGGCACCAGTGTGCTTCTTCATTGTAAGTGAATTTAGGAGGTTTTAAGGTGCACGATCCGAAGCAGTTGCAGGTGTGTGAATGGGCCTTCAGAATCTTAGCCCAGCTACTCTGTAAAGGAGCCTGTCTATGGTAAAGTCTGTTTGATTGGGAGAAAGCTTATTTCCTACCTTGGTATACCACCTCGGGCATTCATGGCGTGGGCCACCTGCCGTTCCAAGACGTGGCTCCCCCCCTCCCCATCTTGAGTGTAAATGAGCGTCATTTTATTATAATTATCCTCGCCGTATAAACGCACAAAAAGCTCGTCCCTGTGTTGCAGGCGCATTTCGATTTTGCTTCGCTCTGCCCATTCGTTTGCCGTAATGAGTGCATCACCAAACATCGGCCAAACTTTTACCACAAAAACTAAGCGTCGCAGAGAAAAGCAGTCAATGCTAGGTTAATCACTGCTAATGGGAAATTTAGCGAGGTGTGTAGCATTTTAAATAATTAGTCTTGCATAATTAATTTTGCAGTCCGTAAAAATAACCGTGGTTCCAATTGGAAGCTTACTGAGCGCTATGCATTTAATGCACATTTCGTTTCGTGTGCCTCTCTTGTCCTCTTGCTAAGCAGTTCTGTGGCAACTCCAGCAACTCCCCGTATATCGCCCGTCTACCCCACCATGAACTCGGTCACATTCTTTTTCGGATTATTCCCCGCAGATCCAGCTGACTCAGGCCCAGCTACAGCTGATCCGCATGCAGATGCAGGGCCAGAGCTCGGGCCAGCCCATCATCATCCAGACGGCACCCATCCAGCAGGCTGCTCCACCTCCACAACCAGTTCAGCAGACGCAGGTGGGTGCCTGGGGGCAGAACTATGGGGTGTTTGTGCCCCCTACAAATGAACACTAAAGTGGGTTTTGAGATTGTTTTTTGTGGTGCAAACCACCTTAACACGAAATGTGTAGGTCGAGCAATCCGTAAGCACTAAACAATCTTTAAAAAAAATCGGCAATCAGTGCCAAGGATCAAACTTCGGTCACCGGCATGGAAGCCAAGTGCACTACTGGCTGGTCTAGCAGGTGGTGTGAGAAAGTGCACAGAGGAAAGAAGGTGGAAAGGGCAAGAAAGTGAGGAGCAGATTGGTGTAAAAAGAGCACATGAAAGTGCACTTCCCCTCTCTTGGCGACCCAGAAAATTCTGCACAAAGGCTTTTTATCCAGATGGTGCTGAAGGGAAGTGCTCGGAGTGTCGCGAAGAGACAAAGTTGTGACGTAATCTGTATTCACACAAAACCCTGCCCTAGGCACTACCCAAACTAAGGGCACCGCCCACCCTATAAAGTTACCGCATCTGAACATGTTTGGCAGAATGACCAGACATGCAGCCAATTTTTTTTAACAAAGATAATTTGGGGAACTTTAATCTAGTAGTCAGAAAAAACTGGGAAGAGTCTGAGAACTTCTAAATGTATTGATGGCACATGCCCCAAAATGGCCAGCCTTTGCTACCAATCTTGGGGCATCTGGTTTCAGAAAAGCAGATGCCCTAAAGCACCAGTTCTTATTCCTAGTACATTATGGGGTCCCAAGAGAACTTTCATGGCTTTGTTGTGCTCCCAAATTTTCTCGACTGTTCCTGCCTACAAGTAAACCGTTTTTTCCAGATTACCGTAAAGTCCCATATGAATGCCTGCCCATTTTGCAGAGATAAACGGTGAAAAATATTGTGTGGGGAACCTTTAAAAATAAGACAGCAAAAATTAAAAAAAAAAAATACCAATAAATGGTGCCTGCTATGAACCACATGATGCAGGAATTTATACCGCAGGTCACGGACCCTACAGATTTGCATTTCACGGTGCAGTAAACGTGCAGGAACCGGCTACATAGTGGCATGTCATGCAGAGTGGAGAATAAAGATCAAAATGATTTAAATCGTAATTTAAATTGTGATCTAAATCGTATTGGTTTCACTACGATGATGATTCAAATCAAACCTTTCCCTGCAGAAATATTCCCCAAAATACTTTTTATTTACTGTTTGCCTATCACTTGATGCTTTCTGTGTGCTTTTCTTTTGGATTTAAATAAAGAAATCATCAAGCAAAACAGCTTTAAACAAGGTTGACTGCGAACAACTCCTCTGAGTCAATCAGAGTGTTTAGCTTTTTTTCTGTGTTTTAGTAATATTGATAGTGATTTGTTTCGGCTCAGGAGAGCTGCGGCCCTGCAGAAAGGCAAGTTGCCTATACCGTGAAGGCCCACGGCGCTGCGTCCAATGATGATAATATAGAATTTGTTTGTCAGCTACGTAACATAGCTACTGGAAGCAAATCAATATATAAAATAAAATAAAGAAAAGCAGCATCCTATTGCAAGCCAATGTGAATTTGAAAGAAAAAGCAAATAGTGCAGCTTTCTCACTAACATAAAAAATAAGCTGCTTTTGTTCTAGTGATGCAGGTTTGCATCAATGAAAAGTTGTTAAATAAACTAGTTAAAAGACTTAAATGTACAGTAATTTTCCATATTGTTTTCATTGAAGAGACTGATAAATTATTCTGTCATGTTTATAAATACGTAATATAGCAATAAAAAATCATTCGTTTTTCTAGCTAGACTTTAATTGAATTAATCAAATCTAAATTTTAAAAATCTTATTGAATTTTTTTTTTTTTTCATTTTGATGATAACAGTTAAATTTACTGGATCCTTGGGAAAGTGGCACCATTGCCTTCCCTGCCTGCTAGCCGGACACAAACATATACTAACGTTCAGAAGGCTCAACCCCGCAAGATGATTCACTGATCCGTCTCCACGAATCTCTTACAATGGTATTGTTGTTCTTGCGTATATGAAGACAGGAAAATTATTTTTTAATGCCACCAAGCACTGGCACCTCATGTGGGGCGGTGCAAAGATGTGCGATTGTTTGGCCGATGTGTGGCAAACAAAATCTCAGTACTCAAGAAATCTCTCTATTGGCGACGAGATGTTTAGATGACGCCACCTCGCGGGCGCCCTCCTGTGACGGAGCTGGTAGGATGCGAGCAGACGACGCACCATGTCGAGGCACGGAGTGGCCATGTTAGTTTGCATCAATGCCGATTAAAAACGGTTCATTTATTAAAGAAATGTGTATGGCGTTTTCGTGAGTGATCTTTCTCATGAATAACAGTGCCTCGAAGTTGCTTTTTATATTATAAAATGTTCAAGAACAACCCTGGAGCTTTATATTACAGCTTGCACTGTGTGTGTCAGGGCTATTCACTGCATCTCTGAGTCTTGTTTTTTCGGATCTCTTTTTCGGGGTAGAGCAGTCTCCACAGATCCGAAAGATCTTCACCAGAGCAAATGATGTGCTGTCAAATGCTCGTCAGCAACGGATGCTTAGCTCCACCCGCTTCAAATATGTGGCAGAGAAGTATGTCACATCGCAACTTCTGCTCAAAAGAAAAGCAGAAATTTTCATGAATTCGTTAATTGTCGACTATGGCCAGGAAAATTTAGGCGATTGATTAATTTGTTCTATCCTATTTTTACTAAGAATTGTTTACAACTTTAAAATCTCTGGCTGAGGAGCGCATCACGTATTATGCGCATTTGGGTCCGCAAAAATTAAACATACAAGCAGTAGTAATTCACAGCAGATCTCATTTTTTGGGACGCTGAAGTGTCGTTGAGTTACCAGATTTAACAGGCTTAGATCGCGAAGGGGCTTCGCACGTTTTGCGTTGACAGGGTGAATACGCAGGGATTTAGTTGAAACGACTCTGGAAACCAGCCACCGCTTCTTCCTGACAGTTATTTTGAGGAAATGTTTGCTTATTACAAGATTAAAAAAAAGAATCGGCTTGGAACTACAGTCAAACGTCGCTACAACGAACGCTTGTACTACGAAATAGCCTGTACGACGGGCTATTTCGTTGCTTATCTGCTTTATTGGGGTCATTAAAGTGTGCGACGGATATAACGAAGTGACATGTATAACGAAGAATTATTGCGGTCCCACACGCTTTGTTGTACAGGCGTTTGACTGTAATGAGAGACCAGCACTCACAGAGCACATTGGAGCCAACAGTATACACAGAATTGCTTTCACTGAAATGTTTTTTACATTTCAGTGTTGTCTGTCCCCCTTTTCTATGTATTTTCCTTATGCTTAATAACTGTTACCAACACGCTCGTTTTGTACTTAGTTTACTACACACTTGACAGGTTCTCGAATTTCACTTTCTTATTTTCAATTTGATGAGACATTCCTTTCTCAGTTTTATTTTGTCCAAAAATAAAAATATATGCCCTATTTGCCATAATAGATGTGTTAGTGGGGTAAAGCGCTGGATATCCTATTAGCATCATCCAGCTTTTTGTACTGGGGATAGAACAACAAGCCACCATCCGAGCGCTTCAACACCTCAGCGTCAAAAGTGTTCGTTGGCACGACTATGCGTGCTACGGTTTTAAGCTTCGGTAAAATGTTCTACTACAAATATCACTTCACCCAATAAACAACGCGCAAAACAGGCTTTGCCGCACGTTACCCCAACAGTGCATGAAGAGAGCCGACAAATCGAGGGATCCAAGACCTGCGTGGTCTGTCCCAGTCTGTCCTACCCGTGACGTCACAAACGATGATGATGACAGCTAGAGAAGCACCATCTGTAGTTTGCAAGGTGCCGCCAATAAAGCTATCCGCCGCCGTCTAATTTGGATCGACTACCCAAAAATGAAAAGGTCAAGGAGAAACTGCTCATTCCCCGAGCCAAGGTGGCAATCGTACGGGAAGCTTGGTGCTACTTTTCCACCAGCCAGTGACATTAGTCACGGTAACCGACATTGTGCCCGCAGCTTGCAGTAATGGCAAACTCAGGTTCTATGGTGCTATTACAGCGAACCCGTATATATTGAATTCAAAGGGGATTGTAAAATAGTTTGATATACCAAGAATTTGTTAGTATACAAAAATATGTTAAATTAAGCTCGAGTGGAAATTTCCTAGCGTCTCTGCTAATGCCAAAGGTTGCGACAAACTGGAGCTTACGGAATAGAGCATTCAAGAGCCGCTAAGTACAGTAGAGCGTAGGTGGTGGAGACCGCAAACACCGCCAGCATAAGCAACAAAACACGAAACTAAAAAAAAGAATAGAAGAAAAACGGAAAAGCAAGATGCATAAAAAAAAATCATAAAAGAAAGTTAAGCAAGCAACAAAAAAGAAAGCTTCTAAATTCATGCCGCAAGAAAAGAAAGGAAAAAATAAATGGACAAAGCAATAATGGCAAAAGAAAAAGGTAAACAAACATAAGGGGGTGGAAGTGCGATTGCACAGCTGTTGTTGTCAACACACTCAACTTGCTCTAGACTTTTTTTTTTTTTGCTCATTTTATTTTGGGGTTAGAGAGTTGCGCAGCATCAGCAGTGTTTGCAGGCTACCGTTCCCAGAGCGGGCACTCCCTGCTCTCCCTACGGGCGCGCGTGTGCCCTTCCCCTTGCTTTTGCCATCCTCCACATTTTTCCGGGTGCTCATATGCGTCTTTGCGTAAAAGAGCCTCGGAGCACGTTCACTGCAGCGCTTTTTCGTTTCGCACGAGCATTTTCCGGCTAGTCGCGGTCCAGTCACCGGCAGCGGCGATCTAACACATGTGGACCGCAATTTTTCTAAACGGTGGGAGTCTATGTCACCATGTTTGTGTATCTCCGCAGACCCTGTACCAGATCCAGCAGGGCCCAGGACAGCCCGCCTCGGTGTTCCTGGCACCGGCCGGCTCCATGACCGCCGCCGGTCAGACGGCGGTCCAGATCCAGACCCAGCAGGATGGCCAGCAGTCAGAAGACGACGGAACCGACCAGTGAATCTCTGGCCCCTGCGACTCCACCGGGTTCCCTCGAAAGCACTGCCCCACTGCCCTGTACAGACCCCCCCCCCCCCGTCTCCCTCGAGGCCAGGATTCTCCCAAGCGTCGACCTTACTTTGCCTTCGCCGGGAATAAACCAACCTTCCTTTCTTCTTGTTTTGAGTCCCATCGCGTGCAAACGAATGTGTGAATGAGCGCGACGCTTTTTGCAGGAAATCCGGCCCCACAAACTACCGTACATTGCGTGTTAAAGCAAAAAGCTGCAAATGGGACAACAACACATCTCACCTTTGGACCAGCCAACAGCGACGGGAGAGACACCTAAGAGGTTTTAGCGGGCTTTTAATGTGAGCTCAATCTGAAGCATGTTCTTTAAACATCACCCTCAAATATGGCGTCCAGTGAATACTGCCTATAGTCTGTTGCAAGGATTGCCAGTTCATGCTCTGCCTCCAGCCCCAGCTTCCTACTTTCCCCAACACTCTGGTGCGCGTGAAGCCTTACATGCCGGAAGGCAACGCATACATGCTGGAGTCTGGGCATCTAGTGCTGAGCAGCGGTTGATGCAGCGTGTCTGCATTAGCTCAAACAGTACCAAAAAAAAACAATATGTAAAGCTACTTTCACCTGAGACGAGTAGTGAAGCACACAACACAGCTCAAATGCAGGATTGGTTGCTGCTCTCAAATCTTTTCAATTCTAATTTCACCTTCAAATAGCTTCAAGACCCTCGGGTTATTCAAAAATACAGGATATGTAATCGCACGATCAAAACTATCTGGACAAATTTTATGTGTGCCGCTAGAGAGAGCGGCAAGTTATTCTTCCTTAAAGTGTCGTCTGGTGTCATTGCAGTACGTTAAATGGTCACCGTTTACAGTGATGGAAGCAGCGTTCGACCTTTTGTAGCAGGCAAAATGTTGGTTTGGAGCAGATGCCTAGATCTGTTAATGACTGAGGGTTTCTGTTTGATACGGGAGCATATTATGTGTTACCTTTTGTAATAAGCATAGGTGGGCGCCAAAGGAACACAGAAAGCTCACACTTTTACATCCAGTAGTTTATTTAGCCTGTATATAGGGTGTCCGAAGTCAACAGGCTCGATCTAAAATGGACCATAAAAATCGACGCCTAGCGTTTCGTCAAAGGTGTATTTCGCAGGTCCGTTTTTTCTTTTAAAATTACAAAGTGCAGCTCCCTTTCTGTAAAAGGTAGGGCCAAAAATCTTGCCAAGGTCAACGGCAGGCGGCGGAGCAGAAGTCCGAGTCTGGTGGGGTGTGTTTGGTGCACGTATTAATAGATCGCATCAGGAGCAGCGTCGGAAGGTGTGGCCAACGTTACTAGATTACCCCAGTTGTGAAACTCCTGCGGGAGGGGATACCCTCTCTCACTCACTTCAGTCCGCCTCGTCGTTTGAAGCGCCATCTAGAATTTTGTTCCATAACTGTGTGTTCTATAGAGCAGACCTTGAACAACATCTAGACGCTGTGCTTCGAAGCTGCAGTTACCATAGCAGTCGTCCAGCACGTGGGCGACGGAAGGCGAGTCGTGGTGAGAGAGGGGGGTTACTGCTCGTGCAAGCAGTGTCAGTAAGCAGTTTCGTAACTGTGCTAATCTAGTAACGAGTGTGGCCCACCAGCGAAAGAAGGCAGACGACACGCAGACGAAATCGGTCGGCAGCAAGAACGCCGTCGTTATGCAATCGCATTTTTGCAGCAGAGCTGTTATAGGGCTAGCTTCTTGAGTATTGTGTCTGCCAGCAAACAAATGTCGACACAGAACTCTGGACAGCTATTGCCATCTATGAGCGACAGTGGCAACCAGACTTGCCGGTTGTCTGGTTGCCGCCGTTGCTCATAGATGGCAGCAGCCTTTCCACTCTGGCTTGCCGACTTGCAGCCAGCCATTACTTTATTGCTACCATAGCACAGCTTCGCTAATCCTCCTTTTTCACCTGAGTGGAAAGGCTGAAAGTTTTATTTTTATTTAACATCAAGTTTTGCTTTCATTGTCCGCGTTTATTTTTGAACCTAAGGTACACTACAAAAAGATGATCTTCATGTTAGTAAATCACGGTCGTCCAAGCAGTCTCGATAAGGAGGTAGCGCCATCTATCTATATGTGCGCCAAATGCACCCCGCCGCTCGAGTCGGTCGTCTGCGTCATTGCCAGCTGTTGACCTTGGCAAATTTTTCGGCCCCATTTTTTTACAGAAAGGGAGCTACGCTTTGTATTTTATAAGAAAAAACGGACTGGTGAAAATCACCTTTGACGAAAAGTTTGGATTGCTTCGTGGAGGCGTCTATTTTTACGGCTCATTTTAGATTGAGCCTGGTGACTTCAGACACCCTACCTATAAGTTTGGTATAGTGACTGCAAAAAAGCTCTAGGTACACCTAAGCACTTCTTATGAGCTGTGAATGCAAAAGCATGCACGCCGCTCGTCCGCTGCCTTTTTCATTGACTGCATACTTTTCGCCAGTGGTCAGCACGTGTCCTACCTTGGTGCGCTGACTTTGGACGCTTCGTATTAACGGCGCGCTGATGGACACGCAGCGCCGTGGGGTGAGCGGTCATGGAAACTGACGAGCGCAACGGCCAATGGGAGCCCCATCAACGCTCGCCAGCCAATGGAACCGAAGGCGAAATCGCGGAAACTAGGTGCCGTTTTCGAGCTTCAAACTGATGACGTCGGCTCGCTCTATGGGACAGTTAATGCTTTCGCATTAAAACCAGCTAGTATCAACAAAAACGTGTCCCCCAAGTTTTACAAACCTACCGAACTCGACTTACCTCGACTACCATTTATTCAACCATACACCCACTTTTTTTTCTCTGTGCAGATTTTTAAAGTAGGGGATCAAAATGTTTAGTACCATCAAGGCAAAAAAAAGTAGACCCAGAATAGTACCGAGCGTAATTACCGAGTCTATTGCACTAACCCAAGTGCTCGCCCATGTCAGCGGTTGCACCTAGCTCTCTGGTGCAAAGCGGTGAAGTTTGACACATGCACGCTGGTGAGAGGCAGCAAAGGCCTGCAGCAGACATGATAATAAAGTAAACTTATCAGGAGTACAAGACCCTGGTTCTGTCTTATCGCAGTAGCCTCCATTCTACAATTTGGCAATACTATTTGCTCGAAACTTTTAGCTCCTCGTGTCGCCGACGTCGTCTAGAAATTTAGATGATGTTGGCGATTAATCCGCCAGCGCATCGGCCAACCAACGCAGTTGACGAGCAGTCTCCATAGTTTCTTTCACCTTACAGCGCAGTCGCTGCTACGAGCCAATGGGACCAATCAGCGTCAAAGTGCGACACCATGGCATTTGTCCAACTTCCTGTGCCTGGCTTTTCCTTAAATAAACGAATCAAGTGCAGCAAGTGTCCTGTGACTTGCACTTTTAGTACTTGTTTGTTGCTGCAGGTGCTCCCCTGCAACTTACGCCGACCCAACATAAAACAAACTCAAACTTTACGGCAAGTAGATACGCTCCGATATACACATTTTTACCATTTTCCTTTTCTCTAAATATTGAAGTCGACCAATAATATAAAATTTTTTGTCTCTTTCCCATCTTGGCGCAGGTGTGGCTCAATTTAGTGAAAATGTCACTTTGGTGCAAGATGCAGCAGACTCATTCACGGCACAAACGGCATTGCATTTCCATTCCTGCATTTACACAGACGAATGGCTTCCAGAGGTAGCCTCCCCACTAATACTTATACACCGTGGACATGTCAAGGGGCTTAGAGCTTGTATTCTCGCAACCTTCACTACACAAGAACAGTTATTTTTTACACTGATGCTTTTACCACTACAAATTGAACATAGGCAAACTTGTCCTGTACGGTCGCACCCCCTCCAATTTGTTCCCAAATGCTGTCCATCTAAATTTTTGCTTCCAGTCCTTTCTTCTGCAGCAACCAGGGGCTCTTGGCCACGCACAAGGGCCACATTCTACATCTTGCTCGAGTAGGAGTCATTCCTGCGGGTCATATAGCACAACAAAATGCGGATAGGCCGACATCAGAAGGAAGTAGTGTTTTGAACACCCAAGGTACATATTTGAGTATATCAGAGTTACTCCTTGCATCGTATCCTGCGATAACACGACACGGACACTGTCTGAGTAGAGTTTTGAATGCCCAGGTATACAATCTTTACTCTGGAGCAAGATTGAGAGTAAATTTCTGAATGCGGCCAAAGAGAGGGTTGTTTCGAGTTTTATTCAGCTGGTGGCGTCCCCACTTCAGCCCCTCTTGGACTGGAAGTAGTCGGTGAGCACGTCGTGGGCCTGGGTCTCCTTGCCGTAGTCCTTGACCACGACGCAGCTGCAGCCGACCACCTTGCGGGCCTTGCCCTCTTTGTCAATCTTGCACAGGCCTGCCCACTCGCCCAGCTTCTTGTTGCTGTCCACCTGCAACAAGATGGCCAAAAACCTCTTTCACGCAACACTGCATTCCGACCGAAGCAAACTAGGATCTCGTGTGGAAGCTCGGGCATGGCATAGCTACCCCTAAGAGGGGGGAAGGTAACACAAGTGGAGGGGTAAAGTTTGCCACAACATTGCATTAAAAGCAGCACACAAGCAGTGAGGAAGAGAACATGCAGCAAAGACTCTCAACTGATGTACTGTGAAATAAAGACGAGGCATCACGAAATAAAAAACACACTCACCATAATAAAAGGTTTTCCTCTTTTTTATGGTGAGCGTGTTTCATGTTGTAAACCCGTGTCCGGCAGCAGACACTGGTTAACCGCTTGGAGTGAAGAACTAGTCCCCAATTGAACGAGTGGTCTGATAATGTGAAATGAATCTTCCAGCCCTTGCATAGGAGCACAAGAAAACAAAATGTCTGGCATACTCGGTCTTCTTAGACAGCCTGCTTGGCCTGCAAATCTGCCTGCCAGTGACGTCGCGACACTAAAAAGTGTGGGGAAATTTGAATGTTGGTTTGACCTCGTCCTCTGCTTACTCAATAAAAATTCTCAATTGAGATAAACTAAAAAGAATTCCGGGAAGAGTAAAGCCTATAAAAAAATGCAGCAAGTTTAATAGCAAACAAAATAAAATTGGCAGAGTGCCCCTTAAGTGTTTTTTACAGCCCTCACAATAAAGTTTAAAAATATGAACCTGACATCACACAACAAGGGTCACAAACCTAGGCCCCAAAGGCAATACCCCACTGATAACTGGGCATTCAAAAACCAGTGTTGTTTTCTTCTATTTCCAGCCTGTCATACACCCCATAACCAGTTTTTGATCAGTATTCAACAACTTCCGTCGCAACAAAAGTGGCGACAAGTAACAGGCTCGGAACTGTCGTCCTACAACATTGAAGGAATAGACATCAAAACATTGTCCAAAAACGTTGGAAATAACCATGACACAGTTTTCTTGATTTCGATAAATACTGCTACACGTAAAGACCCATGCGCATAACGCAATATATAAGGCATGCACTCTCTTTTGCCTCCATGAGCTAACTGCTACAGAAGACACAGGTGAATACAGAGCAGAGTTAACCTCCCCAACTTGTGGCCAGAGCAGGCTGTAGGGCACTCTTTCCGTGGCTTTGCCGCCAAGGTCGTCGTGCACAGGGGCATAAAAAAAGACTTCTAGCGTGGCATTGCACTGGCCACAAGTAGTGTTAGTCTGGCGATTTTCACCACTCGCACAAAGTGATCATGAAAGCAAATATTTGCCTAGATTGATTTTGTGCCACAGGAACATGACAACAAAGGACAATGCCCACAAAAGAAAATAAAAAGAAAGAAAAATAGACCACTCTTCAAAAATTCCTAAATAAAAATTTGTTCCAGGGTTTTCACTCTCGTGTGGTAGTATTGTTATGTCCAGCTATGCAATATAAAATTTGTGAAATTCGAACCCGATATTACTTCGTGGTAATTGCTACTGCACAGTTTTTTCGCGCACCAAGTCAACGCCGAAAAGTGCTGAAGCAGACGACGCACAGCACACACATTCCAGTGTTCTCTTCATAAGTGAACCGCTCCAGTTCTTTAATATTATGGGAGAGCCGGCTGCAGGGGTTTTCAGCATCTTATGACGATATGAGCAACAGAAAGCTTGTGTGGATAAAGCATGTTTACGTGCAAACATTCGTCTGCTAGGCTATCGCTGCCTGTGCACAGCCTCTGCTCCTTACCTCTTGGTAAAACCACCTGCTGCAGGTTTTAATATACAACAGTAAAGAACCATTGCAACAGCTCGCCAACTGCTACAAGGGCACGAATTATGAAGAACGCGATGCCACGTGCGGTATGTGACAATGCGCATTACTACGAATGCAAGGCACGAGTGACGTCGATCTCAACGCCACGCTTTTGATATTCCGAGTCTTCCCAACGAAGCAAGAAAGTGATGAGGCGAGTTCCCACATTGTAGTTACCACACGTTCCACACGTGCCATATGGAGCCCCAACCGCAAAGGGAAGCTGCGGCAGGCGTTAAAGGGGGCCAAGATCTCGAAGAGCTCATAACAGCAAATTGCTGCACAGCAATGACAGGAGGTGCGTTCGTACCTTGATCAGGTTGATCTGATGTTCAGCGCAAAGGGCCTCGACGAGCTTCACGTAGCTGGTTTCGTCGCAGTTGTTGGCCAGGACGCACAGATGAGCTTGCCGCCTAAAATAAGTAAATGATTTGTCACGTTGACAGCCTTGTTCTTCAACTGCGCGGCTGAGAAAGTGATCGCGGCTAGGTCAAGATCGCATACTTGTCCAGAGCCTTGGCTGCTTCGTGAAGACCGCGAGCGAGACCGTCGTGCATGAGGGCCATCTTCAGCACTTCTTGGAGGGCTGTGTTGACGTCCATGGGTTCACCACTCGCTGCTACCGCCTCCCTAATATGGTTAAAACAAATGTATGATCGCGGTTAATAACACACCATCTTTACAACGTCCATAGCGTTGCATGGGGCCGCACGACGGGATCAAGTTTCATCCGCAAATTTGAAGTCATCACTAGTCGTCCGTCATAAATACGAGCGTAGGAAGGCGGAGGAAGAATTGGTATATCGTAAATCATACTCACATATCGTGGATTGAATATGTCCTCGGCGATAGAGAGGTTCTACGAAATAGGAAAAATGAGCGTCTTCACTCGCGGTGATCGCACATGAAAAGGAATGTTGATTCATACGGCGCGGAGGAGCAGAGCTGCCACGAGTTTCGTAAATAAAACCGAAACTTATAAAAACGACTTATATATAAAACGTTTAATGTTTTATACAATAAATTATTACTTTACTAACATTCACTTATATATTTATTTTGTGCTTTTGTGTTCAATTACGCTTGTTCACATTTTAATTGTGACAAGCTACGCAGCTACGGCCTGCTTGAAACGTCTGAGTTCGTAAATTTCTCCGGTTTTCCGTCGCAAGTCTGGTTAAGAGAGCCAAACTTTCCCTGCCACATGTTGGTCTAAAAGCGATAACCATTCCAGTGTGCATGAAATACACTTTACCGGACAACCCCTTACTTCATACGGTAAGCTCAACCCATCAAATTGTACGTCTGAATCTCGAAATAGGTCCCACACGAGTAACGTATGCCTTTTCCGCTGGACATGTTGGCATGTGGGCTGGGTAGCTGGTGAGACGAATAATGTACTATGCCATCACGGCAACCGACGCGTGTAAGAACCGTTTATGCCAGTACTTTTATTTCGTTCCCAGAGCGTATCACGAGCAGACGACGGAGTATGGGCAACTTGAGCAGCGGCTCTGCGGAGCCGTACCCTAACGAATCCACCGCCTCCCTTCTTGCAGTGAACTGTCCACAAGCCGGCTGCAAACATGCCGATCTCGTGTCGCTTCTACTCTCAAAAATACCCGGAGCCCGACGATGTGGTGATGGTGAACGTGCGACAGATCGCCGAGATGGGCGCCTACGTGCGCCTGCTCGAGTACAACGACATCGAGGGCATGATCCTGCTCTCGGAACTGTCCAGGCGTCGTATCCGATCCATCAACAAGCTCATCCGCGTCGGCAGGAACGAGTGCGTCGTCGTCATCAGGGTGGACAAGGACAAAGGTAGGACAACCTTTCTATTCGGGCCTCGACACTGAGTTGACCCTACTCTGCCGGCCGGCCTGCTTTTAGACGGCTTGCACTGACGTCTCATCGTCTGCCATTTTGGTGTCCTTGCTGATGAGCACCTAACTTCCGCAGCATATATTTTTCGCATCATATTTTTTTTTTCTTCTTGGCGAGAACGGTTGGAAATGACCATTAACATGGTGTGACGGTGACACATGCAAGCCATGTATTCTTGCACTGACATCGCATCATTTGCCATTGCGGTTGCCTTGCTGCTGAGCGTGTCTTGTGCGGTTTACAGTTTTCACTGCCGGGTTTGCCCCCAGCGAAAACAACTAGAATTGGCCACCAGCATGGAGTGACGACGTCATGTGCACGCCATCCACACTTGCACCGACGTCACATCACCTGCCGTTGTAATGGCCGTGCTGCTGAGCGTCATGTGTAGCATATGTTCTGCACCATCAGATTTCTTCTCCTCGACAAGAGCAATTGGAGGTGACCACTGGCATGATGCAATGACGTCGGACGCAAGCCGTGTGTGGGTGCTGCTCGCAGCACCCGACATATTAGTGTCACTGTTGTTTATTATTTGAGTAAAGCTATGGGAAACTCGCTGTTAGCATCCACTCGTGTTGAAGACACATGCATGACAGATCAAGTGGAGCCACGAGTACATCCTATTGTGAACGTCATTATGTGGCCTGAACTGACGTCATTGCATCAGCCACACGGATGATTTCATTGCTCGTAATGAAACCGTAGGCACCACTAATTAATCACTCTCGGGAGGTAAAGAGGAGGAATGACCACCAACACTGCTAAGCAATTCAAGGGCAAGCCTTGTGAGTAACATTTTCACCAACATAAATGTTATCTAGGTGTCATTGCCACCTATACGGTGCATGCTATGAACTGTACCGATTCTAGAGGGTGAATACGGTTTTAATATTGGTCATAGCCAGATGCAGTTAATCACAGATTCGTAGATATATCATGATCTCTCTCTTTGCAAAGGAACTGCTGCATTATAAACAAAGCCTCGCTTCAATTCATGTAACACCCGAGCCATCTGCCAATTTGTGACGCTCCAACCAAACTCGTAAATGCCGTCCGCTGAAAGTCACGCTTGTGTTTTTGTGAACAAAATCCGCCAACTGACCAGTTGGGGGAATCAGTGCCAGCTGGTCGCAATCAGCAATATTGAATTTGCCATTTGAAGTAGATCCGGACTACAGGGTGCACTTAGTACTACTGAGCACGTTTATTTATTCCCTTCACCTGTAGAAAGGAAATCTGTGGTGCTTCTTTCCCCCTTTTAAAAGTCAGCACTACTAACACTTGGAGTAAAAGTGTCAAGTTGTTGGTCTGTGTCAGTGTTACTAGTCAACTCATATGCAGAACACCCTTGGAAAGGCAACTCCCCCCTCCCCTTTTTGTCCCCCTCAAGGTCGACAGCTGTTGTTTGTAAAGCATCATCTAGAGGCTTTGGCTCAAAACACATGTCCTGTATTTTCCGGACAATAGTTCACTGGCTGTTTAAGGATTTATTTTTTCTAGATAGTTTATTATGGTGGGACGTAACAGATTTTGTGAATGAGAGGTTATGTTAACCCTTTGAGCGCTGGTTTTTTTGCTTCGTGCCAATATTTATTTATAAAATACACTATTTTATGGACAAAAAGTCACTTGATGTCTGCATGCCTCCAAGGTAGAGCATATTTTTTTTTTTTTAATTTTATTTTTTGAAACGGTGCGCTCTACAGTGGCACCTCGATTAACCACGCACCTCGAGGTCACTCTTTTGAGTGATCTTACTCGGCCTTTGTTCATTCGAAGCTGCAACTCCCTTGTTTTCAAGGCCTTCGAATTCTGAGTTCGTTAATAATTCCGAGGTCTCTGTGTTTGCGATGAAGCACAAGGTTGAACGACAGATTCGCCATCCTGTAACATTGAAGGAGTATAGCGAAACGGAAGTCACCTGAACGGACAAAAAAAATTGCCATCAAAAAGTGACACCACAAGGTAAAACATTGCTTTCATCACTTGCTCATACATGCTATTGCACATTAAAAAAAATATGACTGCCCAGTTGGGAGGGGCAGGGAGCATACCGAAACTGAAACCACGCGAGAATGCGCCCCAGTATACTCGGATGTGGCACCGGAAGGGTTAATGACGATATCCAAATAATACAAGCTTCTTTGTACGTCCATAAAGGAGGCATTTTTCGAGGTGTGCGGCATATCAAACTTTTTGCACAGACCAGGTGGGGGGATATGCACTGAGTGCAAACTTTCTAAGGAAAAACTTTTTTTTTTTTGACGCGGTAAGCACACCAGTTGAAGATGCGCTCCAGACACCATAGTAATTGTAACAACCGTCTCCAAAAGACTTTGCCCCTTCGAATGACAGGAGGTCGGTGATGGGGCGCTGTGCGTGGAAGCAGCGTCTACGAGAAGTTGCGCAACTGGGTCGTTCTAGTAACGTTGACTTGTGCCGAATGGAGCCGTGTGTCATGCTAGCTCATACTGGCGGCGTTCCCCCTCTGTTCCCCAGGATACATCGACCTGTCCAAGCGGCGGGTGTCTCCGGAGGACATCACGAAATGCGAGGAGAAGTTTGCTAGGGGAAAAGCCGTAAGTGCACCTACAGCAGCCGCTCTCTCGTAACCATGGTTATAAGGAAGGAAAAGCGGAAGATGAAGGCACTGTGGCTCTAATATGTGCCCAGATTTGGTGTGGGCACGTAATGGTAATCCGACAGCAATGTCGTGTCCACACGGGCTTGTACAGAAGGTTTTCTTAATTAGAAAGGCACTTTCACCTCGTCGGTCAATCATTAGTTTGTAAAGCATCGGAGTAAAAGTTAGACTTTAGTGGAAACGGCTACTTCTGGGACTGTTGTTTTAAATTGTTTAATTGTTTCTTGGAAGTTTGCAAGACCAATGCAGTCGAGCTGCACAAATCTAAACAATATCCAACATTGCAATGAAATTTTTTTCTAATCAGCGGAACTAAAACTAACCGCTAGTAGCAAGCTAAGAATAAAAGGGCATCTCCATACCACGATCAGCTGCAGCGCAAACATAAACCACTCCCAGCCATTTCCCGTCTGTCACTTCTAAACAACTTTGCGTGCTACACCCGTAAACCTCCGCCAGGGTCCTTAGACAAACTACTATACTGGACTGGATATGTCAGCGGTTTCCACCTTTGCATATGTCGTCGCCACAAGCAGCATCAATCTACAAAAAAGTTTAAAAAATAAATTAAACCTTAAATAGAAGTTTAGAAAAATTTTGATAATTATTTTTAAATCAGATGTATCAGCTTTCACATAGCATTTTAATTATGCCGAAGTAACACATCCCCTAGGCAGGGCGACCGAAAGTTTCTCGGGAGGCAAGAGATGGCTCGTGTTTGTGAACGTGAAAGTGCCTATAAAGTGCTTCATCTTCGCCAATGTGACGTCGCCATGACGCGCACGTTACGTCAGACTGTAAATATGCCTTAAGGACGTGCCGCCACGTTCCCTAATGGCACTGTCGTCGTCGTCTGCGCAGGTCAACAGCATCCTGCGGCATGTGGCCGAGACGCTGAAGTACGAGACAGACGCCCAGTTGGAGGAGCTGTACAAGAAGACGGCGTGGTACTTCGACGAAAAGTTCAAAAAGACCACGGCGGCGTACGACGTGTTCAAGCTGGCCGTCACGTATGTACCCGCCACCGCCCGGGCTCCCTGCGGTCGCGTGCGCAACCTTTCTCTCAAAGGGCATCTGGTTCCAGTGACCTGTCCGTGCTGGACGAGTGCGACCTGGACCCCAACACACGGGAGGTGCTGCTGACCAACATCAAGCACCGGCTCACGCCGCAGGCTGTCAAGATCAGGGCCGGTGAGTGAACGAGGGAGTCCGTTGGCATTGATTACGACTTCATAAACGCCGGTTCCCCCATCCACAGCTCCAGAGCAGCACGGAGATAGCACTCGGCACTTAGTGCTACGTTGTGTGTCTAGGCAGGAGAAGGTGGGGTCTCGCGGCAACGAAGTGCTGGTGCAGCGCTGATATACGTAGCTGAAAGTCAGCCTTGCGTCTCTAGTATTGGGTTAGCACTGTGCTGCACATGTGAACAGGCCTTGAAGACTAGTACACTCAGGCATTGCCTGAGTGTACCAGTCTTCAAGGCTGGTTTAGTGCTGATTTAGCCTTGTTTTCTCTCCTTTCACCATTGAAATTTCTTGTTTTCTATTTGCAATACCGCGTGGTGGCCGCCTCAGTGAGACAAGTTTTTGCAAGATCCCATGGTAGCGATAAAAGCGCCCTTGGTTTCGAGTCTGGTTCCTTCTGCTGTCACAGCAAGATAACTTGTTGCCGAGAAAGTCAAGATTTATTTTATTGGGGCGAGCTCGGTGCTTGAACAATTTTCTTAGCACACACCGTCAGGCACATTGATTTCAAACAAGGAAGTCACTGGAATAGGTCACTGTGAAACCTTGTAATGACTCTGAAGCCAGTCACCTTTGCTATATTGGCACTGTATTAGAAAGTGCTGCATAAATGCTAAAGTTTGTGCTGTTTCCAGCACTGAACTAGTGCTGGATCAGTGTTGTACTGCATAGTGACCAAACCTTAGAGGCAGTGTTGGGAAGTACTTTAAGTACATTGTACTTCAAATATTACTTCAATTAGGTTTAGAATATTTTTACTTTACTTGAAGTACATTCTCTGAGTACGTATTTAGACTTTACCTAAAGTATTTTTTTTCTGGTGCTTTCCGAGAAAACTACAAATCTCAACTTCAAAGTAGGTACATTCCGCAAATTTGATCTTGTTAAATTTCACAAAATGGTGCTTTGTCAACTTGCACCAGAAACGCAAGGAGACGGCGCATTGAAGTAATGGTAGCTGTAAGACCGATACAAATAGATGCCTTTTAAGTTTATTGTGTTAAAAGAGTTTATTAGCGAGAGTAAAACAAACTACTCTGTGGCCACCTGACTTTATCAAATATTCGCCGCCATTTCCGAAAGTAACGTTTTCCGAAAATAATGTGCGGATTTGCCAGAATGTGCATGTGGACAGTCAGTCGAAGATGAAGCTCATCTACTAGATCGCTCGAGATGTTATGCATTATTTCAGGGGTAATAGACCTTTCCGGGTATATCTGGTGCCCCCCCAGCGTCTGCTTTATGCATTGTGACGTTGGGATGTATAACACGTGAAATTATCCAAGAGGAAAAGACGAAGTTGATGTTTGTTAAACATTTTGTGATTTCGGAACCCAGAGAGTGCAGAAGGAAAGAAAAAGAGAGTATATGATGACCTTCTTTTTGTTTCGCTTTATTTTTGTGTGTTTTCTGAGCTCCTAACGATGAGAAAGAATGAATCGTGTCACTGCCAGGATGTATGAAGAGTTTGAGCTGGCACGAAGTACAATCACTGGGAGTGGAATTGTCGGGCTGCTCATACGAGCAGCCCCACAATTCCGCTCGTTGCAATGTCGCCTGGAATTTTCCGGAAAGGTCTTGGGATCATTTTCGGTCATTTTTGGAGATTTCGGCGAATATTGGACAATGTCAAGTGACTTCGGAGTTGACAAAGTATTGTTTCGTGATACAAATTTAACAAGACCAAATTTGGGAATGTTCTTTGAAGTGAGGAGTTGTACTTTCCTAGGGAAGTTCCAGAAAAAAATACTTCAAGTAAAGTACAAGTACGTACTCGGAGAATGTACTTCAATTAAAGTACAAATATACTAAACCTCCTTGAAGTACTTTAAGCACAATGTACTTAAGCACTTCCAACACTGTAATAAATACATAGATTTTCTCGGAAATGCAACCTAATGCATGACGATGTGGGATAAATATTTACAACTCAAAATCCGGTTGTTTTCTGTAGGAAAATAGCCGTTAAGAATCGGCCACTTCTGAGATGTCCTCGCTCTTTATATACCTGTATTGCGCACCAACGGCACGGAACTAGGAATATTTGAGAGGAAATGAGCATGTACTCCAAAGAGCATCTTCATTAATACCGATTGTGTAATCCATGAAATGTCACTTTTATTACTGCCGAAACACTAAAGACACGGATTTAAAGAGACTGGACGCAAAGGCGCAAGGAGTAATGTAACTCCAGATTCTCCAACCATCATGTTCCTCCGAGTCACTGATTAGACGTCATTTGTTGTTCTTAGCTAATACATGACTTGAAGGTGAAAAATGAATTGATCACGTCTCAATTCAGTATTCAACCACAGAAAATGTATTTAAAATATCTGGGTGTCGACGGTCTTGGAGGGCCGCTCGCGGCGTCCATACCTCGTTTGAATGCAACTTAGCAATAGTCCCTTTTCAAGACCGATCAAGCAACACTGGCGGGTTACTATGTACTTCTACAAATCATTAAAAAAAAAAGGGGGATGACGAAATGTTAGGCTAGGTGGCGCAAGCTGCCGCCCGTTACGAAGGGCATAGCCATTACCATCCATTCATCCGTCCATCCTTGGGCACAAAGCGTGTGATTCGATCCGAGTCCTTGCCAAACGCCGACGCAGCCCCCGGTTCTATTACATCCTTCGGAGTGCGCACCCAAACAACAGCGAACTTGGAAAGATGACGTAGCAGCTGCTAGACGGTAATCACTTTTGAACAGGGACTACTGTTAGCGAATGTTACAGCCCCGTGAGCCAATTAGGGCAGTGGAGTGAAGCGTGTGTACCAGCTCTTTACAGAAGTGTGCTCCAACAGTTCATCATCACGTACCTCGATTCAACCTTTCTGCTGACTCAGTAGGGGCGTAGCCTTTGCCGCTTGTGAAGTCAGGCTGAAACAGAACACGAAAAATTGTTCCGTTTTTAGGGGCCCGCACCGCAACAACTGCCGCAACGGACGTGGGTAGAGAAACCACTCGCTGAACTTTCATCTAAGGCTCACTCCATGTTCATTCACTTAAGGGGAGGCACTCCCTTGGTGGGTCTACTTTTTAAGTATTTGTGCCAGGTCAATGAAATTTTTAGGGTATGTTAAACGTCAAAACTTGGAAGGCCACACCAACTTTCAACCCAAAAGGTTTATTTTTTGACAAGTTACAGCCTTATTCGTTGAAAAAGATGTACATGTAGCCGTGCCAAAGGAAAAAAACTATAGTTTCAAAATATGAATAAAAAGGCACAATTTTTTCGCTGGGATATAATGCTGAATGACTAAACTAATCGGTAGTAGGCTTGAAATAATTTTTAAGGCCATATTTCATGTAAAAATTAACTTTCAATAATGGTATGAATTTTTAATTTTTTTCTTGTTTCACAAACGTCAACATTTTTGTGTGAAGAAATAACAATTTGCAAAAAGTAAGCGCATAGCCGAGTTCTCCAGTAAATTTCATGCCAAAAATGCCATACATTAGACTTGGGGGCGTTTAACTCATCGAACGATAGTTTTAGAGCTGTGAAAAAATGGTAAAAACATGAAGCTGAGAAAAACGGGTTTGAAAGTTCGAACAATGTTTTAGTTTAGATGGGGCTTGCCATTTCATCTAAATTGCTCCAGGGGCATATGTCACTCCTTCCTCTGCACAGTCCCTCTGTGCCTTGGCCACAGCTTCCATCTTCCTTTTTTTGTGGGACATCTTGGAGGACTCGAGGGCTTTCACTTGGGCCTTCGCAACCTTCATCTTGGTGGCCCTCTCTCCGTATGATGCTTGGTAGCTCCCTGACTGTATGCCGATCTCCAATAGAGCTTCCTGATTCGCTAGGACGAGCCACGTGACGTGGCTCGTCCTAGCGAATCAGAGCTCTTGTTTTGCCTGCTTGACCAATAAGAGCGTGCACAGCTATATTTTCTACGGGGTTTTACGGTCTGTGAGCGCGATATCGCGAACAATGCTGCGAACAGAACGAAAGAGGGCAAGACGCTCATTCCAACGAGGGGGGCCTGTCCATGCTAGTCCTAAGAAACGCTGAGGGAGCGTGCTTTGAAAATGGCACATTTTCGTAATCGGCTGCGTCGCCGGCGCGTACGTGCGGCCGCCAGCACGTCGAAAATAATTTATTTCGGAGTAAATACTTTACTTACAGGAATAAAATTTTTGGACAGCATTCTTTATGAGTTGTAAAAGCTGGTCAGCCTATTTTCCAAAAATGTGACTTTTTTGAAAAAATCGCGATTCCTAGGCCCTTAACAAGGGGTATCGCTTAGTCAGCTTCGAAAAGTCAGAGACTTCGAAGCTGGTAGGACATGGCGAGAGTGGGAGGAGATTGGTGAATAACGCATTTTCATTGCACACTTTTGTTGACACATCTTCAAAAGGCTCGAACATGACCTTTTGGTGTAGAGTAGAGTGTTGAGCTAGTTGGTTTTGGAACTTGGAATACATTTTAGCGCTCAAAACACAAGGACACAAAGTCCTTGCGTTTGGTGTAGTTTGGGGTTCTATCAGTTGTGATACATATTGGAGGAAGCTCTTAGCTTGAGACTTGCCTTCTTATAATCGTAAGAGGTAATAAAAATTAAACATGGCAAACCTTATGGACATGTGTCTGTACTTCCTCAGTTCATAAGTGTAGTTCTACAGTTCTAAGTAATCTAGGTGATCAACTAGGTTGCTTTTTTTTTAAAGAAATCTTACAAGGGTTTCTGAAAAGACGTTCAACTTTTAGTATATGCCTGCGTTTCTCAAAGCTTTGGAACTCATTGTAAGTGGACGTGTCCACATTGCAACGAGACGGCGATTCTCAAGGTTGCCTTCCCTGTATGGTTGTGCTGTGTGTCATAGGACACAGTGTGTCTTTGCTTTTTGTGACTTTGTGTACTCTCCTTTCAGACATTGAGGTGTCCTGCTACGAATACGAGGGCATCGACGCCGTCAAGCATGCTCTGCGAGAAGGAATGGCCTTGTCTACGGAAGATATGCCCATCAAGGTACGTACATGTCGGCTTTGTTCCGTTGCGCCTCTGCCGTGCCGTTCAATACCGGTGAACACTCGTACTTCAGGGAGCACTCCCTCATCATAGAGATTTTTTGTCTTTTTATAAATCTTCTGCTACATAGTAGCATCTGTTTTGCACAGTTGTACCATGAAAAAATTGTAATGTTTTTGAAGTGACAGAGTAGTGAATGATTGGATCTTTGAAAATTTCTGAGTAGGAAACAGCTGGTCTTGTTCGAGATATTCACTTGTCGTAACTGTCAAATCTGGGGCCTGCTCTCAGCCCTCCGCTTTTTTTACTAGAGCGCATCTATTGCCTTCCTAACATCATTACATCACAAATTCGACTATTTGCTGGTGATACATGTTGTCTACCATAAAATAACTGAGCTGACTGAACTGTCATTTCTTGACACATGAAAAAAGAGAAATGTATAGGAGATTAAAATCAAATTCCTGCTGCCTTCAAAAGGCACTAAAGAGGTTCCTGAGATTTTGTCTATTTATGGTCGTGACTCAATCTAAGGGCTCAAAGCATTCTAAAAAACACAAGATTACATTGATGCTTGTCCAGCTTCCCCATTAAATGCAGGATCAAAGATGTGGCACACCCGTTTTTCTGTGATTTGGCACAGAAACCAGAGTTTTGTCAAATGTGTGACGGCCAATCACGAGTGATTACTTCCTGCACAACCAGGGGGCTAACCCACGGTGGACTGATTTTCGAATAAGTCCAATAAGTTGTGAAGGGCCTGAAAGGGGTAGTTTGAATCTTTGCAGAATACGATAGGGCTCTACCCAGAAGAGTGCTGAAATTACACCAGAGCTATATAGTATTGCATTTAAAGAAAGGTATAGTAGACCTTAGTAAGCAAACATTTTTGGGTACAGTTTTACAATAAAAGTTCCCAGTCTACACTGCAGTTGCATGTTTTTCCTCAAGCTCGCTAATTGGCTCAGTATGGTCATTAATTTGTTTGGGACGAACTAGAAGTGAATATGTGATTAGTACCGTGTGGACAGAGATAGCGATGAAGTGAGAGTGATAGAGGTCCCGTGTGTGCAGATCAACCTGATCGCACCCCCAGTCTACGTCATGACCACAACTACCATGGACCGGACAGAAGGCCTGGATGCACTCAATGCCGCTATCGTGAAGATTGAGGAGACCATCAAGAAGGCTGGTGGTGTCTTCACTGTGCAGAACCCGGTGAGTTTGCGTTTCTTTTATTTTAGCTTCCATCTAGGTTTTTATGCAACAAACCTTTTATTGCCTCGAAACGACCATCCACAAGGATGGTGAATGACTGCGTTGTATGCTGTCATATCCATAAACACTTCCCCTAAAGATGACACAGATGAGAGACGTTGGAGTGGTACTACAAATGTCAAACGTCTCTCCGTACCATTTGTCACCCCCGCCTTTGGACGCAAAAAGTTATCTTGTATTTTATTTGAATGCGTCTTAGTGCTTATACAGTAAAAGTTAGTTAGTGGGAATTGCATGGAGATGCTAAAAAGAAATTTGAAGTAAACAAACTTCAAACTAACGAAAAATGAAAAAAGAAGGCCACTTTTTCACAGGAAACGCTCGGAACGGCAAACCTTTATTGTCCAAAGTAATCAGTTATCTTCTGCTTCTTTTCTTGTAAAGTGATAGTCATCAGCTTATGTTTGAGGGAATTCACCAAAGACAAGGCATTCTCTTTGTCTTCATCAAGACTGAAGAAAAGACGCGCGACGTTCAATGCATCCATGACCTCCGGTGCGGATGGCTGAAGGGGATTTCCCTTCACTTCCTCATCGTCGTCCTCGTCGTCGTTCTCCATTTCTGCGGCGGGTTCGCTGACTACTCAAGCGACAATGTTTTCGTCTGTCATAGTGCCACAGATCACCGCACTACTGTTCGCATCAATGTATTCAGCAAAACTCGCATCCCGCAGCAGATCACATATGCCCTCAGAAACAACCTCGCACCCTCCAGTGTCGCCGCCAGTCACCTCCATGCCCAAGACACTAAAACCAGATTGACGGAAACAGTTCGCAATTGTTGCGGCAGTGACTTGATCCCATGCGCGGACCAGCATGCGCATGGCTCTGGGAAGCGTCACGTTATAAGCCTGGTTCTCTTTGACCACTCAAAGAATCATTCGTTCCATCATGTGACATCTGTGGTAGGAGTTGATGTTCTTGATCACACCCTGGTCTATGGGCTGGAGTGCCAAAGTCGTGTTTGGTGGAAGAAACACCTGTTTAATCACCTTCAGCTCCACATCAACCTTGTGCGCTGAGCAGTTGTCTACGATGAGCAGAACCTGTTAGTCGAGGCTTCATTGACTTTTTTATTACGAGCATGGGAAGCTTCTCCACTCCAGTCTTATTTGTCAAGACGCAAGACAGCGACACATTCTTTACTTTGCTTCCCGCCTGCGCAGTTGTCTCCCTTGTTTGTGATCGTTTTGTCTGGCAAGAGTTTGAAAAATAGAGCGGTCTCATCCGCGTTGAAGATGTCGTGCGGCATGTAGCTCTCCAGGTGGCCCTGCAGGGCTCCATTTTGCCACATCATGCATGTTTTCATGCTCATGTCTTTACCATCTCCAGACACGGTACGGAAGACGAGATCTTGCCTCCGACGGAAGCGATGGAACCATCCCTCAGACACGGCAAAGGTGTGATGCTTCAAGTGCAGTGTGAACTCGGCTGCCTTCGCCATGTTGATGGGGCCACCGAGAGGAAGATCTTGACTTCTCATGTTTTTAACCTATGTGGTGACCGCTTTATCCAAATACGGGTGTGTGACGGAGCAAAGTCTTGTTCTGTCGTGGGTGAAAACTTCAGCTTCATAGGTGTACGTGATTGTTTTCTTGCTGCGGATGTATGTTGACAACATACTTCTCAGGATCTCGTGCTTCTTGGCAATCCCGACCTTGCTCGGTTTTCCTGCGTCTACTTCACGCCAAATCTCCACTTTCTCTCCGAGCGTTTTGGTGTAATACTTTCCTCGGGCCAGTGCACCCGATGGCGACATCGTGGTCTCAAAGCGCGTAGCCCGCTCCTACGGCCAACACCGCCAGCCAAGTCAAAAGTACAAATGAAACGATCGGTGATAGCGCAATGGCTCAACCTCAGTGGGCCCAGCTTAACGAAGAAGGAAGCAGGACTAGTAAAGCGTAGGAAAAGAACAAAGGGAGGTGGGAAGCTTCAAAAAGTGTGAAAGAAACCACTCTACATGCCCCATTTGGTCTTTCTGACTTCCGGCGACATTGTTCCAAATATCCTTGTGCGTATTCCTATTGGCCCACAGTTGATACTGACAACACTTTCGCGTTTCCGGCAAGCGGCTCTCGCCGTATCACCTATCTCATGACCGGGAAAGCTCCATGCATGGCGGCGTGTGGTTTGAATTATCAGTGTCAGAAACAATTCGAGCGCGAATCAACAGGTTTTTTTTCTCTATGTAGCGTGACCGAACCATGGCAATTGGTTCAAATTATCAAAAAATTTTAATTAATGAGTTGTGAATTAACGAGCTTTCACTGTATCACAAGTATGCCAGATTTACCTTTACCCTACATTTAGGATAAAGGTATGTACAGAATCTGTTGCCCCGTGACATTCTGTGGGGTTCGTGGTCGATTTTGGAGTCTGGAGTTTGGAGTTTTGTCGGAATATTAGGTTCTTGAGAAAATCAGCCTCGTGCCCTAGGTCCCTATTTCAAGCCCTTTTTGTTCACGTTCCGCCCGTCGAAAAGCACGGCAAAAGAGCCTAAGCACACCTGATTTCGCCACACCGACATGACCTTCAGCGCAATAGAGCCCGTCCCCTATGACCATGGCAACGAAGCGACTGCTGAATATACACACACGGGCGAAGCAGCCTCTGTAGCCAGCAATGGTCAATGGCATTTTTTTGCATGCCGCCTCAAAATCAATGTGGCAGTGCTAGCCAAAACCAGACGCACTGGTGCAGTCGACACTGAGAGCCAGATCCAGTCACCAGTCACCCTTGGCAGTGCCGACGATGCTTGGTGCAAGCTTCGGCCCAAGATTATACCCAATCCATTCTCACTAGGTGAAGCAGAGCAAAGTGATGGGTGACCGCGCATCGCACAGTCTGTTTGGAGGTTTAGCTTGGAGCCTCGGGCTGTGTTGCCACTTTCACGTTAGCAGACTGTAATGTTTGGAAAATGGTGCCGGCTTCTGCTGTTTTCAGACGCCGCATTTGCACGTGTGTCAATTCGGCAGATGCTTTGTTGCCATAGTGATGGCAACCATAGCAGCGAGGCAGTGGACAGACTGGTCAAGAGGCATGCGGGGCAAAAATCCCGAGACTACAGACAGCCCTGGCCTTCTCTGGACACTCACAATGTGGTCCCAGTCTTACTTTATTTCTGCTTGTACTTTTATGAATGCAGCCACTGCCTCACGGGTCTTTTTTGGGTCTGCCTCAGGCAATCACGACAACTTCGGTATTATTTGGTTCGGGAAGGATAGAGATCTGTGGTGACACTATTTTTCTTACTTTTTATGCAATGTAATTAGTTATTACTCTTCAAAGTAAATACCAGGCCCGCTTTGCAAGTTCTAAACATACTTAGATTTACAGACGAAATGTAAAAGGCAAACTCTAAAATAGCATCACTGCACAAAGCATTTCTTGGTGACTGCAGTTCTAGAATTCTTTTTTATACTTTTCAATTAATTTTGCACTATGGACTTGTAAGGAAGGACCTACCGTAAAATACCGGTCAAGCGCCCAACCAAACTTTAGAGATAATCGCAAAAAAGTGGGGGATGGGTGCTTGTCTGGTCATCAATTTTACATATAAATGTACTGTGCATATTTTCTCAGATCTTAAAAATTTGGGAATGGGCGCTTGGTGTGGAATGAGCGGATGCGCGGTAATCTATGGTAATAAAAATTTCAAACTTTCTTGTGAATCATATTCTAGTAGGGCCATTTGAAATCTAATTGCATATTTGAAACATGCACAAAAAATTGTATGTTACAGTGGAATGTGACGAGGATTGTGGAATAAATAAAAAGAAAGTCTCGAGGTCCCACTTCTCACCCTAATTGAAGAAGGAATAAACATGCAAGACAATGACTACACAACCACATCTTTCAACTAGCAACAAACATATAGGAATTCTGAAGGCGAACAACCGATGTGGGAAAATCAAGGAAAAGAGAAGGTAACTAAGAGAGGAAGGAGGGAAGATACAATATGATACAATGCAGTCGGGTCAACACTGGTTCTGACAAAGACAGAGGTTGAATTTCTCAAATCAGAGATGACTCTCTTGGCCTGACTACACATTTTATCCTATTGTATCTTCCCTTTTTCCTCTCATAGTTAGCCTCTGTTTCCTCGATTTTCTCGCATTTAATCGGCTGCTCACTTTTAGAATTCCTATGTTTGTTGTTAGTCGAAAGATACGGTTGTGTCGTCTTCGTCTTACATGTTTATTTTTTCTTTAATCTCGACCCGTACCAACACATTTTTCGTCCATTAATTCTCCCATTATTTTGCGAGGGAGTACGGTAACTTTGCATCACGTCTTTCCGTGCAGCCCAAGGTGGTGACGGAAACGGACGAACTGGAGCTTGCCAAGCAGCTGGACCGGCTGGAGCAGGCCAACGCAGAGATCGACGGAGACGACGACGACGAAGAGGCTGAGGCAGGCTCGGGCTCCGAGGCAGGCGAGGACGACAACGTGGTCATCGCGGAGGCGTGACCTCCGCCGCGGCCCCTTGTCGAGACCCCGACCCCTCCGTCGTAAATAAACCAAGCTGCCCTCAGTTAACTCTCGGCCTCATGGGCTGCTTTCTGCCGCCAGATTTACTCTCGGCGATAAACCGATGGATGGTGAAAAATATGATTCGGGTGTTTTTGTGCGGCAGCAAGATTCAATAGACAAAAATTAGCAATCTATGTGGAGCGCAAGTTTGTCTACTCTTTTTGCAGGGGTTGTGGTGACGTCAGGACACCTAGCTCTAATTGGCTCTGGTTGGAAGATAGTGGGTAGACCTTAAGGGAGCTAGCACTGAGGTCTGCCCACTATCCTTCAATCAGAGTTTGGCATTCTGATGTTACCACAACCCGTGCAAAAGAAGCAGACAAACTTGTGCTCCGCATAGTCACTCACAGAATGAGAATAGCAGCGGGTGTCTTTCAGACGCCCTGCCTCCAGCATGTGGTCCGTGTCTGCCGCCTTATTTTGGCCGTGGGCACGCGCTCGGATTGTACCAGAGGTTGAAGCATTGTCGAAGGTAGGAAGCTCATGCCGTAAGCGAGACAATTAATTACGTTGTGTGTGTGTGTTTATACAGCCGGAAGTTGGTCAGCCCCAACAGGCGCCCGGTGTCTCAGCTGTAGACATGTAATTTGGCCAGTGCGGTACAACCGCTAGCCTGGGGTCTTTAACGTGCACCACACAGTAGTGATACGCGACCGCAAGCCGGTACGATGCTCATCCAGATCAAAACGGGTCGGTGCAGGGATGAAACCCAGGATGGGCCTGGGTTCTGCAGCACGAGCTTTCGCTCCATGTGCTTTTATCTGTCTTGCGCTGGCCCATTCGGCCATCGATGCCCCCCCCCCCAGCGAGACAACTGAAGCTCCCGTGTACCACTGTCGCCCTGTCGACGACCGTACATGCGGACACCCTCCACAAACTCGCATACACGTGAACCAAAATTGTAGACTGTGGACACGAAAAACTTGCATTTCACAGTGCCGTCATTCGAATGCTGAAAATAACTTTTAATGTGTCTATTAACAAGTGCAAATTAGATGGCATTGAAAGAAAGGAGGAACCCCCAGGAACAGATTGCCAAGCTCTCAAGCACCACGCGACGGCAGTTAAAAACCATTCACACAAGTGAAGGGGAGAAAACGTTTTGACGAGTGTGGAAGCTGTACCGTGGAGTAAACAAAAAAAGGAAGCTGTCTTTAGCCCCTTAACAGGGGAGTGCGTATTTGGACGTGCCTTTTTTTAGAGTGCAGCTCTTAGGCGCCTGTTTCTGGCTTGAGCGGCGTTGGCGTCGCCATCAGCGTATCTGTAACGAGTCGCCGTCGGCGTAACCGCGCAATGCATTATGGGAAATGTCCCATAATGCACCGCGGTGACGTGCGCGTTGTATTATGGTACGTTTTTCATAATGCACCGCGTGAGAGGGAGGAGGGAGAGGAGGCGAGGAGCATGAGAGGAGTAGATGAAGAAGGAGAAGAGGGTACGGGATGAGGAGGAGCGGGAATACCGTACCCTCCCTTCCTCCTCCTCAAGAGCTGCGCTCTAATTTGGCATTACAGGGAGTTGTAAACGTTTTTAATTTTTGACCCTGAAATGGGAAGCATGTCTAAAAACGCGCAACACTACTTTTGAACGGAGAAAGCGTGCCGTGAGATGTGTGGCAATTTTGGCGAAGGTTATAGGTCCTGCAATCTATTGAACGTGCTGCCAGACACGTCTAGGTTCATTTGCATTCGCTGGCTGGTGATATAATTTGATTGCTTTATTAGGAAATAGCTCTCCTTGTTCTCATTCATGGTCTGGGATGTTCGGGAGCGGCGAAAGGCATCGACAAACGCACAAATCACAGCGTTATTTCAGCAATGTGACGAAAGTGAGTACATGCTCAGTGACAGCGAAACCTCGAGTGCATTCACGAGCCAAACCTGGAAATATTTTTTCTCCTGACCCACTTATGAGTATACCTGTATCCATGACCTGCGATGCAAAATCAAACGTTGAAACTAAAATGTCTCCCCATCTCTGTACTGCAACACAAGAAGCAATGCATTATTCCTTCACATCAAAAAGAAATGTATTAAAATTTTTAGTGCAAAAACAATTTTCAATACTTTTTCTGTGAGAAAAAAAAAAAATAAACTCGCCAAGCCGTGGTCGCACTACCAAGGATTACTTCCCACTTAAGGGGTTTAACATCCTTGCAGCCAGCCTCATTGCATATTGATGTTTATGCTATGTTGGGGGTTGCAAAACTTTGAAAGTAATTTACAAGGCCTTAGGAACACTGAACTTCAGTGTAAATGGGCACCTCATTGAAGCAGCATGAGCAGTAAACATCAAAGCATGGCACCAGCAGGCTAGTGCTGAGAAGGCTGAATCAACTGGCGACATCACTCACGTTATATAAAACTATGCAGTCTCGGCAAGATCCAATATCCGCAAAGCATTAGTGGGGACATTAAAAAGAAGTACTTGCTCAAAACTAGCATTGAAATGCTACTTAAAAAATATTTGTCCTTATCATTGCTGTGCAGTGAAAAAAATCGTAAAAACGTTCTTGCTCTCTAGCCGCTGAGGTTTATGGTTTCTGCTTTTTTAGCAGACTCTATGATTTTTCCAACAAACCTTAGTGCTTGCAGTCACAAAGCCAAACGGACATTTAAGTTCTTCGTTTTGCACATTATGGTATTTTTTGTCAAATCAGTGATGTGTCTTTTTATTTGTTTGTTAAATATTGCGCTTCCTTTTTTATTTGGAATTTTTAGTTAGGGAGACTGGACATCCATTGAATTGCAGTTTTCCGTCCTTGTTCACAGCTTTAAAATAATGACAAGACATCATTGTGCATAAGTTACGTCGGTTGCGCTTTAATGATGCGCTAGCAACAAAAGCGCCTCGCGTAGCAACGAAGCGCAGGTTTTCGAGGAGGTAACGCCTCGAAACTGGGGGCTCAGAAAGTCTTGAAGACAGTCTCGAGCAGCCAGGGCATGAGGGACCGGACGTCTGTGAACACTGCCAGGGTGGACAGAGTCTGGCTGTCGCCCAGCCAAGAGAGGAGGCCCACAAGCGCCCAGCCCTGCGTCGTGTCCACCATGAGCGGCGCCCCAGGGTCCCCCGTGTCTCGAAGTCCGCCGCTGCTCAGGGCACAGAGGTCCTCGCCCTCGGGTGCTTCTGCAGAAACGACGAGCGACTACAAATTGTAGAGGTGTGTGAATAACTCACACTTCGGATAATTCAGAGATGGTGTTTAATATTCGAGCGACATCTTCAGAATTGCCCGATTTCTTGCGTCGAGCTTGCACTGGCGCACGCGTGTCAAGCCCGATCGTAGTCTCACCTTCATCCTGAGCCATGTGAGCCAGGAGGGAGCAGTTGACCAGCTGGACGGATTCCCTCGTGGGGTAGAGTATGGTGTGCCCAGCTATCGAAGAGTGCATCTCGTTCCTGGTTATCCAGAGCACCGTTCCAGCCACGCGTAGGTCCGGCCAAGGAAGGCAGATGGTGCTTAGTGGAAGCTTTGAGGAAGTGGAGCATTTGTGCTGCCGATTCTCGTTATGCTATATAGTACACCGGTTTGTTGCAACTTAAGATTATGTAGTAGAAGCTGTGCCTCTGGCGGTAGCGCTCTACTTTAGATAACATTTTGGCACTCGTGCAGCGGGCACAGTGGAAGGAAACGAGCATGTTTGGAGGTGGATCCTCTGTAGATCTTATGTTATATCCAACTGCAGTAATAATAATAATTCGCTTAGGGTATGTTTTGATAGCTGAGGTTGGGTAATGCGGAGCGCAGGTTTGTCTGCTTCTTGCACAGGGGTTGCAATGATGTCAGAACGCAGAGCTCCTATTGGCTGATTGAAAAAAATAGTTGGTAGACCTCGAAGCATCTAGCATTGAGGTCTACCCACTATCCTTCCAATCAAAGCCAATCACAGCTCGGCGTTGTTCTGACGGGACCGCAACTCCGGCTCAAGAAGCAGACGACTTGCGCTCTGCACAGATCAGATACAGATTTCAATTAACGGGCTAGTCTATGGTTAGGAAGCATGCCTGGAGTTCCAGTGGGCTATAATAAATCAAGTTACAACAGCTTGAGCTGTAGGTCGGTAGATTAGGTTGGTAATTTGGTAGATGCTCCGCCTCCAGCACTAGCATCTTGCCTTTGACAACACTTTATCTCACTCGCAGCCAAACCCCGGGAAAAGGCAACGAGTGCATGGAGATGGAACTTCTACTGAAATTTTTGCCCGCCACAGGCTAGTTGGAGTTGAGATTAGTTAGGTTAGGCCAACAGGTTAGGTCGTTTGACCTTAAAATAATATGCAGCTTCCATCTGGAGTCCCCATCAGGCCTACCTCATCAACCACCTGGAGGCAGTACAAAACTGGGCCACTTGTTTCAACTTGTCCACCTATGATTTTTCTGTCGGTGTATCCATGTTAAAAAAGTGAAAGCCGTTTACAACTCCCTGTAACGGCGAATTGGAGCGCAGCTCTTGAGGAGGAGGGAAGGGTACTGAGGGGAGGGTAGACCCCTCCTCCTCCTTCTCCCCTCATTCTTGAATATGCTCCGGGGCGGGGGGGGGGGTGTCACGTGACTTCGGGGGGGGGGGGGGGGGGGGGGGGGTCACGTGACCTCGCGGTTACGGCGACGCCGCTCAAGCCGGAAACGGGCGCCTAAGAGCTGCGCTCTAAAAGTCAACTAACCCTGCCCTCTGCAACTCCACAGAAAACTCACTCGCCTATGTCTTCTTCATAAAGTCTACTATCATTGCCCTGACCTCAAGAACTCTTTGTTATCACCTCCTGACAGAACATCTTCTCACCTTAACGACTCCTGCACAATCAAACTTATTTCTGGTTCCACAAACCCATTCCAATCAGTCTTCCTTCCTCAAGCCATCTGCGACTGGAACAGCCTACCATGACCATCCTCCATTGTCACCATCGTAGACCCAGAAGTATTTATTCTATTGAGCTTATGGATTAATTTTTCTTGTCATTAGTGTTTTGTTGCCATTATGTATGATTGATGAGCTTGACCTGGATTTATTAATTAGACTGTATTTTTTCCTTTTCTTGTTTGTCTTGATTTGGATAACATATATATCCCCCCTTTATGTAATGCCCTAACTGGGCCCTCAAGGTGAAAATAAGTTAAATGAAATGAGATCATGCACTATCTTAGTTTGCCTCAGGTGCAGTTAGAAAAGGTAAGGCGCAGTTGATGCAAGGGACATCAAATTCAAGTAACCCACGTTAGAGTAGCATTGAGTTGGACGGCAAAGACAAACGAAACAGTGTTTACGATCTTTGCAAGCACCAGGACCGCCACGTCGTTAACCGCCCTCGAGGTGCCATGGAAACTGCACCCTGGATGAAAGACCGCAGAGGCGACTGGAAGGCCCGCGCTCTCCTTTTTGCGCATCCCTGTGGTGTGCGACCGGTTCAGGACGGTGTAAGTGGGCTTGTAGCGCGGCGCAAACAGGCAGTGGGCGGCTGTGAGGATGTGGCGTCCCGTGACGGCGACTCCGGCACACGTCGAGGTCAGCTTGTGGGTGACGGCAACGCGCGCCAGGTGGCCGAAGAAGAAGTCCGGAGTGGGCGGCGCCTTCGAAGAAGGAGGTTCCTTTTAGAGTCGGATTTAGGCTACTGCTTGTTAGGCAGTTATACTAGGAAACGGTGATACATGTGGGCCAAAGAAAGATTACCCCGTCTGCAAAGGAGCGGATATTCATAAATCGCTGTCTCTGTCGCATTTCCCCAAAGGCCTTCTAAGTGCATAGCGTTTATGGGGCCTCTTCGCCCTCCTTCTTTTGCGTGCAGAGTGAGGATGCCACTCAAGGGCACATTACAAGGGTTTTGCGAACGTATGAAGTGACTCGGTGATGCTGTGACGCCACAGCCCATACGCCGTAGTGCCATGCGACTAATGAAGTCAAGTGACGTGTCCCGTGACAGTTGTCATTGAGGCTACGTGCCACGGACAAAAAATCTCCGAGGCTGGTCCTATAAATGTGTGCATTTAAACCTCCGGTACCGGCTATGATGTATGACACTGCCTCTCGGCATGTGCAGCGCGAAAAGCTTGTGCTGTCGAAACCGGTTATAACGAAATAGCGGCTACAGCAAAGCGATCACCATTTCCCATTCTCGTTTGCACTTTTTTGATGCATTTGTGTTTGTTTTTTTTTGCGAAGAAAATTGAGCAACTCCCGCAGATATAGCAAAAGTTTGTGATAATTTAAAAAAAAAAAATTTGCAGACTTTATTAAGTCTCGGACCGCCGCACTTTGCTGCTGCAGCCAAGAAGCCACCCAGAACAGGCTGCAAAAGATGCTGAAAAGGCCGCCGGCGGCAGTCTCTGCAATGTCGTCAGCTCCCCGCTCCTTATCTGGGAAGCGGCTTTACCGCATCACTTGCCGAGATGTTGTCGTGGCATGCCGATAGGGGTGTTTGGAGCGCTAGCAACAACGTTCCGGTGCTTTACGTTCTGACGGATATGACAGAGAGAGCCTAGATTTAAGAGAGGGAGCGGTAAGTATGCCTGCATTTGATTGTCGCGTGGCCAGTGTGGCGAGGAAACTGGGCGGAGAGGCGGACACGTTTGCAGAAGGTGAACGCTTTTGAGTTTTGACTCCTTGCATGCTGCAGCTCGTTTTGCAAACGCAGCCCGCAAACCACATGACCCCAATCGAGCAGTTGCCCCATCTCTTAAATCTAGGCGCTCTATACCGACGACAGACAAGCTTGAGCGTGAACTCGGTGCTGTGCGTGCTTCTTGATCCATGTTGGAGTTTGGTTGGTGAGGTCGCTTTTGCGCTGAAGTCTACTTCGCTCAAGCACCGATTCTATGAATCGTCGATACTCAACGATGGAGAGTCCAATCACCGCCGACAACTTGAAGCGGTGAAGATGAAGGCAATTCTCCTTGAATCAAAAGCGTGCCATCTTCGACGGAGTGTGCATAAACATAAAGAATGCCATCCACCGCCAGCGTCCTCCGCGGGGCCGTCGCAGCTGTCGACACGGTCCGTACGTAGCAGAATCTTTTTTCAATCGGAGCTTCTCGCAGTTGGTGAGGAGGGGCTTCGATGTAGCAGAGTGCGCATGCAGGGAAGCCTCGCTTTCTGCAGGCTCAATAAACGTGCCCGTGATAACCTGTGTTATCTTTTTTTTTTTTCATGTTATTTGTAAGAGTTCATATATAACGAAGAAGCGGATATAGCGAAGCAATTTCCGATTCCTGTTGACTTCGTTATAACCGTTCTCGACGGTAGGACAACTGAGTGGAGGACGATATGCCTCTGACTTGTCTACACTGCTGTGCTTTTCTTTATCATGTGTCAATTCCTTTTTGCCTATGTGGAGAGCTACCGATACACAGCAATCTTACATTGTTTAGCCAATTATTTTGCTTAATATTGTAAGTACCATAAATAAAAAGTCCTTTCTAAAATAACTCTCATTTGTCCTTGTGAGATAATTGTTTCTGTATATATCCAAAAGCAAGCGAAAATGAGATTCCTTTTCTATACCACCATACTTCTTTTTATTTTCTGCACTACAGCTCGCAGTTTTACATACCGTAAAATAGCGCAGAAGCGCCCACTACTAACATGTTCAAAACTTGTGAATTCTGCAAATTATATGTTAAGTGCTCGATTTGACCGGATGTGTTGAGCGCCCGTGTCTATACTTGTTTTCACCGCAAGAAAAAAGCTTTCGAAACAGGTATGTCTTGATAAGATAGCATATATTTAATCTAATATGCACCGGCATATATCTTATTTCTCCACGTAAAGTGGAAAATCAGTAATCCTTTGCGAAAGGCCGGTCTTTTTTTTTGCGGTTCTTGAGGTGAAAACGAGCATAGACTAATCCAGTTTTCAGTGAAAGTGAAGTGGGCACTCCTCCGGTATTTTACGGTAGTATTTTTCTCTAGTCCTATGCAAAGAATTGCACCCATGGGCAGCGGGTCCTGCTAGACGCCAAATGTGTCCTAGTGGGATAATTACCAATCTCTTCAGTTAAAACCATAACCCTGGTTATTTCTTCATAATGTGGCAGGGCAGCTAAACACATTGTTGCCCATCTGCATCCAAGGCTCATAATTTCATATTGGTGGAATTATTCTTCAGAAAAATAATCTTGTGCATGATGTATTCACAGTTCCTCAAGTGCTTTGTTCTACATGCCTCTTACTGAACAACAAAGTCTACTAGACTTCTTGGCAAAATGTGCAGTATGTAGTCATCTTGGCAAGATGTTAGTACCATTTAGCCCCAGACATCTTCAAACGTTTTACAAGCTGATGCTTTCTTACTTTTGGGCTGCAAGGTATTTAGTAAACTCCCTTGTAGACATCTGCAAGACAGCAGAAAAGTTCTGAAGACGACTAGAAGACTTCAATGTTACACCTCAGGACATCTTGTAGTCCAAACAGGAAGGTATGTTAGCCAAGCTAGAAGACGACTACAAGGTGTCTCAAGACACCTGCGGGCTATAGTTGGGAAGATTGCTTCTCAGTGTCTGGAAGACCAAGGTGTTTGAAAACATCTAGGGCCTATACTTAAGAAGCTGGCTTCTCAATATCTAGAAGACTGCAATATGGTACGTACATCTAGGGACTATACTTAAGATGATGGCTTCTCAATGTCTAGAAGACAAGATGCTTCAAGATATCTAGGGCCTATACTTGAGAAGCTGGTGTCTCAATGTCTAAAAGTCTGAAAGATGTTCCAAGACGTCTAGGGCTTATACTTGAGAAGCTGGCTTTTCAAGATATTACAAGAAATGTAGATTATAAGATGTTTCAAGACATCTAAGATCTATACTTGGGAAGCTGGCTTCTTAATGTCTAGAAGGCTACAAGATATTTCAAGACATCTAGTATCTATACTTGGGAAGCTGGCTTCTTTATGTCTAGAAGACTACAAGGTGTTTCAAGACACCTAGGGCCCATACTTGGGAAGCTGATTTGTCAATGTGAAGACTTTCTCCCAAAACCCCGCACAAACCTTGAAGGAACGGGAGTTGCCGGAGACTACGCTTTGCGGATGGGGCACGCTGGGGCACGGCAGAAGGTCTTCTGGATCATGGACGTCAGCAAGTGCTTCAACTTGGACTGTGACGACCCAGGGAAGAGACTCGAAAGCCCCGCTGGACGCAGGCACGGCTCCACAGTTACCGGGGATGGGGAACTGGGCAGTGCGGCAGGCGCGACCGCCTCTGGGAGCCACAATTAGGGCGGTCAGAACAGTAAGTCCAGGCCAGCTGCAGGGTCCCATTGCTTCTTCCTTGTCTTCTTTCTTGTCTGAGAAGCCTTTGTGTGCTCAATATAAAAAAAAAGAAGAACAAGCAAACAGCAAGGACCGTTAGAAAGAGAAAGAGGAAGCAGTAATGGTGCCATTGCTTTTATTCTATAATTTTTGCCTGAGCAGTCTTTTTTGCATGCTTGCTTGCTTTACTGCTGTTCAGTCATAAGTAAAACAGGGAGATGTCCTAAACAGGGGCATGTCTTGTCCTGAGAAACTATTTCTTTTAAAGGAAGGAGGGAAATTTAAGAAAACTTAACTTCTGTTCAGGCATCATTGTCCTAAGCACTCCAAATCCCGTTTTTAAAAATGGGTGCTTCTCCTCAAAGTTTTGAGAACATTTTAATATATGGCCAAACAGCCAGCACATAAAACATGCACTTGCACAATCGGATACAGTTGATTGAAAGCGAACAATATATAAATTATTGACTTTTCAGTTCAATGGCACGTTTTGCACATATCAATGTGCACAGTCATACCATCAAAGTTGGTGTTCTTTACCTATATGATAAACAGTCAACACCATGAAATAAATGAAAATTCTAATAATCATTTTCTTACAAGTTCTATTACATTTCTGGTGCTGGCTATTGTGCACAAATACCATGTCTACCCCAAGATGATGCATCATGAAGACAGCAAAGACAGCACTAAACATGCAGGTCTGAAGCTGGAGGCATACAAGTACTACTAAGGCCGCAATCTCCACGGTGTCTTTCATTATGCAGACTTTTTAGAGTGGCCAATAGAAGGTATCCACTGGCAGCTAGGAGCAGCTACGCACGTAGCTGAGTGTGTAACTGCTTGGTGCGAGCTGAGGGCAAACTTCCATGGAGCTTTTGCAACGTGCATGCCGCACCATCGCATTTGCCAGTCTTGGGAACCTATAAGTGTGAGCTTGTTCTGAGCATGCCCAGTGAACAGTGTTCCGAGATATAGCATCCAGTGAATACTCCCTTTAAAGGGGCGGTGCAACGATATTCAATTGGAATGTTTTTCACTTCACACGAGCTTACTGGCACTAGTGGGACTCAAGGATACTCGCCCGCAACGCCACTGGCCAAGAAACTCCATTGTTACAGTGTATTTCAAGGACAAATCCTTGAATCCTGGGCTCCTGGGCTCGAACCCAGGGATCCTGGGTTCGAGCCCCACCCCTGCCCGTTTCGATCTGGATGAGCATCGTACCGGCGTGCGGTCGTGTAACACTACTGCGTGGTGCACGTTAAAGACCCCAGGCTAGCGGATGTACCGCACTGGCTAAATTGCTCATCTACAGCTGGGAGACTCGTCGCCCCTGTGAGGCAGACCAAGTTCTAGGCTGTATAAGCACACACACGACCCAATTTTTCTTTGCAAAATTTGATGACGTAACAAGGGATTGAAGTACACCCAAATGACAATATTTGAATGCGATTCATAGATTGGACCCGAGCATTGCATGAGCACTTGACGTGGGCTCGTGATAATTACTCGCTCAAGAAGCGTTCGGGTAGTGGCCCGTGTCCAATCGCTGCAACGACTACAGTCCAAGCCATAGCAGTGTCTGGAACTCAGCGCGTCTCCTGTGCTTTGCCAACCCCAGCGCGCGGCTATGATCAACATTGGCAGCATATAATCGGCTCCAGATCACGTGACTGCTTGTTCTGACTGCTCGTTTTTCTTTAATTTTTTTTTGGGACTCCCATTGTGTGGGGTGAAAAACGAATGTGTGTTTCATAGGTCATTAACGTCAGGGATCCGTTCTAAGCGGTATTTGCACAAAGTACAAAAATTGTTGCATTGCCCCTTTAAACGGCACGAAATTGAAAGAGATCTTAGGAGCTTGTTTCATTTATCACTATAAGGGCCTATGCGGACTGCAAGTTTGTCTGCTTTTCTTGAAGGGGATGTGGTGATGTCAGAATGTTGAGCACTGATTGGCTCTGATTGGAGGATAGTGGGTAGACCTCAAAGCTAGCTGCCTTGATGTCTACCCACTATCCTTTATTCGGAGCTTGGCGTTCTGACGTCAGCACAACCCTGGCAAAAGAAGCAGACGAACTTGCATTCCCGCATTAGTTAGCCCAGTTCAACTGCTAACCAGGGTCTTTGGCATGTTCCACATAGTAGAAACTAGATGAAAGCACCTCACAACATTCAAACAAAAACTTGCAGAAACATGCAAGTCAACCTCACGACTCACGCCAACGAGCTTTCACTCAAGTGGCTTTGAGCAGTGGTGCTTTAATGAACTCAGCCATCCAGTTGAACGAAGCAGTTGCATTGGTAATCGATGCAAGTCCACAGACCTGGTACTTTTGAAACAGCTGACAGCTTGAAACATGCAAGTCTAAAACCACATACATACTACAAAGCATAAGAACTTGAAATGTACAGAATTTGTGGGCTTACAAGGCTGACGGCATCTTCGGTGTTTGCTGTTGCTAAGATTTCTAGATGCTCCACAATCAGTACCCTCAGTGTTCAGCAGTGGAACAAAATTTAGCGTAATAGGTAAAAAAGTGGAAGCAAATTACAATGTGCTACCTTGTAGCATATATCTTAAACATCCAAACCCGGCCTCAACATTTTTTCGAAGCAGCTGCATCTACTGCACTGCATAAAAACCTAAAAGTTACAGGGTCTCTTATATTATCCCCAAGATTAATTCGCTTTGTCACCCTTCTTAATTTCCTTGCCTCTAATTCGCCTGAGTGGTCACGTAAATGTGATAGCGAACCTCCGAAGACAGCGCGCTCTCTGACGACACACTTTTGGTGCCATTTCATTGGCTCACTCAGATCGTGGCATCCGCGAACCTCCGAAGACAGCGTGCTCTCTGACGATGCACTTTTGGCGCCGTTTCATTGGCTCACTCGGATTGTGGCGTCGGTTGTGGTCCCGGTGATAGCGAACCTCCGAAGACAGCGCGCTCTCTGATGGAGCACTTTTGACGGACTTTTGGCATATTTTCCTCATTTTTGTTCGCTTAAGGACTTTGAAGGTCGACTTAACGATAAGGCACATAAGGCTTTTGCCTTAATAAGTACAGCCCTGACAAATCGCATAGGTGGTCGAAGCTTGTAAAGAAACCTTCTGAAGCCCTAGAGTAGCAGTCAGCGTTTCACTAAGAAACTTAGCTTCTGAATATAGTGGTATTTGTGTGTTTTTTTGGGAGGGATTATTATACTTTTTAATTTCTCAATAAAAGACAGAGGTGCAGCTTTTGCAGAGACCAACCCATGTCCACTGTTCTCAAGCATATGCCTCCCTCCTGAAGGCTGTTCTTCCACCGATGCACGCACATGCAACGTGGTAAAGAAAATGAGCTTCGCCACAAGGCATCTAACAAATGCACTGCTCGCATTTTTTCAAATACTATTTTTAGAATGACTCATTGGGAGTTGGAAATACAGTGGCATCTCATTAATTTAAACCCGAGGGGGCCAGAACTTTTTTTAATAATGCAAAGATCGAATTACCGGGAGTTTCTTGCCTCCCCAGGGGAAAATCAGTCCACTTCCAGCTGGATTATGGAACTGGAAAAGAGGCAGCTGGACCCGGCTGGACCCAGCTGGAATGCAGCTGGACTGCCTCATGTGCAGTTCCATAATCCAGCTGAAAGTGGACCGATTTTTGCCTGGGTTGAAACACATAGGACGGGACCTGCACGTTAGTTTGAATTATCCGCGAGTTTGATTAAGAGAGTTTGAGTTAACGAGATTCTACTGTACAACCTTCACCCAGTAGCAGCAATGAAGAAATAAGTGACCAAAACCACTGTGTTTATTTCCAACATTACAACAGAGTGTTGTATAAATGTTGCATCTGCCGTTTTCTTATTTCAAGGATTACTCTCCTAGTTTTGCTTATCCATAGCACAGTTTAAAATAAATGAGGTCAAGACCACTTTCCACAAAAACCCAAGGCTTTCCCGTTTTGTGGGTAACCAATCTTTCAATAATATACAATGACATGAAAAAAAAAACACAGACCTACGTGGGAACACAATAAGTGGCATGTTTTGCACGTGGCACTTTTGTTTTAAGTATATGACATTGAAAAAAACGACTATAAAAAAAAAAAAAAACTTTTCTAAAACTAGTTGCATTTTTTTAAGGCCTTGCAGATAACCATTTTCACTTAACCATTGATTCTCTCTTTTTTTTTTTTTTCCTTAATCTTTTAAATGTTTTTCCTCTGTCCCGATTCTGCATACAAAGACTGATTCCGCTTCCATTTTAATTTATGACTTTACCATAAATGCAATAAAACTGTACAAATGCACGGGATAACTACTTTGCAGCTCGGGATAAAGGCAAGTGCCACGGCCTACTTGGCACCAGCTCTGCTGGGCCCGGTAAAGGGCTGAAGCTTAGCGAGAAACGTTCGGATTTGACCGGGCCTCAAGGTGACGAGGACATTGTTCAGCTCCTGGAAGCTTGTCTTCACCGGCACTGCGGCCACAGAGCGGGTGGCCTTGGGCTGTTCGTGTTCGGTCTTGCTCAGTTCCGTCAGGTAGAGGTGGCCGGACAGGACCGTCTCCTTGATGTCCACCACCAGGAACGAGCTGAGAAAGTGCTGCGACCAAACGGACAGTTTTGCGGCACTGTCACTTTGAAGGTCCTTCCACAAGGACTTTATGCATGCACAGATGCTTACAAAAACAAAGCTCGTAAGGGGATGGAAACCAGTGAGTGTGCAGAAATTAGGCGATTCTAGAGATTTTCTAGCCTCCTAGTGAAGGGGTAAAGGGCGCAAGATAAGTAGCAGACGATGTGGCAGTTTTCCTCAAGGCCAGTTCCTGAAAACGCTTCTGGCCAAGCAGGAAATCACTATTACGATTGCAGCGGTAGAGTGCACATTACTGTGAAGAAATTGATCACGTACGGTGATGGAAGTGTTCAGCATCCCTTCGAAAAGTGTGTGCTCAAGCCGTAGCAAGGCCTGGTCCTCGGCGACATTTTCCAGGCTCATGAGGTGCAGTCCTTCGGGCAGGTGTGCACGGAGTTCAGAATGCTGCACGTTTGACCAAAAGAAAGTGCAGGATTGTTCACAAGCTCCCTTTAATGTCACTTTATTAGCGGCAAATATACTATCAGGTTAGACATTACTCTCTCAGATACAGTGAACATTCCTTAACTTTAAGTCATAAAAACTAGAAAAAAGCTTAGATAAGCAGAGGTTTGAGATAAGCGAGGTACCGAATTTTTATTCCTAGATCGTGCAGTGTGCGAATGGAACCCTTGCAAAAATCGCGCCAATTGAATTGACACTCCCACGGTGCAGCGCAGTGGGGAGAACAAAACGATGGCAGCAGGTTATTAACAAGCAACACTCATAAGATGAGACAATAACCGTAAAAACAAAAAGCAAGAATGCAAAAAAAAACTAAGAAATTTACCAAAACAAAAAGAACAAGAGAAAAAGACAAGGAGTGGAAGATAATGTAGAGTGCGAGGGAGAGAAATGGTGGCACCAGCTACCAAACCGTATCAGGGAGAAAAAAAAAGTAAGACAACAAATGTTTTTGAGGCACACGCTATACCCCACGCTCATGACACGGGATTTTTAATTTTTTTGCATGTTGTGTTGTGCACGATTATGTTTGTTTTGCATTTTTGTGTGTTTGTTTTTGGATCGCCGTTTCTTCAACCCATGTTTAGTCCAAGAGCTGTGCTCTCTGTCCTTGTCCCTAAGTGTTTTGATTCTTTCTTTGATTCTTGTATTTCAATCATTGATGAGAACTAGAGCCTTCTCTGCTGCTTACAGGAGGGGACACCGCAGATTTCTGCTGGGTAAGCATTATCAGCCAGTCAGGAAACGTTTTGTCTGTTTGCATGTTTATGATTGGGCAGTATTTTTTTGGTAAGCCAAAAAAGTTTTTTTGGGGGGGGAGGGGGGAGGGAGGGACAGGAAGCTAGGATGGCTAGGATCTCTTCGACTTGGGGAGTGGGAGCATAATACATGTGTTTATTATACGGTCAGCTGCATTTCAAAATGGGGTCCTCAGCTTTGAAAGCACCCCATTGTCAATGCTGCTACCAAGCAAGAAGGTAAGAGAGGCTTTGTGAACAAAAGGTAAGGGTGCAAATGAGCTGGTGGTGGTTAAACATTTCGTTGTGTTTGTCCGTCCCTTTTTGTCCTAGTCTCGGGGTTTTTGTCGAGAGGCTTTGTGGCTGCTGGTGTGCTTGTCCGAAGCATTTCTTCATCCACGAGTAAATTGCAGCAAGGCAACAAAACAACTCGAGATTTGGAAAGAAAACGTAAGATGATTTCCTCATTCAATAGCAGATGTTCACAGTTTAAGCTTACATTTGATCGTGTAGCCCACAGAACAAAAATTTGTATCAAACGGTCCACTTTTTTCCCGTTTCGTTAGCAGATGATATGAATGGTAAGTGTTTTCTCGTCTCCTTTCCGTTTGTGAATGATATTTCATGGCAGACAAACCCCATTCTTTTCTTATATTTGTTTACTTTTGCTTACACAATATTTTGGTTTGCTCCATCAGAAATATTGCTCTTAGTACTCTCATGGTGACAAGTGATCTCTCGTGACTTACGACTCCCATTTTCAATGCAAAAAGAGTTATTGGGCTTGCCACAGACCGGAAGCACTGAAGTGGTTTCCGAGATTGTCTATTTATGGTCATAAATAAAGAATCTCTGAAACCACTTCTGAGATTGTTTATTTGTGAGTCTATTTATGGATCTAAGTATTCTTAAGAAACAATATTTGGCTGATACACGTCCGATTTTCCTAATAAGAACAGCATCTAAAATTGCAACACGCCCTTCTATTCTGCATTTGGGTGCAGAAACCAGAGGGCGCTATCAGACATGCAACAACTAATTATGAGAAATCACACCCCGTGTGCAAATTGCACACTTAAAAAATCAGTTTGCCATTGGTCATCCCCCTTGCCGCGAGAGATGCGATCACTCGCAATTAGTTTTCGCACATTTGACGGTGCCATCTGGATTCTGCACCTAATAGCAGAAAAAGTAAGGTGTTGTGATCATCAATTTTGTCTAAAAATGGGAAATTGGACGTGTATTAATCTAATCTTGGGTTTTCTAGAATGCTTGGAGCTCATAGATTCAGTTATGACCATAGACAATCTCAGGAACCACTTTAGTGCCCTTTTAAAAAAATTGCAGAGCCCTTCCACTTCACGTGAAAATGGAGGACCAGCGAAGCTGTTATAACTTTGACGTCTAGAACGATGCCTAGAGGACGACATCTAGGACGACCTCAAGGACGACTTTTAGGATGACCTCGATCGATCGAGGACGATGCCTAGAGATGATAACAAGGGATCAGGACCTCACTATCTAATAATGCCAAGGAAGGCTGACTCATGCTGGTTGCCTACTTTTTTTATTTTTATTCATTCATAATTGCCACAATTAATGGGGAGTTTCCTGTCAACATCTGCGGACACATTTTTTTTTCCAGATCCTAGCGCATAACAGCCTCGCTGTAAAAATACAGCCTGAAATCACGAGCGACTAAGCGATCACTGAAATGATGGAGCGCTGCTAATGACATACCTGCTTCTTTGGAATCGGTGCAAACGGTGTGTGTGTAAACAAGACCACAGGCTGGTAGACCTGCTGCAGTGAGGCCCTGCGCTTGACCAGTAAGGCCTCCCGGGGCGTTCCCAGGTGTACGAAGTGCTTGCCCTTGACCACAATGCCCTCTCCACCCGCACCACGGTCATCAAGGGCCTCTTGTACACCGAGGTCATCGTCCACAAAGTACCTCCTGTGCAGCTGATGTGCAGAAAAGAATGCATCAATTGCATAAAATTCTCAAGTTCCGAGACCAAGGATCAGTTTCATGTACCGCCGAGGCACCCATTCTGTTTCTACAGGGTGTCCCAACAAAAACAATTAGATGTGAGTGGACATTTGAAACTTCAAACAATTCTCAAATGCTGCTTTCTATTTGATTTGATTTGCAGTGCACTTTTTCTTCTCAAAGGATTCAATTTTGTTGTATATTAAAAAAACTGCGAATCCGCTCTTTTCCAAATAGGTGCCGCCACCCGTAGGTGCGTGACGGGGTTTGAGATTGAGTGACTTGAAAAGGACGTGCTCAAAAGGCTTCTCTGACATGTTTAACTGCATTATTAGGCTCAGTGGTGTCACTAGAGGGGGGGGGGGTGTAACAGACCACCCCGGGTGCGGTGCTCAGGGGTGTGCGGCTGGGCAGTTAAAAGAGGTGGAGGAGTCACCGCTGGACATGAGTGGGGGAGGTGTCGTAACGGGCCACCGCCCCGGGTACTGCTGACCCTAGTGATGCCACTGATAAGGCTACATTCCAGCGGCATAGCCAGGAAGTTTTTTCGGGGGGGGCTGAGGTGGCTGGGGTTTCCATGACTTGGGGTGTGGGAGGGAGGGGGTCAAAATGCATGTGTATATTATAGGGTCGGCTAGACTTCGGAGGAGGCTGAAGCCCCATTAGCCTTCCCCCGTCCCCCCTGGCTACGCCCCTGCTACATTCGTATGCAAAAACATGAGCTGCACCTTCTTGGTTCAATGAAACGCTGTGACCTAGATACGGCTCCCCCAAAGATCGCCTTTGTCCCTATTTTTTATTATATTTGGCTTGATGTTGATACAAAGAATCCATGTTCTCTCTCTGCATGACCAGCAGGATGAGAAGAAGGATACCAAATTCATTTACTCTCGAACCCATATTTCCGAAAAAGGTGGATTCTCAAATTTCTCCCGTCGAGTTTCACCACTTTGCACCGGTGCACACTCGTCAAGCTTTACTGCTTTGCATCGGCGTGCTAGGAGAAACAGCTGAAGTGTGAAAGGACCTCGGTTGGTTCAATGGTCTATTTTGTAACCTGATTGTAGGTTATTTGTTATTTTTTGTTAACCCAAGGTTTAAAACGGCAGTGGTGGAAAAGTAAACCTAAAGCTGTGTTCATATACCCAAGGCGGTCATTGCTTTGCTTGCCATATTAAGCTTTATCCAACTCATCAGGGCCTGTTTCTCACGGAATAAACTCTTCCTTTTCATAGGTATGCTTTCTAGAAAATATGTCTAGCTGTGATTTCTTATGAAACCATTCTCAACGCACATTAAATGTCAAATATTGGTATCTGAAAATATTCAAATCCGATTTGAAGTCAAAGTTTAATATTCACTATTAATTCAAAATAAAAAAATTCAATATTTGCACACCTTTACCCCCGTGACACAATTTCCCCCGTTTTCTTTTCTCCTATCTTTTTTTTGGGGGGGCATAACTTGTAAAACCCTGTCCGCTGAGAAGCCTTTTAAGTTGATAAAATAAAATATATACCTAAGGACAAAGCTTGAAGACACGGAGCATGCAGCAGAAGGATACACATATTTCTCTGCTTACAATTAGTAATTAATTAGTTGGGCTTACTAAATTTAGCAACTGCATACCCGGTTTTACAAGACACTCTTTCGTAATGTTACAATCGTCTCGTGGAAGCAAGCAAGCAAGCTATAATACTCTGTGTTTCCACTCATAAATCAGCAGATTAAAACAACCGAATAATTACTCACTCACCATGAGCTCTAAGCAGCCCTGCTGTGGGCTAGTACCTCCCTGGGCCCTATCTGTGATCACCGTCATTTGCAGATTCCTCGTCTGGCCCTGCGAGATAACCACCCATATAACAGCCGTTCCAACTTTTAAATTGTAGATTGATGTAAAAATCCGTTACTGACCAAGCGTGAGTCGCTTCAAGTTGGCGTCGCACAACCTGTACTGATCGGAACCTTTCTTATTTTTGTCTTTTACACACTCCTACTAGACTCTCGGACCAAAATGCATCAGAATTTCTAAAGGCTATCAACTCGTAGTTGTGAATGTGTAGCTGTTTCATGCTACCAAAAAAGCTAGAGGGATCGAGAAATAATCAATATAGCCGAGCCCGGTTATATCACACTTGGGTATTTCGAATTATTGTTTATATCAGACAGTCCAAACATTCCCTTGAAAATGACTATAGATGCGTTGTCTTTTTGTATCGAACTCCCATGGCAGGGACACTCGATATGCGAACGAAGCCCGGCCGCAAGTTGCTTTTCCCGTGATCCAATTGCACCGGTCGCGAGCACATCGCTTGCGTTGCAGGGCTGGCAGACTGTCAAGCCAGCGTACACGCGGTAAGATATGCAGCGAAAGAACAATTGTGAAAAAAGAAAACCAATGAACCGTGAAAAATAAAATGAAAAAAAAAGTGGAGGATGGCAAAAGCAAGAGGAAGGGCACGCGAGTATGTGTAGGGGGAGCAAGGAGTGCCCACTGTTGGAACGGTAGCCTGTGCCCTTTCCCCAAACACTGCTGATGGTGCGCAACTCCGTAGCCCCAAAATAAAATTAGCAAAAAAAAAAAGTCTTCTGCAAGTCAAGTGTGTCCACAACAATGGTTGTGCAATCACACTTTCATCGCCTTTGCTTACCTTTTTAATGTCAAAACATTAACTGTCTCATGGAGCAAGCCGACGTCATCAGCTTTGAAACCACGCCAAACGGCTCTTTCTACACCGCTTCAATCCCATCTTTACACCGCTTCGATCCCACTGGCTAGCACGCATCAACAGCAACGGCACCATTTACACCGCTTCGATCCCATTGGCTAACATGCGTCAACCAAGCTTCCATTCGCCGAACACACAGTGCCATGGGGTGGCCGGTTTTTGAAACTGATGCTGTGCGTCAGTTTCAACGAACGGCAACCTTATGGCGCTGCGTGTCCGTCAGCGCTAGGAGTTGTGCGTCTGTTTTCCACGTGCCGCCGCGCCGCTATTCGCCGAGATCCGATCACGTGAGGAGCTGGATAAAAAGTTGTGCGGGAAAGCAGACGTTGCCCGCGCCTCGACATACGTTCCCCTGCTTTGGAGCGCGAATGCGCAGCGCCGCTATTCGCCGAATTCAGTCACGCGAGGAGCTGGATCAACATGCAACATGCTATAAATAGCCCAGCAAAGCGAAACACCGTGCAAATATAATGTTTATACTTTGCCAAAGACATAACCAACAGCAACACCTCCCGCAGTGTGCAATATTTTATGTGTAGGTGTGTAATGTGTAATCACCGCCATACATGTATGGCGACAACTGCTCAGTCATGAATAATGTTGCTACAGCTAAGATCAATCAGTCTCTTTGAGACCCTGTAGAAGTTCCATCAAATGTAATTCATTTGAAAAAGCAAAGGGTAAAACTACGAACCTTGAGGTATATCCAAGAGACCACTGGGTAATAATTGGATGCCACAGACTGTGGATAGACAGATTCATTCAATTTCACCCACCTGCACAAAATAATGTGAAAAAGTCTCAGTTACCATTTCAGTGATAGACATGATCATGTAAAACAAATTTATTATAGCTTCCTGCCTTCATAATAAATGGCCATAACAGTGATGTACAGTAAAAGTTTTACCTAGAAATAACAATTAACACTTCAAGATGTTTTTTGCCTCTGTTCTGATTCCACTACTGTGGTTCTGGATGCAGCCAAGTGCACATTACTTTTTTGTGTACTCAATAAACCTACCAACGTATTTAATCATAATATGTGAGAACAGGAAACTAAGTATGAAATCTGAACAGTTTGTTAAAGAAAGCCTTGTTTGGATTGCCCAAACTTTAATTTGTACAAGTTAAAATTAAGTGCTTTCACCCTGTGGATAAACTTTTTTGTGTTACTAGACATGGAAATGAAGTAACTTTCTGGACTGACCTGTATCGGATTAAATTGTCATACAATTCTGAAATATTACATAATTTCTACAAGACGTGAGAGCTACATTTGCAATGTCTGCCCTTCTTGCATGATGAAGTACAGGGAGAAGTTTAGTCAGTTTAATGGTGCTGCTCTGATCATGAAAAGCAAATCTACAACTTTTCTAATAGAATATGCAAGCAAACATTCACCCAGAAAAAGTACTTTTCTTTTGTGTTTGTCCTGCGACATGAATGTGTTGCGGAAAAGCAGCAACCTTAACACCACCACTGTTACTTTGCCGCAGTACGCCAGTGCCACCGAAGAAGCACACATAATGACATTACACTGGTTTGTAAAAACAAGCATTGAGTAAACATCGAAAAACTTTGTGAATATACATATTAATTTAGTTTCCTGAAACTCTAACAGAGAAGCAAGTCTAAGGATCTGCTTTAGTTTTACATTCAACGTCTGATTCTCCATTTTTTTATTACATTAGTTGAGTTGTTATTGTTCATCTGTGAAGGGAAATGCTGAATGTACAATTATGATATTTTTCACTCTTTGATAATATAGATCAAGTGCAGTTTTTCATCTTCATATTGTTCGTCGTGTTCAATCTTACTGCCGTTACATAGTGCAGAAAACTTGCAGCTTTCCTTTGAAATGTTTGACTTCTGCCCAATTATATATTATGAAATTGAAAATAAACATATTTTTATTTTTTTGTATGAATATTTCTAATCAAAAGTCTAATCAAATAGGCCAATATTTTAATTAATATCTATCAATTCTTAATCATTGTACGAGCATACCGACTGTTCTGGGTTTTAGGTGTCCATGCAGAGTTACAAAGAGGTATACAGTCTAACCCGGTTATATCGCACCCGGGTACTTAGAATTACTGTTTATATAGAACAGTCCAAACATCCGCTTGAAATCACAGTATAGGAGCCTTGTTTTTCTGTATCGAACTCCCATTGCCCCCATTGCCTCCCTTGGCGGAGACACTCGATATAGTGAACAAAGCACGGCCGCCTCTGCAGTCGCTTCACCCACGTTCGAATTGAGCCGGCGGGGAGCACATAGCTCGCGTTGTGGGGCTGGCGGACCGCTATGCCAGCATAGGCGTACAGATACGCAGCGAAAAAGCAATTGTAAAAAAAAAAAGTAAAATAGAGTAAAGCATTTGTAAAAAGAAAAGAAAAAAAAAGTGGAGGATGGCAAAAACAAGTGGAAGGGCACACGAGCATGTAGGGAGGGCAGGGGGTGCTTGCTGTCAGAACGGTAGCGTGCGCTCTTTCCCCGAACACCGCTGTCACTGCGCGACTTAGCCCCAAAATAAAATAAGCAAAAAAAAAAAAAGTCTTCGGCAAGTTGAGTGTTGACAACAACGGTTGAGCAATTGCACTTTGAATGCCTTTGTTTACCTTTTTCTTTTTGCGTTCTTGCTTTGCCCGTTCTTTTTTTTTCTTTTTTTTTTGCTGCTTGAATTTAGTGAGGTTTCTTTTTTGTTGCTTGCTTAAAGTGGCCCTGCAATCAAATTTAAGCGTCTACCTTTTTTTTGCGGTTTCCACGTCTCTTGGGGTTTGGGCAAGCCAGCGGGCACGGAGAGAGTAACTAAATATTAGTGCGTCATATTTTAACCGGATGACGCGGAAAGCTCCTCCACCTACGGGGGTGACCCGCGGTGCCGAATGCGCGCAATGTGTGACGTCTTTGGTCCTGGGCTTTCTACTGGTCAGAGCCGCTAAAAGCTTCTTTTTAGTCGAAATACAAAACATAAGTGGCACGAGCCATTTCAATTATTTATAAAATTAGTTTTTGTTCACTATATTACATCTGAAAAAGAACAAATACAGTTTAGAAAATACAGAAACAAGAAATGACCCCTCGACATACCCGCCACCAAGCAGCGGAAAAGGCGGCGCATACTAGAAAGGTGTAGTGAGATCAGGCACCAACGAGAGGTGAGCGTAGAAAGGTCCCGGATGTACGCGGCGGCTCTGCGGTCGTATGGTCTGGAGGATCTGACTGGTTCCGAGCGTTCCCAAGGCTTTCGGTGAGCAGCTTTGGCTTGCAGTTTCGCCTTTTGGCGGTATGGCAGCGCGAAATGGCTCCCGTTCTGAACTGATCTTTACCCCGTGTTTGCTGTCGTTTGTGGCCAATGAAGTGTCATGCCGAATAAGTGTTTAATCGTGCAGCAAATGTGATGCGAGCCGCCCTGGCTGTCCGCTTCATACAGCCTATCCAGAACATGCTTTAGTGGCGCCCTCTCGAGCCATCGACACAGAGTGCGGCAGCCGTGAATACTTGCTAAGCTCACTACCCCTCCTCTAGTTCACGGACACTCAAGCAACCAAGTACATCATAAAGTAGGTTATTTTTTGCTTGTTTTTGTAATTTTAATTTTCGTATAACTTTTAAAATTAAGTGAAATTCGAGAAAAGAAAAGTTTCATTAAGTTACTACGTTCGGTGAAAATTTAAAACTAGTAAAAAAATCCTTGCAGGGCCCCTGTAACTTTATTCTATGGATCAATATTTTTTTTTATGCTGCTAGCTTTTTTCCGTTATTTCATTTTTTTTTTTAATTATTTTCGTGTTTTGTTGTTGGCGCTGCGTAAACACTGTCGCGTAAACGCGGCGGTGTTTGTGATCTTCACCAACTAAGCTCTACTGTATTTAGCGGCTCTTGGAGGCTCTATTTGGTAAGGTACCGTTTGTCGCGGCCTTCAATATTAGCAGAGACGCGCAGAAATTTTAACTGGAGCTTAAGTTAACTTTTATTGTATATCATATTATCGATATACAGAACTATTTTACGATCCCTTTTGAATTCAATATATCCGGGTTCAACTGTATGTTACACTTTATGATGGATTATGCAGCAGACTCTACAAGTCATCCCAGCGAACCCAGCACTGTGAATGTATCGTGCGACTGCGCACCCTGCATGACCCCTCCTGAAGGTCGTGTGACATTCGCACAACACTGAACTGGCTCTGATGGGTCCTAGCATCCTCCGCGGTGCATTGTATGGTGAAATGAGGTGTAGTTACCTGCGCTGGATTGTCTCGAGTCCATTGGAGTCGGTGAAAAAGACGTCGCCGTTGTCCAGCCGCGTCTCATACCTAGTCACAATGTCGATGTTCTCGCGACTTCGTGCCCACGAAAATGCATGGAAGAGAAAACATTGCCGAGATAAGACTGTGCATGCGTGTATGCATCAAAAGTTAACTTCAGCTCTTCAGTGCATCAATATTTACTGCTAGAACAAGTAATTTTATTCGAAGTGAAGAAATTGTTGTGGAACATACATTCCTAGAAGAAGTTTAACTCCAACCAGTGAAAAAAAAAATTCTAAGTTAATGTGCTAGCCGATTTAAAAAGCACAAAAACTTAAGCTAGAAGCTTGCACTGCATTTCAATGCAGTGAGGTATAACTGCGTAAGCTCTTTCTTTAAGCAGGTACACTTTTATGTTGGCTATTGATTTTATTCCTTTTATTTTTGCGCCAGTGCAACCCCATTTAAGTTACAAAAGTTTGGAGCAAAAATGCCCATTTCACTATACAGAAGCCTTTATGTTAGCAGCAGGGGATCAAATATTGATATGCACGCCTCTCTTAAAGTCACTATTGACACACACACACACAAGCAATAGGTGCTAAAAGGAGATAAAATCGGGACAAACATTGTGGGTTTATTTTTGGTAAAATGAAGAGTGTTTTTCAGAGTTTATATTTATCACAAATTCAGTACTCATCAGAGTTTACTTTTGTTCCATTTCCAATTCTTTGAAATTGGTGTTTATCAGAGTTTGCTTTTTGCAGGGTACACATTTCTGCATTTATCTCCTGTCACCCTTTGTGAGTGAAAGTATAGTTAAAAAATTCTAGGTGGTCGCACGCTTTAGAACAAAAAAAAAAAAGAAAGCCGTTTACAACTCCCTGTAACGCCGGATTAGAGTGCAGCTCTTGAGGAGGGGGGAAGAGTACTAAGGGGAATGTATATCCCTTCTCCCTCCTCCTCGCCTCCTCATCCTGTCTGGTACTCCTCAGTCCCAGCGGCGTCGCCGTCGCCTCACGAGGGTCACGTGACCTCATGGGGGTCATGTGACGTCACCGGGGTCACGTGAGCTCACGGGGGTCACGTAACGATGACGTCACGGACGAAGTCATCGGCAACGGCATCGTCACTGATGACGTCATCAGTGACGTCATCGGCAACCGCATTGTCATCGTCACTGATGAAGTCATCAACATCCGCATCGTCATCGTCACTGATGACGTCATCAGGGACGACGATGCAGATGCCGATGACGTCACTGATGATGTCATCAGTGACGTCACACGTCCCATAATGCACCGCACAGTTATGCAGACGGTGACGGCGACACCGCTCAAGCCGGGAACGGGCGCCTAAGAGCTGCGCTCTAAAAACAAGTTATAACACCTTTTTTATCTCAAAAGTGGCTCAAATTCTAGTAAAAGTACAAGCAAAAAAATTGCGGTGGTTTAGCTCGGCTATGCCAGGATATACGCAGAGTGAGCTTATGCGCACAAAATGAGAGGCGCTATCAAGCATCTCCAATGCAGCGTCAGACTTGGCTACTGCGCAATGGAGGCGCACAGCTGGGCACGCGGCGGCGCCAGTGCGTCTGCCGCGGCTATGATGTCACTCCTCTGGAATGCGCAGACCGGCGAGGCGGGTAAGGCAAGCGCGGCAGCGGCGGAGCGCGCGGCGGCGGCTTCGCGTGGCTCTCATAATTAGCTGTGCTCATTATGCGGAGTGCGCGGTGCCGTGCGCTGTGCTCATTATGCGGAGCTCCGCCGCCGCGCGCTTCGCATTATGAGCACGGCTCATTATGAGGGCCACGTGAAACTGCTGAACCTCGGCCAGTGTAGCTAACGCTACAAAAGGTGCTTTACTTGTCTGGGATGGGCCCGATGATCCACTCAAACTCAATGAACTCAGACTTCTTGTAAAGGCGAATGACTTGAGACACCCAGTGGCTGAAGATCTGGTGGATCTCTTGGACATGATTGCCCTGATGCAACCGTTAGAAAACAACATAAGAGACAAATTAAGCAAGCTCTTACCTCAAAGGGATCAGTGTGAGAGTCATTTTCAACGAACTCTACAACAGTTTTCTTGGATATAATAAAGCCTATAAGAACATCACTTCTAAGCCTCACCAAATGCTTATCGCTGCAATAAATTATTTACTATGACAAAGGGGGGCCATAATTCACTTTTTAAAGCATTCAAGGGGCCTCTTTAGCCACTGTCAGTAAAAAGTCTCGGATGGCTGCACAAATAAATAACTCGTGCCGTGATTAGCTGTTTGAAAATGGAGTGCAACTCTGACTTGTGATCAGCTATAACAAAAATAAGTTTACATTCTCTCTTTTCTACAGCATGTAAATAACATTTCAAACCAACATTAAACGGTGTACGAAATTCGGTTTCTCAACGTATTGGGCTGTGATTTGATACAAAGGTATGGCTAGGTGGTGGAGCTTCAAGTAAAAATATCAACAAATGAACTTACCTCGGTCATAAAAAAAAAGAACCTGTTTCAGGCAGGCATGTAGCCAGGGGAGGGGGGGGCCATGGGGCCCAAGCCCCCTACCCTTCCTTCCCCCCAAAATCTCCTATTTTGCTGGGACCTCCTCTCCCCCCTCCCCCTCATACAGCATTTTGTAATGGGCGGCCCCCTCCCCTGAAACAAAATCCTGGCTACGTGCCTGTTTTCAGGCAACCTATGGCGGCATTCGCAGACCGTGCCATGACGGTGCTCTCCGACCTCTACGTGCTGTCGACATGTAGATGTTAAATATGAGAGGATACAGCACCTCAGTCGATCATCTCCACACAAGAAGTAGGTGGCTCTGGGGGATTTAAATGCCTATTTTTGTAATTAGTTTATTCAAAATAATATCGCACTTTGAAAATTGTCGGAAGCGTTGATGACACCTCAGCATCGAGCTTAGCAGAATAATCTTGTGAAAGTCCTGAGTACACTTCTTCAGCGTCGTGTGCGTCTCTGTATACAGAGACGCACACGACGCTGAAGAAGTGTACTCAGAACTTTCCAAGATTATTCTGCTAAGCTCAATGCTGGGGTGTCATCAACGCTTCCGACATTTATCAACATCATTGCATAAATGGCACGCACCATCTGCAAATGCCGCTGTAGATAGCCCGAAACAAGTTCATTTTTTCTTTTGAACGAGGTAAGTTCATCTCTTGATACTTTCACTCTAAGCTTTCACCACCCAGCCGCACGTCTGCAATAAATCGTAGCGCGATACGTTGAGAAACCAATTTTCGCAAACCGTCTAAAGTGAGTTGGAAGCTTTAGTTTACAGTCTCAAACAGGAGAAATGCAAACGACAGAGCAACAGTTTCTTGCCCTCTTTGCGTCACTCAACGGTCGTCAGCGGAAGCTCTTGCGTGGCATGCAATGCTCTCCGAGAGTGGCGATGGAGCCAAGTGGACGGCCTTTTGGATAAATGAAGTTCGCCCCTATTTGCTTCAGTCTTTCACCATATCTGGCGTTCATCGCAAAGTTGGCAATACACCATGCATGCTTCGCATGTCCAGTAATGGTGCATAAAATAAACCAAAATCAGCCTTAGACCGATATTCCAGTAACATTACGATTGGCACAGAAATGTGCGGCTGATAAAAATTCTTTACGTGTCATCGCGGGGCATACCAAATGCATGTGCCACATTGTCAATGTGGTGAAAGCATTCAAACAAATCGGCGTGAATTCTATTTATTGAAAGGACAGGCCACTTGGCAGCGTTACTACAGTCAAACCCATTTAAATAGAACTCGCTAAAAATCGTCTACCAGTTCAATATAAAAATTTTAATGAATTTGACAATGAACAAGCATGCCACATTCAGAAAAGTTGTTTAATCTCGAACGAGCGTCTGTACTCCACGAGGGATGCGCCACGCAGCTATTCAGTGGCCGCTTCTTCGTTTTCCAAGGTGTCACTGGCTCGCCCTCTCAACGTTCGTTCCCCCCCCCCAAAAAAAAAAAAGCCACCTTGCAGATCAAAATGGCGCTCTTGGCAGCTTGGACGTATCGGGAGACGCTGCAATTTTTGTTCAATGTAACCACATTTTTCGCTGTGCATTTTCATCGCAGCCACTAGTGTGTTCAGAAATAGTTCGATATAAGAGATAGTTTGAATTAACTGGGTTCGATATAAACGGGTTTGACTGTACTCTGAAAGCATACCACAAGCTCTGAGAGAGCTTCCGCTGACGGCTGTGGAGTGAAGCGACAAGCGCGAGAGGCTGTCGCACTGTCGTTCACGCTTCCTTCGTTCAGGACTGTACATGCTGTGCAGGGTATTTTCGAGCACTGTTCGGGTGTAAACATTGTTTAGTAAATTAACCAACGAATTGAGCGCAATTAAACTTTTCAAAAAGATGTCTTTAGGTGGTGCATTTATCATACTAAATTTCATCAGTGTAGGTTTGAGGAAAAAACGTGGACCTAAACAATCTTGTTTTCTCCTATGCACAGGAAGGAAAATGGTAAAAACCATCAGGTTAATGCTGCTCCTTAAAGGGGCCCTGCAATCATATCTAAGCGTTCAGCCTTATCGCGATTTCCACGTCTTGGGGTTCAGGCAACGCAGCAGGCACGGAGAGAGTAACTAAATATCAGTGCGTCATATTTTAACTGGACGACGTGGAAACCTCCTCCACCTACAGAAGCAACCCGCAAACCCGAAAGCGCGCGAAATGTGAAGTCTTTGGTACTGGGTCTGGGCTTACTACTGATCAGAGCCGCTAAAAGCTTCTTTTTAGTCGAAATTCAAAATATATTGGCGCGAACAGTTTCAATTACTTATAAAAGTAGTTTTTGTTCACTATTTTAGATCAGAAAATAAACAAACACAGTTTAGAAAGTACGGAAACAAGAAATGACCCGTCGACATACCCGCCACCAAGCGGTGGAAAAGGCGGCGCATACTAGAAAGGTGTGGTGGGATCACCGACGAGCAACGAGCGTAGAAAGGTCCCGGATGTACGTGGCGGCGCTGCGGTCGTATGAACTGGAGGATCCCACTGGTTCCGAGCGTTCCCGAGGCCTTCGGCGAGCAGCTGTGGCTTGCGGTTTGGCAGCGCGAAGTGGCTCCCGTTCTGAACTGATCTTTACCCCGTGTCTGTTGTCGTTCTTGGCCAATGAAGCGTCATGCCAAATTAGTGTTTAATCGCGCAGCAAATGCAATGCGAGCCGCCCTGGCTGCCCGCTTCATACAGCCTAGCCACAACATGCTTTAGTGGCACCCTCTCGAGCCGTCGACATGTAGTGCAACAGCCGTGAGCGCTCGCTGAGCTCACAACCCCTCTTCTAGTTCACGGCCACTCAAGCAACCAAGAACGTCATGAAGGAGGTTATTTTTTGCTTGTTTTTGTAATTTTAATTTGCCTATAACTTTTAAAATAAAGCCAAATTCGAGAGAAAAAAAAGTTTCATTAAGTTACTACGTTCAGTGCGCTCAGGTTCAGTGCAAATGAAAAACCAGTCAAGAAGTCCTTGCAAGACGGCACAACATAAAATAAAACGCAGTGCCTAGAGTGCCATCCGACGGCGCTTTATGCCCGCATTCAAGTGCCATTTTCCGAGCAAATGCCGTCCTTTAGTGAAGAATGTATTGCTTCTGGCACTTTAAGGCCTAAAAAGCATGCCTACTTTCGCTGTACTTTTTTTCTGTAAAATTTGCTAATTATGTGTATAATCAAATACCATAAAACTTTCTTGATACTGTCGACACCGGTTATATGAAGTCGGTTATAACGAAATAGTGACTAAAGCGAAGCGATCACAATTTCCCATTCCTTTTTGCATTTCGTTATAACCGGAGTCAGTTATAACGAAATAGCGGATATAGCTAAGTGAATTTTGATTCCCATTGCCTTTGTTATAACTGGTCTCGACAGTAACAAGTAATATCTGAAAACGAAAGAGGGACATCCCTGACTCGTTCCAATAGCGTAATGATTAGCATGCCTGGCCTATGGTTTCACAAATATCTAGGTCCCATGCATAAAATATATATATTTTTTAATTTTTTTTATTTTGCAGAAGCTGCGGTTGTTACTAAAGCATGTGAGGTTTAAACTAAAATTCATTTTGAATCACAATCGCAACATTTAAGAGAGTGCCACTTAAACAAACTTGAGAAGATAGTGCAGCTTGCATCACACAGGCATAAACATATATATAAAAAAGCTCGAGGTACACCTAGGCACAATAGTGAATGCGAAAGCATGCTTGCCGTTCTTCTGCTTTCTTGTTTCATCTGCGGCGTACTTGCGCCAGCCGAATGCACGCTCCCCCAGCTCTCCTTGCAACCCTGACCTTGGACGCTTTGTGTTACTGGCGCACTCACGGCATGGACACGCAGCGCCATGGGGTGGCGGTCGTTGAAACTGACGCGCAGCTGCCAATGGGAGCCTCGTTCCTTGGAACTATGACGTGCGCCAGCCAATGGGACCGAAGCCAAAATCCATCAGCTTCACTCTGCTTCTTTGGGATCGGGGAAACTAAGTGCCGTTTCGCTAGGCTTTTCATATGGTTTCAAAGCTGGGAGCGGCTTCACTTGGAGAAAGGAGTTAAGGTGCCATTTGGCACGGCTTCAAAACTGATGACATTGGCTCGCTCCATGGGACAGGTAATGCTTTCACATTAAAAGCATGCTGCTCGTTTGTCTCGCTCGCGCTTTATGCTAAAACAAATTGTTGGTGAGCAGCTGATGGGACACATGTCAGAATAAGCGTGACTTGTGCTTAACACTTTCGGACGGTACTTGAAGGTGCGAGTGTTGTGCCGTCGGATGGCGCTCGATATCTAGACACAGCGAAAATAAAAATGTGAAAGCTTTTTTTATATGAACACTCGAAAGCAGATTCAGCAGATCCGAGCGTGTGTGATACCGTGAGTGGGGGCGGCCAGATGGTTTTAATCATTTTCCTTCTTGTGCATAGAAAAAAAGTTTTTTGAGACTTAATTTTTTTTTTCTAAAGCTCACAGTCGTAAAATTTTGGTATTTTGGTAACCATGTGCCAAAAGCCATCCTCGTTAAAAGTTTGAATGCACTCCGTTCACTGTCTTATTTATACAAACTTTTTTCACCCGAATAGTGCTTCCAAACACACTGTACAAAACTGCTGGCACTCCCTTGGGCGCAACATTACTAGAACAACTCAGTTGGAAAACTATATCATACAGCCTGCTTTGAAGAAGTGAGTCCGATCTATACTCGAGAACCGAACTAAATGCAATCACAACGCCACCATTTCTCCCGCGGAGGCCACTCTGGGAACTGCACAGCTGCACGTATTGCTTCAGGTCGAATCGCGCTAAAACATGCAAGGGCTGGTGGTGCCATCTCGCTGTGCCATTTCGCGGTAGTGTAAATCAACTTTCATGTTTGGACTTGTCGCTAAAGGGCAGCGCTGTTATTGCATTTAGTTTGGTCTCAGTAGACGCGAGCGGCCGCGGGTTTCAAGGGAGAATTTCCCAACTGAGTGTTTTAGCGACATTGCTTGGGTTTAACTGTGTTAGGCCTAATAGTTAGGCCTAACTCAATTAGGCCGAATTCCATTGGGCCTAAAGACTCAATGCAAGCACTAGGCCTTCAAATATGCATATGCCTGCCTTGACGATGCGATAGGTGACGTGGCTTCCCAGGTCGAAGGGCTCGTCTCTGTCAGGCAGGAAGGTGTATGCTCCTCCGGCAGACACAGTGAACTGGTGCCCTGGAACGGCCATCTTGTAGACGTAGAATGACTGCTTCAGGCTCATGGCCAACTCCAGTCCAAGGAACGTAATGTGCAGCAGTAGGCCCGTGGTCATATCTACCTCTAAACGGTAACGCTGCAAAAAAGTCATCCCTTTTCTCTCAGTTTAGATGTAAAGCTTGCCTCATACCTCAAGTGAAAGAATAAGTTATTAAGTTGGACATTGCACCGTTCACCTTCAGGGCAATTTTTTTTTCATACCAGTTACTATTATTGTTGCTATAGCTGATAAACTTTTAACAATTGACCGATTTCATTTGCTCAGCTCGCGTATGAATCCAATGTACCATGTATAAGCCATCTCAGCCAGTCCAGCACTGGGAATGTATCATGTGGCATGTGGTCCATGCGTCGCTACCACTGATCTTTATGACAATTGCTGGATCCCGCTTCCCCGCTTTGAGCCTATTGCGCGATTGAGGCCACCGGTCGGCCATCTTACCAGTGCCGCTGAAGCGTTGTCAAGGCAGCAGTCACGCGACCTTTGCCTCTGTTTCTGCGTGACCTACACACGGTAACCATGGTAACTGTCTAGGCTTGACAGCGCTAGAGCATATCTCGTAAGATGGCCAACAGTGGCCTCATTTTCGGTGCGGGGAAGCGCGATCCAGCAATTGTCATAGAGATCAGTGGTCGCTACGCTGCTCCTGAAGGTCACATGACACTCACGCAGCATTGGATCGGCTTTGATGGCTCATAGCATCCTCCGTGGCCTATTGTAAGGTGCAACGAAGCACATAGAGGAAGAAGAGATGAGTATACTATTGCAGAAATTGTTATAATGCCTCAGATAGTAGTTATGTTGTACACATTGCTCTTGCAGTCATTGCCATTGCATTCCAAGGTGCATTACTAAATAGGCCCATTGGCTGTTTTATACTACAACATGAATAAATTATGCTGATTCATTGTAGAATTTGTTCGGACTTTGTTATAGTACTTTGTTATAGTATATGTTCAAAATAAGTCGCTCTGAAAACAGCTGACATGTAAATATATTATATCATATACATACAGCTTTCGGATGCCAAAGATGCAGACTTTCTCATCTAAAGCCAGCATGGAACCAAAAATTAAAATAACTCTGCTCAGGAAGTAGATAGACAGTCAGAGCTAAAACGACAATTGTTTAAACAAAATAAACTATGGTATAGTGATGAAACAAAAAAGTGAAAGCCGTTTACAACTCCCTGTAACACTGAATTAGAGCGCAGCTCTTGAGGAGGAGGAGGGAAGGGTACTGGGGGGGGGGGGTCAAGTGACCTGGGGGGGTCACATGACCTTGGGGGGTCACGTGACGATGCCGATGATGCCATCAGTGACGTCACTGATGACGTCATCAGTGACGATGCGGATTCCGATGACGTCATCAGTGACGATGCGGATTCCGATGACGTCATCAGTGACATCACTGATGACGTCATCAGTGATGATGACCATGACGATGCGGATGTTAGTGACGTCACTGATGACGCCATCCGTGATGGTGACGATGACGATGCGGATGCCGGTGACGTCATCAGTGATGTCACTGATGACGTCATCGGTGATGATGGCGATGACGATGCGAATGCCGGGGACGTCATCAGTGACGTCACTGATGACGTCATCGGTGATGATGACGATGACTATGCGGATGCCGGTGACGTCATCAGTGACGATGACGTCATCGGGGAGGTCACGTGACCTCGGGGGGGGGGGGGGGGGGTCACGTGACCTAGGGGTGACTTTGGGATGACCTTGGGGGTCACATGACCTTGGGGTGACCTTGGTTACGCCGACGGCGACGCCAACGCTGCTCAACCCGGGAACGGGCCCCTAAGAGCTGCGCTCTAAAATTTTAAAGTAGATTATACAATTCTGGATTACATTATTTTTCCACATATAATTAGAAAAAATATTCAGAGTGGCATGGTTGTCGCAAATATAGAAAACCAGAAGCCCTGTGATCGACACAGCATTCCAAAGGGTGGAAGGGAAATACAGCAAATAGTGACCAACCCTTCTCCACTTTCTGACTATTCAGAAGACACTTTCAAAAATGAGTCAGGTAGCATTTCTTTAGTAATATATATGAGATGTCTTGTAGAGATACAGAACATACTTGTTCTACTGTAGACCCCTAACTTTCTTCATACAGAGACGATCGTCAGGGTTGGAAGTAACTAAAAAAAAAATGTTCATGAATGTTGCCCAGACTTGTTGCTTTGAGACTTCTAATGATTAATACTCACATCATTTTCAATGAACCTATACTCGGGTTCAAGCTGAAGGAAGTTGATATTTCGCTCCATAATTTGTGCTTCTGGCTCTGAAACAAAACACTCCTGCCTATGAATCCCCATTGCACCAAAGAGTCCAGTATCAATCTCAGTTTCTGTCATGTATACAAGAGAATCATCCTTCTTTCTAGAGTTTTGACTGAGAAATGAAGGTTTCAGGAGTATGCTACATCATAAAGACATGTTGTTATGTTTGAAAAAGTATGCACCTTTTGATGGGCAGCCCAGATTTTGGGACAGCAACATTATATATATATATATGGGTGGTTTCATCTCAAATCGTGCAGGCAAAAAGGGTCGAATTTTTAATTTAGATGAAAAAAATATATGTTATGGCGCCGTTTCTAAAACCGCAGTCGACACAAACCGCAAGTTCGTCGGATTTTTTGTTCTCGACTTATGAATTTTTAAAGAGGCCCCGGCGAAAAGCAGTGTTTTTCACACCCGTCGTGGGTCGGATGTTTCGCTTGATCTCCCGCCATGGATTTTCAGTCCACAGTATATTTTCTTTTTTGAAGCACTCTGTGGACATATTTAAAAGGCTCCAATACCATGAAATAATTTTAGGCCTTTTGCTTTTTTTCTGTAAAAATGTCAAAAACGCCTCCTCGGTCAATTGTTGACGAACTTTGACAATTAATTACTGGCGATCTACTTGGGTTACACCGATATTTTTTATGTCCACGGAGAGTCCAAAACACTCTCTTTATATTTATAATAAAATGCCTTGGCTGTATATAATATCCTTTGCGGTACGTTTACGTTAATATTATGCAAAAACCGAAAAGTACCATTTTTGAAATTGATTTTCTCAAAAAACCCATTTTTTATTTTTTTTATTTTTTGTTCAAATGTAGATATGATAGTTGTCTACACGAAAATCAAGCCTAGAAAGTGTATATTTTGTTTGCATGTTTTATATTTAGGCCTCAGTATTGGAAAAAGACGCCTTTGTTTTGCAAGACCTAAGTCAGACACAGCGACCCATGCGTCTCTATGAATTGTGAAAACGTTTTCTTGAATTTTCTTCTGCATTTTGTAATCAATTATAGACGGATTTTGTGGTATTGAATATTTATGTATGTTTTGATAAGAGCGGGAACCATGAGATACATATTTAACCAAATCAGCAGGCCTAGTAGACTTTCAATAATCAAAAGGCACAGACGTTGTATTGTTTCGATTTATAAACCTTTCAAAGTAAACTAGCACGACTAGCTATTAGCTGTCATATTACTAAGACAAAGAAAGTCACCACATCGTCGATATATTATATACAATTTTTTACGAAACCAAACACTGGGGATTGTTCACCGCACATCGCACAGGTCACCAGGGAATGTCCTTTCACTTCCGTAATACACAAAAGTGGTGACACAGAAACGGTCCGAAACACACAGAAAGTGTGTCATGGAGAGGGGTAGGAAATAAAAATAAATAAATAGGAATTAAATTGCCCAACGCCGATCTAAACAAAAATTGCGTTAAAAAAAAAAAAAAAAGTATTTAGGTTCGAGCGGTGGCAAGGCGATTGGTCCACGCCTCGTGGAGAGTCAGACAAAGAAGTCGACGGCATGTAAAGGTAAAACAAAAAAAAAAAAAAAAAAAAATTTAATAAAGACGGAAAAACTTAGCCGCACATGGCAAGAACAAAAACCAACTCCTCCGGGCATTCCCTAAACGGGACGCAACCAAATGCGTGCGAACACGCTCTCTACATCACCGCCACGCCGCTACGCCATCACGAAGTAAACCCAACAACTGAACAGTGCTAACAAACAGTTAGTATGAAAACATTGAAAAAAAAAAAAAGTTCAGAAAAAACCACACCCGAGAAACAAAGTTCAGCGGGGCGAAGAAACACACACGAGTCGGTCCCACGCCATTGAAGTCTGGCAGGATGACGGCGTCCAGATAATGCTCGAATCTGTTCCTCCCTCTATTACGCACATCCACGACGGCTGTGCGGAACAGTGGCTGTACGAAAGAAAGTGAAGAATAGATTCGAGCAGGCGATGCGCGAGAAGGTAACCGAGACTATGCTTCAAGCTTCATATCGGGAGAGGAGCTTTCGAGGTAGTTTCTGCAGTTACTCAAACTTTCTCTTTCCCCTTCCCTTTTTCAAAAGGACACGTCAGCCGGCGCTAACGTTTCATCTCGGGAGAAGCCCACTCTGACAAGGAGGCTGACTTCGACCCAACTGGTCTCCGGGCAGAATACAAACACAAGTATATTTACCAACACGCTCGTTTTAATGCCAGTCTCCGGGCTTTGCTGTTTCCAAAAAAGATAACCCTTTATAAGGACAGAACGAGCGGGTTGGTGGGGATAATTAAACTTAAACACTCCCTTCTCGTTTTCTTCCTCAAGTTTAATAGATAACTCTTCGGTGCTATCGGATCTCCCCGGAGAGAGAGAGAGAGAGCACGGCCGTTTCAAGGTAAGGATAGGGCGCTCGAAGCTCGGGCAAACAGGCGGTATCGTTTCACGCATGCACGGATGGCTGGTTTCAAATTTCCCCACATCCCTAACGAAACCGGCCATCTTCGTGTGTGCGTCTGCGGGATTTCTGTCCCGCGCCGCCGGTTTTAGCGCGCACGCGGCGTTGCTTTGGCTGGCAGAACAGTTGTTGACCGTCGACATTATAAGGCCGTGGTGTCCTCATCCTTTCAGGCAACGATTCCTTTGCTTTCCCTTGTGCAATACTCTGACAGACTCCTCCTGGGTGGCTGTCACTGTTCGCCCCGTCAACGACACAATCGTACCATTTCACTCCTCGTGACACAGGGTGCGCTGCTCGCTTTACTGTCACGGGCCGTCCCATCTAACACAACGAGCGCGAAAGGTCGTTGTCATCTGCTGGCTTAGAAATGGCTGGACTTTCATGCAGGCCAATGAGGGCCCCGAATCAATAAGACGTCTGCCGACTCCTACACGTTAAAAATTTACGACACCTGCTGGTCTGTTAAGAAGTGTTGCTTTCTCTTTTTGGAACACCTCCGATGTAGCTTGCCGCCTATAATAAAATTTAAATAATCAATAAATATATCAGGGTGGAAATACTGTATTTCATTTTTATGTGGGAACGTTGAAAAAAAGAAAAAAACTATTTCCAAGCTCGTGAAGACGCGCAATTCGCAAGTCCATTTCGAGCCGTAAAAACACGTTTTTGTACGATATTGATGCTTAAATGTAGAACATACAAACAAAATATACACTTTCTAGGCTTAATTTTCCTGTAGACAACTATCATATCTACATTTGAACAAAAAATAAAAAAAATAAAAAATGGGTTTTTTGAGAAAATCTATTTCAAAAATGGTAGTTTTTGGTTTTTGCTTGATATTAACGTAAACGTACCACAAAGGATAATTTGTACAGCCGAGTCATTTTATAATAAACATAAAGAGCGTGTTTTGGACTCTCCGTGGACATAAAAAATATCGGTGTAACCCAAGTAGATCGCCAGTAATTAATTGTCAAAGTTCGTCAACAATTGACCGAGGAGGCGTTTTTGACATTTTTACAGAAAAAAAGCAAAAGGCCTAAAATTATTTCATGGTATTGGAGCCTTTTAAATATGTCCACAGAGTGCTTCAAAAAAGAAAATATAATGTGGACTGAAAATCCATGGCGGGAGATCAAGCGAAACATCCGACCCACGACGGGTGTGAAAAACACTGCTTTTCGCCGGGGCCTCTTTAAAAATTCATAAGTCGAGAACAAAAAATCCGACGAACTTGCGGTTTGTGTCGACTGCGGTTTTAGAAACGGCGCCATAACATATATTTTTTTCATCGAAATTAAAAATTCGACCCTTTTTGCCTGCACGATTTGAGATGAAACCACCCATATATATATATATATATATATATATATATATATATATATATATATATATATATATATATATATATATATATATATATATATATATATTTGCACTAAATATTCCAGATAGACACCTAGATAACTGTTCCAGTTTAATTAAATAATAAAACTGCCAAAAAAAAAACATAACTTGACTCTGCCACATTATGTCTTTTGGTGATTTCCAAATTTAATGCTCATTTGAATTAATTACTCTTAGAGACCTTGAAAAAAAGATAAAGACTAGATAGGTCATCCACCTCTAGGGGATCTAGAACAAAACATATGTTTTACTTTCCAATGGTCTCGTACCAAACCTTCAAAACTTATTTAGCAAGCTATAAAGGTTTACGACAAAATATTTGGTTTTTGCTTCTAAGCTCTTTCAGCTTTCACGTGCCATGGCCTTACAACTCTGAAAGCTTTTATACTCAATGAAATAAGAGCATTAAACTGAAGCACGTTCTGTACCAATTTGTGCTATGCTTTATGGCCAAAAAAATTTGCAGTCAGTACTGTGAAAGACACCTAAAATGTCACTGTGAAGCTGTTGTTTATAAAATGGCTTTCCAACTCTTTGTTTCATAAAGTTTCACATTTATGCTTAGGTATTCCATAAAACTTATTTTTTGATAATTTCATTTTAAGCAATCAGATGATAACCCTTTTCTTTTACATCTCATCCCATGCAAATGATCAGTGTTGGGGTTCCAAGCTTATAAGGAATGACATTTCACTCATCATTCCTTCCTTGAGTAGCACAAGAATGGAACCACCTCCATGTTTTGGCTGCTACTGTCACTGTCGCTCATCTGTGTCGAAATGCTATCACTAACCACTTTTGCAATTATCCACAACCTGTTTGATTGCTTACTTGTTATACTATTAATGTTGTACATTTGTTCATGTTTTACTATACCTATTTTTTGTATCTGCTCTCCTCTATAATGCCTTTGGGCCCTGAAAAGATATTTAATCCATAAAGTAATAACAGCTTACTTGCTCTCTTTGTGGCATAAAATGTGGTGTACCCAAGGGGTGGAAGCTCCACAGGGATCACCAATTCGGACCTCGCACAGCTCCTCCTGTCCGGGATGTTTGGAATTGTCATGATGAGGGGCGTTACCTGCAACGAAGTCACGCAATTGAAGTGGCCATTGAGAGCAATTCAAGGAGCATCCCAAAAGTTATCAGCCTGACCCAGGAGGCGACAGAGCGAAAGAGCTTGTGTTACTTTTCGACATAGTAGTCCTCTTTGAGGTCCACACACTTTGCCCAAGAGGGCTCCAGTGTCTGGATCCCCATGAAAAAAAAAAAAGGGGGGGGAAAGTTTGGTCCACCAAAACGTGGGTCAAAGCATCAATGATGTCGTCATCGCCAAAAAAGCAAGCACCAGAAAGTTTCTTTTTCAGCTGGGGCAAGAGACTGAAGTCTGATGAGGCGAGATCCGGCAAGTACGGTGGACGACTGGCCACAGAAAAGCCGCAGGAGTGGATGGCAGCCATTGCCACAGCAGCACAGTGTGTACGCACATTGTCCTGACAAAACAGGAAACAAAGACAGGAAACAGAAGTTTCACATTTCAAAAACACGTAATTTTGCATCGTTGGCTGACCGAAAATGTTTTATTTCTCCGTAAATACTTCAGATATTGCAATAAAAATTTGCAGGAGTATACAATATTAGTTGTGGAACCACAATACACAAAAATAGGAAAATTTGTTTTTTTCTCAAAAATTGCAATTTAAGGTGGTGCTCCCCCTTAAGGTTCTAGTTATGGTCCACATTTAGGAGTGCATGACCAAAGATATTGTGACTACAACTTCTAGAATCACTAAGGGACTCATTTTAGCACAATGCTATGTCATTTAAGAAATTAGACATGAGCGAATACCCTGAACCATCTAATATTGACTTGAATTTATTTAGCTCGACCATAGATTCGAAGAGCTGTATTTGAGAATGTCTAGTATTAGTGAATATTTAGCAATACACAGTTAGTTTCTTTAGGTGCGCTTCTCCCACGACACGGCTGTGCAGTGGTGAAGCGACACGCGTGCCTTCAAGGTGCCCTAGCTGCTGCTTCTCCGCAGTACACCCGTCCAAACCAAGATTTGCTTTTTTAGGCAAGAAAGCCAGTATATATACATGTGTGCATTTATGAAAACCTTTATTTTTTTACGTGTTACAGATTAAAGTTAATCTTTTGCTCTATGAAGCTGATTATGTAATTGTATCGAAGCCTCAGTTTTGTTGATGCACCACACAGAAGGGCCCCAGTTATGTTTGTGAGCTCTATGCTGAGTTAGCTTTATGTTATAGCTACTTTTTATTCTTATGCAAAATACCTGATTAAACTACCATAAATAGTGTTGAGCTATAGAAATTGAATTTGATTTTAAAGTGGACATGTAGGATGTCACATTATATTACTCTCTTGATAAGGAATAGTCTCCATAATTTTGTCTGCATACATTTAATCTTAAATATCTAATAAAGATATTATGAAACGTTTTATAAAGATAATATTAAAGTGGACTGTTAACAAAGAAAACATAAATCTAAACCTATTACAAATGCCACGTTTTCTAATACAGCTACAGTATCATATTTTAGAGTGGAGCTCTTAGGCACCCGTTTATGGCTCGAGCGGCGTCAGCGTAACCGGGCGTTGCGTTATGGTAGGTTTCCCATAATGACGTCTCAAGTGACGTCACATGTGATGTCACGAGGGTCACGAGTGATGTCACGAAGGTCACTCCTGAGGGGGAGGAGGACAGGGAAAGGAAGAAAGGATGAGAAGAAGGAGAGGAGAAGGATAGAAGAGGGGGAGGAGAATTTGATTTTAAAGTGGACATGTAGGATGTCACATTATATTACTCTCTTGATAAGGAATAGTCTCCATAATTTTGTCTGCATACATTTAATCTTAAATATCTAATAAAGATATTATGAAACGTTTTATAAAGATAATATTAAAGTGGACTGTTGACAAAGAAAACATAAATCTAAACCTATTACAAATGCCACGTTTTCTAATACAGCTACAGTATCATATCTCAGAGCGGAGCTCTTAGGCACCCGTTTATGGCTCGAGCGGCGTCAGCGTAACCGGGCGTTGCGTTATGGTAGGTTTCCCATAATGACGTCTCAAGTGACGTCACATGTGATGTCACGAGGGTCACGAGTGATGTCACGAAGGTCACTCCTGAGGGGGAGGAGGACAGGGAAAGGAAGAAAGGATGAGAAGAAGGAGAGGAGAAGGATGGAAGAGGGGGAGGAGAATTTGATTTTAAAGTGGACATGTAGGATGTCACATTATATTACTCTCTTGATAAGGAATAGTCTCCATAATTTTGTCTGCATACATTTAATCTTAAATATCTAATAAAGATATTATGAAACGTTTTATAAAGATAATATTAAAGTGGACTGTTAACAAAGAAAACAAATCTAAACCTATTACAAATGCCACGTTTTCTAATACAGCTACAGTATCATATCTTAGAGCGGAGCTCTTAGGCGCCCGTTTATGGCTCGAGCGGCGTCAGCGTAACCGGGCGTTGCGTTATGGTAGGTTTCCCATAATGACGTCTCAAGTGACGTCACATGTGATGTCACGAAGGTCACGAGTGATGTCACGAAGGTCACTCCTGAGGGGGAGGAGGACAGGGAAAGGAAGAAAGGATGAGAAGAAGGAGAGGAGAAGGATGGAAGAGGGGGAGGAGGAAAGAGTACAAAGGGGGAGGAGAGGATACCCTCCTCTCCATACCCTCCCCTCCTCCTCCTCAAGAGCTGCACTCTAATTCAGCATTACAGAGAATTGTAAACATCTAATTTTTTTATGGAAATTATTTAATTTGATATATTCAAGGTTATTTAAATAATAGTATGACTGATTCATTTTCAGTTTTAGCTCAATACCTAATCACTGTTTATTCATATTCAAATATGGAAGCATGTTTCATAAAAAGTTATGTAGCAGTTTTCCTATTAGTATAGAAAACCACATGAAACCGACATATGATTAAAGGTTAAGCAACACTCAAGGCAATGGTGTGCAAGTAGCCCATTTGTTAAAAGTCATATCAACAGAGAAAGCCATGGTACATAGTACATGTGGCAAAAATGGCCATCTAGCACATAAAATATTACACAAATTGCAGATGGAGTCACACAAAACCATGAAATGAGTGTTCTTGCAATATCACATGTCAAAACAACTGCCAGCAGGAACACACAAAACACTACACATGGACAATGATTTGACAGGCTTCTAAAAGGAATCATGGGAAGTTGACATACTTATAGGTACTATGCTTTTTCGCAAGTAAGTAAAAAGCTTAAACAAAAACCAAGCATGTTACACAAGAAAACCTTTAGTTGGTAAGAGAAGCTTTGTTTCTCCAATAAACTAAAATTTTTCCTTTCTCTTTTTCAAGTGCTAGTTGAGAACTAGACATAAAGGGTGTCACTTTTCTGAGTGCCCAAATCATGCCACAAAAGGTTTCTCAAGTGCTGCTTGAGAAGTAGACATAGAGGGTGGCACTTTTTTTTCAGAGTGCCCGAATCATATGACAAAAAGGTGCTGGTTGAGGACTAGATATAATCATATCACAAAAAAGTGCTGGTTGAGAACTAGATATAAAAGGTGGCACTTTTCTCGAAGTTCCTGAATCGCGTCCTGAAAAGTTTCTCTAGTGCTGGTTTAGAATTAGACATAAGGCTGGAACTTTTCTGAAAAAGCTCAAATCATGTCACAAAGTTTTTTAAGTGCTGGTTGACAGCTACAGACCTAAAAGGTGTCACTTTTCTGATAGCCCGATCATGTCACGAAAAGTTTCTCAAATGCAGGTTGAGAACTAGACATAAGGATGGCACTTTTCTGAGAAAGCCCAAATCATGCCATGAAAAGTTTCTCAAGTGCTGGTTGAGAACTAGATATAAAGGGGTGGCACTTTTCTGAGAGTGCCTGAATCATGTCACAAAAAGTTTATCAAGTGCAGATTAAGAACTAAACATAAAGGATGTCACTTTTCTGAGAGTCCACAAATCGTGTCACAAATAGTTTCTCAAGTGCTGACTGAAAACTAGACACAAAGGGTGGCACTTTTCTGAGAGCACGCAAATCATGTCACGAAACGTTTCTCAAGTACTGGTTGAGAACTAGTCATAAAGGGTGGCAATTTTCTGAGAGTCCCTGAATCATGTCACAAACAGGTTCTCAAGTGCTGGTTGAGAAGTAGACATAAAGGGTGGCACTTTTCTGAAAGTGCCCAAACCATGTCACAAAAAGTTTCTCCTGAACTAGTCGAGTCATGTCAAGAAAAGTTTAGAATCTTGGCTCACCTGAGGCTCGGTGTCCCGGCCCTGGTAGTCTCTGACCTCGAAGCTGTGGCCATCGTTGACCGGGAGCCTAACGTATGTGCTCAGGGCTTGCGACATGGGGTTGTACACGAGCACCGTCAGTTCCGTGGGCCCACTGTGCTGCTCGTTGGGACCCGGCACTCCCCAGCTCTCGGTGATGGCACACTGGCTGATGTTGAATGCGTGGCAGAAACCCCACTGCACATTGGCTTCCGACTGCCCCGTCAGCTTGGTCACAGCAGACCCAATCACAGCCTGCCAATCGACAAGTGCAGTGCTTTAAGGTGAAGGTAGAGATATGGACAAGTTTTGGTGCGTGACTGAATAATATAAAAACAATGCAGCAAAAAGATTGGAACTGGGTGAATCCCGTTTTAGGTACTTTTTTTTCTCGGCCACGACACTTGATAGGTAACCCTGTCAAATGCCGTGACCATTTGACAGGGTTACCTTGAGCGAGTGATGCATCTGGCAGTACATTTCCGTTCAATCTATGTTCATTAAGAATACTTAAAAGGAATCAGTGGCCAAGCTTATAACGAAAAGTCTACATTTCTAAATCTGCCACACTCCTATAATTGCTACACATATCCAGTATGTGTCGCCTTCAGTACCTCGTTCCTTCACACTGGCTACTGCAGGTCCGGCACAACGGCGCTCGGGTCGACAGAGGAGCCGGCTGGACGGGTGACATGTTGCACTCACCAAGTTCCGATTTAAACAAAAACAAGAAAACTTGCCTCCCCCCCCTTTTCCTTCGTTTTTAGTCAGCCACTTTAGTGTGGAACTTTTGACCAATTAAAAGTACTAAAACGTTTTTGAGTTCTTGTTATTGCGAATGTCCCGTTGTTGGATATTCGGGGCTACTCTAAGCTGTTTATTATAAAACAGCTAACTAGCATTTTAATAAAACAAATAATTGGAGGAAGCGAAAAAAAAGAGATTTTTTAGGAACATGTAATTGGTAACCGAAACCGTAAAAAACAAACGAAACCGATATCAGCAGGAAACAGTAACTGTAACGTTATATTTTTCGGTCCGAGTCCCTGATTTTCACTCTCTTCTCAGATTTTACCAGATTTATCCGAAAATGCAGAAGCTTACCTATGCTAATGCACCAGTTACATAACTATTCAATTAATCAAATGTTACACATAATTAAATATAATATGACTGGTTAACAAATTATTTTTTACCTCACAGTCTACGATTCCTTTCCAGAGCAGCAGACTGTAGTCCTCAGCCACAGAATGCTTAGAGGTGCCTCTACAGGAACAAAATGTTGATAAGTTTCATACAATTTATCACGATAGAGCTCCACTTACGTTATGGCATCATGATGTTGTAAGATGGCTACTGCCTCTTCTGAAGAGAGTAAGAAAGGCTTACCAGTGCATCTAGGAAGTGAAGCAGTATTAATAGAACAAGTGATAAGGTCATACTCAGTCGCTGCGTCCTGGTGTCCCGTTTACCACCGATGACAGCGAGCTGTTTACAAGCCTGTGGACGATAAAGTACAGATAAATGAATGTACGCTATGAAAGGAATGAATGCACTACTACGAATTATACAAATGAGAAAAGGCTTGTTTACAAGTTTCTTGCCTGCTATATCTGTTTTAGCTTCAAAGTCAAAGTCGAATTTCTCAGTTTTGTTGCATGGAGGTTTACATAATGTTATTAGTTTTTACTAAAATGGAATCTGCCACTTGTTGTTAGGCAATTTCACCAGTGCAGTGTGACTTAGCATGGTGTTGCTAACAAGCATCACAATGTAGTGATTACAAGATTACAATTGATATAATGCAATAAGGGACGTTATAAAAAAAGAGTACCATATTTTCCGGGCTATAGTCCGCGGACAATACATGTTTAAAAGTCGAACTTCCTGGCTGTGCGGACTATCTACGCGTGCGGACTATACAGGAATTATGTTTTTCAAGATCGTTTCTTATGATGAGACAAATTTTGTGCACGAAAGTGTATGTTAATGATGATTTATGCACATTATAGGCTTTATTGTGAGCTAAAAAGCAGACATTTGTAAACGTGTGCCGTCTATGAGAAGATTTTCGTGTCGACTAAGCACCAGGTGCGGACTATGCACTGGGTGCGGGCTACCTAAGCAAAATCTTTTATTTTTGACCCCAAATTTCCCCCTGCGGACTATACACCGGGTGCAGACTATAGTCCAGAAAATACGGTATATATTGTATGTCTGCTAGCTCTTTCTACAGTTACATACAATATCCCAAACCTGAGTCTGCTCACTAACTTGAGCATATGACCGCTGACCGGGGTCTTGTATCACAGAGTTTGGTGCCTGCATTATGACCTGGTTTTGTCTAGTAATATCAGTTATTTTTTTCCCACTGTCCTGTGTATTGACGATATTATGTCTGTCTTAATTTTGCAATGTTTCTGTGCCCCAATGAATGTCAGTTATTTTTGTGAGTTCTGAAATTCTCCATTGAACATGTCTCAATATATTTTTTTTAAATGATTGTGCAATCAATCTTTTATGTTCTGTGCTGCCCGCCTAAAGATGCAACACAGTCACTCTTTTTCTTAAACATGTCTTATGGTTTTGATTTTTTTTCTCTAGTTTGTTCTCTAGTACGGATTACCTGGTGTTGCGCTTTTTTGACTCCACTTTTGTAACCCCCAATCCCGCTTGGGCTGCAATTGGCCTGCAGTATTCCTAAATAAATAAATAAATAAATAAAAAATAAATATGAAATGCATATGCGGGTGACAGAGGTTTTTGCAGCTCTGCGCAGGTAATTTTAATTTAATTCTAACTGTGCACAGAGAGTGCAAACTGCTGAAGCCTCAGCCAGGAAAGAATGCATTGTATCTACCTCTCCATCAAATTGGCCCATGAAAATACAAATAAACATAAAAATCAGTAGAAATTACACAATCACTTATGCATGTTAGAAACCACAGGTTGGCAACCAGATGCATGAGTCAAGTGAGCATACGCAGACTTGCAAAATGGTGTGTACACACTGTGCAAAACTGTTGGCATAAACACAATTCGTCTGCAATTTTTCTGAACGTTACTCAGACAAGGTATTGACAGGCATCAACCTTTACCACTTATTATAAAATACTGAGCCTCTGCCCATTCCATAAGTGCCCTCCTCTCAATGTTGTAACATTCAGAAAATACACAAAGGACATATCTTTACATATTGTTAGCCTAAGGAGTGCCCATCCCCAAGTTTTACATGATCATCTCCAAATTATGAGTGAGCACTTGCTCAGGATTTTACGGTAGGTCCCTAAAGGCAGAAAGTCCCCAAATGAGGACCTGCCAAATTCTACGGCAGGTTCCCCAATGCAGAAAGTTCCAAATGAGGACTTTCTGCAACGCATAGTTTTCATGGCAGCCGTTCTATTTTAAAAGAAAAACGAGAGAAACCGGCAATCGTCTCTTAGTGCTAACAGTGTTGTGCTGCACACTATATGAAGAACAGCTGCCGTCTCGCTGCTTGTGCGCACAGATCGCCTGACAATCAAGCCTTGCTAAGGCGTTCCCACGATGGCCAGACTGGTTTCTGAAGTGCAGATGTTTGCAAATAAATATTATGCACCATATTTCTGGTCTATAGGCCACACCCCCTTATAATTGGTCATTTTCATAAAAGAGTTGGTACATAGGTAAGTTGCGCCTTTGTGTAATAAAGACAAGGCTATGGAGTGCTGAAAAGGATGGTGTGCAGAGTCGCTGCGTTCGTATATCTATGCCACCACGTTTAGAACTAACTGTCTTTGGACCATCAGAAGAGTGAGCTATTGAGGGCGTTTTGTTGTTCACCTTTTGTCATTAATGTCAATACGGCTTCCATTGCATGCACACAGTTAAAATCAATAATTATAAAACAAAACACATATAAGTCGCGCTGTTGTATAACAGGCACTGACAAATAGTTGTGACAAAAAAAAAAAAAAAAACACATGTAAACGAAAAAATACCTTGTTATTTCTTTTCGAAAGACTAAGCAAAAATAAAGCAAAAGTTGCCCTGCCTGGAGGAATCCGTTGGCGTAGCGAGCGAAGCCTTTGAGGTTGGGGCGACTAGTGTAGAAGCCCGTCCAGGCTCGGTTGGGGTTGTCTGCATACGGGAACAGGTCTCCCCGGAAAACGGGCCAGGACTGGTTGGCAGCATGCAGCGACGCCAGGTAGCACAGTGGCGTGGAGTAGAACATGCGCACCCGTCTGCCTTTCTTGTGGGACTGGGCAGAGCATGTGGGCACAAACCTCGTTATCATTGCTTTGCTGACTGCAAATGATTACCAATGGCTTAAACTACTACACCTAAAAAAAACATTTGTCTGAACTGAAAAAAAAAAATAATAATAGAAATGAGGTCGACCCCCAGTGCTCTAGCGGTCTGGATTGTCCAAGGTTTTAATTACGGTTTGGCACCCATTAATATACTAATGGCAGGTTTGCACATGCATCTTGGCACAAAGATAACACAAAGTCGGTGCTGTCAGAGTGCTGGTATAGTGCAAAGCCAGTGCAGAATCTATTTGCGACTCCAGCGAACTATAGGGGTGCACTGATTAGGCAAAATGGTGGACGAAAGGAGGTCGTTTGGCATGCGGACCACCATACATTTCTTGCATGGCAGCGTAAAATCGGTGGTTCATATGAAAGGAAAGCTATTTTTCAATAACCTTCTTTTAGTCAGTATGTAGGAATGACACGGCGGAAGCATAAAAACAGTTCCTGGAAACAATGTTTCTTTCTATGCTGCCTACAAGAATCAAGCAGCGATAGCAGACGACAGAATCGAAACAACCTTTTCTCTTGAACTTCTTGGCATAGCCGCTACGCGGCATCGATTTTGCTGGAGTCGCCAATAGCACTGAGCTCGCACTGTGCTATTGGCGAAGATGCCTTAAAAAAAAACCTGAAAAGAAAAAAAAATTTTTTTTTAAACAGTTTGGTTAGGACAGGTTAGGTTAGAGATTTATTTGAAACTCTGCGCACGAAGTTCATGACGTCACAGGTCATTCCGGAATGACCATCTCAGTCGTGAAGGCGAAGCCAATCCACCTCTCCTCCACGCGCCTGAAATGCCGAGAAAGAAAACAAGTGGAAAGGAGGTGACTGCCGACCAAATCGCATCTCAAAAATTTGTTTCATGTGCAAAATTAATTTTTTGACACGCGTGTCCCAACCAGATGGTTAAAAAAACATTTTTTTCTTTTCAGGGGCCCTTTGAAAGGACAAACACCCCCCCCCCCCCCCCTTCGAAAAAAAAAAAAAAATTTTAAATCTAAAGGGCGTCAATGTTGGTGGGACGGAAACATTTTGATTGGTTCATAAGTAAATCATTTGCCTCAAAGAAAAAATTCAATAAATTTTAGGCAGAGGCTTGAACCGAAGACCCTTTGGTTTCGAGCCAGACACATACGCTACCCACTAGGCCACGCAGAAATGCTTGAAAGGCTTGGAAACAAGCGGGAGTTCCATATTTAGCTATCACATTCCACTCTTAAATGTGAAGCTTAAACATCCTCCTGTAATTTTTTTGTTAGGCAATTTAATAAGGTGTCAGGACTACCCAATCAATATTTTGCTCCAGAGTCAAGTGTATTTTTAATAAAATAAGAAAACTCAACAACTCAAAACCAAAACCGGAACAAAAGTATGGTAGCTCATGGCTGGACGTCATGTGGCTACATCCAACTGCATATTTGTTTTTCTTCGCTTCTTTGATTTTTGAAGCAGACGACGATGACAAACTTGCATGCATTGTTTGTCGTGTGATTGTTCTGCGCTTATACCCCTTCCGCTCGGGATTCTGTGCTTGAAGATCGATTGGTAACTACCACAAACGACAGTTCCAAAGTAGCGGCCCCACGTTCGTCGCAACGTTGATACGTCGTGCGCCGCCATTGCGTCGTCTACCCATGGTACGCCGACATACTGGGAGTGAAGTGTACATGTACTTCCTGTGATCTGTTGCACATTTTCTTTCCAGTAAACATATTTGCAGCTTCTGCGAGGCTACAAAAAATGAGTTCATATTCTTTTCTATTTTTAATATTGAATGGCATAGAAAACCCACGACTTTGAATATATTTTGTACACATACTGTAAAACAATTTATTTTCGCAACCCCTATTTTTCGTGAATACCAGACGCCTAAATCGAAACTCTAAAAGACCGAAATTTTCGGGTGCCCTCAAATTTTGCACATTTTTTAATTCAGAAAATTCGTAAAAAATAAGGGCTCACAAATATTAAGAGTTTACAGTAGTTTGAATGCCATGTGACTATGAAAACGAGAGTGAGCATGACTCAAACCGGCCAATTCTCGATTGGCTGTTTTTGCGCGGAAAGACGAATTTCAAGTCGCAAATTGTGTTCTGGGTAGTCAAGCACTTACAGGACATGTTCAAATAAAAACTTCGCCGAGCGTAAATACCCTGTCAGTGTCCCTTTAAGGGTCGTCATGTGCGAATCATGGATTTGGAGATTGAAGCAAATATAGTGGTTTGCAGCGAATATTTTTGAATGAAATATCAAATAGTTTTTTTAGGCTTTGCACTAATGTGCACCATACCTAAATAAAACTTCTGCTGAACTCATGAAGGTTGTTGCCAACCTTTCACTTGTCCACATCTAAGCTCAGTTACTTTTAATATGCTCGGTATTTTACGGTAGCTATATTTACAAACTGTGGCATGTAAACAACAAAATTGTTGCGGCTATCTTAATCGAGAAGATTTATAAATTTGCTTGCTATATGCAAACATTCTGTCCAATTTATAGGCAAATATTCTTTCATAAAAAAAAAACAACAAGCATGAATGATGAGCACAGGTTGTTGAGACATCATTGCCCAACAGATACCCTTGCATAATTGTGGGAGGCTAGCCCCGTTGAGTGCGCTTCTCACCGAGCATCTGCGCACTGTGGGAAAGAAAGAACCGCGGAGCCCGCAAGCTCCATCGGTATTGCTTCTTCGCTCGGCACAGGTGCTCGGTGAGAAGCGCACTCAACGGGAATAATTCACCACGATGAACACTTCAAAAAGTGTGAATATCGCAGTTGATCTTGAAGCAAATATTGAATAGCATATTATTCGAAACTACTATTCGAAAATTCGAATATCTGCAGAAAACTACTTGAGGGGCATCCAGTTATGTTTAATTAATAAACTGCTTCCTTGCATTGCCATATAAAATGTTAATGGATGTTGTTCCCTGTGTTCCTATACAATTAAAAGAGTGCACCAGTGAGCAATGTAGCTTGTCTCTCTTTCCTGCCGTTGTAACCGACACAATATTAGCTTTCAATTTTGTCATTTGGAATGAAACATCACAATCATAAAGTGGTATTGTGGCATGCCCAAATTTAGAAAACATTTAACAAAAGGCCACTTTTTTGTTGGGGTACTGACTCTCAAACAAAATTTCTAGAAACCCCTTCTGTTTCAGACTTGAAAAACTCTAGAATACTCTAGGGCGCCAGAGGTTGTTATGTAGGGTCCAAAAGGATTCCTCGACCATGCAAACTTCCTGTGCTTAAGCGAGGTTTTTAAGTTAGTGAGAATGGCTTATTTAGGAATAAATGACTCCTGCATTTTCATGCTGCTTTGATCAAAATGATGCCACCTTTCCCACGACTATCTTTCATGTTCGATTACGCATCAGCATAATAAACAGAGTTAAACTGCTTGAACATTTGCTGCAAGGATGTAAGTAGAGTGTTCAGGATAAGTTCAGGAAGTAAAAACAAATCACAGCTTTGAAACATTAAAAAATTGCAAACTGCTTGGTTTTAGATGAGCACATCACTCTCCAACACATACAAGTCAGTTCAAAATGTCAACAGTTACCACATTGTTGACCATCCTGATGGCACTATCGACCTGGTTGAACCAGTTCTGGGCATTTTGGAAGGACAGGTCTCCCCCAATGGTCAGCATAATGTTCTTGGTGGCATATGCTTTGGCCTGCACAGGACACGAAAATGCAGCTGTTATAAGGCTACAGCCACATCTGAGCAAATGACCACACAAGGGACCTTTGATTCACGCACCTGTATCGCTATGTCATCCAGTATAAAATCCGCCATTCGGGTCAGCTCGTCCTGGAGAAACGGAAGTTGTTAGCCAGAAATATAACAAAAAACATTTAAGACTGCTTACGTGTAGGAATGCGAAAGCATTCATACTATTAGCGTATTCCTACAAGCTGCGCGCCCCACTATCCTCTGCAGAGGCCAGCGACAGCCTCTGCGGATGTTGGCCTGCCGGGATCTGGGGAGCGGTGAATGAGCGCAGCTGCGGCATAGCGCGGGAGCAGCGCCACTTTGTGGGGTGGCATTACTTAGAACTCTCCGGCACGCCAGCCGTGTCGCAGAAATTTCAAGAGCCATTCCGCGGAGGAAATTTCTTTGTTGTTTTTCGCAGTTACAAACAACGCCGGCTCCTCTTTATGGGACAGTTACCGTATTTACTCGCATAATAAACGCACCCCCACAACGGGCATCAATACCGTATTTGCTCGCATATTGAACCCACATTCTTTTCCGAAAAATTGACGCATATCTGAACGATGCGTTCATTATGCAAGGTGAATATTTTGCATTTACACACTTGTGCAAATGTCGTTTTAGGTGCCAATATGACATGACAGGGTACTGCGGCACGTCTTCACTGATAAAGGTGCACCCATGGCTGGTCATGGGTGCACCAAATTATTATGCTCTATAAATTGTGAACCTTTTTTAGGGTGCTTTTGGCGTGCCTTTTGTCGAAGAAAAAGCGCCCTACGAAGCTCAATCAGCACGGAGAGCGACGCAACCATTTTAAGGCCTAACTAATTTCGCAATATCACTGTCCAAAAGCGGATCACAGACGATTGCATGTTTGTTGACATCAATGCATTTGATGGACGAAGCACGTCTGGGGCTGGACAATTCCTCGAGCCCAGTTTCACAAGGCGTGCATGTTTCCCGGTTTCAAGGTTGATTACTTCCGCAACCATAGAATTGCAGCCAGGGGCAGATCCAAGGGGGGGCGACAGGGGCGGCCACACCCCCCAAACATAGTCGACCCTCCCCCCTCCCCCTTTTCGGTGGGCAATTTGACATTGGTGGACATGGGTGCACAAGAAAGAATGGCAGAAAGTATCCTTACAAATTTTCCGCCCCCCCAAAACGGAGCTCTGGATCCGCCCCTGATTGCAGCTATTACGAGTAGCTTGGCTTGGCTTGACTTGACCTGGCCGCTTGGCAGCAAAAACAAATTGGCTTGGCAAGCTTGGTGGCTAGCTGGCTAGCTAAGCTGGACGCAGTTCAAGACTGTGGAGCCTAAAATTAAAAATGTGCTCATAACGCGTGAAAAAAAAAAAAAGCTCAAATATTGATGCCCGTTGTGAGGGGTGCGTTCATTATGCAAGTGCATTCATTATGCAATTAAATACAATATTTTGACTTTTTTCTTTTTCTTGCGTAATGAACAGACTTTTAATTTTCGGCTCCGCAAGTCTTCATCCGAATTTTCTTTTGCCGCCAAGCCAAGCCACGCTGCTCTCGTAATGGCTGCAATTGCGCGGTTATGGAAGTGCTCAACCGTGAACCCGAGCGGTGCGCACACCTAGCAAAGCTGGGGTCAAGGAATTGCCCAGCCCCAGACGTGCTTCATCCATCAGATGCATTGATGTCAACAAACACGCCGTCATCTCTGATTCGCTTTCAGACGTACTCCTACAGTGTGAAAGTGGTTAGGCCTAAGAAGGGTTGCGTCGCTCTCCATTCTGGGTGAGCATTGTAGGGCGCTTTTTCTTCAGCGAAAGGCAAGCCAAAAGTGCCCTAAAAAGGTTTGCAATTTAAAGAGCATGGTTACTGTGGCACACCCACGACCAGCCGTGGGTGCGCTTTGTCAGTAGAGACGTGCCACACAGCACCCTGCCATGTCATATTGGTACCTAAAATGACATTTGCACAACGTGCGCAATAGCAAAAAGTTTACCGAGTAATGAACGCGCCCCCCAAATATTTGCCAATTTTTCTGAAAAAAAAGTGTGCTTATTATGCGAGTAAATACGGTAATGCTTTCGCATTAAGAGATCATAATGGTGAACCCTGGGATTGAGGTGGAGAAAAGAGCTAAAAACAGTAAGGGAGACAAAAAAAAGGTAACAAAACATCTCGAACTTAGCTATACGTCAATTTTTGCTCGTCTTGTACACCCTTCCTTCCAAGGTTGTCATCCCACAAATGGAAACACACTTTTCTCTTTACAACTTTGCGAGAGGAACGCAAAAGTTCAACTATGTTCATCTATCCGTCCATTCATGCTCACCGAGGGCCGGGTGACTAGAGTGTCGTAGCTAGAGCAGTAGACGTCGTTGATGCACAAGGACGGTGGTGGTTCGTATTTGTTGAACAGGATGATTGTCAGCAGGTCGGAAACCTTTCCTAAGGAAAAAAAATAAAGGCTGTTCAATCAGGCTTGATGCTGCAGACACCACTAGCCAATGCTATGAAGCAGTGTTAAATGAGGTTCATTTACACATTCGCATTTGACTGCAATTGACTACATTGGGACAGCTTGTAACCACGTATAATGGGACACTTCCGATCTAAATATATATAACTGGACAGAAGGTTTCACAGTATTTGTGAGGTCAAATCCATGCCGTTTAACAAGAAATGGTCTATTTTAATTAGGGTTCCGTGTTTTTAAATAAATTCGAAAAACATAGAAAAACACCCGCCGTTGAAATTTTGTTTAATTCAAATTTATCTGATAACTCCGAATTTTGATGTGCCACTGCCCTTCCCTCCTCCCCCCCCCCCCTAAAAAAAAAGATGGTATTTTACAATTAAGTTTGGTGAGTGCATAGGGTCAATAGTCCAGAACAAGTCAAGTATTTCAAGTCTAGAACCTTTGCAAAAAGGGTTTGTACTGCTTATCTCGTCAGGGTATATTCAGGAGAAGAATAGGTCGTACTTTCGGGTCACAACAAAAGCCACTGTTTTGGTTTCGAGTTTGGGCCATACTATCTGTGCTTTAGAGGAAGGAGAGGTAGTGTTTTTGTAACAGAAAAGCTATGAACCATTGAGATTGCATAAAATGGGAAACTTCTCTATTAGATTCTTTACCATTCCACCTTGCGCGGCCGCGGCGTAGGTTGATAGGTTGGATGAATACGAGCTTCCCAGAGACCACCTCCAGGAGTTTGTTGATTTGCTGAAGAAATATTAATTGATACAAACATGTTTTTTTTTAATCTAGCATACATTTACACCTGGATATTATTTATTTGTTTTTAATATGAAACACTGCGAAATTAAGCTTTAAATTCCAGAGAATAGAGAATCAAACAAAAAAAAACTCCAATAAACTCAACATTTTCGGGAAAAATAAACTAAAACAAACACCCTCTCAATTTGATAAAAAATAAACTCCAAAAACATGGAATTCTGCTTAGAATACTGTCAGAATTTTTTCAAGCGCACAAGGAAAGAATGATGCACAATATATACGGAGATTGGAAGTGTTCCAGCGCCACCCAACAGATGGCCCCAACATGTTCTCTTGCTGTAAGCAGCCACAAGCAATTGCAATGCAGTCGATCACACTCAAATGCAAACGTGTGAACCAGTCTTAACATTCTTGCACTTAAACAGTTCAGAGAATTACAGGAATGTGCGTTTATTGTACTTTGAGTGCAACGCAAATATGAAGCGAATGGTTTTGGCCGAATATTTTCAAATAAAATACGGAATACCATATTAGTTTCTCCAAACCTTTAATGGCTGCACCATGCTTAAACAAAAACCCAGTTGAACTGGTGAAAGTTGTTCCCAAGCTTCCATTTGCCCATTTGTAAGCTGGGTATAATCTGAATCTAAGCATAGTCATAGACTGTAGCCTCAGAAAGTTCAATGCCCACGTTAGGATGGCAATTGGTAAACAACAGATTTGACATAAAATTAAACCTATACGGATGCCAAGCTACACCTAATCTTATAAATCTTCTTGCTATCTGAAAATATACCTTTTTTCAATCTCGAATTTGATAAAACCAAATAGAAAATCACGAATAATTAACGAAGGTTGTCAGGGTAGCTCTGCCTAATATATACTCTTGCATAATAGCCAGTTTTTTTTTTTAAACTCTAGAGACATAAACATTTACAAAGTTTCCGTCTCTTTCTGAATACACCAGGTGCAAGCGTGCACCATCCCGCTTTGAAAGTCAGCTTTTTCCTAAGCAGGCGACTCTGATTTGCACTTTTCCGAAATCGCGGCGGGATAGCCCCGTTGATCGTGTTTCTTACCGAGCACCAATGCACTGCGGAAAAGCAACACCCGCAAAAGCAGGTTCCGTGAATGTGGCTTCTCCGCATTGCATCCGTGCTTGGTAAGAAGCACGCTCAACAGGGCTAGCCTGCCGCGATCAACACTTAGAAAAATATGAATATTAATCGCCATCTAGAAGAGAATATGAATAGCGTATTATTCTGAACTGCTACTCGAAAATTCGAATATTAAGACAATCCTGGAGAATTAGAAACCTTGATGAGTTTGATGATTAATGTATCACTGCTTTGCAATCAGTGATACATTAATGCACGGATGAGTTACCCTTGAACTACACAAGTGGAAAGCAAACTTACTGAGAAATGAAGGAGATCATAAAAATAAAAACATTCCAATGAGCCAAGTAAAAAAAACTGCAATCACTAATCTCGGGACATTTTTTAATGTCTTTATGTGTAAGGTTATATTGCAAACTTGCTGCTGCTGCTCTGGCTACTTGTTGTCATCCCTTCCTGGATGGGATATCTTACCATCCGATCAGCCAAGCATGTTTCCTCAATCATGCACTCATGTTTTTCTACAAATGAAACAATCTACCGTCAGTAACTTCTAGGTAGTCTATGATTGAAACATTTATGCCCAGTTTTGCTTCATTTATTTACATATCCTTAACTTCTTTTTGTTTCGCAAGCAGAAATGTTGCAAAACAGCTAAAAATACAAAAGCCTAGCTTGCCGAGCAAACAAAGATAGGAAGCAGCTAGTAAAGGTGATGTAGTCCTTCCTCCCTTCTCCCCCTAAATTCATGAAAAAATGTAAGCATGCCAAATTCGGGCATGAAAAGTCCAGAGCTACACTTCACAATGCTTCTTCATACAAATTACTCTGTGTAAGCTCTACAGTGGAGAAGAGAGGAGAGGAGAGGAGTGAACAGACCTAAGAGTGGCGAAGCCTTCCAAATGAATTCCAGCCTCTTAGTTTCAGATTTCTGTTGAAATAAGGCATAGTGTGCCCTGCCCAAGAACAGTCCATCGAAACCCATCTGAAAAAAAAATATACCATACTATAAAGGAAACAGCCCAAAGGGACACCTAGGTCACTAATAACGGCACACAATACTCCTCTCAGTTTACACATGCAGGGCCAGATATCTCGCAGATCCATTGCCCTGATAACACTGATGTAATAAGTAGAATTCTCCTCAAGGGAACTAATCCCAAAGAAAGGGCATCTCCTTCCCAAATTTGCCCTGTCTGGCCGCTAGTCACACAACTGGCAGCCGACTGAAGCACCTCCTGTTCACTGTACTGGGGCTACAGGGAGTGCAGAGACCATGCAGTTTAACATGGGAATCACACCGGCTTGCCGGAATCAAAAGCACCTTGATTCTATTTACAAAATCAGGAGTAGGCAGAATGTTTTTCCCATTAAATTTAGTTTACTGTGGTAACGTGACATCCCCAAGTGATAACACATATATTGTCACAGTGTCAAGCAACACCACGCTGTAACAATGACATCATACCACACAAACTAACTATTGGTACATAATGTGATGAGGTAATGTTATCATGTAACTCTGCTGGTCACAAGATTACATAATCATATACCTTACATGATCCCACGATTACTATGGGTGTCATGTGGACACATTTGTATAGCCTGTGTTATCTTGATTAACAGTGATTATGTGATCATGTGACATCAATTATGTGAGCCCACTTGACATTTAGGCGACAAATATTTTGCACCAACAAGAGCCCACAGATGTAATGACACTAAAATAAGCCGCTCCTCTGGAGCGGGGGTACAGCATCGGACTATACAGCGAGAACTCAGGGATTCGATTCCTGGCAATCAAACAAAGATTTTTTCCAAAGGTATGTGACTGCATTTCGGTGTTTTTATAACAACCTTTCGTGATGCTTTGGGCATAGTAACCGGCCCATAAATCTGTGCGAATCACAGTGCGGGAACTTGCAAAATTTCTCCGCTGTAACAAAAGTGTGAATCTCCATGACAGGACAAACTGACTCTCCATCAACTAAACGCCGGTAAAACAACTTCGCCAAAGACCAACGGGACCGGACCTCTCCCTGCATTCTCACCTGAGCCAGGAGGGAAGCAAAGGCCTGGGAGTGTCCGAAGGGATCGAGCTGCCACCCCACCGTGACCTTCCCGCACTGGCCGAAGGTGTTGTTCAGGAACCTCAGGCCCATAGTCATCTGGTCTACGATGGCCGTGTAGTGGGTGGTCGCTTCGTCGTTCTGCGTCCAGCCCCCCCCCACAAACTGAAGTTGTCCTGGTGCAAAAAAAAGAGATCGCCCGGCTTAGACATTCTGTCAAATGCAATAAAGGTCAACAGCACTCGATCAGGTGTTTGATGGCAAACAGAGGTCATATCACGTGGTCACGTGACATCAATTTTCCTTTTAAATTTGGCACAGAAATTATCATGATGTCACATGACGTGATCATATGACGTCACGGTGTCATGGAACATTCTGCTGCCATGTAACCCCTCAATGATATGTTTAGTGCGAAGACTGATGTCGTATGATTTGACATCATGTTGTGCCAGGTCACGTGACACCACAACTTAAAGCTGTGACGCCAAATAATCTGCTGGGAAAATTGGTGCCACGTGACACTTTGACATTGTGTGGTGAGACCAATATGAGCGAAAAGGGCCCGTGAAGAGTTCCCCCATATAAAGCTATTGCATTAAAAAATTGCCTGGCTTAGACATTTAGTCAAATCCAATGGAGGTGCAATAATACTTGATGTGGCATTTATTAACAAGTGGCAGTTCCCATTGAAATGTTATGCAATATGACATGAGGTGAAAGAATTCTGAATGTATAAAAGACAACATCTCCATCCATAAACCTCTTCTTTGGGGGTGTTGCACCATTTCCCCTGAAACACCGCTGTGCATGCAATAGGACCGTGAAATTCCTCCATGCCTACTAGATTCTGCTAATACAAAGTTCCTATCCTGCTATGACATCCCCATTCTTACACGGCAGAGAGGGGAATGCTGATGCACCGCTCACCTTCCTCCCGATTCCCCGTGGTATTACACCATTGGTCGTGCGCACTATGACGTGAGATCAACGGCTGTACTTTATCGCTGACACTCACTCCCACAGCCTCGCTGCGGTGCGGCCAACACCAACATGAGCAAGCAAGGCCTGTCCAGGGTTCCCATATAACACTATTGTTATATGGTTCTCACTTTACATCGGGTAGGAATGTTTCTCACTTTACACAAGCTTACTGGGACTAGGTAGTGGGACCCAGGTATACTCGCAAGCAACAGCATTGACCAAGAGGCTTCTTTATTGCCAGGTAATTTCAAAGGATAAAAGCGGACTTTCTTTCATTCTCTCCTTCGCAAAACTCAATGACGTAGTCATGGGTTCCATTGTTGACGTGGGGCACCCACGGTGACGATATTCAAATGCAGCTTATACAGCGAACACGAGCACTGCGTGAGCACTCAATTTGAGCTTGTGACAATCAGTGCCTCGATGTGCGTTTGGGTAGCAACTCATGACCAATCGCCGCAATAGCGGGAATAGCTGAACCCTAACCAAGTGTGGAACTCAGCATGTGCCCTGTGCTTTGCCAACCCCAGCGCATGACTATAATAAACATTAGGGGCATATAATTGGTTTCAGATCACGTGGTTGCTTGTTCTGAGCTACGAGTTGAGGGAGTGAATGCTGCTCGTTTTTCTCAAACTTTTTCTGCGATTGCCATTGTGTGGAAAAAAAACACTAACGCATGTTTCATGGGTAACGAATGTCAAGGAATAATTCCAAGTGGTATCTACTAAAAGTACAAAAATTGTTGTATTTCCCCTTTAAAACTGACATAAGGTTCAAGAAAATAGTTCAAAGGTTCAGCCAAAAAGTGTTGCAACATGGTTTAAATACAATTACACTAAAATATGGGGCATGCACCCATGTTGCAATAAGTGCCCATTCTCTACTTTTGGAACATTCAAAATATAGTCAAGGAGCATATAATTGCCCACCATAACAGACTTCCGATCCCACCAAGCCAACTGAGATGCTCTCCTGCATCAGCTGCTTTTCTAAACATACTGGCGCAAAGCAGTAAAGCTTCACACACGCACACTGGTGTGAAGCTGTGAAGCTTGATGCAAATGCGCCAGCGCAAAGTGGGCTTGACGAAAGTGACAGCGCTGCTTTCAAAATTAGGGGTTCTACCAGACACTTGTACAGCTCCTATACCATTCCATCGGAAAAAAAACTGCATGACCCTTCTGTATTTCTGGTTTCGGACTTAACAAGCACCCATTTTCGTGGTTATACCTCCAACCTTTGCGTAGGTGTTTGCTCGCTATTTTATGTTAGTCAGTAAAGAGGCCAACTTACGAAATAAATTTTACATCTGAATGTCAGCTGCCCATAGCAAAGATGCCAGATTTATACTGAAGCATGCTGAAACATTAGAAGTCACGTTTCATTTTGTCGAACCTCCCTTTAAGTTAAGCATGCATAGACAAGTGGTTTAAAGAGAAGCAATCATCAGACAGGTAGACAATTGACAGGTGGGAGATGAAAGTGGGAAATCGCCATGGTTCGTAGACAAGTTATACAAGGGCACATGCCTGAGATAAAGTTCAGCTCTTAAAAAATAGAACAGCCTAGAGCAGAGGTTTTCAAACAATCTCAAGGAGCTTCTGCAGCCGAGGAGCCCTTGCTCCTCTTGACACTGATTCAATAAAGATGTGTAGAAACTTAGACTTTGTAAACAATAATACACACACCAAGGAGCATCTGACTCATAGTTATGCATCAATGGGTGGCTTCAAGTCTACCATAAAAGTGCTTAAACAGCAAAAACGCTTTGCCTAGGGGAGGAACGGCCGATAAATTTTGGGAGCTCGGAGAACCCATGAGGATATCCCTAAGGAACGCTTGAGTCTCTAGAAATCCAGTTTAAGAACCCATGACCTACAGCAGAGGTCCTGAAACTTTTCTAACCCTTGGAACCCCCATGCACCTTGAGCCAAAGAACCCCTTCTGATACCAGCATTGGTACAACAAAGCAGTGAAGGCACCTACAGAACTTGTCCACAATATACTGCATATACTAGGAAGTGTTCGGCTTATACAAGTAGTGTGTCAATGATTGGCTCATATCCGCTAAATTACTGCTTAAACTGGGGAAACACTTTATTTATTGGACAGGAACACAGTAAGGTGGTAAGCTGGGCTAGTTTGTAGTTGTTGAACATAGTAAAACGCAGCACTCAAAGGGGTAACTGCACGAAATAATGTAATCCCATAACCCCCGTTGCCAATCCCCCACATTATCAAAACCACGCACATGGACCACCCCTTTCCCCGTACTGGCTTTCCCTGCTTTACCCCTAGTTCTGTTATCGAATGTGCCGCTAAATCCAGAAAACTGCGGCTATGTGCATTGTTTGAATATTAATGTTGAAGAGTTTGACACATGATTTCATTTTCTACAACAAGCAGTGGAGTTGGGCTAGTTAGTTTAAAATAGCTTAAAAAAACAGCATGAGAAAACGAAGGGTTAGAGGAAAGAGCACCCAAACACAGTGCAGAGTAGCCACTGAAATTTTACTTCTGCATAAAACAAAGAATAAACAAAAGATGGGAAAGGTAGGAACAAAGCAATCAACCCAATAAAATATCCCCAGCATGCCGACACGTGCCTACAAAATTTTGCCGCACCTTTTGATAAAGTCTACCTCTCGCTGACAAACTTATAAGCCGCACGGACTTTGAACTGGCCCTCATCCAGGCTTTCCTATTCGTGTTTCCTGCCAATCGGCATCAGGGTTTTCATTTTCACTTTGCTCAGGCAATCTGGCAAAACGTTAAAAAACTTGGTCCTGCCAAAGTCAATCAGGAAGCTCTCTGATAACAATGTTTCTTCACCAGACAATTACTTAAGCGTTCGTCCCGCCCACGTTTGAACACTTCGCTTGGCAGAGTTTGAAGACTACAGCACCATCCGCCCCTAATATCCCAAAACTCATCCTGTACTTCAAGGACACTTGGTTGCTCGGGAGCTACGATATCCACCAGTGGAACCACCACCAAAACGACGGAACCCGGACAAACAACTTAAAGGAAGCTTCGCACTGGTGAGTACAGTCAGCATTAGAAATTCTGCCACTCTGCGATCAAATATTTTATTTGCCAGAAGTTGTAATAATTGTACTCTTCAATTACAGAAAAATCAACAATGTCCTCGGCAAAGCACATCCCAATGTTTTCACGTTTCTGGACCTCATCAAGCAAGACATGGCAACAACAAGGGTCACACTCATTTAGGTGTCTAACGGTGGCCAAGCCCGAAAGTGGCAAAAGAAGGGGGAAAGGAAAGATCACGCCATTGAGAAGCTCGAGAAACATTTGTCTAATGGCGAGCCGAATATTCGGGAGATCTTGAGGTTGATCCAGCAATTTCACGACATTTGGGTAGCACAGACATTGCCCCTATAAAACACTTTATTCTCGCATGCGAATAGACAGCCTATAACTTTGCTTTTTGATAGGCATCAAGCAGACACAGAATCACAGGGGAAGACAATGCGTCTCGATTGAATAACAAAATAGCAGAGGTGATGAAGGGGATTGCAGCACTGGCATAGCGGAAGAATGGGGCACAGGAGTATTGACACTCCCTCTGATTGTCAATATTCGAGGGGAGTGTTGACACAAGACAGGGATTTTGGCATCCGGGGGAATTGTGCTACAACCCACATGCACTGATCCACAACTGAAATATTATATTAAAAAAATAGAAAAAAAAGAAGCCAGGCGATGAAGTAATTTGTAAAAAGTTTGAAAAAAATGTAGGGACAGATACAGCCGTGAAAATTTGAGTGCTTGGAAACCCCGCAAGGGCGCACTGGGGGAACCCCTGGGTTTCTAAGAACCCAGTTTGAGAACCAACGACCTGCAGGATGGAAAAGACTGTTTCACTTGCCCAAATCCACCAGCCGTTGCACAGTAGCCAGGTTGCCCACATTCTGGTTTTCCATCAACCAGCGTGAGAAGTAGACGTTCTCCGCGCTCACGTACCGACGTTCGGGGTACCGAGACAGGCTGTCCATGACATTGTTGTAGATGTGCTGCACAGCTGGACAGCAGACAACAGGGACATATTATGGTTTCTCCTTGAGTCACTCGAGTTTTCAAATTGTGCAGCAATCTTGTTTCCATTAAAATCATTGAAATAATAGCCCTCGAAAACAGCACAGACTACCGAGAAGAAATATGAAGCCTGGAATGAAGCACTGGTCAGTTGTAAACAAGAGGATTTAGTGATATCATACAATAACGGCATTGGCCAAACAGAGTGGGATAGTGACAAAATCATCATCATGCGTAGCACAAGCTAAAAAAAAGTGAGAGTGATCTTTGCTTAAATTTGAGTAATCGAAGTCCCAGGCTCTCCTAAATATAGGGAGAATTGTTCGTGGCAATCACGTGCCCTCGACGTTACTATTCCACGTTGGTCGTTCGTGTTACCAACAGAGAAGAAAAAGACTCGGAGTCCTGAACTGATGCCACTTATAATTATAGACACAGAGCAAGTTTTTGTACTTAAGCTAATTCAGGATTTTCTGAAACCAACTCTACTTTTTTTCTTTTGCTGCAACTCAAGACTTTTAAAGGAGAAAGATTAGTCAAGGTTGTCAAGTGCAGATCGTTAATGGATTGCAGATTTAATGCGAAATATGATAGACAGTTGGTGGTAATTGATGGACCCTCCAAATCGAACGATGACTTGCCCCACCTATGCGGGGCTTTTAATTTCAACAGCTAACATACAGGGCGTCCAGAAACAAGGAACTCTCTGCAAAATGAGCCGCAAAAACCTGCACCTGCAAATGCCGACCCAAAAATTTCATAAAACGTGGGTCCTAGGCGTAGATTTTACCTTGTAAAGTTTGAAGCCATAACTATATTCTTGAAAAAAATTACAACATCCTTTAAATTTTCAGTAGCAAGCTCTGATGCACCCAGTTCATCGGTATATGGGCTCATGGCGCCACCTGCCGATGGACGCTCGAAAGCAGACAGTGTCATCGCCTGCTTTCAGGTCTCCATTGGGAGGGCACTACAAGCTTTCTTCTTAGTCATCTAGATACGCCAAAGACTGCCACTGAAAATGTGAAAGATGTTATTGTAACTTTAAAAAAATAAGGTCATGCCTTCAAACTTTACAAGATAGCATCTACCATCAAAATACATCTTTAATAAAAATTTAAGCTCGTAACATGCAGGCGACAATCTTTTTTGGCTTGTTTTACAGCAAACTCCTCGATTCCAAACACCCTGTACATATATAAGAAGATAAATTGCTAAACGTTCAGGAAACCGAGGATGAAATGGCCTTGCGACAGGCATGTTCATTATGCTCACCACTGTCGTACATAATGTCCACGGGTTCGACCCACCCTGCGTCATTGTGACTGTGGCAGACGATGTGAACGTTAAGGTAGCCTGGGGCACTGCTGGGGCACCCCTGCAGAGATTTCTTTTTCAGTCACTTTCTATTCATCAGCTTCGTTCAAGGAAGGGGTGGTGAACCTCCCTACACCGCAGATAGTTGCAATATGGCAGACTCTCTCTCTACACGAAAGTGAACTTATGAAAAAAATACTTGTATCTTTACTACCATATGTCAGAATGCTAATGCAATATATATATACCCTGTTTAAGCATAAGTTGACGAAGGGCAAAAGCTTTTACTTGCATGAGCCAACCAAAAGAGCAAGTCACGTGACAAATTCTTACAGAAAAGGCTCGCTCTGACGACAGGGTCACGTGCATTAGTTTGACATTATAATCCCCTCACACTGATCATAGGTTTTGCCTTTTGTCAGGTTGAAATGAAGTTCATGAGAAACAGGCTTATAGCAATCCTTTTTGCTCTAAAGACAGGTTGGTGCAATTTTCTTCACAATGTTGCAGAAAGTACTCATAAAAGCATGCTGGTATAGCAAACATTCCTGAAACATAGCCTTGGTGCACTTGACTTCTACCTACTGCATAGTAAGAACATTAATAATGAAAGGTTGGAGTATGCTTACAATGCTGGTATAAGCATACGAAATACTAATTCAGTTAATATACTGCTACAGTAAAAATATTTTTTTTTGACATACCGCAAAATACCATGGAAGTGCCCACTTTGTTCAAGCGCTCACTATTAACATTTCCCGAACTTGTGAATTCTGCTAATTTTACATTAAGCACTCGATTTCATCAAACAAGCACCCTTGTTTCGGTTAACCCAGTTTTCAGGGTAAGTAGGGTGGGTGCTCTCTTTGTGTTTTACGGTAATAATACCACAAATTGGAAAGCTTGAATCACCTGAAGCCCGCATTTGACACCGCCTTCTTGCCTGCGATGCCTAGGAGCACTCAGACTGCCACCAACGGCCAAGAGACAAAGCGGCAGGAATGCTGACCAGTGCTGCAGCATCACTGTTGCCCCCAGAATGCCAAGCTGGCACTACAAGAAGTCTCCAGATACCGTGAAACACGAGCACACAGCAGGATGCAAAGCCTTTTGGAGCAGAACCCAACTGAAAATGATTCTCACTACACAAAAGGATGACTTGCTTCACTGAAAATGCAGTATGACGCACGGGGGTCAGGTGGAATCAACATAACTGTTTCACGGGTTTGCAAGCAACATCTACGGGCTTGCTTGCTGGAAAAGCCTTACTACAGAATATGAGGTCTGTATGGAATGCAACGGGATACTGACGTGCTTTCACACAGACTCTCACCTTGCACAGTGGTTACCCGATGCCAATGAAAGAGCAGAGCCTGCAACACAGCTTTCATTGTGACCAGTCTCAAAGTAGCCGAGAAGATGCTGGCTTCCTGCTTGTTGCCATGATAAAAGAAATTAATATGGCTAGTGCCCAAAATTTCTTAAACATTGCTTTTTTTTTATTGCTATTTTTGGACAGTTTGGTACAGGTATCTCTGAAGAGTATTTTTAAAACAGGTTTTCAAACAAGGTAAAAAGAAAGGTGAACAAATTAGAAAGAATAAAACATATGGTTTCAATACTCCGTTCGCTCTTCCCCCCGAATGGAGGTGAAAACTATGAGCATGTCTGCACCAGTCCAGTACCTCTCGTGCATCATGCAACTTGCCTGGTAAAGATCTGCGTTCAAGTACAATGGTTCTCAAATAGGGCCTGCAAAGCTCTAGCCTGATAGATGAAGTGTGTAAAGAAATTGTTAGATATACTAGGGAAGAGACATGCAAGGTCTTGCCAAAGTTGCTGGGCGTGGTACACAATCCACAGGGTATATCCTTAGACAAAACATGGAGGTAATCCAAGCTGGTTAAAGAACTACCCTAGGAGGCGAAGTTAAATTTGGGGGTTTCACGTGTCAAACCAATGAAGGGCACCTGGCTTGCCCCAGAACCAAGGATTAATTTGGACCACCTGGGGATCTTTTGATGTGCAACTGAAATCTCGGTTACACGGCACCTTCTCTGCAAGAAGCCTCTGTAAGATTGCGGACACCTCGGCCGGGATTCGAACTCGCCACCTGGGAACCCATAGGCCGGCGGTTCACCCGAGAGCCACCAAGGCGGCTTCGCTACTTGAAAAGGACCTCCTGGAAGCCTGTGGCAGTCAATGTTCTCCTAAGAGACCTACTTACAACTAGAGTTCCACGTTTTGGGGTTCATTTTGTTCAGAATTCGGAGGTGTTTTTGAAGCAATCTATTTTGTTTCCCGCAGATTAGGAGTCTATTTTTGGTGTTGCACAAAAAGTTGGAATTTATCGGGCATTACGTTAGAGAAAATAGGACATGACCATGGGATAGTCCAACCTCCAGGGGAACATGCGCATGACCCGAATACTTGTAAAATGTTTCGGTACCAATAAGAGAAGCAGACGAGACAAGGGGCATGGTTCACGGAGAATGCCTTACGGCCAACTGAGTGCGGGATGTGTTCTCGGTCAAAACAAAATTAAGCCGTGGACAAGGACTTTTCCTGTGAAGCTTCGGTTTCTCATATCCAAAGACCACTTCGATTCACGGTTTTTGGTTTTCTCCAATTTTGACAAAACCAGGACGGGATTTTACCCATATACTATACAGAAAACATGGCACCAAAATTACAAGTATAATCCCGAAGAAGTTGTTTCTTAGCTACACATTGGCTACCACTTTCAGGCTTCCAGAAGGCTTGCTTTCAAGGGTTCCCCTGCACATGTATGGGTTAAGGCTCTGTTACACTCCAACGCTGAGTGTGTGTGTTTGTTGGCGATGTAAAAGAGGAAATAGAGGCAATCAATGGGTGCAGGCTCATAGGCCTGTCACTGCCTCGACGCTGAGCACAACAAATATAGTGTAGTGCAGAATGGGGGCCTTTCGTTGGCTGGCGAGCAGGAACTCGATATCTGCGACCAAGCAGTAGCGGTGCCCGCTGTGCTACGCCTTGTTGGCTACGCTCAATGTTGGGCCAGTGACAAATGCACGCAGTGCGTGTGCACAATTGGCTCTCACTTTCCTTCCTACTCTCTTACAATGCCTACACAAGCACGCGGTCGACGTCGGAGTAAAAGAGCCTTTAGTGAATGAGGCTGCCAGTTCACTGCTAAGAGAGGGAAACGACTAATCAAGAAATGCTGCGGCATATAATATTTATAGAATACAACTTTATTCTAGACATAAAAAGCTTCCTGGCAGGTTGTTGTTAGATTCGATTAAGCAGCAAAATATAGATTAGTCTCCCAAGGTACTGTTTAGTTCAGAGGTGTCCTACTTTTTTACTCCGCGACGTCACTTTCAAAAAGAATACCACCAGTACGCGGGTCCACACTGCCGGTTTACTACGACATACAACTGAATTGCGCCTCCACAAAATTGCGAGAAGCTGCATTCACTCGTCAAGTTTACGCACGAACTGTCTCAATGTGTACACCTTGCCCACCCCGACCCCTTCGTCGACGCTCACGAACTCGTCCAAGTTGTCCGTCGCCGAAGGGGTGCTGATGCATGGGTAGCGAGGCGGTGGCTTCAACCAGCTCCCGTCGGGAGCCCTCATCCGAGACCGGTCTGACGCGAAAGTGTCCAAGAACTGCGAAGCATCCACCACCCGAAACATCGGCGCTAGTTCGGGACTCAGGTTCGTCTGTGGGTGGAAGGAGTGCTCAACGTACACCGCGAAGTCCACCGGGAAGTCCAGCGTAGTGTCGAGATCGTAGACCTGACACGGCCTGCCGTCCGCGGGTCTGTAGACGAAGAAGACGTGGTAGTCCCAAACCGAGAGGCCCGTGCTGTCCGAGCCGCTTTTTTGACACCAGATCGGGACGGCCCGGCGGCGGTTGGAGACGAACACGACCGAGCACTGTGCGAGCAGCTCGGGTCGGGTGGCCCGGGTGAGTTCGCACAGCTTCCACACGTTTTCTTCGCAATAGCACGCAGTGTATACACATTCGTCGGCCGCTGGAATACTCAGATCCTTCAACACTGACATCTCCATAGCAGGTGATGGGCAGGAAAGGCAGAGAAGGCTCCTATCACGCACAAGGGATAACGGGATAACCGCCACCGATCCTAAACTCGACAAGTGGGACGCTTTCCACCATCTTGACAGTCTTGCCTGAATGAAAACGAAACTTACATGAAGTGCCGTGGCACTGATCTTGCCGTGGTACCATATCGCTCTTAAAATTGCGAATAAGCCTTCTTTTGGTATCTTAATATATATAACTTAATTATATTTAGTAGTATATAAAAATACACCTGTGATGCTCACATAATTTTTTTTTGTAAATCTAAATGCCTTTTAGGTTAGCCGTCAGCTGCTTTTTAAATAAAACCTTATCAAGTGCTGAGCCAAGCCGAGCCAAGTCACATGGAAGAGCCAACATGGCGGCGTGTTTTTGTTTTCGCCCGATGGTGATCAAAACTTTCGAATCAAAGGGTAGGTTTCTTGCCACCTCGTTTCATAACAAAGAAGGGTCACATGACGCGGAGCCTCAGCTCTGGCTAAAATGTTAAACCGCGGGCCGCGATGCGGTGCAACACTCGCTGACGCCCGAAAATTCCACCCAGGTGACTCGGTCCCCAAACCCCGGAGCGGACATCGGATCGTGGCGGACGGAAACAACGTGTACGCATTCGGTGGTTACAACCCCGACAATGGGAGCGACGACCCCACCAGCTTTCTGTTTAGGGAGGTAAGTGCATCGACTGCCCGTTGACAAAAATCTGTGCATGTCTGTGCGTCCGTTTTCCGATCGTTTGATGAGGTCTGTTGGTTTTCCAGTTGTGGCAATTCAACGCATACACCCAAAGGTGGACCAACCTGAAGATGTCCGGCGAAGTCCCGTCGGAATTAGCGTCACATGCAGGTTGGTGAACACACTTCTGCTTTCGGCACGCGTACTATGCTTCACTCGATCTTGCGTGACTGCAAATTTCGAGCTTTGATTTCTTGCGAACGCTGACAGTTGAAAATTGACAACCCCTATCTCCTTTTGGAGAGTCATGCGCCCATTGTAGGTTCATATAAAGAATATAGGAATGAAATAGAGCAGTCACTGCACCGAAATGTGACAGTCTAACAGCTAGCCCCATCCCCCGGCAAATAGCGGGCGCGGGCGGATCCGTAATTTCGAACTCCTAGTCTCGGCAAGCGAGACAGAGTGAAGACTGCGAGTGCTCACAAGGCAGCAAACGGATCAGCTCCGATAGTTGGCAGCGACGCCGCTGTTATGTCGCTGCTGTGCTATCGCTGCCTGCCCCTACCTTGCATTGACAGGCAACTGGGTGACATACCCTTCCATAAGATAGTAATAAGCAGTCACAAAAGGGCTGTCCGAAGGCGCGCTTGCGGAGCATTCAAGTGCCATCCGACGGCACTTTACGTCCGGATTCGAGTGCCGTTGTACCATGCTTCTACCGAACAAACGCCGTCCTTCAGTGAAGAATATCTTGTTTTTGCACTTCGTGGCCGAAATTAGTATGCCTACTTTCGATGTACTTTTTTTTTGTGTTAAATTTTCTAATTATAGTATACTCATATTTCATAAAACTTTCTTCATAACAAATAATATTTGAAAACCAAATAATGACATCTCTGCTTGGTTAGTAGTCGATGCCTTCACAAATATTTTGGTCCAGTGCTTGCCTTAGAAAGAAGCATCGCCATTTTTTTATGATTAAAAAAAAAAAATATATATATATTTTGTAGAGGCTTTTGCCGCCCCTCGAGGACATGAGATTTAAACTTGAATTTATCTTAAATCACAATCGCAATCTTCGAGACAGAGCCACTTCGGCAAACTTTGGCAAATTGTGCGCCTACACAGCGCAGGCATAAACATGCATAAGAAAGCATGCTGCTCGCTTCTTTAGCATTTGTCTCGCTCACGCTTTACATTAGAAGATCGGCGAGCGGCTGAGGAATACATGTCAGAATAAGCGTGACTTGTGCTTAGCACTTTCATGTGGCACTTGAAGGCGCGAACAAAGTGCCATCAGACGGCACTCTAGACACAGCCAAGATAATAACGCAGCACATCACCAGTTGCGTAGTGAGGTACCTTTTACACATTTCCATCATAACTTCAGCTGCTTGGTGGGAACTTCGCAACTCAAGGCTTCTGATAACTTCACCTGCCTCTGACGTACTCGTAAATTTTCTGCTCGGGCATTTGTGTCAAAATTGGTTTGATTTGTATCAAAATGGGTGCGATTGCTGTTGTGGCCAGGGCAGGCATGGCAGCATAAATACTGAGACTGAAATGCTACGAGTTTCTACAGAGTGAGCTTCCCTGGTACGAGCCAATAGAGTTTTAGCAGCTCGTTTCAACGCCTCCGATACCCCCGATAATGATACTTCTGCGCCGTGTTTGTTTGCAGAAAGATGGCAGTGGAGTGTCCATTATCGGAGTCAAGCCAATGTTTGATGGCTGTGCAGAAAGCTTCTCCCAGCAGTTAGGCACGCTCCACCACTTCACAGATTGGTTGGAGTTGCTCGACGGCCGCTCATTCAGGTTCAGATCTGCAGGCGCGGAGAGATAGGTGACAGTTTGCAAAAGGGCGCAGGAACCTGTTTTGCTATTATACGCCGAGCTCTCTACATTTGCTAGGGGAAGGCTATAAAAACATACTATCGAGTGAGCTGACATCAATGATCTATGCACCGTAATATCATGTGAGATGCCCCACCCCGAAAGATAACCCACCCTTATTTATGGCATGATTTGCTGTCTTTCCAAAAACACCGAAAGATAGCCCATTTATAGCTACAGCAGGGCCTTTTCTGATGGTAACATCGGTCTAATGGTATTACTTAGCCACGGTGGGAAATAAGGAAACATTGCCGATTGGGAAAGACAGTCTGGCTCATCGACCCTTCCTACGTTCACAAGTTTGGTAGGTCACAAAATTTAAAACTAGCATTTTTTTAAACTTTTTTTTTGTTGCACCTCGGAAGTTAGCTTACTCCTTATTTTTTCCCAATTTGGTTTTCGATTTTAGATGGGCTATTCCTCGAAATATTATGGTAGTTGATGAGCGAGCCATGCCTTAGACATTTTGTTTATGCACTGCACGACACAGTTATCACAAACATGACTTTGTAAATTTTTTTTTTTTTTTCTTTTTTATGTTTTGCTTGAACTTGTTATTGATGAACACCACATTCTACCACCTATGTTCTAGATGAGCACATTCCACCACACTAGCAATTTTGAGGATAGTTTTTAGTTCTAAGAGCAATGAAGGAAAAACTAGCGATTGCTTGTTTTTGCTAACTGTGTCACATTCAAGATTTTGTTTAAACCAACATATTCTCTGTGTTTTGGACATCAGAAGAGTGTTGATTGGTGGATTTTATTATTTTTTTTGGTGAAGATGGTGCCTTGGACGACTCATTACGATATTTCAAATTCTGTGCCTTCATTACATGGAACTCAGGAAAAATGCAGCCAGGTCTCAATTTACCTGTTTCATAAAAAAAAAAAAAAAGTTTTTAAGTTACAAATATTTTTTTATCAATATTTTGTGGTGGTGTGTTTTGGTGATTTGTAAAAATCTAGTCATCTATAAATGGTTTATCAGAGTTTTTGTAAGTGTGACTGAGCCACCTCTTTCTTGCTATGTGATCAGCCTACTGACAGAGACCTCAAGTTTTTACAAACTCATTTCTCATTGGGTTAGTTTGTATCGTCCTGTGACGTAGAACTTCTCTCTCTTGTTATTGAAACTGTGTCTCTAGACTTGCACTGGATTCTGTTGCAAATATGCTGGGAGTACCTTAGGTAAAAGAGTTCCAGGTTGCCTCTATTGAAAACTAGTATAGTTTCTATTGATTGTTTCACTTGATGTGCGAGTGATGCCGAAGCGGCAAGCACTATCATGTTTCCTTGAAGGATGCTTGCACTGTACGAGCGCTCATGCCTAGCAAGGACGTGGAAAGCCTGGGGCCCGCTTCTCCAGCTTCTGCTATGTTCACACCATAGAGTTATTATAATGTGTGCTAGATTTTCAACTGGTGTCTATGGCACTTCCGGTTTCAAATTGAAGCAGATGGCAACCAGTCCACTTTTTCAGTGCTCCTCTGCATTCCTATGGGAAAATGCATGTGCATTTTGTCTCTTCACCAAATAATTACAGGAATTGCCTTTGTTAATTGGGTCGTAGCCATTAGTTGATAGCTTTATTAACACTATAAAAGTGAAATTGCTTTAGTTACTGTATTTTTACAATCAGTGAGCAATGTTTAACTTCCTAGTATTCTGGGCCAAGTCCAATGTTCCACAGCAAGTGTGCAAAGACAAGCGGAGTAAAAGTCGAAAAGAATGTAGGGCTTGTCCAAGGAACGCCAACATTGCAATGACGCTAATATTAACAATGTGCGAGATATATGGGCCACTGAAATGACTCCCTAGGAGCGGTTGAAATGCGTAAAACAGTAAAAGTAATCCCACTATAAAGGGTGTTTTCTTTCTATTATTGTGCCAATTTTATCGGGTGGTAAGAGTTTTCTGACTTTTTTCCATTTTAAAAGTTTTCGAGCATGCAGATAAAAGTTTTGAACTCGAAAACAAACTTACCTTTGCACCGATACATGACCAGCAGAGTGAATGAAAGGAATGTTATATATTGGAAATCGCACTCATTACTTGGCTTTACTTTATTTTATTTTATACATGCACAGCTAAATACTCACCCAGTGTTAGTTCGTTGTTCTTGACGTTTTTCTTTATCTTCGAGATGCTCTTCATTGCTTTGGCACATAAACCCCCGTTGCAGAAAAGCACCGATTCTTTTGTTGTCAGCATGACCCTATTATTGTCTGTTACTGGATTTTTACAATCAGTGAGGAATGCTAAACTTCCCTCTATTCCGAGCCCTGTTCTATGTTCCACAGCAAGTGTGTACAAGCGACGAATCTAAGCAATAGTAACAGTTGAAAAGAATGTAGGGCTTGCTCAAGGAGTGCCCCCATGTCAACGATACTGATACTGATGATCTGCAAGGTTTATATGCCACTAAAACGATCCCTATCTACAAGCGGTTCAAATGCGTAAAACAGTAAAAGTATGCGCACTATGAAAAGTGTTTCTTATTTTATTTATGTGCTAAATTTATTGGGTGATAAGAGTTTCCTGGCATTTTCCAATTTCTAAAATTTTTCAAGCATACAGATTTGAGTTTTGAATACTAGAACAAACTTACCTTTGCACTCGTGCATGATTAGCAGAGTGAATAAAACAAATGTTGTTTATTGCAAACCACACTCATTACTTGGCTTTACTTTATTTTGATCATCTACATGCACAGATGAAGCGTTAGTGTATAGTTCCTGACATCTCTCTTGATTTTTGAAATGCTCTTTATTGCTTTGGCACGAAAACCTCCACGCAGAAAAGTACCGACGCCGTGTTTGTGCCAACAGTGTCAGACAGTGGACATAAATACATGTAGGAAACCTTTTTAGCACCGTTTTTAATGCAGCGAATTTGAAACAGAAATGCCGTAACTGATGACTATTTTCATCTACATGACCGAGAAATCTCCCAAGCTATCTATTACATACAAATCATTTGTGATATTTGATCTTATAAGTAGCACAGGGAGAAAATGCTCTCACTGTTTTTCATAAAAGTGCATTACCGGATGTCAATTTGAAACCGGTTGCTGTCTGCTTCAATCTGAAACCGCACAGTCGCGCCAGTTGGACCTCTAGCATACATTAGGCTCGTTCGATTTACCTTCACCTGCTGCACCGGCGCAGAAAAGTGTAAGGGCAGTGCACTTCCGGTATTTGTATTGAGATACGACCGGAAGTACATTGCCGTACACTTTTCTGCACCGGTGTTGGAAGTACGGGTAAATCGAACGAGCCTATTACAATAACTCTATTGTTCGCACTCGAAGTGAAATGCAGTACAGAAAATTCTAGACACGGAACTTTTTTTGCAGCCTTGCTACACTGCGACAAGATACTGGTGTACGGCGGCACAGGCGTTCCCTTTGGCGAGCGGATCTCCAACAGGCTGTACATGTTCGACCTGCGTTCCAGGCACTGGGACCTGGTTCCCACCAACGGGGACCGCCCGTACGAACAGTACGGTCAGGTAAGAGAAGACAGACACCCTTGGCTGGGGCAGACGAGGGATCGCGCTCGGGTGTTTGCTGCCCCTCCGTTCTCGGTTTGGAGGCGGCTTCGTTCCGCTTTACGGGGAGTCAAACCCGGATGTTTTACAGAGGCATCTGTAACTTGGAACCTCCTCGAGGTATTGACTCGTCGTCCTTCGCGAAATGCGTGCCGAGCGTGCACGTGCAACCAGGGTACGCGTCGAAAAGCAGTGAGCGCACGTTGAGGACGGGCATTCGAAGAAAAGCATTGAGTGCATCTGGTGGACGGGCGTTCGAAAGAGATGCCCCGTCGTTCTGACTTTTGGAGTAGTCATAGCCGATACCCCGTCAAGCCGGTGCACGCGTGCGGCCATTTGAGCAGACGAACTTGCACACCGTGTGGCTAGACCTCGGAAAGTCTGTGGCGGGTTCGAAGAACAGGACTTTCGGTTGCGGCTCGGCGAGGAGGCTCGTCATTGACGGAGCACGGATCGGGCGCGGGAGTGGAATCGAGAGCATAAGCGAAAATTGCGTGAAAATCCTCGAAATTGTTCTTGGGAGGAGGTGCAGAAACAACGCCATGACGATGGTGAATTACGCGAGCACTGGCCGATGCTGTGGCACGCATGTTATTCAATGGCTTAAATGTACTCTGATCTTTTCGTTACACTTTTTGTTCTTGTTTGGAGAAAAGGTTTCAAATATGGCCCAGCTTCGGAGTAAAAAAAAAAGAAAAAAAATAGCGGTTCATGCCAGTTCATGTTTTAATGTTAAGTTAAAATATAAAATAGCAAAAACAGGAAACTAGCGTAGAACACCGTGCATCCGCCCATTCCCAAATTTGTAAGATCTGAGAAAATATGTACAGTACATTTATATGTAAAATTGATGACCCGACAAGAACCCATCCCCCATTTTTTCGCAATTATCTCCAAATTTTGAATGGGTGGTTGCCCGGTATTTTACAGTATGCATGTTTATTTTCATCAAAGTGTTAGATATTAGTGAATAAATAGTGAGTGTGCGGGAGAGCTGGTGACGGTTAACCACAATGAATTATACCCTGAGACTGCGGTAAGAAAAGGGAGACATCAAACAGTTGAAGGGACAGAAAGAGAGGAACATTTTTTATTTACGTTACTGAGTAGCAGAAAATATATGTAGAAACCAAGTGCTGATACTAACCCATCCCTCTGTCATCCAGGCCATGTGCTACTTCAAGGGTCACCTGTACGTGCTTGGAGGCACGACGGGCTTCGAATACTCTATGGACGTGCACCAACTCTCCCTGGCTGACCTCTCTTGGAAGAGGCTACCTGCGGACATGGAGCCCACACGCAGGTCAGGCTACCTTGGTCTCCAGACCTAGTTTTTCTCTCCTACGATTCAATAAACAAATAAACTGATGAAATGAATATATATATATATACATATATATATATATATATATATATATATATATATATATATACAATCCCCGCTCCTGGCCCAATTTTTCGCCAGCTCTCTTTCCCTTTCCCTTTCCCTAACTTTAATGCTATAAATTCAATAATCACCTTCTCCCCTCTTCGTTCTCAATATTACTACGGCTGCACTTGTCAATCTTCACTCAATATCATTATATATATATATATATATATATATATATATATATATATATATATATATATATATATATATATATATATATATATATATATATATATATATATATATACACACACATGCCTATTGGTGATAGGTAAAAGCGCCGTTCACACACTTGCTACCGAGTGGGACGGAGAGAGACAAGGCCAGTTTTTAAGTCTCTTGCGACCGTGTAGGACCTGCTCCGCAGCAGCGCATTTGGGGATAGGCGGTTGCAAGGGACTTAAAAACCGGTCTCGTCTCTTTCTGTCTTACTCGGTTGCAAGAGTGCGAACGGCGATTAAAAGCGCGTTAAATGCTCTGCTTCCAGCACGAGTTTTCTGCCTTTGCCTTCAAGCCAAAGCTCGGCAGAAGGCAACGAGCACGTGCTGGAAGCAGTACACTACACACTTGGCCTGTCACCTACTATAGGAAAGGTGAAGCTTAGCATGGGCTTATTATTTAAGAAAAGAAAAAAGAGGCGGTGACTATTTTGACGTCCGTCGTCAAAATAACTCCAAAACTTATTCGACGTCTGTAACATCACTTCCGTAAAACACGAAAATGGTTTTTAAATTATTTTGACGTCCCCCTTCAAAGTAACGGCTTTGTGGACGTTGTGTCTTTCTCAAAATAGTAGCTTTTTCATTTTGACGTCCCCCATCAATGTAGCCGTCACAGTGGTAAGTGTGGTAGCCATTTCATTCTGTTTGGTTTCTGCTGGTGTTGTCGGTGTTGCGTTGACGGAGTAAGGTATCGCTCTGTCGCCTGTCTAAGCAACTTCGCTTCTGCTTGGCACTAGAAATGACCTATTCAGCGTGTGTGTGTGCTTGACATTTGAAAAATTTCTTTCGGACAATATCACTGCCACTCAAGATTTTGAATTTGCAAGAAAGGCGAGCTGGCTATTTCTTTATCTTGCCTGCATGTAACAAATGTATTTAAGTGCACGCACTACGTAGCACTGAGAGTTTGAAATGATTTTTGTGCCTCCATGCCTCCTCTACCACGCAAGTGTGTCTTCAAACAATTGCAAAATCTTGTTTTGAATATGGCCTCTACCTAGGTTTCGTAGGTTCATTGCTTAATTTATATATATATATATATGACGACGAGTGTAGGGTAACTACTAAATGATTGGGACATTAGGTAAATTGTTTCAAATGCAAAAATTGCCTCCTTTATGTTTTTTGATTGGTGCAGACGAACAACAAAACTTTTGACGCACCATGCAAACGATTATCCTATTACAGTCTGTGTTGCAGTTGTACGAGATACAACATTTTGTGACAGCAAATTGTTGAGTAGTCAAACTTCAATTTTGGTGACCGGACTTTCTTAAAAGGTTCAGTTAACTCCTTTTGTCTGTGTTATTAATGTGAAATTTATTGTGAGAAGTAACTTTGCCTTGTTCTCAGGCATATAACACAACCAAGCAAACATTACGAATGACCCAATAGTTGAGTTGCACTTTGAGAAGTTTCCTTGCATTTCCCATGATTTAAAAGCTCTGGTCATAAAATCTACAGTCAATTGTTTTTACATTTTGCGTGATACGTTTTACGTCGTACGTCTTACGTCGTAATGGTTTTAAAAATATTTTCAGTTTTTTCTGGAAGTGGCGTCACAGACATTAAAATAAAGCTTCTAGTTAATTTTTGCCAATGAATGTCAAAATAATCACTGCCAAAAATATATCTACGTCGGATCATCATTGGTCACTTAAAGGAGGTCTGAGATATATAATTATTTTACACTTGAAAAAGTAAGAACTCTCTAAAAGATGTATGTTGATCTGGTGCCATGAAGAAGTTGAGCGTCTTGGCAAAAATGTTGGCTGGCACTTCGAGGCTTCCAGGAAGCTTCCCGAATTGAAATTTGGAAGACTTCCTGCAATAGTCGAGTAAACCTTGGTATAGACCATTCCAATAATTGTCCTCTGCGAGCTACCATCTTTCTCTACTGGGCTATGGGGTGCATTCTCACCATGCGCAATACCTCGCTTATATGAAATATCAGCCATCATGCATACATCCCACAGCTCAATGACTCAGCAGTCAACCGGTAAAAATCTGCATATCATACGAAGCCACATATAATACAGTAGGCTCGCAATAATTGAAACTCTTATATTTCATACTTCTGGTTGATTAAAACAAATTTAAAAATGTTTAATTGCCCCGCTACGTTTTTAATGTATTTAAAAGCCACATAATTTGAACGTTTTTTTTTGTGTAATTCATACTTTTTTCTTCTTGCAGCCTCATTCAGTGCACTTCTTAACGAGCACCAATGCACTGCAGAGAAGCAACATTCGTGGAGTTCGCTTCCATGGGTGTGACTTCTTCACAGTGCACCAATGCTCGTTAAAGAAACACTGACAGGGTATTTGTGCTCGCCAAGGTTTTTATTTGAACATGACCAGTAAGAGCCCAACTACCAGAACGCAAAGAAAACAGTCGGCAGGGAATTGGCCAGTTTGAGAATTGGTCAGTTAGAGAATTGACCTCCAAGAAGCTGCAAGTACTTTGATAGATGTTCCGCAGATCCCAGAAAGTTTTGCATGTACACGTCATTCTCAATATGGCGATGTACCGCCGGCTGGACGATGCGATGGTGGTGCACGACGGACCAACGTTGCGACAGACGTGAGGCCGCTGCTTCAGAACTGTCATTCGTGGTACCGGGCAATCGATCTACGAGTGCAGAATATTGAGCAGAAGCAATATAAGTGCGAAACAATCGCACGGCAAACAGTACACAGAACATTGTCGTTGTCGTCTGCTTCAATGCCAAAGAAGCAGGGGAAAGCGAGTGTGTGTGGCCACGTGATTTCCGGCCATAAACTTTCGTGCTCATGTCCCATATATAAAAATATATGGGACTGTAGAAAAATACTTATTGGGTAGTCTCCTGGCATCATATTAGGTTCCCTGGCAAAATATTTAAAAAAAATGTGTTTGCGGGTTGTTAGTGTCTTTTTAATTAGCGTGCCCAACGGGGCTAATAGACAACTTTTTTGCTGGATAAACAAACTTAATTTTGTTTTGAGGTGTCATGTGCTGTCTGGACAGTTCACGACAGACAACTTTTTTTGAGGGATGAATAAACTTAACTCATACATTTGACCAATGTTTGATGTGTGGGGTTTGATCAGTAGGCACGTGTGGAGGAAATCATCAAGTATCTGCTTTTTTATGTGTAGCCATCCGCATAACAGATCATAGATTTATTTTACATCATATTTAGATGAATTTTTCATAATTTCAACAGAATTTGTGCTTCCTGAAGCTTGAATTAGTGAAAGAACTAGAGACTTTGCCGACGACGGGGAAAAAAGGGGGCAAAAACTTTTTGGTGATCGCTTAACCGCGCAACTTGTTGATGATGATGATGGCTGGGAACCAAAACTGCACGTACCCTCAATCGCATATACCCCGCAAAAGCTTAAAATTGGTTGGATCAGCATATAATTCGAGCGCAAATTTTACAGACCAAAACCGTGGAAACAAATAAAAAAAACTGCATTATATGCTGGTCATTACAGTAATCGCCGCAAAAGTGGTTAGTATTCAGAAAGACGCCTCTGGGTACCATTTGCGCATCTCCACTTTGCAGGTATCGGCACGAGCTAGCCACCCACGGAGAATACATCATTGTCCTTGGCGGTGGCACCGCCCACAGCAGTCTGTCGCTTCGCAAGCTGCCAGCCTTTCACACAGAACGACACACCTGGGAGACGCTCAACAGCATCGCAGATCCCCACCACGGTGAGGAGAAGGTGGCCGCGGTCTTGCGGCCAGCCGTCCCCGGACAGTTCTCTAGATCGTGGGCTCTCAACCCGAGTTCCTAAGGAACGTGGGGTTCTCCAAGTACAGTCAAACCCGGATATACCTAATTCAAAAGGGCTTGCATGATGGTTCAACATATTGATAATTCGATTTACAAAAATATGCTCTTTAAGCTTCAATTGAAGCTTTCGCGTGTTTCCGCTAATATCGAAGACCTTGACAAATGGGAGCATACCAAATGGCAAATCCAAGAAACATTAAATATGCTAAAACCTTGTTAAAGCATAGATAGCGATAACCGCGAGCACCACCGCTTGCGTGCGCACCTCGCATTTGCGTTTGACACGACCTCAACAGCACTGACCATGGAACCCGAAAATAAAAAAATAAGAATCTGAAATTTAAAAAGAAAGAGCGGGATATGTAAAAAAAAAATTCATTGTATCTTAAATATGCCAGATCTCATCCTCCAGGAGCATACTACGATTTGGACTGATATGTCGGCCACTAGATGGCACCGAATTTGTGAAAGGGTCTATTGAACAGATATTTTTGCACCTACTAGTACCACCTAAAGTCACTGTATCCTGGGAAAGTAGCACCAAGCCCACCATATGGTCGTCATTTTGGTCCGTGAAATGAGCAATTTCTCCTTGACCCCTTCGATCTGGGTGAGCCGATCTAAATTCGCTGGTGACGGGTAGTTTTGTGGAGAGGTTTCTTATATACCATGATTTTACTATCCGCACGCCAAAACAAGCGTACACCTCCGTGCCGCACGCAGCGTTGATGCTTGGCGGCATTGAAAAATAATTTTCCTTTCTTGAAACATCCAAGAAGAGCCATATCATTGTAAGAGATCTGCGGAGATAAGCACTGTTGATAAGTTGATTGCATGCAGAGTGCCAAGGACGCCTACAGTGGTGAGGAACGCTTCCGGTACGACGGTGCTCCGTAGCGATTTTGGCGCCAAAGGTTTAGAACCATCCTTCGAAAGACTCGGATGGACCGAAATGGCGATTGCCATGGCAACCGATACACCAGTCACTTTGCGAGGAATGGTAGTCTGTATGTTGATATTTGTTTGTGTCTGGCTAGCAGGCAGGGTACACAATGGTGCTACTTTCCCAGGATCCAGCGAGTTCAGTGCTCAACACTTCAACACTGCTTTAATGCATCAATGGCGTGATCGGATGGGGTTCCTTGAATGTCAGACGAGAGATAGGCATTCCTCAAGATAAGAAAGAACCCCTGCTGTAAGCGTCCACAACGTTATTCTTGCGGGCACTTGGATGGGGATGTTCATTATCAATTAATTATTCCCTTGATTAGAAAGCTTTAGTAAGCTTTTTCTTTACTTTAATACTGACACTCAAAAACTGTCAGATACTTGTGAGCAAGAGCCACATTATTGGGTGTTTTTCTTGAAACTGAGACTATAGAGAATATCGGGTGGCTCTGGACTGTTTGGGTTTTCTGACTACAGGTTGTATAAGACTAGTAGCTTGCATTTGTACAATTCATTGTCTAGAAAGACTGCTCTGATACAAAATGTTTGTTTTTCCGCTAGCATTGTTATTTACATCATGTACTGGAACATTGTTTTAGGCTTCTCTTATGGTATTATTCTTGAAAGTCTGTGATGTGGCAAAAGTGGCCCTTCTATAATTTACTAAATGTGCATTCTGAATCATTCCCCTCATTTGATCATATTACTGTGTATTGTTAATGCTGTACAAACTAATACATTGAAAAGTTTGTTGAGTGAAAAAGTGAATGTTGGTGTGGTCAAATTCAGCCCCATTCTACCATCATAAAAGACATGTAGTTACTTTGCCCAACAAAATCGAGTATTGGGACAGTAGGCATACATTAAACATGGTAGAAATTCAACAGTGCTCGAGAAGAAAAAGACTAAGAAAAGGAACACACACACTTGTCACGTCTTACATGCAGTTGTGTCGTTTGTTTATTACCATTGCTGCTGTCATGGAGGCGACATCATCGCTGGGTTATTACACTCACCCTTTGTATTAATCTGATCAGCTGGATGAGTAATCACTAAAATGAAGCGTAATGAAGTAAATTTGATTGGTCTCGGGGCTAGCGCCTGTCAGGTTCACGGCAAGACTACAAATTGAGAAAAACTGTTGCAGCACAGTGTAAGTGCAGTCCTGCTCTTGGTACAACTAAAAATTAAATTAATAAGACTGGTACAGCTGACCATGAAAGGAATAGAGGAACCACCAAGGAAAGAGTGATCAAAAGAAATTAAGAAATAATGTATGTTTGGTAGGCACTCAAATATTTTAACAATTTTATTACAGGTTTCCCTTCAAAACGGAGGTGTCACAGCTGCGTTCAGTACAAAGACCGTAAGTAACTCATTTTTATAAAATCGATCGTTCAAGCTCTGTTTTCTATTGAAGGGACCATGAGATGATCTTGGGTTTGATTATATTGACTGTATGTCATGTAGTGGGGCAGAAGAGAGCTAGAATGTGAGGAGAATGAGCCAGAAATGGGATTTCTGCTATGAAATTTAAGATTTAAGAGTGAATTCTTTTTCTTTCTTTTATTTCGATAAGCATTTTTTAATTGGTTGCGATCTGGGCGAGTCCAAATAATTCCGGGCATGTCACGGCCGGAACCACGGTAACAATCAACCATTACTAAATAATCTTTAGGCTCACATTCATGCCTAATTAGCACAGTGGCCGAAATCGCCAAGCTGTAATAATATCTGGGGCAAAGCATTTTCTCCGAGCATTGCTAATCCAGGCATATGGTTGTGATGAACATTCATTTATTTATCCAAATTGTTGGTATGAGCTGGCAAAAGAACACTTACAACTTATTCTAGCCAGGTTAACGCTGCTAGGTTTTTGGCAGTGCTACCTTTTAATGTGGAGAACTAAAAAAAAATGGGAGATTAGGTACCTTTAGACCATGATCGGTTAAATCGAGATAAAACATCTCATGGTATCTTTAATGGCAATGATTTCCATTCATAGGCAGTGCTAGCTGCATTATAAAATGCCTCATAGGCCCCTTTATTGTAGGTAAAGTCACAATACAGTTACAGGGCCTGGAGCAGCAGTGCAAAAGCTAATCATTGGCATTTCTGGCATCTTTTATTTCTTGAGTAACCGCGTGTCGTAGCAGCAAGAGGCAGCGAAGCAATGTGTAATTTCTTGTCTCAGCCGTCGAGCAAATATTTTTTTAGTGCTCATTTCCTCTAGCTTGTGTTAGGCGAAAACATCACAATAAAATCTGGCAAGCTCTTGTTCTGCTTAACAAAGCTTACGTGGCAGCATCTTTATGACTTATAGAATGGTACTGCCTAAGGACATGAAAGGGGAGAAAAAAATCACAGTGTCAAGCATCAATACTCTCACCTTTGCTGGAAAAGACTAAAACAATAATTGCGAGTACTCGGACCTTGTTTTTCTTTTTTCTTAAACTCTGTCCCGCCTGTAATCGAGCCACATTACGACTCGTCAAGGTACAAGCCAAACGAAGACAGGCCAAGTTCGAGGCCTAAAAAAGAGGTCACTCCGGCAAACCGACTAAGACCTTGCCTCGCCTTTTCTTAAGCTCCGTCCCACGATCACACACCGACCCACACGCAGGTGCCTTCGTTTGCGGTGGCCACAGCGGCACCCAAGTCCTCGATGACCTGTGGCAGCTGGACTTGCGGAAACTTCAGTGGACCAAGTTGCCTATGTCCCTCCCGAGTCCAGTCTACTTCCACTCCGCAGCAGTGTCCGAGAGCGGACAGATGTTCGTCTTCGGCGGCGTGACGGCCGTCGACGGCAGTTCCCGGTGCAACAGCCTCTGGTCCGTCTGGGTGGCGGTCCCCAGTCTCCTGGAGATGGCGTGGCTCGCCCTCTTGCACTCATGTCCGTGGCTTGTCACAATGCCGGCCGAGCCTCTCGTGCAGGCCGGCGTGCCAAGGTCTCTCCTTGCCAAACTCGCGCCATGAACGACGGCTTGCCACGGAAGATGACATTTCAAAACGGTGTGGACGTACGGCTCGGCTGGTCTGGGCAACGGTGCTATCTTGTTGGCCGCACGTCGAGACAAAAAGAAAATGGCGTTCCGCTCGACAAGTTGTCGAACGTTGTCTCGGCGTTGGAGGCGCGGACCGATAAATAGTACGTCACTGACTGAACTTGCTCAGGGTATTCTGGATTTTTCACTGACCCAGCGTGGAGTGCTGTTGAGAAAAAAAAAAAACGAGAGGTTGGACGTGAGAGTGGGGCTACGTTCCTTTGCCTTCCGTTTTTCCGGGGAGCTTTTGTTACACAAAAAATGTGGGAGCATTGAGACCTGCATGGTTTGTATGCTCCAGCATTGACTTGAGAATGAAATTCATAACTGTTGAGAACAGTGACTGGGTTTCTACATTTTCTCTGCGTGCAAATAAACTGTTTTAAAAGAGTGTCATACCGACCTCTCACTGCTGCAACTCCCCTATACATTTTTTCTCTTGGGGTTTATGATTATTGTAGTCAAATTTTTCAAATTTCAAATTTTGGTGGGCTCTCCTCCTCTCCCCGGAAATGGGGGAGGAGGAGAGCCTGCGTACACTCAAAATGGGAGAGGGGACGCGGGCCTCTACCTTCCACTGCATTGCCAAGAAAAGTTGTCGCGGAGTATAATCAGCTTTGGTGGATCAAGCTGCACGCAATGACATGTTACACATATGGCCCCCTGTGATTTTACTGTTTGCTTGTTTTATTGTTAATCATGTATGAAGCATGATATATGGGGTGTTTCAGCGGAGACTTTAAAAAATTCCTACCGTTAGAGTGGTGGAGAAAAAAAAAGGTTTCAAGAACTTTCAGTCATGGTGGATGTCAGGGTTTACAATAAACATACTGAGTGAAATGTTTAGTTAATATTTACTAATTCACTTTTTAATTTGAGAAAACAAAAATGGTTCTAATTAGAAACTTGCTGAGCGTCATTGAAAATGCATAAACCACTCAATTTCAGGGAAACAAGGTTTGTGAATATTCTTATATTCGCATTGCCAATATTTGCAATGCGGATATTCTTATTTGCATGTTTGCATCACCAGCTTTATGCCTGCTGCACAGGTGGCAACTTGAGAGCACTACCACTCTTGAAACATGCTTTACTTTTCCTAAAATTGACTAATCTAGGCGTTCTTGATGACTCAGCAAGTTTGTTTTTGGAATTATAGGTTTGTTTCTACTAATTAAAAACTTGATTATTTGACTAATTCGTCGGTTTTCACAATCCTTGACGTCCGCCGTAGCTAAACATCTGTTCCCGGAAAGTGTTTTTTTTAACAATGCTTTAATAGGAATTTTTGAAAGTCTGCTAAAACACCCGGTATAGACCCTTTTCACACAAGAGCGTCACCATCTTGAACTGTTGTCACTTCCAGTATGGGCGAAACGAGAGTACACGATAAAGGTCTATAGTTGTATATGCTTACTCTGGCCCACTGAATGCAGACACAAAAATGTTGATGACTGTGATGAGGAAGACGCCGATAATGACGAGGTTGTTGAGGGTTTCGGCACGACGCTGCTGGTGGGTCTTGTTGATGTTGTAACGGCCATTGAAGATGAGTAGTACGCCGACGAGTACCTGCGCAGGAATGCAGTCTCTACTATTGGAAAATTAAAAAATGAAATGTGGGAAATCTTTCAAATTTCGCAGTGATATATAGCAGATAAAACTCTAGAAGAATATTCTAATTATTTAAATAAATGAATGTTCTTGAACCAAAATTCCCGACTAATGCCCACCCATGGTGAAGAGATTAATGATAACAAAATAGGGTGGGCGATCTTTCGAGACATGACGGCAATACTTGATCAAACATTGGCGATAAGCACAAGGGCCCCCCTACTAGGGAGTTCTAGTATTAAAGGCAAGCACTGCATTTTCGTTAGCATTGCGTGCTCCACGCTTCGCATGCGCGTTGTTGCCAAGCGCCAATTTAAGGTGGCAGTTACGGCTCCGTACACGCGCGGTGTGGAACACGCAATGCTAACGCAAACGCACAGTGCCTGCGTCTGATCCCACACACAACACTAAAACTCGCTACTGTCTCGCATGACACAGTAACTGATACCGCTGGTTGCGGTCACGGCAAATCCGCTTTCCACGGTACTGTTTTATTATTATTATTTTTTTTACTTATTCAGGGTGAGATTTTATCCAAATTATGAATCCATATTATTTTAGGCTTCTTAGATGCAATGTTTTTATGGGCGGCCTCTGAGGCAGTTCTCTTCCAGTGCACTTGAGTGAGCTGCTCGTATGCCGAGTGAGACCATATGGCGAGGCACACGCGAGTAAGCACCACTCTATCGGACGGACGGCACATCAACTATATTTTGTTTCCCCGTAACTTGGCAAAGAACGAACACTACGGACTCCTCGAGGTGTCTCCCTACGACCCACTGAATGGCTAAATAATACCGAAACCTTCGCCACACCAAGTCAACTGTGTGACATCACACCGCTGCAGTGGCGCTGCTATCAATACTGCACATGCGCAGACGTGCTTGCCCACACTAGGTGTGTGCAAACGTGTCTGCGCGTGCACCGCTGTCTTTATAGGGGCCTTATACCCCGCTTCTATGGCAAAAGGTTTCACGGAATTCGGGGAATGAACGTGCTTTGAATTTGGAGTTGTACTTGGAAAGCACCAGTACAAGTACACATTAAGAAAGTGTACTTGAGTACAAGTTTTATAAACCTAATGAAGGTAGTACTTTAAGTACAGTGTACACAAAGTACATGGGAGTTCCCGAGAAAAGAGAATCGTGTTTTTCGGCCCATCTAAGCAAACTATGCATGTTAGAAAGTTAAAACTGCGAGAATGTGATGCTAGCGGTTGGGATTGAACGCGAAAGTTTGAGAACATGACGTTACCTGGATCGAAAGATAATGAGAAAGATGAAATTTATCCATTAGCCAACGTCCACCTAAGCCTAATATTGTCAAAACAAGAAATGGCATTCTGGACGCTTGTGGAATTTATATTAGTGAAAAGGACTTATCAGCAAGATAGATAAAATTGTTTCCTTTCTTGCTGACAAGATTTTTTCACAGATATAGATGCTACCGGCGCCCACAATGGCAATTCTTGTTTTAACGATATTAGGCTTATGTGGATGCCGGCTCGTAGAAAATTTTAGTTTTTCTCACCGTCATGTTCTTAAAATTAGTGCTTTATCTCAACCGCTAGTGTCACATTCTCACGGAGTTTGAGCTTTCTGAGATACATAGCGTAAACGACTTAATTTTTCGCGAGGACCTAATCTTCGCGAATCGCCTACAATTCGCGAAAAATAGGTTTCGCGCGAACAATTCCAGTAATATGTGAACATATTGGAATCTATATTGAGATCCCACCGGGTCGCGAAAATTCGAACCCGCGAATTATTCCAAAACTTCAACTTTGACCTAAATCGCGAAATATTGTGCCCGCGAAAAAAATAAGTCGTTTACAGTAGTTTCTTCACCCCGGCCGAAAAACACGGTTCTCATTTCTCGGGAACTCCCTGTACTTCCCAACACTGCGCCGGATCAATCAGCTGCCTCACATTCATCACCTGAAAGCTCTCTGCGCGGGTATGGGCAAGAGCCTGATCACGTGGCGAAAGAGTCCAACAAGGACCGCGTCCAACGAGGACCTGGCTTCCACCGCAGTCTCAGCGTAGGGGTGAACCGTGCATAGGTAGCTTCAAGTTTGAAGATAAGTTGCCCTTGTGCTGCGATGATGGAGGTATTCACGGTCGACACGCTACACTTCATCTCAACAAGATTCGAAATTGCCACATGTCAGCTAGAGAAACGCATCAATGTTGTGTTTGCATATGTTCCGCAGGATTTTACTGGCAGGACGCGCGATGGCACGACGTGCGATGCTTTCAGCAGATCAGTGCTTGCCACGCAACAATGCGGGTGCGCACGTGGTGCACCACAAATATCTCCATGAGCTTGACAGAAAAGCTCATCGTACTTTGTTTAGATCTATGTATTGAAAACCAGATAGTGACCTCTCGCCCTCCCTGTAGTTTCGCTTATATATGTTTTTTGGTACAGGAGTACGAGAAGTTCGAGGCTGCGTCCTTCCAATAATGAGATCATGGAGAAGTACTCGTAGACTCGTAGATGAATAATGAGATCATGGAGAAGTACTCACGAAATACTCGTAGGGAATAATGTCCCCACCTGTAACTTTACTCAGAGATCACAAGTATGATTATAACTGAACGATATCCTTGTTTAGTGTACACAGTATTTACTAAATGAGATTTAATTATTCTTATCTTGGGAATTTTCTCTTGTTTCTTGGTGAATTATCTTTTCGCTTTTCGGAGTTCCTACAATAAGAGGGGCCTCATGCTGAAAGAAACTCGTACAGGTTAACAAATGTTTTGCAGGCCCCTTGAGACATGCATATAAACTTCCCAAAATGTTTATTATATCTAGCTATGTAACTTCGATATTAAAAGGGAATATAGTATTTCCCTCCAAGACTCGTGGTTTCTTTTTTAAGAAGGTGGGAAATATATTCTCTTTAGGCACTTAAGGATTAAGAAATTAACTGTTGATGAATGCCAATAAATTGATAGGTTAATAAAATAACACTTTAAAAACCGTACTAAAAGTAGTCCGGCTCCTCGCGGAGCTTTACAAATATCCCCCTTTATGTTGACAATTAAGATATATATATATATAGGTCAATTTGAGATTAGATATGTGTTACCTTATCAAGACGTACACGTTCTAAACGCCAAAAGCATTCCTTTTTCTTCCGACAACGAAATCTCCTAAGCACTACTTCGCGCCGCGTATGAACAACGCGCAAAACTTGCTTTTTTCTTGAGGTGAAAACAGGTCGTGATGCAGCGGGGAAAACAGCTGCTTGACCACGATGATGAGATGGTGTCGGAATATCTTTGAAAATTAGTAGCACGTATTTCCTAAGTTTACTATTTTCTAATTTATGCACAATTCGGACTGACCCATAAAACAGTAAATAAGGAATCGCAAGAACTCGCCTCCCAGTTTTTATAATCGCGTGGTGAAATAAAGTGCGGAGGCCTTGCCCAGCGTTTCCCTTTCAATTTACCCGCTTAGTAACCTTATAGGTTACAGAAAGTTAAGGAAAACAAGCCCCTGTTCGCCACAAGTGCTAATTTCCTCCTCTCCACCGTTTTTCGGCATTTAGCCAGAGAAACGACGCGATCGATCTACTGAGGAAGGGCGTTTGCTGGGAACTTTACTATAAAGCGCCGTTCACACACTTGCAACCGTGAATGCGGTACTGTGAATAGTAATTAAAACAAATTATTTTTCACGCGTGACATATGAACATGGCACAAGCCGGCCGTCGCGATAGACAAGAGTGCAGAACACCCTTCTCCAAACATTTTTAAACTCCTCTTTCAGTGGAAGTCACTTCTCCCCTTCTCTTTCTGACCCGCCTGTTCCGACCTGACCTGCTCCTTCTCTCGCCTCCTCTTCTCGACGATGTACAACGTCTCCCACGATTTTTGCGTGCGTTTCGCTGCACGCCTTGCAGTTGCCAAAGCACGCCAGCTGACCTCGCATTGTTGCGGGCGTGAGCGAGTCGTGTTTTGAGAAACGAAGCGGTCAACTGGGGCGTGATTTAGAAACGCAATATGAAGCTCACTGGTTTCATTACTTACTTTGGGCAAACGAAAAAGCGACGAGAAAACGAAAAGCGACTAAAAAAATAGTGCTTTTGTTTTCCTGCAACTGGCAGGCGCGCATATGACTTCACGCGTATCGTGCGTGCGGAACGTTTTGTTTTTGTTTTTGCGTTTTTTTTTATTACGTTCGCCCCCTTTTTTGCGTTTCAGCGTCAGATTTCTGTAGTCAGAATCTGAGCCGTGATACAAAAGATGAATAAAAAAACTGACAACTCGACATATTATATTTTGTATCGTGTTGTTATAGTTATTTGTATAATGATGTTTCCTAAAGCCGTTGTCGCACTGTTTATACGTTATACAAAAGACAGTCAGCGTACAGATTCGAACGCGAATCACAGCGAGATCCCAGCTTAGAATGCCTCATGGCAATGAGTGGCAAGGAGAAACGTGGCACGCGGCATTCAAACCTCGGATATTGCGGTGACTTGTGTTTGCTGACTATCTTTTGTATAATGTATGACCATGCAGTATGACCCCGGCTTAACCTGACCGCCTCCGTATTTCCGATTCTTGTAAGATTACTATTGTAGACTTTTTTTGTTAATGATACCCCAGTAATCAACTCGTTTTTTTTTTTTTTTTTTTTTTTTTTGTACGAACCTTTTTCTTATGTTGGTATGTTATAACAGTCCGAGTTCGGCTCAAGAATGTTGGAGTGCTTTGGCAGGAACGGGAGTTTGGGATTAGTTTTAGAATGCACTTTTCTTTTGCGATTTCCTGTACGAACATCCCGCAGTGCTAAGCTCGCACGTCTGCGCCTTTGACGATAGCATTGCACACAACTTATAAAAAAAAAAAAAAATGGCAGCCATTTTTAAGCGCAGTATTTAAGAAGCGGTCGCTTAGCTTTGTTTAAAAGGGAAAGGGAAATTGTAATGCGACATGAAG